TCATCGATGAAGAATGGCTCAACGGCCTTGCGGAGGATGGGTTCAGCAGCGGCCAGAGCTGTCCAGCGCTCATAGCCTAGATCTTCATCAGCAGTGAAGAGCGACCGCTTCGTGGTCGGTAAGCGTAATTCGCGGACCATCTGAGCAAGCCATGGTTTTTGTAAGATAGTCCGAAGCAAGGGGACAACATTTCCTTGAGAACGTGAAATAGCTCTATACAACGTGGGCAATAGCGCGTTATAGAGCCGGCGGCACGTGCATAGCAACTGCAGTCGTTGGCCCAAGGTGTCTAAGTCTCCCATTCTGGTACGGTCCCACTAAAATCATGCCAAGAAATGAACTGGGACCAAACCTAGACTGGCCGGTGGGACCATGAATTTCACATTTGATTTGGTTTGGTTTGGTCCCAGTCCATTTCTTGGCATTATTTTAGTGGGACCAGAATCAGAATGGGAGTGTAAAGTGACTAGAATTATCAAAACATGAGTGAAATGGGACTAAAAAATCTTGATATTTCATGTAAAGTGACTGACTATCAAAAATAAGAACATGATCTGGGACTGATTATGATTTTGACTCAAGTTTGGTCCCATTCTGATGATTATATAATACATCAATCTGATGATATGATTGGTGGAGATATTACCTCTATCTTGCTTAGTGCTCAATGCTCTGATGGCTTGCTATTAGATCCTCTATCTACCACTGCCAATCTATCTACCACTGCTAATCTATACTGCTGCCAATCTATCTATCACTGCTAATCTATCGCTGCTGCCAATCTATCTACCACTGCTAATCTATCTATTGCTGCCAATCTATCTATCACTGCTAATCTATCACTGCTAATCTATTGCTGCCAATCTACCTACCGCTGCCAATCTATCTATCACTGCCAATCTATCTACTGCTGCCAATCTATCTACCACTGCTAATCTATCACTGCTAATCTATTGCTGCTAATCTATTGCTGCTAATCTATTGCTGCTAATCTATTGCTGCTAATCTATCTATCACTGCTAATCTATTGCTGCCAATCTATCTACTGCTGTCAATCTATCTACTACTGTCAATCTATCTATCACTGCTAATCTATCACTGCTAATCTATCACTGCCAATCTATATAGAGTAAATCATGGTTTCATTTGATTCCATTTTGTAAAATGAAATCAAATGAAACTGAAATCACTAATTTATTAGTAAAACATGATCTGGAACTAGATTTATAATATAAACAGTGTAAAGTGACTAATTTACTAAACACTATATGGGACCAGAACTAAGATATCTAATAATGGGACTGAGGAAAAATTTGATCCCAGTTCCATGCATGGTCACACAGCCAGTCTAACCAAATCAAACCAAATCAAATGTGTAATTCATGGTCCCAGCGGCCAGTTTAATGGAGATCAAAAAGAGAGAACAGAACAGAACAGAACAGAAAAATAAAAGCTTTATATATACTCTATTCAATAAAAATAGAATTATTCTGTGCATTAGATTAAATATCATGATTCACATCATCTGCTGCTGATGCTTGTAGCTGTGATGACTGTCTATTATAGAAATCATTATATATATCAGACTAATCTACAGAGCTGTGAAGAGAGCAGTGTACTGTATGATTATACCATTTGCAGTTGACACATACTTCTTCAAAATGATCATATATATAATGACACAATGAGAATGATTTAAGCTCAGAGAATGTATGACACTGTGTACAGTCTGTAACAAGAGTTCTATCATGAAATTGAATCAGAATGATATTGATATATAATAAATAATGAAACAACACTTGATCAGCTCTGATACATGTATGAATATATAATATATCAAAGTCAGAGACAGTAAGCAGAGTATGAAATTGAAGACTATAATAAAATATACTCAGCTGAGAATTGCTGATATATATTATATTATACTCTGATTATTTCTATCATTTATCTTAATATTCAGCAGCTGAATGATATGAATTAATTAATTCAGTCTGAGTCAGATTCTGCTGAGCAGTGACAGAATTGTATGAAATAAAAGTTCTTGTATTATAATCAGCTTTCTATACTATATAATAGAGAAGCAGAGAAATACTCACATTATTTACAGAGAGAAAAAGAGAAGAGAACACTATTGAAGAACAGAAGAGAGCTGATCTTTTTTTTTATGAAAAAAAAAAATTGAAAATCTTCTCTGACTATATATACAAATCTCTGTCAGTGTTCTTCTTTTTTGATATAATGAAATGAATATTTCATGTAGTATATGAAGTGGGAAAAAGATAGAGTAAACAGTGAATGAGTGATTTTGATGAATTTCAATAAGAGAATGATGAATTCTGATACAAAAGAGATTGTATGTACTGATGAATAATAATAAAAAAGCTGAAGAAAGAAAGAGAAAAGAAATTGAGAGAAGAGACAGAGAAAGAAGAGATTTTATAATCAACTTATTGTTATTATTGTTGTGAATGAAAGAGAAAAACAGAAATATCTTGTATATAAAAGAGGAAAAAGAGAAAGAGAGAATACTCATTCTTGTGAATTCTGCTGAGACAGCCTGCATATATAAATAAATAAATACTCAAAATTAAAAGATATATAATATAGTATAGTTAATATACACAGATTATCTTTTTGCTCTTCTGAGAAAGACAGAGAGTTTGTTCAGACTCATTTTTAATTGTATATATATCAATTCAAGCTTCTTCACAATCTTTAGAATAGATTTTGATTTTATTATATAGTAGTAGCTGAGTATCTCATCAATGATTATCTTTCATCAGAAAAAAAACATATACTCACTATTCTTCTTTCTTCAGTTAAATCTATATGATGACTTCAGATGCTGCACAGAAAGCTGTTCATTCAATCTCTGTTTTCATTTCTTTCAAAAATTATTGACTGATTGAATTGTATGAGAGAGCTGATATATTTAAATATCATTTTCAGTTGACAATACTGTAGCAGAAGTGGTGACAGCAGTAACAGCAGTTGATAAAAAGAAGAATAAAAATACAGATACAGAGATGAAGAAAATCTTAACAGTATTTTTCTATACACAGACAGAAATAGAAACAGACTGAAAGATTCAGAATTCAATTGTTATTGTATCAATTTCACACTGAATTCTATCAATCTTCTTCTCTATTTATACATCTCTGATTTTTATCTAATTCATTATCATATTGATCTGTCTCTGTATAATGCTCAGACTCTCAGAAATTTGTGATACTAACTATTGAAGTATTATCTTCTATAGAGAAATGAAAACTGATTCTGCAGTCTGTACAGCATCTGCAAACTGCTCATACTCTATATACTGAAATACTGAGTCAGTTCACAGTAAATAAGTTGAAAATTCTCTCTGAAGAAAAGTAAAGTTCTGTAGTATTACTGTATGAAGATAATCTAACAGCTGTAAAAATCTCTGAGCTGCAAAATCATCTGAGTTAAATGAATTTTCACTATCAAGCAGCTTCAGACTTATATCAGAGATCTCAGAAGAAGTAATATAAGAGAATCTATTCTCAGAATAAAATCAGATAAATCATTTATTTATTTATAATCAGAGAGATTTCTTCAACAGCTTTGATGAGATGACTGTAGCTTGTGAAAGATAGTAATTATTTAATAAACTAGAATTGAACTTTACAATTCTCTGTATAAACTTCTGATTGATCTGACTGAGATAGCAGCTGATCAAAAAGTTATTATTCTATCACTCAGCTCTGTAAATATTGTTTTTATTCATCTTATTAAACTCTGTCTTCTATACATCTGTGAATTGTCTGATATGAGTCTTCTTTATCATCTCTGATATATCTATATATATAAAGAGCTTGTTTATCTACTTGAGATGAGTTCTGTAGAAGATCTGCTTGTATGAATTCTTACTCTTGAATAAATAAATATTGTATCAGAGCTGATGATAGTGAAACTGAGACAGAGACTTCTGTATAATATTTCATCTATAGAATAGATAGAATACAATCTGTGATATTGAACAAAAAATATAATTTTTATACTATATAACAGTTGAATATTCAAGTCTGTTGTTCTGATTTATCTTATTATTATTCATAATCTGAATAAAAGATCAGCAGAATATTGATTTCTTATTTAACAATTTAATTATAAACAGATCAGTCAACTGTATCTCTTATCTGAACTGCTCTCTCAGCAGTATATAATAACTTATAAGAAAGTCAGCTGCTGTATGAAGAAGAGACTCAACTGTATATCTTTTATTTCTCTGTCATCTCTCTTAATACTGATATACAAAGTTCATTATATTCAGCTCAGTATAGCTGTTCATCAGAGTATCTATATCTCTGTTTATAAACTCTATATATCTCTGTATATATTTTATAGATCTGTAAGTCTTTAATATATTATTTAAAATCTGATCAACTGAATGAGAATGAAAGTTCTTCTATCTGCTCTGCTATATATAATACAGATCAATAAAAACTGTTCAATACTGTTTAATCAGATTCTCTTCTATTATCTATATAATTTCTTCTTTCTCAGTATTTATACACTTTCTTTTGAGATGACTCTCTCTGAGTGAATGATTGAGAATTCTCTCATTAAAAAATCAGATTATCTTCTACTCAGAGACAATCTGATTATCTGAAAACTTCTTTTTATTATATTATTTCTATTATATAAATAGTGAAGATTGAGCAGCAGTGAAAAGTTAGTCTATTAAATTTCATCTCTCTTCATACACAGAAATAAAGAAGAAATAGAAATAAAATAAATCTATATATTATCATCTATTCATTCTACTTCTCTGTGTATACTATCTGTGTATTCTTTGATCTGCTTTGTCTGCTGATTCTCAGTATATTTTCTCTCTGTGCTGTTATCTCTATAATAAGATTATATTGTAGCTGCTTCTGTGCAGCAGCTGCTTCAACAGTAGTATTAGCAGTAGAGATTATTATCAGTCTTTCTCACTTGTACAGAGATACAAGAATTTCAAAGTAGATGAATAAGAATAAGAATAGTTAAGAATAGAAATCAATACAAAAGCAGAGGGAGAAGAATATAGTAGTGGGGTGATAATTATTAAATACATATTCAGAGAGAGGCTGATACAGTCATTGTATATAATATTACAGAAAAGTTACCTCTTTTATATGATCAAAGAAGATAGCTCACTGTATAGAACATGTATGGATTATTTGAGGGCCTTGGCTGAACACCATAGGAACACATGTTTGAACACAGGCAAATCCACCTTCATATAACCACTAGTTATCGACTACTAATCTATCATCGGATCGGAATGATGTCATCTGGGATCTCCATCTCACATGCTTGTCTCAAGTTCAAGTTCTCCTCGTCTGGATTGAGCCTGTCCATGCCACTCGGTTTAAACTACCCTATTTATCCAGCTAAACTGGGAAAGCCAGTTTTAAAACCTAGACATAGGGTTTTTCATGGGGAGGAACGAACCGCACGCCGAACAATGATGGAGCTGGGTGCTTGCTAGGGCAGTTAATTTTAGATGGACGACTGACTGACTGTCCCCCCCAGTTTTCCCACGTGGGGATAGCGGCTTACTTCCACAACCCGTCTGTTCAGGGCAAGCCAGCCTGCCCCGGCCGGTCTAGCCCCATGATTTCCGCCTGGCGCCCCCAAAAGATAGGGGATGGATAAAGAGGGCAATGCCTTGAGAGCCCGAAAAATCATATGGCACATGAATACTGAATAACCAGTGGATATGGATATGATCCACGGGAATGGGACGATGATGATGATATGCACACGCAATGTATGGATGCAATGTACGGTACTATGTGTTGTACGGTCCAGCACATTCATCATGACATTGATGAAACCACACACACACGCGGGGGAAAAGAGAGAAAGAGAGAAAGAAGGTTTAATAACAATGAAAAAAAAAAAAAAAAAAAAAAAAAAAAGACGCACACTGGAGCCCACTCATCCATCCGCCCAGGATCCCAGGCAAGGCGCAATTTAAATCCCTCATACAAGAAGAGACGTTAAAACGGCTCTGATAATATCCAATCTTAATATCACCTGTGCGAGGTTTCCTGGGAGAAAAAGCGGCTCCACACGTCTCTCTCCGCATTTTGCTTTTGCAGAGAAGAGTAGATAAAACTGCTGTTGAGGTATGTACGGTATGTACGGTTCGTACGGTATGTATGTAACGGCGGGGTGGTGTGTGCATCTCCCACAGGAACCGAGTCAAGTCGCCAATTGCACGCCGTTGAGCATATCCATGGATCAGACAGAATACTGATAAGAAGCAGAAGCAGGAGAAAAGAGGCATCTGTATCGCCCGCCTTTTTCTGCCCGATTGAACACGCAGTGAGACGGGTAATTGGGCAGGTCACGCAGATCAAAATGAAGAAAAATACCCGCCCCTTGCCAGCTATATGATTACACCATGCATTTGTTATCCGTATGAAATCAGAAACAACAATAATAAGCATTCAAGCATCACTTAGTTCTCCCTTCAGCTCAATGTCAAAAAAAAAAAAAAAAAAAAAAAAAGTAAGAAAAAAGAAAAAAACCACCCTGGTCCCTGGGTTTATTTTTAGCCATCCGCTGCGCAACTCGTCGTAACCATGTCTCATATTTCAGCGGCCGATGTTGGCAGGTTTCAACGCTCGAGCTAGGCGGCTGCGGACCTCTCCGTCTTGTAAGATAAAAAAACAAAAATAAACAACACCTCAATCGACGTCCAGTGTTGGTTGTGCAAGTGAACATTTTCCCCCAAACCCTTTTTTGAGGATTTATTTTATTTATTATTTATTATTTTAATCTGTTAGGCCTGGAGGCGGGTCTACGAAACTGAACATGTTCATCGATGCGATCTTAATTAAAATTCAAGGCTTTCAACGGGTGGACGGGTTTTGGTTGTTTGTTATCAGCCAGGTTTCATTGGCTGGCGGCCGTTTTATTTTATCTGATTGGGCACTTGGAAGTAGACGTTGATTTATGCTGGCCCGTTTTTGCTTGCTGATTGGCAAAAAGCTGGAGGTTTATCTATCAAGGTTTTGGTTTTGGTTTTGTTCTTTGCAAAAGGTTTGGTTGGTGAAACTTGATGTTGTTGAATGATGAATGATTGAAGTTGGTTTTCATGCTGCTGCCAATTGTTTGGCATCTTAAAAATAAAGATCCATGGAAATTTGATGGCGTGTATAGACAAAGAGATTGCTGGCAAGTTAGAAATATGGATGCGATGCAAGAGAGAACGGGGGAACGATATATGTCCCAGCGTGGTCGAAATTGGAGAATTGATAACTGCATAGATAGATAGATCTTATAGCTGTGTGAGCGCCGTTGCGAGTAGATTATATACATGCAAAAATATCTTGTCTCAATACATTATCTTCGGCTTTCCGAAGGCAACGGCCGTTTTTCACCCCACATGGCAATTCGTCGCAATCAATCCATCATCGATTCGCCACCAGTTCCACCGGAAAAAGACCGACCCCAGCAGTGCGTCCCACTCAGATAGGGAGGGGATTTCTGTTTTCAGCAAAACGCTGTGTGCGAATTTGTTTTAAGCTTCATATTGGTGGAGGCAAATTCTACTTTGGGATTGGAGATGGTAGGAGTTGCGGCGCGAACTCGTGGGTGGGGATCCTACAGCAGCAGTTGTTGAGCCTAGAATGAGGTGGAGTATTGAAAGACGTATTTATCATTTTTCGACACGGCCTTCTATCTAGATCGCATATGCACAGACACAGTAGGTTATTAGCCTGACTGTAGTCCATTTCAATGTTTTGTGGGTATGTGTGCAGATTGAAATTGAAAGTGTGAATGTTTTCGCCCATCTGGAAGGTGGTGACGTCGCCTGTGACACGGATAGCATAATTAGCGGTCACTCCTTGTATCGTTGCTTGCTTGAATCAGCGATTGGTATGGTCTTCATGATTCCGCATCCATTTCAATACCCATTCGACCAGGATGCCAAAATCCTCAGATATCTGCAGCACCCTGGCGAGGCTTTGGTGGAGGTGCGGCGATTCTGTTCTGGATATATCGTTCAAGGGTCCTTCTGTGCTGTCGCTTACGTCATCCCACATTCCACCAACCCGTGAGACCGTGATGTTACCATTGAGTCCGATATCTATATTGATTGTTATCGTCGTCGGGTTTTCCATGGACGCATTTGGCCCTCTCTTAGGCGCGTTGAATAATAGCATTAAGGATGGTGGCCCTAATATCGGAGTTCGTAAAGATATGTCTATTTTCCGGTCATCAGTTGCCGGCGCAGGGGGAAAAGGCGCGTTAACATGAGAATCAATGCCGTTGCTTCTCTCGATAACATGCTTGGAATCGTCACGCGAAAGCATAGCGTTCAGTTTGGATACTGTAGGGCTGATATTGGTTATAAACGTGACGTCAGACTTGGACGTCTGGTTTGGCGAGGCTGAGATCACCGAGTGGGCTGAGGGAGATTTGCTCGACCTGACAGTTTGGTTGTTTTGGCCAACAAATACTCTGTGAAGGAGGCTAGACAATAGTGCGTACTGGCGTAGGATCTACGCACAATGGTAAGTAGCTGATCATGAAGCAATGGGAATTTGAAAGTAAAAAAGTAATAGGGGTGAATGTCTATGGACTCACAGGAAGAACATCAGCCAACTGCCGAGGGTGAGAAAACGGAAGATCACGTATGGTGCGTCCGACAATATGCTCAAAGGGGTGGAAAGTGTATATATGCCGGTGTTTTCTCGGTTGGCAATCGTCGTCAAAGCTATACACAACTTTTTCATGAATTCTTCCGTTGGACGCTGCCAAACTATTATCGTCTTGACCGTCTCCTGTCGAAGCTAAGTTTGGCAGAGGAACTACCAGTCCATCATATGTAACCGTTTTGGGCTCCACGGGCATGTTCATCCCAAGTAGCCTGTATACTTCCGCTGCTGCGATTATAGGCATATCGATAGGAGGTTCCAAGCGCGCAACGAAACGCCGATTTGGTGTCGTAGTACCTAAGGCAGTAGAATCGAGAGGAACATCGTTTGGGTTGCTGACGAGGGTGGCAGGAGGGTCAATCCAGTTGACTAACAAAATCTCAGAGTCGTTCCCGTCGGCGGCTAAAGAGGACTCCCCGTTATTCATAGTTGTAAAAAGTTCGGCCGCGATCCATTCCTTAGACACTCGTAATGATGGATAGCCTTCTTCACACTCGATCGCTGCTCTCCATGTCTTATGTATCTTGGCAGGAGCCGGCTTTCGATCGTCTGGGGTGGGTTGATCAATATTCATGGCATTCGGACGGCCATTCCGATTTGAATCCAAAGTCTGTCTTTGCTCAACCCAATATTGGAGGCTCAGACCAATCCGGCCGTCTTGGTGGATCCCGGGATGGCCCACCTGGCTCGTGCAAACATGCTCATAATGGCCCCTCCCTGGATATCGGCTTAATTCACCTTCCCATAGTCGGTTCAAACTCTTGTACAGTCCTTCGACTGCTTCAAAGCAGTTGATCTCTCGACTGAGCCGATCCAATTTGGCTAGCCTATGTAAATTGGAATGGAACGCATCAAGGCTTTTCCAGGGAATCTCTTCATCCTTCCCAACAGTCTGCATTAGATCTCGCTTTAGTACCGCAGTAGCCTCTACTCGTCTTTCCCCTTCCACGATACTTGGAGTAGTATACTTTAAGCTGACATCTTTAACGTTCTCCGACCCATCTTCAAACTGGATCTCCAAATCCACAAGGTTCCCGGCAATGCTTAGTATATTTTCTTGCCACATACATTCGAAGCCCTCAAACTTCCCTAGCCTCTCCACACCTTCACGGCATATGCCTCTTCCAGAAACACGAGTTCTCAGCAGACGGATCACCTCTTCCATTCGGCGAGCTTTCTCTTCATCAGTGTCCCTTGGGCCGCCCATACCCAAGGCCGACATCCCCATTGAATGGATGCCGTTTTCGTTGATCCCTGGCCCGGTTAGAGCATCGTTCCCTGCAGGAGATGGCGTGATACCGCCCAAGCCAAGAGCCAGCAGCGCCGATGGTGAGCTGAATGCAACAGCATCCTCCACCGAGGTAGGGGCAGCCATGGGGGTCGGATACTGGTGTGAAGAAATACTGGGGTGGTGTCCATGGCCAGAAGCAGAAGGCGTCCTAATAGAAGGGGACTTGTGGGAAAGAGGACGGCCCATGGGCACTGCTGATGGATGAGGTGATGAGGTTGGGTGAGGCGTTTGCCCAGGGTTGTGCCTGGATGACGGGGTGGCCATGATAATGATGATGGGTCCCCGTCCAACAAGCAGATTTGAGTCGGCGCGAACCCGCCACAAACTGGATTGAGATTGCCTAGTAACATAAATAGTGCTTTTAATACAGCTGTAGAAGCCGCTATGGCTGGAAAAATCACAGCTCTGATTGATTCAGATCGGGCTTCCTCGGCAATCAAAGAGTTACGGCTCAATCGTAACCAGAGTCAAAACAAATCCATGAAATCATTTTCGGGGGCGTCTTTAGTAAAATTAGGTACTGCGCAAAGCTTGTGGGCGCCAAAGCTGCCCTGCTTCGAGAACCCTTTGAGTTATGCGGCTTTATCATTCACACATGCAGCGAATTAAGAGTTGGTCCGGTGTTGAGCAACGCGAAGTCATGTGATGTAGCTAGTTACTATTGGTTATTTTAAGCGCTCCAAACAACCGCATCTGACTTCAAAGCTACATTGGACATTTTTCACCTCAATTGCACAATTATAGAGCTAGAAGTAACTATATATACGTATATACACATCTGTCTAGTTCTCTGATGGCAATAATTTTATGCAGCGCTCGCCGCACTGTTTTCAATCCAATGAGATTTCACACTCGATCTTTAACTACCCTGCAGGGCAACTCACATATTGTATGCTTGCCATATGCTTTTCATTTTCTAATTGCCTATTAAGAGAGCAATTGTTCGGAATGACTGCTGCTGATTGTTTCCACAGTTTGTTTTCCCAAATCCTCAAACCCCGAATAGCTATATACTCTCTCTTTTGCCGACAGAACCTCCGAAACCCAAGCTTGCCATCGGAGTCACTTCCTCACTTCCTCCAACCACCAGTTCTTTCAAAGAAAACCCCGCGTTTCTCACTACCCTTCAGTCAGTTATTGCAGAGCATGCTCACAATGATCCTGATGTAGTGTCACAGGGGCAAGTAATGGCTTTCACAAGCGGAATGAATCTTGCCGCCGTTGGTCGGGGAAAACCAAAGCGGAGACGAGACGCTGCCGGTTTAAATGAAGGTCCAGAGGGTGGTGCAGATTCGCCTAGAAGAGGTGGATGGATTCACATTTCTGATACGAGGAATCCTCCGGAGTTTGCAAGGAGTCCATGGTAAGGCTTTCGTCTCCTAATTCATGTCACCCTAGGACATTAATTTTTCTCCCCTCTCCCCGCAGGCCGGAGGATATATTCGGTAGCCTCGAAGTTGATGGGAATGGAAACATTGAAGGAAATTACCAACCCAGTGGTAAGTTTACAATATAAAGCTTGCCCGAGTTTTGGCGTCCAGTTTTCAGAAAAGCTTTTTGCTAAAGACCGAATGCTAGGTACCTACCGACTCATCACATCGAAGGGAATGTAGGTGCTAATCTCTTCCACTAGATAATTTTCATCACTGACAATCGTGTGCAGCCTCGGTCTCAGTCCATTCATGCGGGAGAAACTTATTCAGCGCCTTCGTTCAGAGGAGAATAGTTAGCACATCAAGTGGCTAGAAATTGCAATTGGCAAACTACTCCACTCCTGATTATATATACCCCTGTAGGATAAAAAAGGGATCGGTAAATAATTTATGGCAGGCCATTGCGCCATCGTGAAGGGTTAGTGCTCTGCGTTTTGGGCTACTCCCGAAACGAATGGCTTTACAATCAATAAATCGGACCATTCTCTTACAACCTGTCTGTGTTCATAGTTGCGATATTTTATCTTAAATAAGTTTGGGATCCCGCCGACATTGTTGTGGAATTGTGTGTGCATATAACCACGACACTGTAGGACTACATGCAGCTTTGTCTTCCGGGTTAGCATAACGCTGGCATTATAGCAAACAGCTGCTTACGAAACTCACCAACAAAGGATTTCGAACAGATCGCGTCATGATCCTATCGAATTACCTGTCACCCGGCTTAGAAGCAGGCCAAATGATAATTGAGGCAACATCCACGTCTCTCATACTCTATACTTCTCGTCATATTTTCGGTTACTTATCGCACGGAGGATCAGCCACGTCTGCGAGAAAATGTTTACATGAAGGCGAAAGGAAGAAAGGTAGTTGCAAATTGAATCGTAACGTCCTCGTCAATTTACGGGTACAAGGTTGTATCGTTGGTGTGGCATGTCAGTTTGCTCTTTGGAGAAACGAGCAATGGTTGTCTTTGTTGCTCTGTGGTGAATCCCTAATCTATCTGCCTGGTCTCCGGTGCTCTCTCATCTGCAGTCTCAGATTCTCTTGTCTTCACTACAGTTCGTTCATGAACAAAGAAGACTCAGGTATCGAAGAGAAGAGACGTGAGCATGCATTGGGAACTTGTAAAGGAAGATATATCCGGAGGATTGGTTCCATACTACCCCAGAGCCTGTCAAAAGAGCATGAGAACAAGTAATATGATTATCCCAACCTGAGGCATTGATCTTTTTGGTGCAATGGCCTGCGCCATGCATTATTATAAAAGTTTCATATACATATAACTTCCGCGTACACTTCTCAAGTTAAACATGATGCAAAATAAATTACATGATCCCAAAATGACAGCATGAAAGAACCGTTCGGGTAGATAGTTTGTAACAGATTCTGATAACAATTTGCTCCATTAGCAGCGAAAACAAATGTGCAACTTTCAAATGGTATCACAGAAACAAGACAAATAAAGACCTCTGAGGATATCGAGCAGTCTTTTCTAGCATCGTTATTATTTAAAGAAATTAGTGATTCGTTGAGTCCCGCTTGCCGCCTTTTTGGCCTTCCCTTGCTTCAGGGCTGAACCGTTGCTGGTAGCGCTCCTCATTTTTTTATTTTTACCACTAGATTTTGTGGGAGATTGGACAAAATCCTTTTCAGGGGGAAGCTGCGCGATGTTTGGTTTCGTTACTTTAGGGGGATTGGCTGCTACATCACGGGCTTCAGTAGCTTCCGGGGATGCCCGTTTTCGTTTAGCTGCCGAGATCTGCGCAGCAGAATCAGCATCGTCATCTGATTTGAATGTAGTTAAATTTGTTTCAGTTTTGAGATCTCTTTCTCCCTGTTCCCCTTTGCTCTCCTGATCAAGCACCGAAACGTAATTTGCTTCTTGTGACTTTTCGCCGCTAGTTTCGGTGATATCATGACCTTGGGGCTTCTGCCCAGGTTTGCCTTTGGCAGTACCAGTGAAAAAGTTCGCAATGTTGCTTTTATTTTCCTTGCTGTTTACCGGGATAATAAACTCTGGAGAGTTGTTTCCTACTTTCCCTACTTCTTTGCTGACGGGATAGCACTCGAGCTCCCCTTCATAGGGCTTGAGAATTGATTGGAGTTCCTTTGACCAGGTAATGCGATGGGGATCAAGCCATGTAGCCATTTCACGGCTCCCGGGGTCGAGGATGACAGGCATTCGATCATGAAGGAACCTAAGATATGCATTCGAACTAGTGGTGATAATGGTGTACGTGTAGAGTTTCTCATCGGAGCCTATGGTGGGTTGTTAGAAAAGTGCCTTCTGACCATTATAGTATTGAGTCGATGGAACACTGCAAATTATCGAATGAAACACATACCTTCATACTGAACACAGTCCCAAAGACCAGCAAAACACATGAAATCCCCGTCCTTCCGGCGGACATAATGTGGAACTTTCTCTTTCCCAGTGGGGCCTTTTTTCAGCCATTCGTAAAAGCCTTGACAGATTACAACACAGCGCTTCTTTCTCTTCATGGACGTCCACATTCCCCTATCCTCGATTAAAGAGTCGTCCCGGCAATTGATTGTTTTCAACATAGAGCCGTAATCAGGCGATCGTTTGGTCCAAAAAGGGATCAACCCCCACTTCATGGCTTGAAGTTTATAAAGTGTTCTGTTCTTCGGTGTCTTCGTTGGCTCATCGTGTGCCTCGTGATCTTCCACTTGCTCGTTGTTGCCAGTGTCTTCGTCCGCGTTCTGGGACCCGACAAGGCTGCCATGATCAGAGGTGTCTGCGCGATAGACCGCGCCGTAACTCCCAGGGGCAAAATTGTAAGTTTGCCTCACGTCATAGTCATCTGCTGCTTCATCCACGGGTTGGCCACGCTGTTGTAATTGGTTTCGAATGAATGCGAGGCGCTGCGCGACAACATCATCATTAGAAATCCAGACAGAACCCAACAGGAACCAGTTAAGTTGTCACTACGAATAGTGGCATGTTACATACAATGCCCATGGCATACCGGCCACACATCTTGGAGATAGTTGTCCTTCAATATGCAGTATAAATACAGCGGTGCATTTGATGCATGAGAGTGCCAAGACGTCATTGTCATATGGCGGAGCGGAGTGGAATACGACCACTATGCCAAGAACAAGCAAACACAGCAAACACACGGACCTCGATCACCTTTATTCAAGGCGATTCCGGCCTAAATTCAAAAGGCTCCGATGAAGGATTTCTGTTGAAACACTGCCATTGATGCTGCAGTTTAGGCATGGCAACGTATCTATGCCATCTATGCCGATCGATTTCAGAAAATTGAATTCGCCGCACGCTCTCAATTAAATCTAAAAACTTAACCATGTTCCGAGTGATACCAAAGCACATCCGAGCCTCACCTCTCTGGCAGTTACAAACACTCCCCTTCGCCATACGATTCCTCTCCAGCACACCTCTATGCTATCCCAGACCTCGATTAACTTTATTACCAACATCTGAACTCGTTTCCAGAAAATTGATCCAAGCCCGGTTAAACAGCACCTCCAGCACCTCGCGCCTGCAAAAATTTAAACGAGACTACAAGGAAGCGTGGGGTAAAATATGGCAAACAAACCCCATTGGTTTTCCGCTCACTGTATTGTTCGTGGCGGTGAATGCGGGGTTACTTATATACATAATATACGACCGGGTTACTCGGGTAGACCCATACCTCAACAGATTCCCGCCAGAGGTAGCTGCACCCCTTCGCAAAGCCCTTCACCATTCCGAAATCCGACCCGACCCTATCTTGGCACTACAGATGTTTAGGGAGGCACTTGTTGTTGCAGAGCATGTTCAGATGCACCCATTCTCTGACGAAGTCCTTGGGATAAGAATCGCAGCCGCTGAAATGCTGGAGAAAAACGGCCTAGTCAAAGCATCCATTGACATGCTGGAGAAGACTCTGGCAGACTGCAAGGAGTGGGTAACCAGTGGGAGGAGAAAGCAAATGATAATTGATAAGCAAAGAGCACACAGGACCCCAGCTGAGATTGTTGATCCTGAAACAGCGGAAGCGGAGAAAACCACACGCGAAAAGGAAGGAAGAGAAGCGAAGCTTCGTGACCAAGTCATGAAAAAGGTCATTGGAATTAAAATTAAACTAGCAGATCTATACTCGAGCAACTCTGTACAGGATATGGACAAAGCGGAGAACTCACTCATTGGAGCTGTTACCGAAAGTGCTAGCGAGGTTCGAAGGCGCAGAGAACTAAATTTGCCGGTGTCCCGCGACGGCGGAGACGATTATATTAATCTCACCGAGATTGCAGCGTCGTGCAATGACCTGGCCGATTTATATGTCAAAAAGGGAAAACACCACCTCGCAGCAACTTTATACATACAGAGCTTAGGCTTGATTAAGGAAGAGGAGGGTCAGTCGACAACGTGTGCGCAGGTTGTTCTCCTTAACAACATCTCTTCTCAGATGGCAGAGGAAGCTCAAAGGGTAACTGGAAAGCCAGGATCGATATCCAGAGCAGACGGTCCTCTGATATCTAAACCAGAGCTCCTCGATGCGGCAGCACTGTGGGCAAAAAAGGCCTTAGATGTTGCAGCACATATCAAACCGCCAGTCCGGGATGAGCAGTGCGATCAGTCGTGCCAAGCTGCGCTATATAATTTGGGTGAAATAGCGCACATGCAGAAGCAATTCGCAGAGGCACGGGATTACTATGAACAGGCCAGAGAATTGGCCACTCAATTACAATTTGAAGAAGGAATCAAGTTAGCAAATGACGCTATAAATAGGCTTAATAACAAAAAATAGGGCTGGCTATTCATATAGAAGATTGCTGACTTGGAAATGTGTACTATATATTTATACACCTGAATGAACCAGTATGATACCTTGCTAGTGCTAGAATTGACTTTTACAATGGAGAGAAAGATGCGAGGTCTTCACATTGAAATTGTAGAGTCATGCAGTTGAGCTAGATGGATGGACCTGAGGGATTGATTTCATCCAGTTTGTGAAAATGAATAACCCTCAACGCCCAAGAGGACCATTCCGCTAGCAATCATCAGAACTGACATATTTGGAAGGCAGAACATATAGACTGACGCACCTTTTATGAAGCAAAGCAATAAAGAAAAATACACTGAAAAGGGAAGTTCAAAATAAGTGATTCAAGAACATGCCATAGCCTAAAATTTCGTCTCCCGTTTTTATTCAGGGGAAGGTTCTCTCTGCCATTGAATGGTGTAGAATTGGATTTGCATTGTAGTGAGAGGAAACTAACATAGCCTCTGCTGGGCTTCCATGTCTGATGCTACAGCTCTCCTGAAAGAGTGAGAACTGCGTATCCTCGTCACAACAGAACCAACTAAATAAATATACATCGCTAAACAACATGGCCGCAAAAAGGATTTCCGTTTTCGATGCTCTTCCAAGCCCAGCGACTTCATGCGGGAATTGCGTTCCCCAATGCCGTTCCAACTGAGCCAGATATGTGTGAACAAGCAATCTATGTGCCAATGCACCTGCAACACTATGCAAAGCAGGAGGATATGTTCTAATTTGCGAACGTCGCTGAAAGCTCATAAGAATCACCCATTCCAGGATAGAGACTGCACAGCATGAGATATATGCATGACGCCTCTGCGATGGGACCTTTTCGTCGTGGGTTCAATGTGACTTTCAGTGGGATTCAACCGGGGTCAAAAGGCTGAACCAGGGGGAAGTGGCCGGAAAATATTGGGAACGGCTGTTTGTAGCCTTCTGTGTGAACATGGCAATAACTAACTGATTTGGCTTCGTTCGCTTATGTGCGATGACGGATGGATAGGCGAGGCAGGGTCGGGGGGGAAATATAGAAAGAAGCATATGTCAACCAAAATTTAGAATTAAGAGAGAAAAAATAATGGTTTCTTTTTTCCTTTTCCGATTTCCATTTTCGAGGCTCTGCCTTTCACATTTCCCTTCTCTTAGATTGGCAAGGGCATGGTATGAAATTAGTGGGTTGGATGAAAAATTTCTGCCTCTGTGCAGAAGGATTTGTTTTTTTGATAGATCTGAGCTTTCTCTCTTTCGTCCTCTTTCCTTCTAGCTCGATAAACGGGAAAAAGCAAGTCAACTCTATCAAAAAAAGGCAAAAACTCCCGTTCCAGTCCACCGAAGAGAGAAAGAAAAAGTAAAGAGAGAGGTAGTGGAAAAAGGGGTAGGTAGATTTTGTCATTTGCTCATTGCTCATCCATCGCAACCCAGCCAGCTAGCTGGTAACCTCCACAGCAGCTGCGTTTTCTATTTGCTTCCGGCCCAGAGACAAACATATTACACATAACGGATATACACACACATATGCATCCCTCCTACGTCCTCGACATAACGCCCCAGGCTCGGATCTTATTATCAGTGTATCCAGCAAACAGAGTCTGGCCATCAGCGCTCCACGCCAAGCTTATGCACTCAGGCTCACGGCTCTTCTTTCCCTTCTCTACGAATTCAGGCTTAAGCTCGTCAACCTTGCTCTTCTTCTCCAGATCGAAAATGGTAATGCTGCTAGAGGTGGCAGCGCAGAGCCAGTAGCGGTTAGGGGAGAAGACGAGGGCGTGAATCTCATCGCCGGCTTGGAGAGAGTAGAGGTGTTTGGACTCATTGAGATCCCAGAGCATGGTGGTGCCATCCTTACCACCAGAAGCGCAGAGGGATCCATCAGGGGAGATGGTGACGGTGTTGATGTAGCCAGTGTGGCCGATGTGGTCGGTTTGGATGCGGCAGGATGAAAGTTCCCAGACCTTTTACGTTTGGTGATATTAGTCAAAAAAGAAATACACTTGGAAAATGGTGATCTTGTGCGCCTTATTTTCAAAGTATAAAAATTATAAAAGGTTGTCCATCAGGGCATTTGGTGAAGATTGTCTCATGGCCTTGTTAAGGGCTCTGAAGTAGCAAATACGTAAAAGCAAAACATCATTGGACATATATAATAAATCATATATGCAATTGGGGACTGCAATGGAGCGATATATGATTTCGTACCTTGACGAGTTTATCCCAGCCAGCAGAGACGATGACGGGGTTCTGGGGGTTGGGGCTAAAGCGAACGCAGGAGACCCATTCGGTATGTCCCTTGTCGGTGATGGTGAACTTGCAGTCTCCCAAAGTGTTCCACAGTTTGATGGTTCGGTCGCGGGATCCGGATACGATCTGGCGGTTGTCGGCAGAGAAAGAGACGGACAAAACATCATTGGTGTGGCCAACAAAGGTTCTGGTGGTGTTGCCGGTGGCCAATTCCCAGAGGCGAAGGGTTTTATCCCAGGAGGAAGAAAGGGCATAGGCACCGTCGGACGAAATTACCTATTTTTCGAAGAGAGCGAAACAATGCACAAGAATTAGCCAACATTGTTCCTCAGGCAACTCTTCTTAACAACTCCTTTTGATTATTTCAGCTTCTGGAATGGTATTTTTATCATACACAGTCAGAGACAATGTGAGAATGACCGTGGAGGCTCCGCTTGGGGTATCCGTATGCGGTGTCATCACGGGTCAAGTTCCAGATGATCAGGGTCTTATCGCGACTGGCGGACAGGAGCATATCGGGGCTAATATAATGATTCGGCCAGTCAGAATTCCACTGTGTGTTCATTTTTCAAGCTTCATCGACATATAAACGAAAAACCAATTGGTTGTAGCTTACTTCTCAAGCGAAGTGGCCAGGGAGGTGACCCAGCCATTGTGGCCTTCGAGGGTCCCGCGGTGGACAAGCTGCTCAGCCATGGTGTGCAGGCTCTCGATGGAAGTGTGAGAAATCAGGGAATCCTCGTGGGGGGTTGGAAGGAGGAGGATGGATGGCGAGCAAAGCAATGTCGTTGAGCTGTTTGGTTCTTCTTCGTCTCGTCTCTTAGCGATGGAGCGAGGTTCCGCCGCCCAGGCGAGCCCTAAGCGCAATTTGGTTGCGGGCCTTTTGTGTGTGCGGCGGAACCCTAGCTGGCCTAAGCGAGTAAAAGTCACGTGGATTCTAAATAATGAGAGATTCAATAGATTCAATAGCATTCAACACTCTGTAAACATACAAGTTGAAATGAACGGGAGTTAGTAAATATTCACACATCTATTCTAAAACCAGAGCAAATGATAATGATTATGACTACAACACTCCAAATCTCATGGGCTGCTTTTATACAGGTCAGGCATCTGTCCTAAGCCTCCTCCGCTGTGGGTCTGTCCCTTCACTTCCTGTACCCCATGCGCACTCTTCTCGTACACATGCTGCCTCAACTGAGCCAGGATCTCAGAGTCTTTCCACCGCTGCGGGACAGGTCTATATGCAGGTTTGAAAGCACCGACAGTCTGCGCCCACTCCCCACTCTTTGCGGCCCCGCTCTTCCACGTTTCCGTCGGCGTATCCTTCACTGGCTTTTCGGATGACTTTGGTGCAGGAGACGGGTTAGCACTATCTGTCGTTGACGGATCTTTTGCCTCTTGAGTTGCCCAGTAGTAGATATCCCAGTCATTCTCGTCGAGAAACTTGTCATATTCCTGCAGTTGTCGTTCTGTCATGGTTGGGAGATGCCGGGATGCAAAGGTCGAGAGGAGAAGATCGGACTCTAGAATGCCTCGCTTGCGACTTTGATCTATTTGCCTGTTAACTTGATATTTTGTAAGATGATCAAGGCGCAATGTAGTAGACATACACAGCAACCTAGCTCTCATTGTCATGATATCCTCTCCATCTCTCTTCAGCGGCTCAACCTTAAACGTGATCCCATCCATCTCTCCAATGCCCAGCTCAGGTTTTCTCCCATCTCTAGTTTTCACAGTCCCGCCTGTCATATTCTCCATATTCCCCGGAATCGCATCGCGCCGTTGATATTCTTGATTCGCTGCTGTAACCAGCTCAGGGAACTCTACTTTCGCGGCGGCCTTGGGGAAATCATTGGTGCTGGTCGACGCGGTATTTGCCAGACGCGGGTTCAAAGGCTTGGATTTCTGAGCTTTGCCGTGTGAGGGAGCGGTCGAGTGGCTGCGTTCGTTCGGGTTGCTGGCTCGGAATTTTGTCGAGCTCAGTGATCGATTCGTTGCGGCTTTGGCTTGAACTTGGATGAATGAAAATACAGGCCTGACATTGTTGGAAGAATTAAGAGCGCGTATAAAGCATTGGGGAGTACCTAGACTTGGCATTATTTAGCAATTTAAGGGCGCTGTTAAGAATGAATAAATTGATTGATAATTCGAAGAATTTCTTTCGAGGCAGAACAAGCTTCCAAGATTGACATCATCCAGACGCCCCTGTTTGCCGTGTTTGCATCCGGAAACGGTGCTATCTACATTCGTACATGTATTTACTGTTGTAATAAACTAAGTGAATCAAGTTCCTGTTCATATGCTCTTTGCCGCTGGGCGTAATCTTCTCGAACTAGACAACTATCTATTACCATCATCCTCAGCACTGTCGGGCACCTGCCACTGATTCCCACTTCACTTCTAGATAGTAGATATCAACAATGCAAGTCCTTAACAAGGCATGGTATTTTGTACTAACACATACTAGTATAAATCCGGAAATCTCAACCCAAAATGGAACGGAAGGGAAGAAAGAAAGAAAGAAAGAAAAAATAATGTATAATGTTCTCCATCATCCTTCATTGCAATTATCGTTGAGAATCCCAGTGTAAGAAGTATTCGGAGAGGAATACCGTGTGCGAAGATAGAAAGAAATCGTCACGTATTTAGATAAGATGTTTCGACCTAGTAATTATTAAAACAAAACACGTTAACACACAAAGCTCCTAATATTAAGAGACAAGAAAATAGATTGCATTTTTTGCAAGGAGGTGAGCTAAGACAAAGGGCTCTCATGCCGTCCAAGAAGGTAAGGATTGGAAATCATAAAGTAAAAGTAACTCACCTGAAATAGGCTCTCAGATAAATAACCTGCCATACGCCTAACCCTATCAGCATCCCTATAGTCCCAAAGGCAAACCATTTAACCCGCTCATTCGTGCTCTCGTTCGTATCTCTCAATTTCTGCTCGCGAGTCCGCATGTATTCCATCTCCGTCACAATCTCACCGACCATCGCTTCGATACGGCGCAGATCAGCTTCGACCGGTCGCAGCTTCTCTTGTACCTGGATGGCAGACCAATCGCGTGCGTCGGCTCCAATGTCAATGTCAAGTTCGACGGAGCGGGAAAGGTGGCCAGAAGCTATAAGGTTTGAATATGCAACGTTAGGTTACCTAAATCGCGGAATATATACAGAGAATAAGTTGGGGAACCAGGAGGGCCCAAGTGATTTACTTACATCGGCCAACAGGAATGTTCTCAAAGCACACGTCAAATGCAGTATCCGCCCCGGAGGTAAAGGCTTGTCTTTTCTCGCCAACGACGTCCTTGGGTCTGCCGTAATCATTTCCCATCGAGTCTTTGATCTATATTTTCCCAATAAAAGCCAAATTGTTAGCAAAGCACCGAACCCACAATTGAATAGAAGCAATGCTCCTTTGCGAAATTATTCAGTCCCAAAGCACTAGAATAATAGAAAATTTCCAGGTCCGGCGAAATGAAGCTTCTCACTAGCGACATAAGGAAACATTGCAGACCAGTGATCAAAACCAGACAGGTGTAGCTTATATATACCACCCGCTTCAAAGAAAACAAAAACCCTGCACACAACACCAAGAAGACAAGGAAAGGCATGGGGAAAACATACATGCATATTTACAACCTGTCCATCACCCTTCTGTCCACCCACAATCGCTGTCACAACAACCAACTGATCCTTACTCACGAAGTTCCGTATACATCTCTCGTTATTCACATTCGCAGGGAGATCGAATTTCAGGGCTGTGGAGAGTTGCGCTATGCAGAGTAGAAGGACGAGTGCGAGAGGTCGCAGCAGCCCAGTTAAGGGTGATGGACATGAGCTGCCCATCCTGTTTTCCCCCCCGTCTCTTCTTCCTATTTTAAAGGAAGTGCGTGTGATCCTGTAGGAGGGGAGGCGTCCAATTGGGAAAGGGGGCGGCGATGGAACAGTGTTGTATAGTTATTCTGTTTACAGGGAAGGAAAGAAGTTCTTGCAGAATGCCACGATTGAGTTAGGAGTCGGCCTCGGATCAATGTTTCTGCGGGGGAATAATCCAAGGGGCCCAATCCAATAAACAAGAGAGCAAAATAGGAATTTAGCTTCATTGGATATATATATATATTCTAGTATAAATATTAGTATTATTGTGGGACAAAATGAGAAAAAGAGCACTAGCTATCTGGCACAGTTCACATATGAGAGCAGTTAATCATTATATATACTACTAGTAGTATTTTTCCATTTATACAATCAAGGAAAAATATGTTAGGTGAGGGAAATCAAAAATAAGGACAAACGGCTTGATAAATAATAAATAATAAGATTAATCTACATGAAATTAGGCAACTCATTAGCTAAGTATGTAGTCCACTTTGACCATGAAATGGAACACGGCCGTGGTTTTTCACAACGGACAAAAGAGAGAATGAAGGATACTATCAAGAAGTATAATGACTGTAATAAAGGATAATAAATTGGACGTGAATCGGATTTCCTCCCAAGGGAAAGGAAACCCTTTGAAGTACGAAGGCAGCATGAACGAGTAGAGGAGGAAGAGGGAGGCATCAGCATCACAAAGTGTAGATTATGGCAAAGTGACATAGAGATAAAAGTGGGGGAAACATCCAACGCACATGTAAACCGCCGGGGAAGTGAATTCCAAAGGGATAAATAAGATGAATAAGAGAGATGGCAAAAAATAAGATTTAATAGCGTACAAATGGGCAAGTTGAGAAGGTAGCTCCAAAAGAAAGGCTGGTAATAGGTAGTGTAAGTACAAATTTGCTGCTGGGCTGGTTGCAATGTAGAGAATGGGGGCGTTAGAATTGAAATACACCAAAATGTCCCGAGACGAAGGCAGGTAGCGAACAACGGAACAAATGATCAAGGCAAGTGACCAAATAAAAGTCGTAGAGTAGAAGAGCAACACAAGATAGGTACAGGGAGACATTATTCAGAATAGATCGTCCTCTTCGCCGAAAGGTAGGGCGTTTTGATGTGCTCAAAATCACGCTTTCGGAGAAAAAGACAAACGGTGTGAATATCCGAATTTACAAAAATAGGAGGAAACTGACCAACATAATAGCTATACATGAATGGCATTGAAATGGGTCCAATATCAACTCTTAAAATAAAGAAACAAGGAAAGATAGATCATAGAAGAGAAAGAAAGAGTTTACACCGTCTGTTTCTTCATCCGCGAAAACATCCTAGTAAAGGAGCCGCCGTTCCCCTTCTCCCTTTCCTCGCTGAATGATGACCGGGAACCCGGCCGAGCTACTGGCTCAGGCGGTCCGGTATTCTTTAAGAAGTCTGCCAACTCCGCTGTCGAAGTTTGATAGCCTCTGGGAGGACTTCTCTGCGAGCGTTGAACTCCATTCATTCCGCCGTTTGATTGAGTATTGGCACGAGCTCTATAAGACGACTGTGGCGAATAACTCCCTTTGATATGAGAATTCGAGCGAGAGACTTTGAGCCGAGTTGTCTCCGGAATCGAGACCGCAGGGCCTACTGGGGACGAGACGGTAGTGGCGTTTGATTTATAGGAACGGAGAGATGATCGCGATAGTTTAGTCGATGGGATTTTGTCCACAGACGTAGCGCGCATTAGCCGTGTTCTCATGGATGTCGAACTCTTCATTTTCGGCTTATTTGTCGCATTCATATTGACGGATAGAAGCTGGGGGGCTTGGTCAAGATCAGGGGGTGGAGGAGCGTTGCGTAGGAAGTCAGCTAAGCTCTCTTCCTCCTCTTTATGGGCTTTCAGGCCTCCAGACAGGAGTTCGGTTTCAAAATCATCATCGTCACTATCGAAATCGATGGCATAGGGATCTTTCACTCGTCGCTGCTTTCTGGGTGGCATAGCACGTTCTCCAGTATCCAGGGCGCCGCCTGGAGCTGGTGAGCTGGGCTGTGTTCGAATGTTGGCACGGTTTGTGGAATCGAGCAAGCCGGTGCGCGAGTTGAAGGAGGAAGGGCCGGATTTCGTCGTGGCTGAGTCTGTATGCGAGCTTGGAGCGTAGCTTTGTTTTCCGGGATCACGATGAGCACGGCCAGGGTTCAGCAGGAATTCATCCGAATCCATTGTTGTACGAAAAGGAGCGACCGTCCTGGGAATTCGATGCAAGCCGTCTTGTGGCCCTTCTCTTATAAAATCGATCAGATCTGACGTGCCATTGTCCTTTGGCGTTACCGCTGGCCTAGCTTCTAAGCGCGGAGCTGTCCTTTTTGGCATTTCTTTGGTAAGAGTGTGTGAGGCGCGAGACGATGTCATTGATGAAGTCCCGCTGCCACTCAAACTCAACTTCCGGGTAGTCTGTCCACTGTTGCTGTTAATTAAACTGGTAGTACGCTTTGAATGATTTATTGGAGCTGCTGGGGTTTGATCAGGCCCAGTTGATCTAATAAATTCCGAAAGGTCCCTCAGGGATTCTCTTTCTACTCTAGGATCCCGTGCTTGCGGTGTAGCGGATTTGTGAATAGATGACTGGGGCCGGTTCGATTTTACAACAGAAGACTCTACAAACGTGGACTTGTTAGGTGAAGCAGTAGACGGAGAGTGTATGCGCAGCCCATTCAATTTGGAGGAAGAAACGCTTGGTCTTCTACCGTCCGATTGTGCCTCACCAGTGGCACTAGTCTTTTTCACAAATTCGTCCGTGTCGGTTGCATCACTTCGCATGGTTTCCCATCTCGGAGAATTTGAATCCTATTAAATACGTCAATATTCAGAGTCGGGATACAGGCGGTAGTTGAAACTTACCTCCATCTCTCTCATGTTTCGCGGGGTAAGAGTGAAATGTATAGTTTCGTCACTTTGAATCAGTTGGTCCAAGTTAGAAGGGTCCGCAACAGTTTCTGCAAATTTAGACAGAGTTGAGTTTGTGTCTGTAGAAGTGCGTATTGGAAAAGGAATCCTTGAATCGTGGTCATTGGGCTGCCGTCCTACCAGGCCCTTTAACAGTTTACTGGAAACCTGTGAGGTAGCGGATCCTGAAGTTATCGGCCGCTTATCCCGATGGCTGCCGATGCTCAGAGAGCGGCGAGGTTTGGAACTTGAATCACGAGGAGTTGCAGGGGGAGGAGGAGAAACACGCTGGACTGCGGCCCGCTCAGACCCCACCGAAACAGCGGAATTCGGTGTGTAGCGAGGGGTTATATTCCCGCCGTTAGAAGTTTTGGTATGTCTCCGCGAATTACTTCGGGAAAGAGTTTGTCCGTTTTGGCTTGTGTTAATCGACCGGTGGCCCGAAAACGAATGTGGAGAATCTTGATTAGGGCTGCTGCTTGAGCTGTCGACAACCTCCTGATGTGGACTGAGTCGAGAGGGCAGGAATGAAGCTCTGTTTGTTTCGGCAACAAAGGATGTTTCCACGATTGAATCTTGAGAAGAAACGTAGTGCGCATGACCTTGTCCGATATTGGATTGGTCCGAAGGACTGGAGTCATCATCCTCGGAAACTATGGGTACCGGGGCGTGGTGTTTCCGACCGATTTTGACGATATGGTCTCTATTTTGATATTGAAGCCCTTGTTTGGTGTGAAGATTTTCACTATTCGTATCATCATGTGCGTGTTTGGAAAATCCAGGAGGATGGTTATTTTCACTTTCGAGACCTTGGCGAGCAGGCTGTTCTTGGCCCCTTTGCGATTGAAGCTTCGCATTGAGTATTCCATTTGGTGATTTTGGACGATGCAGCTGATCAGTGGATGCAGAGGTCAAGATTTCAGAATGGCCACTGCTTTCAGCATCGCATTCAATATCTGCGGCGTCTTGGCGCTGTTTACTACGAGGAGGGATTTCAGGTGGACTAGATTTTGTTCCCGAAGGTTTGTCGGTGAGCTCGTCATCTTCAATCATCGTCTCCAGATGATTCTGTTCATCTTTAACAGAACCGACGCCCGAGTTGAGGCCAAAGTGAAAATACCCATCTGACTGCAGCCGTTGGGATGGCGAGGATGGCAATGACTTGGAGCGAGAATGACTTATATTGCCTCGCAGCCCCGTTGAGTTTGAGGTTGATCGGCACGATGTGGAGGCGTAATCAGATCCGGAAATAAGGAGGCTTCGAGGGCGTAATGACCGTGCTTGAATGGCTATTGAGAGTTCGGTAGTAAATCCAGGGACTTCAATTTCATCCACGTCATTTTCGGAGACCGGGATGGGTATATCTGCCGGATTTAAATCTTCCCCCAGTGCAGTCGCGCCCGTCTTCTGGAGTGCTTGGATGGCGGGTGGCTCTTCTATTGTTGCGATACTGCTTGCTCTACTGGTGCCTCTCAGAGGAAGAAGACCCCGCCGCGACATAGATTCTCTCGAAAGCGTTCTGGAGAGCATGGGAGTCCTTACATTTTTCCTCCACATACGCCACAGCCGGCCAAGTGTAGGGTTAAGTGCTAGCTTCTCCATGTCCATATCCTCGACTACTAATATCTCGACATCTGGCGCATCGGAATTTTCGTCCCGGGATCTGCTGGACCTTCCTGATCTCATTCGAGCAGACGCCGCGTCGCCAGCAATTATTAACGAGTGTTCACCGATATACTCCAGAATTGAGGTAAGAAATATGGCAGCGGCGGGTGTTATGTGGCCAATATAATTGGAAAAGCGTGCCGGACCAACATTCGTCTCACTTAGCCCCTCTCGACGTAGATGTTCTTCCTCATCTTCCTCTTCCATGTCGCCCAATCGGGTGTATACCATGCATCGCAAGCGAGTAAGCTTCCATGACCTCTCGAGCTCAAATTGTCCAGCTGGCTCGCGGCCTCCACGAAAGTCAGATAGCTCCTCATCTTCTCCACCACCCATGTATTCACTTAGTTCCTCATCCGCTGCAGAAACAACCTCCTTTGCAAGTCTTGGTTTCAGTACTTCAGCCAATGCTGGTCTGATGGCATTCAATTTCGTAGATTTGGCGGCCACAAGGATGTTGAAAAGTAGGTTGTCTAGGAAACGGTTAAGGAGAGTAAGGGACGATCGGGTGACGGAAGCACCAATGGTGCCAGCCGATGGGTTTACACCATTGAGGTTTTGGTCTGTGGATACAATCTGGGCTGCAGCGGTTGCAGCAATAAATTGGGGCTCTGGGTTAACTGGAGGTGGTGACAGCATGCTTTGCGTCTGCAAGGGAGTATCGCCAGTCAAGCTCACGCTGCGGCCGTGACGGCCGGATATTGAACCGAACGAATTGGTAAAATGTTCGCACTGCATTGTGCCAGGAATTTTCACATCAACTTTACATGAACATTCGGGTGGGGGAATAGATGGAGAGATAAGGAGGGTCGAGAAGCCGAAGGGGTTTTGTTACGCAAGCGAACCTGTACAAGACCTATTGCAAAGCAACAAACAGGAAAAGCTTCAACAATATCAAATCACAAAACAATGAGAATCTGCACAAGAGACAAAGAGAGGTCAGCATGCAGAACTGCAACGATTTTTCATGTGAGGCTTATTTTTTCTCGGGTTTTCTTTCCCTGCAGGTCTTGACGGCACCAACTCCCAGTGATAGATTTGGCCAGGCAGCTTGAATTTGCCAAAAAGGTAACATGTGCGCTAGGGAAGGGGCCAGAAGAAAGGAGAGGATGAGGAGCGGAGCAGCAGCACTACACCAGTACCACCCCAGTGAGACTGGAGCAGTGGGAGAAATGGAGGAGCTGGCTGTCAAAGCCGAGAAAGCGAAATGATGACAAGTGGGTTTGACAGGACACAATCCAGCCCGCGAGACGGACACAAGCACGAGCTGGACTAATGAGAGGATTAAAATTGATTGGAGGGAGAACCTACTCATGAACGAGACAAGCACATGTCTGAGTCGTAAAATCTTGGACAGGCGAGGTCCGTCGGCTTGTGGGAGATGGATGGATATGTCGAATGACAGCCCAATGGACTTGGATGATGGATTGGCACCAAAATGGGCAGAGGGGAGAAGTGGAGATAGCAAGCCTCGTCGCACTGGAACTGGGGAAGTCGGTCTCCTAGCGCTCTTAGCTCTGAGGAGGTTGGACTAGCGAAGTTGAAAGAAGAGGTCAAGAGGCGAAGAGTTTGGGGCTAAATTAGTCGACGAGAGTACGAACGGCCATGGGGGTACAAACGATGGACAGCAGCCCAGGAACAGAGCAGAAACAAAAAAAAAAAAAAAATCAGTTGCGGGCTTGAGACTCCAGAATTCAGGAGAAGTGGAGAGCACTAGAATAGTCTAGCAACAATGACTAGCAGACTAGTGGCAATTGGAGCGACAAGGATGAAAGAGACAGCAGGATTGCAGCCGACTATTGAGGCCCGGACAGGGAGAAGAAACAGCTTCATGTCAGAGGAATATCACCTGCATATGACCCACGCCCCAGGCATTTGGGAAGACTCATATCAGGCAATCCGAACCGCCGTTTCCAATTCCATATCCCAGTCATTATCACCGCTACTACGATTATGAATTCTTATCCAGACATATTTCTCCTCACAGTCCGGCAGCGGCATTGCCCGGAATTGATGGCTGGGCATTGTTCTCCGCAAGAAAAGCCAGATTTACGTAGTACTTGCGGCTTATTTTCTCCGCGTGCCATGGCAAAATGGCATGGCTTTTTCGCTTCAGGGCGTGGACGCCATCTGTTGCGCCAGACCTATTAGCGCCTGGGTTTCTGCGATGAGAGGCCAAAAAGAAGGGGGAGAAAAAAGGAATTCAAACGATGAGCACGAAATCACCACAAAATGCCTCTGATCAGTGATCAGTGATCACCCCCGCAATATGATAATCGCCATCCACATTAAGTTTATTTACTGCATATTCTCTTGGTTCTAAGACTGAACCAGTGCCAACCACCGGCGAGCAGAGCCAACCAGAGGCATCACGACCATGGATGGCAAAGAAAGATGGAAAAAACAAATACGCCCAGGTGAGAAGCAAATAAAAAAGCAAATAATGAAAAGAAACATGGAGGGCTGGCTCACTAGAATGTCCATCGAATGGCGATGGAAGGGCCATGGCCCATGGTCCATAAATGGATGGTTCTCGCATGCGCTGGCGGATTTCAAACTCTCAAAGCGTTTGATCGCCCCAAAATGCCTCAGAATCCAGACCGCTGAGTCCTTTTCGGTGCGGTTTTCCTTTGTTGTTCTGTTTATTTTCAACGACTTCTCCTTTGATTTATTTTATTTTATTTATCTATCTATCCAATTTTTGGTTAAGTGGGATGGCTGCTCATAAAAAATTTAAACCGTACAGGTTCAATTCCCGACAAATATGATACTACAGGGATTGATGATTACACCCCTTAACTGGCTAATTACAGAGTACACGTCCTCAAAAGATGAAACCTTTTTTTTTTGGGGAGGGGGGGGGGGGGAATCTCCTCTCTCTTCTCTTTTTTCACACTCTAGAAAATTGAAAGAACTGGTTTTTGCGATATTTTTTGGGCGGTTGACTGACCCGCTAGCTTCTTCAATTAGCTTTGCAGCCCCTAGCTGCGTATTCAAACCTTCTCTCCTTTCAATGAATATATATATGTTAGGAATCTCTGCTGTCTTCCCCTCCCCCCACAATCACCTCTCCTATACTAATTGAAAAATGATTTTGTCATTACAAATCTCTTACTTTTGAATTCATTATTTCTCTATCTTTATTTTGTGCAATCACAAAGACTGGTGATGTATAGTATTTATAGATATCTTCTATTATGACGATGAATGATGTTGAGAGCTCTTATGTGTGCTAATGTTGGTGAGTATGTACAGTACATGTACATTACTCCTCCCCACCTGCCTGGCTACATATCATATCAATCTCTAGCGATGACAGGGATATCTAGCGATATCTATCGATGATACGAGGATCTAGACATATCAATGATTCAGAGGTTAGAAGCCAAAATATTATAGAGATGAGTTGAGAGCTCTATATATCGCAATCTCTCTCTTCTACCCTCAAATCATCTTTCACTATAGTTAACTATAGTTAATTATTACTATCATTAACAGTTGATTGATATTCTTCAACGATATTGTATCTAGTCCCCTGGATAATATATGCACTATATATATGCTAATACGACGGATTATAGCGAGCTTGATGAGTGCCCTCAAAGAATGAGAAGTGAACACAGCAAGCAAAGCATACTTGTGGATTTAATGCAAATTGAAACGATTTTATTGTACACAGGAATTGGATGTTGGATGGTGAGTCGTCTTACGAGTCTAGTTGTGGTAAAAGGTCATTACACCAGCATTTCAGACAAAGTCGTTAAGCTCGAATTCAGTCCTTCGTACTGTCGTCATTCATAGATTGTTGTGGGCGTGAACCTGTTGGTGCAGGGGATGGAGTTGGTGGATATCGTTGACAATCCAACAAGTCTGAGGCAACACGTCAGTGCTTGTAGTTCAATTTCAGCATTTCAAAATTTGGATTGTTAGCACGAAGAGAACCAGTTGCCCATTCTATTTCCTCCCTTGTTTCCCACGGAAGTCTCTCTGTTGTTCTAATCATTCTAGAGTATCGATTTTCTAAAGACTTATAGTCATCATGTTCTGGTAATATGGATTCCATAACCCAGACTGGATACCTTTGCAAGGCTAACAATCCAAGTGAAAATGACTCCCCCGATTAAGACTTCGATCCGAAAACTAAACCAAGATTGTTGGATCATAGGTTCTCGGATGGTCTGCGAAAAAAGCAGCACTGCAACGACCAGTTCCATTGTCTCCTGGGCGGATGCCCCTCAGTCACGTTCTGTCTACGTGCGATAACTGAGGGAGAAGAACACCTGTCACTTGGCTCAGCCGATGCAAAGTTCTCCGAGAAAGACCGCATCCACGCCGCGGAACATCATCTGCCGTCTGAAGATAGGCGACGTGTAATTGCAAAGTGACGAGCTACGCCCCAGGCATACCGCTTGAAGCTGACCCCATCAATTTTGTCAAGTCGAAAGATTCTACGGTCACATTCCCAGAAGTCATCCATACCTGGGCTGTGTGTCGAACCTACCTGCTTCTAAAACAGATCGAGGGGAGAACGCTTGAACGGTACTGGCCTTCGCTATTCTCTGGTCAACGTTCGAGTATTGATATCACCATCACTAAGCTATGCAAAAGCCTCGCCAAGAATAAATACATCCTGCTGTCTTTAGTCCGCGTCTAGCTATGGAGTTGTTGAGCTGTTTTTCAGCGCGACACGACCTGATTCGCGTCCATCATGGATGCCGTATCATCTCGGACTTCGCTCCAAGCGGATCTCATTGCTGATCTCTTCAATTCCCATCCTGCTAGTCAGAATTTTCCAGTTGTCCCTGCGACATGTTATTTCTATCATGCTGACCTCGGACCCACGAACATCATTACAGTTGGAGATGGTTCTGTAATTGGTGTTTTGGACTGGGAATCTGCCGGATACTCCCCAAAATTCTGGATTGCTACCAACCGCTTGTTTCTGCTGGACTCTTCTCGCCTCCGGGTTCCGAGAGTAGATTGGCTTGGATCGAGCTTCTTGCAAGCGCGCTGGAGGAAGAGGGGTTTCTGCGGAGAATTGACCGATATGAGACTTCGAGGAACGTTGTGCTGTCTCCAAATCTAACCACAGGCAATATGGCTGCTTCGTTGGCTGCGCGCACATATGACCCTGATTTCCATGGTGCCCCTTGACTTTGTGCTCGGGAATGGGAGTACGCAGAAGACATCTACTCGTAATACGTATATTTCTAAACAATGTCTATTCTTCACATACTTCGAGAGCTTGGTGGTAACCACGTTAAGTATTCTATGAGCTTGAATACCGAAAGATTATGATCCCTTTCATGATTCTAAGATCATTGATTGCTCTGCAAATCCACACAGAGATTCGGGGACGGTGCCAAGTTTATGGTCAATAACCACTGCGCTTGAAACTTCAAGGATGTGTGGTTTTGCAAATACCTTACACAGAGGCACGTCAGCTTCCATGCCCCAGGCGCTGACCTACCACAATGAATGATGTCTAGCCTATGAAGGAAGTCGAGGGCCAACAAGAGTTGTTTGGAAATAGCTCGTGCGGGGGCTGCCTGATGCGGCCTTCCGCTGACACTCATTACTTCACCATCAGATATCATTGCAGGGAGCACCAGACATAAGCGTTCCCATTTGAGCCATCATGGTCAAAATAGCCCACCAGTTCGATGACATGCCCTTTGCCAGGATGATCGAGGCCCGGAACAGACAAATTTAAAAGGTATTGCAAGTTCTTTATTGTTTCTGGAAGCGTCTGCTTTCAGTACCTTCAATGCAACATGTCGCTGGGGCCTTACCTACGTCGAGAGGAATTGCTGAAAGCATAGTATCCTATCTGTTGGCAGATGACCCCTTCATATCTCCAAACAGGAGAGTTCAAATTAAAGGGTACCCAACCAAGAAATGCAGGCTCGAAGATTCATAACCCTAGGGCAGGGGTGAGGGAAAGACAAACGAAATACGTGAAAGTGCGAAGGGAAATATAGCCAAGACCCTGGAGGAGCCTTAGTTTGCAATGCGGAGTGTGAACCGGGCTGATTTCACACTCAAAGAGGGGTCAAGTCCTGCTGCAGATAGATCCAATGTGATCGTAAAGAGCAGTATGGAGAGAGATCTCCTCTGGCAACCTGGATCTCGACTCTACTGTCGCATCGCACATAGCTGGTCTCGTCCAGGAACACCAAATTGACCCAGTTAGCTGAGAGGATGAGAAACAAAACTGCCCAGGATTTGGGGGCAATTCGACATTGTCAGGCTGACCCCTCAATGAGAGATCAACATAGTCGCATGAGTGAAAAGAGCAAAGAAAAAGAGCTATCCTGGCAAAGACAGCAATCGAGATCGAATACGCTGAAAGGACGATATGCTCTGGACGAACGGATTAGGGTAAATTCTGCTAATCACTGTCATCACCCACGGCCAGCTTGGAATTTGCGGGCCCCGCGAGGTATTTCTTTCAAATTACGCCATTTATTCCAGAAACCCTGAGCGGCATCACCTTGACATGGTGGGGTAAATGTCCGATTTTGTCAGGTATTGGCACCTAGCCTTTGAGCAAAGCTCAGCTCCGATAGATATGAGCGCGTGAAAAAGTGAATGGCTCAATCAATCGCCGTTCGTCTGTCAATGGGAGACGAACCGCACATTCTTTTTCTAGAATTGGTGACTTGGGGGCCAAAATCCATAGGATATAATCATCCCCACTGAAGAAGCCGTGTCCCGCATGACTTGAGCCAAAGCAAGTCCACGAAATTTTAAAGGGACGAAGACGAACCTGGCTGAAACATGTCTTTATGTATCATTTCCCTGCTTTTCATTTCTTCCAGACTGGCCTCCAGCCTCCCAGCCCCGGCCTTCCCCCTGGTGTTTTGATTATTACATATATCCTCCTTTCAACAGATAGATCTGCATGAGGAGAAAGTGAAAAGTCAGGGATTTCCTTCTTGAATACAAGTATTGGAGCAAGTGCATGCTGTATTCTTTGCAACTCCCTTCATTTCCCCACGTGGATGAAGGGGTATACATGGATGCATTTTCCGCGACGAGATTGGTTTCCTTTGTTGTCCGTTGTTTGGTAATTTCCAGCCACATGGGGTAGGTCGAACTGCTGGCCTGTAATCCTCCTACCATCTGCTCAAGTCAATTCTCCAAGATAAATTGGACAGACAAGGGCTGTACGTTGCGGTATGCTGGATTGGCGGTCGGTTAAGTAATTGCTATTTAATTAGGCTTATTCGAGCCAGGCCTCCTGCAGCTCATGATCATTTCAATGTACTGCAGAGTACATTCCGCCACATACAAGTGCTCAGAGAGCGTCAGCGGACTTAGTTGGGGACTTTAGCTTCTAATAAAAACCACTGATTTGATTGTTGAAAACTTGTTTTTTTTTTTTGAAAAAAAAAAAAAAATCCCATATAAACAGAGAACGAAAGGACAAACTCGTAGGGAAATGCCGAAAAAATGACTGATGGCTGGAAGTTGGAGGCTCTCTATCTAGCCTGAAGAAGAGCAGTTTTCTAATGCGTAACATGACTTTGAATCGTCAGGTCCCGAAAACCCTTTTGAAATTTTGTCTACCCTCTAAACTTTGTGTCCGTCCCTTTTTGTGTAGTCCCCCCATTGAAACACCCTAACAAGCAACAATTACGCGGTAGAGAAGAAGGGAACAGAACCAAGCAAGGACAGAGTAGAAAGATCATAAAAAAAAGTGCAGAAAACGACGGAAAGGGAATAGCAAACAAAATTAGCTCAATATCCACCAGAATCCACGCCACTATCCCCAACGGAACGACGCGTGGCGTCCCAGCGGCTCGATGAGCTCTCCAGCAACCCAGTCGAGGATATCGTTTTCGATTATTGCGGCGGTGTCTGCTAGCTTGCTCTCTAACTGGCGTGTGATTGCTTGCTGGAATAGTCCCGAGTCTGGTTTATAGAGGACATTGTTGTAATCGTCGAACGAAGTAACGACTTCGGCATCATCCAAGATGCGGTCATATTCATCTTTCCCAAACAGATATGGGAAAAACCCGAGAGCTGAGTCCACGACGCGGTCAAGGTATGCATTCACTTGGTGTTCTGTGAGTGGAAGAAAATCGATATCGCATGAAGTAGCGTTCAGGGTGCGAGTTAAGACAACCGGCCGATAGTCTTCAACATTCATGTTACGAATACCGTTAACATATGCTATGAAAAGCTGTTTATCAAGTTCGATAACATCACGGCTATGTTCATTGGGATCATAGTCTTTTCCGTTGACCGTGTATGGCTGGAAGGGTACGCGTTTCGAGCCTCTCATACGAAGGGCTTGTTCGTGAAACGTCATCTCAGGTTCTGCACGACCGTCCACAATCTCATCCCTGCAGGGAATGATGCGGATGTCATCCTTAGCGCTGAAGTGCACGGAATTGGCGAAGCAAATGAAGGAACCTTCATCGTCCGAATCTGCATTCATATACACCAGGTCAGTAGCTTTCCGAAACTTGCCCTAGTCTATTTTAGTAATCAGGCCTTACATTCATTCTCATCACCTTCATCAGAACAGTTCGAGTCACTGGTTCCAGTTTTATAACCTCCACTAACCTCCACCTCCTCCTCTTCTTCTTCCTCCTCCTCTTCCTCCTCGTCATCGTCATCGTCATCGTCCATGTCTGAATCTGAATCATATTCAACGTTATCTTCCAGGTCAAATTCTGTGGGTTTAGAGGTCTGTGGAGTTCGTGGTCCTATTGGATTTTTCAGAATCGATTTCAGGTTGGCGACTGGAGTTTGAGAGGCGTAAGATGATGACAATGAAGTATCACCATCGAGAACTTCGGACGTGGGAGAGGATGCCGGGCTTCCAGAACTTGAAGAGGCCTCACAGTTCGATGGTTCGGTGTGAACGAGAACTCTACGCGCGAGATTAATGGGAAGCATCGCCTTGACATCAACGGTATCGATTAAATGTGGGTCTCCACAGACATTATGGTTCATTTCGCTGTTTGCGCAAGAGCGTATCCTATGTGTGGATTGGAACCTGATTTCGGAAATGCCTTGAATGACACCTGCAGGAGAGATAGGTGCAGTCGCAGTTTCAGTGGAGGTCTGTTTGACCCGAAGAGTGGCCATATTCGATAGCGCGAATCAACAGCAGGGATTGTTATATGTTGTTTTGGTATCGTTTGTGTTGAATAAGGGATATCTAGCTAAAATTCCGCGTCTTGCTTTTTCCCTATAAAAAGGAGCGCGTGAATCGCGACATGCGAACGTAATGAGGAAGAGCAGATGAAACGAAGGGACAAATGGCACAGCAGGTATATAGAATGCTAAACAGCTATACCGACATACGGCTGATTCTGTAAAGGAACACTGAGATAACAAAGAGGAGAGGGACACTTTGCAAAACTGTGCGGCTGGGAGGTTGTGAAGGATATCAGAAGTTGCAGAAGGTGAATGATGCTGGTCGGGACTTCCCCCAACCTGATGAGTTGAGAAGACATCTTTTTTTGCACTGGGAGAACATCAAGATTCACAGCAGCACAACTAGACCATGAAGGGCCAAGTTGCAGTACATATTCATTTGCATCATTTGAAGGGGTATCTCTTCTCCTGTTCAAGATCTGGAATGTTGCTGAGCTTGCAAGATCAATCTTGGATTGTGAATATCTCCAGAAGCTGCCAACCCGATAAGGGCAAACTAAACTGCCTTTGACTTCTGACCCCTGAAAGAAATGTATTTATATTTTCCTTTCCTTTCATCCAGCTGCAAATTATTTCCAGTCTGGTGTCACAATATCAACTCTAGGTCTCTCCTTGGAATGGGAATGCGAATGGTAGCGTTGTCCGGGTTTATCTCTTTTTGCGAGGATATTCGGGATCACCATCCACCTTATGCTTTTTAAATGGCAGTGGTGCACGGAGATATGCTTCCAGAAAAACTAATAGTTCGGGCACCTAGGCATGCGGGTTCTTCCGATAGCTGGGTGACGTTTCCGAGGTGCAACGACGAGACAAGATTGATGCTCGGGAAGACTCGGCGCACGAGGCGGTTGCAGGTTGAGATAGACAGATGAGCTTTATGGCGGGGTCGACGGCGTAACTGCCCATTATTGTTTTGGGGAGGAGCGGGGTTTTACTTGGGCATGATTTTCTGCCTTTGATGACTTCCAAGGTTCAAGTTTTGAGCGGATGTGACGTTTTTTGTCGAGGCTGGACTTTAGCCGCCAAATGACAAATAACAATACAAGGCCCTTTCCGTTGTCAAATACACGTATCGAAATTCTTCGGCGGATTTGCTAGGTTTGAGGCCTTGGCACGAAATTTTGTGCGTAACTTACGGGTATTTAGCTAAGCTGTTGTGCTGCGTCATCGACTCATCACTCGTTACTTTGTCTTACTAGATTTTTGTAAAGGAATATATGGCGGTGGTCTCTTTTTCTCTTCTCTTTGCTTTTCTTTTCTTTTCTTTCTTTCTTTCTTTTTCTTTTTTTTTTTTTTTTTTTTTTTCATCTTCTTGGAAGCTGATCTAGAGCTAGTTGCAGATTAGGCGCATGTTATACCAAAGACCAAACCTCTGGAGAGTGGTGTGAACAGGCTTTTAAATTTTGTTTGCGCTGGTGTTTCATCAGGAGCAAAGAACACATTGAGATTCTTTGATTTCCACGAGAACCTGGCCAAACTTCCAAGTTGGCTGGTTATGTCTCTGAAATATGTTCCACAGAACGCCGCTTGACATGAAAACTTTATGTGCAGGGAGTAATATTTTTCGGCTGGAAATATTATCAGCTCCCTCAGCATTTTACCGTGTTCTTGGACCAAATCTGCCAATCCTCACCAGCTGCTAATGCCTGCGATGCTTTACATATATATATATTGAAGTGTTTTGGATTTTGTAAATGAATGCGAGGAGGCTCTGTGCACAGCAAATGTATGTACTGTACTTACATGTATATACATAAAGCTCCCGAGCTCTCTCTATAGTAATCTACAAGCATTTAATATTAGCTATTTTGTAAGGCGTACAGAGAAAAATGCAGGGAATAAAATTTTTTATTTTAATGCACCTAATGTTGGATCTGACTGGTTGGCTCTACCACAATGCAATAAAGTCCACACAGCCTTACGCACAGCGGGGCATGCGGTTTTGCAGCACGTCCATTTATGGCGCCCGAACGAAAAGCGCACGCACAATGTACATGTGCCCATAGAGGTACTGAGACGGGACAGGGAGACAATATAGTTCAGCCGGAATAGGATGTTTCGCGGATATCAGGCATGGCTGGATTCTGTATGTCTGAAAATAGCGGGGGACGGGGGACATAGCGACTAACTTACATAAGCATCAAGAACAAAGACAAAGCCCCGTCCCTCAACCTCAAAGTTTTCATCTTTCACACAAAGACCACGACAAAAACGCTATTGCTATAATTTCTATTCTTACCGCCTATCTTCGAGCCCGCACTATTATCGCCAGATTGCAGCTGACATCATAATCAGGTTTTTCCTTACCGGCTAGGTGGTACCATTGTTGGTCGAATCCTCGCCATGGTTCGCTCGCCATCAGGGATATGTCCCCTCTTGCCCGTATCAAGCCCGACGAACGTCCCTGCATGTTCTTTTTTAAGGCCTGATCAGGATGGCTTGTGCGTTTGACCTTGGCCGGTCTATTCACGGACATTTCCAAATACATACAAGTACATAAGTACTATGTACTCTAAATTTTATTTTCCGCCCTGGAACGGATCGTCTACGCCTCGCTTGTGCCCTAGTCATTGAGACAAAGGATCTACATAGCGGCGAATCTTGACAGTCTTTGTTAATAATTGTTGTCGAACTGGATAGCACCTCATTGCCCTTTACATGAATGGCGCTTGTGCCAAAAAACGTGGATTGTTCCAAATCATGAGTATGAAGTGCGTCCTTCAACCATGATACTGCAGCATGGACTCCACAAAACGTGCTCTTATCCTACTTGCAGCGCTTTAGCCGCGTGAACGTGGATGGCGTGTACGTCGTGAATGCTTAAGTCATTTTATACTTCTATCCGTCGTCTACGGACAAGGTTCCTATGCAGGAGCCATTTGGGCCGCAAGATCCTAAGTGAGAAATCACTCCAGAGTTAACTCCTGCATTGGCACGATTGATCAGGCACAATTAGCCTCGAATTGATCCATATTCGTGCCTTCCGTGTGGAGAGGGAGGTGGGCACTTGGGCGTTTCATTATGCATCATAATAATTCCCTCCGCAAATCATATCTATGACCAGACGAGTCTACCGGAAGTTTATCTCGACCCCCGTCGTCGTAACCAGACATTAGTTCCTATCAACAATTACCTCATATTGGTTCAATTGCCTTTGCATTACAGGCACCAATTTGCCCACCTGCGGTGTATAAGCCTGTGGCCGTTGGACATATCTCAGTTTCAACCAAGACAAACTAATTCTGGATCACGTTCGGGAATTTTGAGTTTGCATAAGGATTCTATTATTTTTACTTGGACCCCATCCTGTGCGACTGTGGTGGTTCCCTTTCCATGACAAGTATGTACTTTTTTCCTTTCGTTCGATGGGCATTATTACTTACCCATGAGATCAGGAGATCTTGGTTAAGGTTTCTTAGGGGGCTTTGTTTTTTTTTCTTCTTAATTTTAATTTATTTGTTATTTTATTTTAGTCCTACTGGACACCATTTCCTTTGTCTTCAATGCTTCAAACCCTAACGGCTTTTTGCAATCCACGGTAATGGCCTCGCCTTGGGGTCTCGATTCTCCTGCGAGTGTTTTTAGCATGCTCAAAAATATTTCTCTCACGGCCTGAGCAGGATGCCGGGTCCACAGTGCCACCGCGACGGTGGATGACCATCAAGTATTGAGATGGTAAATCATTTCTGTCGGTTGTTAACTTGTTAATTAGACTTGATCATAAAAACCGCACCCCCCTTTCCTCCGTGCTGTTTTCTTTCAATTTTTTGAATAACGGAATTCCATCTACGTCCTCTGAACGAAGAACTGCGATTATATTTAAAGTGAGGGGACCCTTGAATTTTTATCTAGAGCCTGATTTGACTTTGCAAACATCCTTTCTCTGCTTTGTTCGCTTTAACCAGTTGCTCTATGGGAGTTATTCCCAGAGTTAATAACCATCTGGGGATCCTTTGTCATTGCCTGTAGGTGCCATTTGCGGGGGAAAAACCCTGTGTCCTTACTTGTTGGGCGTATAATTTCCTCACATCTCCTTTATATTATAAGGTGCCTCTTCTGCCCCGCCCTCATAGCTAATTATCACCTCAAGCAGGCAGAAATCTGATGAAAACGGTCGACAAAGCCCCGCCAATTATTTTTGAGCCAGAGATCGTTCTCACCGTGCTATGTTCAACCAGCACATTAATATGCAGCCTCTGCATGATGTTACCGACAAAGAGGGACAAGAAGCAGCATTTGCCAGTGGTGTCAACACCCTCTTTGATGCAGGAACACCCTGCAAAGCGTTGCAGACTCGTAATCTGCGCAATGGAATGTTATCCTTTCATCCAGGCCAAGCGTTGGAACTGGGTGATAAGCAAAATTTTGGCCCCAGTCATAGCTATTCAGAATTCGGAGACCCGGGCCCTGATTTGGAAGTTATGTTTCATGGCAACAAGGATGCTAGTCTATTCACATCTTCATCATCTTCACCTCTCCACCATATATACAACAAGAACAGCCCCTCGTCTTCAAGTGAACCTCGCCATCACGAATTAAATAACCCTAGAGCATCGATTCGCAAACATCGCGCACACTTGGACTTGATGCACTCCCCAGGGAACGCAAGCCTTGACATGGCCTACCAGAGCTCGTGGGCGAACCGCTTTCAGGCCTTCAACATCCAAGCTCACGATTACCAAATCGCTCTCCCTCCAACATCACCGCTGAAGCCAGAGCCATCTGAAAACATAGCACGTTTAACTGAGGGAGAGAGCAGCTTGCAAAACAATCACCACGACGCAGAATCTACCTACTCGCAGTCTCCCATGGTTAACCACTCCCGACATACGCCAATTTCGGGTCCTTGTACAGATCAAGGGATGAGGCATATTTACGTCGACCAACAGAGACCTGCAACGTCAGCCAGTCCGATTTCTCCGCCCAGCCATCATATTATCCGTTCCCAGCACTCGGAGCCGTCGTCTATGTCTTCGTGGAATAGTGAATCTATTGATGCACCCTCCTTCCATTACTCAACAGACCTTCAAACACCCGATGGCCAAACTTGGTGGCAAGCACCAGAAGCCACAAACAGGGACTTACATTCTTACTCTCAGAGTCCTTACCAACCCATGGTCGTAGCACCAACCGCCCAAAAACCACCAACTCATCAGGCACGAGTATTGCAAGGTACCAGCATGATGCACATGGGGCAGTCTACAGATATTGGATCAGCAAGGGAACCTCCGTTTCCCCCATCTGCTGTATCTTGTCCGGAAGATATGGCTTGTGCACCTTTTACACCACTTGCGCCAGCACATGATGCCATCTCGCGAAATTCCCCATTGGAAACCTCGAACCAACGTCAATACGCACCACCGTCTCACAGCCATCCCGTGTCCCTAGCCAGCATCAAATCTCCAGGCCTACCCTTACGATCAACATCCGCCAACCCAACCCACGGGTTGCTAAAGGCAAAGCCAGAAATACGTCCGCACGACAAACACCAACACCAACGCAAAAGTCATATCCGCAAAACCTCCGGCATCTCTACACATTCGCAAAGGAGTATTAAAGGGACTCCTATAACTCCAAACAGTAATACAAACCCAATCATCAAACGTCCATTGAGTGTCTCCTTCGTCAACTTTACCCCTGAGGATAGCCAAAAACTCTTGACCGGCGTGGCACCAAGCGGAAGCTCAAAGACTAAAGCCAGGAGAGAGCAGGAAGCACGCGAAAAACGACGGAAACTCAGTGAGGCAGCTTTGCTTGCGGTTAAGAGAGCTGGTGGTGATGTTGAAGCGTTCGAGGCAGTTTTCTGCTGAAAATTGCCAGGAAAGCAAATGGTACTGCCCAGCCGCTACACTCACCAACCTTTAACGTATAAGTATAATGATTATGTGCACATGAAGACTAAGATGGAGACGAAATAGTTTATATCATAGAAGGGTGAAAATATTTGTTTGTATTATTTTGCTATAACTTTACCTTTAGTTGTGATCCATTACTTGTCAATTGTAGTTTCTGCTCATCTGGTTGGTTGCCATTTTGTTGTTTGTTGGGCAAGTACAGCAGTGCATTTGATGCTGCTGATACCAGGTCCCCACGGCGTTTTATAATATCCCTTACTCGCCTTCCCCGTCTCCCCAACAGTTGCTGACTTGTTTGAATCCTCGCTACCTGCGAAGGCATTATTATTTTGTAGGGGGTTTTTTTTTTTTTTTTTTTTTTTTTTTTTTTTTTTGAAACCCAGGTTAATAATATCTGCAGTCTCCAACTGCGCAATTTGACAAATTAATATGGGAGCCAACATCCATATAAAATATGAAAACCAAGTCAGCCAAGTCAGCCAACAACCAACTCAATCAATAGCTATAACTATTATCAATTGGTCTCCCCTCTTTCGTCCACCTATCCCCTTCCCTCTCACGCCCTTCTCTTAAATGTTGCATAACCCCATGCACTATTGAAACAAACAACCATACTTGTTACCATATGTAACGACGTAATGTAAGTTGGGAAAACACCCCCGACCCGACACGAGGTTGGAACACATACATAGCTCATAAATATCCCGATACATATAGCGCACTTCCCTCACTTCCCTTCCCGTTCCCAAGACTTACTGCGGCCTTGAGCAGTGAGGTGTGCAGGACATGATATTATGTAGATGCGTAGATCATGCAGTGACATATAGTTCGAGCATTCGGTGCCCAACAGGCACATCCCTGTTGGGAAATGGAGAGTGAGTATCTGTTGGTACTAATGTGTTATATGTGCATTTGTTATTGGCATTGTTCACTGTTGCGTTTACCGCCTTTATATCTCAAGCATAGAGTCAATTAGGGAATACATTGTAGAAAAAATTATAGGCGAAGCGGAGAATATAATAAGCACCTTTAAATCATTTAAAATGTGCATATAAAATGACCAAAGCATACGTAGATGATTCATCCCCTCCGCACATCGATTTAGAGCACTAAAATTTGATAATGCATATATGTATCCCGCACTGCGACGAATTGATATGTCACATAAGAACTGGGATAATTGACATAGTTGAGTAATAACAGTTGTTAGGAGAGAGCATTGAAGACCAAAGTAATTAGTGATTTTGATAATATGGGTATCAGTAATGTACAGTATATCGAGCTTTTTTTTTTAAAGTGGATGCCCAAGTTGAAAGGGGAGATATTCTCTCAGGGCTGATGCCATAGTTTTTATGCCGGTCAAATTGTCAGAGAACGATGACCCATCTATCAGCATTGAAAATATGTGTATGTTGGTCGAATTTGACTCATTCCTTTCAATACCCTACCCCTGTTACCTCGCAAGCCCCTTTTGTTTTTGTTTTTTTTCACTTTACATATGCATTTCTGAAAATTGCCACCCAATGTAATGTACACGTACGATCCAAAGATTCTGACTGGAAGGTGGCTGCCTGATTTTATCCAAAACTTCAGGCACCCGCAGGTTGTCCGAATCGTTGGTGGGGCTCAATGTAAGTTTTCGTTTTGCAGATTGGAGAAGGGTTGTATTTCGAAAGATGGCTGCTTCAGCCCAACTGTCTGCTCAGTTTATCTGCCCTTCGGAGCTGGTTTCCACGATTCAGGTTGCCATCCCTCGCTTGGCCCGCCAGTGTTTCGGGCCCAGGGAGATTTAGTCTTTTTGCCTTGGTCTTTGAGCTCCGGCTCTTCATCACCTAACGATTTGTCAGGCTGTGTGGCGGGTGGAGGATGTAGCTCATGAGAGCATTGTATTGCGGGATCCGGGTGCTGCCCCTGTGGCCTGTCGAGAAATGATGGCTTGCTAGCCCATCGCTCATCTGCAAGTTTGGCAAGATGTTTAATACGCTCCTGCCGGAGAAGTTCGTTTTGTTGTTCCTGTATGGTTGGGGCATCCTGGCGAGCGTATCGAAGCCACTGGTGCCATTGCGCTACGGATGCCATGATTGTTAGCGGTAGATCCGTCGGAGATATATGGATTTCTGGATCTGCAATGTTGACTCCAGGTTTGCGGCGGCTGACTTACGAGAAACCTGCACGTCGGCAAGGTGTGTCTTGGGGTTGTATTTGACAATGCGCCGGAGCCGCCTGGAATTGAGAGTGTCCTTAAATTCCCAGAAAGTGTTTCCAGCTAAGTCCTTTCCTGTATACTATTAGAAGAGTTCATCGCATTTCAACAGAAGAGTCAAAAAGCTATCTGGTATCTGTGACCGAGTTTTTGGCCCGCAACTTACCTGCGAGAAAGGTTTTGCGCCAGGGAAGTTTCAGACTTTTCCACTTGAACCAAAGGCTGTTTATTGGGCTCATATTTATGGCCCATGCAAAACATAATACGTTTTCTAGCCCGAGAGCGCCCCTATCGACGACCCCTGTATTATTATCGTGACATGGTTGTAAAGGGAACGATGGGTTTTCGGAGGCCTTTTCTCGTTTCGCGATAAATTTAGCGCGTTCTGATATTGGTTGACTAGCTTAGTTATTTCTTGTCGTCATTCATCCTTCCCTTATCTCAACCCCTCAACAACGCGCAGCACGCGAATGCCCAGTGCACAAAATATAACCAGTTTCGTGTAATTTACAAATATTCTCCTTCTGCTTCATCTGATTTAATCTTGAATAGCGCAAATTTGTACCGCCTGGATGTCTGTGCGTTAGGAGCACTCTCCTTAGGTTTCAAATCCTCTCACAGAACCTGATCGACCCGCCCGCTTACTGTTTCGACATTCTTCCACGCCACGGAAACCCCCATATTTCATCATGGCATCCGTTTCATCGTTAGATAAAGACCTCCGGAATCTGCGGCTCTCCCGATATACGCCGCAGGCAGCCAATGAAATCCGGGAGTGGATTGAGGAGGTACTCCATGAGAAGCTGCCCAGTGGGGATCTATTAGAATTGTTGAAGAGTGGAGTAATTCTTTGTCGGTAAGTTGGCTATACATATCCGAATTTGCTGCATGGTTTAAGTGGGCTTTTGTATTGACAGAACTCCCTGAGACTGGTTAATCTCGCCGTTTCCCCGGGTGTCAAGTACAGAGATTCAACTATGCCCTTCGTCCAAATGGAAAACATATCGCATTTCCTCCGCGCATGTCAAGTTGCGCCTCTGAATCTCCAACCGCATGATGTATTTCTTACTGTCGACCTCTACGAATCGAAAGATCCTGCGCAGGTACTACAATGTATCCGCTCCTTTAGTAGGAGAGCCAACGCACTTCAGCCGGGGAAATTTCCGCGAGCGATTGGCATTAAAAGTAAGGGCGACGCAATGAGCCCTCAACTTACTGGATCTAGTCAGGGCGCTGGCCTTGGGCCACCTTCTTACGCTCGAGTTAGAGGCACTAGTAACGCTAGCGAATCCCACTCGGCGACGTTTAGCCCCATTGGAAAGGCTCCAACATCTGGACGAAGCAGCCCTTCGAAAGTCTCCTCCAATCCCACATCACCCAAGCCTGCCATTAGTGCCTGGACCAATAAACAAGAAGAAAACACGACCATACCAGCGTGGAATATACACCAATATGGATACATGGGAGGCGCAAATCAGGGCAACCTTGGAATATCGTTTGGTGCTAGACGGCAAATCACAAGCCCCATGCCAGATGTACCAAGCCTAGCGGAGAAAGAGAGGAAGAGGCGAGAAAGAGAGGCTGAAGAAGAAAAGTTAAGGTTGCAGCGAGAAGACCAAGAGCGCCGACAACGGGCAGAGATGGAAGAAGAAAGGCGCGCCATCGCTGAAGAGGAACGCAGATGGCAGGAGGAAACGCTACGACTGAGAGAGAAAGAACGGAAGGAAGCGGAAGAAGAGAAGAATCGATGGGCAGAGCAGCAGCGCAGATGGGAGGAAGAGGAGCGTCGTCGAAACCTTGAGGAGAAGGAAGCGGAAGAACGCCTGGAAAAGGAACGACTAAGGAAAAAGGAATTAAGTAACGCGCGGCTGAATGGCCAATTTCTCAGCCAGTATCAAGCGTCTCAGGGCAAGGCATCCGTTCCTGCATCTAGTGAAAGTGAACGCATAAAAGATCTCGAGCGGCAACTCGAGCTTGCCAAGGAAAGAGAGCGTGAGTATGAGCGCGAGCGAGAGGAACTTTCTCGTTCGGGAGGTGTCCGCCAAGGAGGGGTGGAATCGCGAAAGAATCGATCCCGGAGTCGTAGCCGTCCCCGCCCTAACCCTGGAAGGGCTAGCTACGATGCATCCTCTCTAGTGGAAGAGCGCAAGCTACTCAGATCCGAATGGCAGTCTCTCCAGGATAGTGCTCCTGGAAATTCTACTCCACCATCTCTACCTCCACGATCTCTCCCGGAGCCGCCAGAAATACTACTAAAAAATACGACTATATCATCGCCATCCCGGCCGCTACCAGATCCCACGAGCTACGTTCATAAAACTCGCACCGATCGTTTCTTAGACCAAAACCAGGCTCCTCAACCTGCCCACCCGACTTCTCACAAGCCTCGAGATTTTTCATCAACATTAGAAATTGATGAGGAGAATGCCAGGCGTACCGCCTCAACCCAGAAAACTCGAGCTGGGGGCTGGGCTTCTAAATCGTTACTTGAGCGCGAAATGGAACGGGAGCGCGAACGCCAGCGCGAATGGGAGGAGAGCCAGAAGCAAACAAAGGAAGCCGTGAAACGAGGGATCAATACAGCGGGTACGGCACCTGGGGAGGGTGCGTGGGACGTGAACCAATATGGCTTTATGGGTGGAGATAACCAGAATAGGGGCGGTCCCGGACTTTTCGAAGGTGCGAGGAGGCAAATCATCGGCCCACGCCCACCACCTTAGGGGCTGAATCCCAAATGCTGTGTTTTTACTGAGTGTTATACAATTTTGATTACCCCAGCAATATATACAGCACGTTTCACCACTTTAAAAATTTTTCTTGCAAATATTGACTGATTAACCCCACCCCCGTTTATTTTTCCTCTTTCCTTGTTCTTGTATGTTCTTCAAAGAGGTTTTCGAAAATGGCTTAATTGTAAATGTTCTGTTCTGTTTTATCTTCGACGTGGTGCCACTTGTTCGGGTATATTTCTAACTAGCACTAGAAAATTCTAGCTGGATAGAAACTGGACCCTCGATATTTATGCAAGTTTTCTTGACTTCAAATTTTTGTTTAAAAAAAAGCATGCTCTCATGTATTTATCTTCTCCTTCCACACCGCTTATAGCTTGTTATCTTTTCACCCCTAGATGATAGGACTGGCTGATTCTCATAATATGCAATTGTGGTTAGTTTTGTGTAAATAAGTTAAATAATAAATAAGAGACAGTGAACAAAAAGAACGGATTTTTCAACCTCAACGCCAGACAGAGTGGACTTGGACTGAACCCACACATGAGAACAAAATCTTTTATTCGTCAGCCTGTCACTCCCATCATAATTCCCAACTGGAGAATCATGCTCGAAAGACTTGTGGCAGGGCACAGGATGTAAGAATCCCGGTTTTCCTTCAAATTTAATGAGTACAATGGACCCAGCGTCATGGGTCAGGGATGGAGCTTGCAGGAAGATTGGATAAGAAAAAAAAAGGATGTAATGAAGAGATTTATTCGCCTGAACACTATAGTCAAAATCGTGAGCACACATGGCTCTGTTATAGATGCTGCTAAATAATCGTGTAATAAATCTAGCATTTTGAATTACAAGGCCTTTATTGAGTTTATAGCAGGCTTGTCTGGGGCGGCTGTAAGGGTAAGAAAATTTGGTAAGGTGATACTCCCAGTCACTGAGTGCTTGGTATGATGGGTAAAGCTTTCCATTACTGTTGTTACGGTATTTAACATGCCTCTGAAGTTGTCTCTATTTTTTTTATGGCAATGGCCACCGTGTGTTCTCGCTTTCTAGTAACCATAGCTCGTCGGTTTGAGAGGATAGTCCTCCATGGATAAGCAAGGCGGCAGAGGCTTTGCATTTCAACAGCCACGAGTGTCACCGTTCGTCATTGGGTCATTGCTACGGCGGTTCAGCCTGTAATATGGGATATGTTCCGTTTAAGTTGGATACGGGGTTGGCTAAAATATCCCAAGCCGATTGACCGATTCGGGAAGTTCCTGCTCCACCTGCAGCCTTACAGGAGTGAAAATCCCAGGAATTAGCCACATATGCTAATATCCGAACTCAACTTGATGAAGCCACCTAAAGCAAGAAATTGACGAGTAATCACACTCCCCGCTCATGCTCTTCATATCTTCCAGGCAAATGACAAGAGAAAGATCAAAAGGAATTTAAATGAGCTGGAATACAAATATGCAGGAGCAATCATCCATATTCTTTAATAAGTTTGGCTCGCAAACACGAACAATGCTCTTCCGTTGAAGCAAGGCAAACAATATCATTTCAATAGTGACTCTGTCACCGGTCGCTTCTAACTGAGTCCACTTGTCGCAGTTCGCACGACGTCGATTTCAACATATTCCAAGCGAAACAGCGTCCTTAGCATAACAAGAGGTTGGGTTTAACTCCTGCTCTATTTTAAATCGGGCTAGCGCCTCAGCTTGGAACCAGCCTTACCGTCAACCGTGAACGAAGACACAAATTTGGATTTACCCCCGCAAGAGGAGGCTATTGCTCCCATTTCCACGGCCACATTCGCTGTGCTAGCAAACGATCTCGCGGTCGAAATTTTTAGCTGTGTAAAAGCTGAAAGGGTGCTATTTTGCTAGTTGGGATTGCGATCTTGACATCGCCATGGCAAACAATATATTGAATCCATTGAGATGACTATGATTTGAGAAGTAAGTTGGTTTACTCATATCTGTCCCGTTTGTTTTCCAGTTTTTTTTTTTTTTTTTTCGTTAGTTTGTTTGTCCGTGATATATTCTCTTTAGGTAACACTTCACCGGAGCTGTCCCTTCCAGAGGCCATAGTCAGGAGCAGCGGCCATCGACATTGAATTGGGCGTCTTGTAGATTGGAAGGAACTGATCTGGGTTTAATATAACTTCCAATCAACTGTGTCAAGCTCCCAGTGCCCCTCGATTACTCAAACTCCAATGGCTCCGAAGAAATTATGCTCCAATTGACTGCCCAAGATCGGTGCTACATAAGAAGCCTGTCCTCTGGAGTGTACTACTCCCCCCGTTGGACCAGGTGGGTCTGGAGTTGAAGATGCTCCTATAAAGGCCACATTTGTAATACGTTAGTTTCAAGGACGATGCTTTGTATTCCGCATCACGCAATTTGATCTAGGGTTCTTGGGGGTCAATACAATCTGATTGGATTTGATCCTCGGTATGACCTATTCGGTTTTCTTTTTGCCTTCCTTCATAGAGGCTGTTATCGCTCAAGTACTGGCACGCACTGGGCGAACTATCCCCTTCTCGTGTGGTCTTAACTGGACCAAACCACCGTCGGCAGTAAATGCGAACCGTTGAAATGGTGTCGCACATCGAAATTTTCTAGCTATGTTCAACGTTGGGAGGGAGACTGGGACGACAGCACGTATGTGGCGGAGAAATGTTACGAAACACAAAACAGCAAAGGGAGCTTTCTCAGTACCACTTTTGTCTCCCGAGACATGGTGCGGATCGTTGATACCTTGGCGAAGACGACAAGTTGAATTCTGGGGTACGATTGATTTAAATATTTCGGATTCGATTGGAGAAGTGATGAGTCTGCATGTACACAGGCTTTATATGGGCCATTTCTTGGTCAAGCGTTTGCGGCAATGTTCCCTGAGCGTGTCGACAGTATGGTTCTCGACTCAGTCTTTGACGGCCAGGATTCTATGGAGAGCTTGTACGGCTATCTGGGTAAACCTATCACCAACCTAGCTAACGAGACGTTATAGTTGGCTCCCAGCTTTGGAAAATACCGAAAAATTACTCAACTTTTTTTTTTTTTTGAGCTGTCTTTCGGCAGGGCCAGATCCCTGGGCCTTTGCAGACTTGAACGGTCCAGATAGAGCCCCTGAGTGGTTACTTGCAGCTCTAGTTCTGCCACTGAATATCCCCTCGCCAACCCGCTCACTTTTCCGATTCTCATGCCATTTTTTGGAATCCTACCCCAGCAACAAAATTATTGACTACGATAAAGGCCTTTATCTTCACACGACTCTATCATCCGAGCCGATTCCAGACGTGTCGGCAGCCATTTTTCTGGTCTTGACGCAGAATTTTACAGCAATACTCCAGCCCTTGCGCCCGGATACTCAACTGACCCGACACCGCCAACTCCCCCATGGAAATTTGCAGCTTCAGACAATTTCTGGGGCATGGCATGTACTGATGTGTCCTTCCGAGCTCGCAAGCCATGGGGGCATTTGAAATTCTATGCGCTGGAGGTGAGGAGGCAAGTAGCCATCTAGAAGATAAGTTAGCGGACTGGAGGGTGAGAACGACAGATGGTTGTTGGCGCGAATGCTGGAGTTTAACGCCTTGAATAGAGGTGGAGGCTTCGAGGAAATACCCTTACATTTCCTACATTCATTCGTGACTTTGGGCTATTGAAGTCTACCACACCTAGTCGCTTATAGACTGTGGTTACTTTCTCATTGAAGTTGCATAGGAAATGGGTATTTGGTTGAGTGGGAAAGAAGAACTGTTGTATTCTGCCTACTCTACTCTGGTTACATGTAACAACGTTACATGGTGTAATCCACCTCCACTGGATATCCATCGACCTACATTACCATGAATCCCAAAACAAGGCAATTAAACTCAGCGTTCGCTACAAGCACACTCTCTTCAAAAGCTCAGAGTTCTATTCTACCATTGTGCAAGCCTCCAGTGACGGCTATGTCTGCCCCTGTGGTGTACGAAGCCCCTTCACTCAACAGGTACGCTACTGCCATCGTGAGATCGTCCCGCTGGCCGATACGCCCCATGGGCGAAATCCGATAAACAATCCCCTCAAGGTCGCTGAACTCCCCATCGATTCCATCAGTAATGTATCCTGGAGAGAGCGTATTGACCCTAATGTTGTGAGGTGCCATCTCAACCCCCAGGGCTTTCCCAAGCAACTTAATTGCTGCCTTCGATGCACCATAGATGGAAACCCGCTGCGATGGCATAGCACAGTGGCCTGCCATGGATGAGATCATGACGATGGAGCCGCCGTTCCCCTGTTCCATCATTTGGCGGGCTGCCAATTGAGCAGAAAAGAATGAACCGATTACCTATGGTGGTTAACTCCCTACTTCTAGGCTACTTTTTATCAACGTAGCGAATGGGAAATCAGCCTTCAGAGACTTACATTGACATCAAGTATGCGCCGGGATTCCTCCCACCCATATTCTAGGAAGGGTTTGTCCAATGCAAGGCCCGCTGCAGTTACGCTATATCAGGAACAGTCAGCAAAATGTCCACGATTCGAGAATCTGGGTTGCATTTACCAGTTGTCGATATGGCCAAGCTCTTTTGTTGCTGCAGAAAACGCATTCTCCAAGCTCCCCTTTTGCGTTACATCGGTTCTGCCCCGCCTCAAATGTCAGTATTTATTCGGTGGCCAATGAAATGATATCGGTCGCAACGGACTTGAAGTGTTTTATGTGAGTGTTGTACTGGCTCTGCAGCTTTTCTATATCCACCTGAGGCTCCATAATGTCGAGAATGGCGACGTCACTACCGAGACCAGCCATTGCTTCAACAAGGGCCAATCCAATTCCCCTACTGCCTCCTACAAGAATGTTAGCACGTTTACAGGCACCTGTTAGGGAAGTCTTTCTGCAGCTTACCTGTGATGACCGTGACTTTTCCATCAAGCGAGAGTTTGGAGGCGATCGACGAACTGAGATTTACAGATTGCTTTGTTGATATCGAAGAAGCTTCCCGTTTATGACCTGGCCATTTAGCGCCATACGGCGTCGTTGCAGCTACTCCAAAACACACTGGAACTCGCGGTACTGCTCTCTGTGGTGCCATTTCATAAGTGGCTCGAATGAGTGGGATTGCACCACACCTCATTTTTGCAAGGAAGGCCATATCGGATTCAAAAATCGGTTTACTTGCTGTGTTTATCTCTTTGTGTGAAATTGAACCCTAAAATCAGTGCTTGTTTTCTACTCTAACAATGGATGCGCAGTGGAGTTCTTAAAGCCCCGCCGTCTACCAGGAAAGCGGACGTAGGACCCGTAGACCTTCCCCGCAAAATATACGGTCTGAGCGGCGAGTGTGATGCCGACTGAACCGTCCTGGATGACTCCAAATTTCTTCTTAAGCGGACTAACTATGACCATGACATATGTTCCGGGGCTAATTCTTGACTTCAACTGAGGATATTTCCGTAACCTATTGGTCTAAGTTTCTAGCTAATGATGAATTTGCCGTCCTCTATCCAATCTGCGGAAGATAAAGAAGATACAAATACAACGCCACATTAGAGTGTTTGCGTTATGTGCTGTAAACTATAACATATAGTTTGGCAATAGGTTTTTGATTACGTGCAAGCGGACTCCATCTCACAGTTAGATGCAACAAAAAAGGGGCTTCATTTGTCTCATTTCTTGGGTATTTTCTCGAACTGCGAGTGATATGGGCAAGCACCTTGGTCTTCGAGGAATCAATTGGAAAACTGCGCTTCGTTTGCATCTTGCATCTTGCGCTACACATAGGTGAGCTGGTTGCCGATATCCGCTATTCTACCCTATCTATCAATTATATCAAACGTGCCAGTTATCGTCTTTGGGTGACATCTCTATTTGGAGGACCTGAGACTACACGTCGGCTGACACCTCAGGTGACTCCGCTAATGTTCTTCCAGCTAACAAGCTTCTATCTACTAAATAGACAATGACGGATGAGGCCTTTCATTGGCTCAGGGCTTAGTGCAGGCCCACTCTTGATATGCGCTGTCCTACATTCAGAGCAGAGAGGCCGAGCATGCTGAGATAAAATAGCCAGAAGTCCACAGTCTTAGAACCTGGATGAGCTTGGGGCTTTTTGGGCAGGGTCGCTCCTAGCTAGTGGGGAATCTCCGGATCGCCCCCGCAAACGCCCTCTACCCCACATTTATCCATCCATCGCGAGTGGGCCTCGAGGCGTGGGTTTTAGCATACCCGAGCTCTTTGGTTTAAGCATACTCCATCAAAGTTGCACGGTCCCCTTGTCACTTCGTTCTTCCGAATTTCCGTCCAAGATGCCCACTGTTGGGCGCGATGACGAAGCCTCTCTGCAGGCTCAGTAGTATAATATTTCGGGCATCGTAAGACAAGTTTGATGGCAGTTTATGATCCTCTCTTTCTGGAAGTGGCGCCTGGTATTCGCTATATCTGGACAATACAAATATGGAAAACTTTCCAACGTGCAATGCAGATTTGCAATATCATTTTGCAAAAACGTATTCTTTTGATGCCGTTAACCAGATAGCTTGTGATTCTTATCATGTTCCTCTTCCAATCGTTAAGGGGATATTACCAATTCCAAAGACGTTGCTGATCAAGGAGGACAGTTTTGTTTGACCCGGCGCTAGAGGATTCAACAATGTCCCGGGGCATATAATGATACGCAAATCAACACGTGGAAAGAAGGCACTAATGTTGGCCATGCCAAAAACTGTTTTGTCTTTGTCGTCAATTGTGGACTTTGGGCCCGACAACAAAGGGAAAAGTCCACTGGCAGAAAGTTGTTCGGCGGTCTACAGCAGTAACCTGACCATTTCTGGAAACACACCCGCCCCTGAACCACTAGATGGAAAGGGAATCCAAACATTCATCAAAGACTATGTTCAAAGGGCAAAGAATGCCATCCACGCCAGATTCGAAGGAGTGGAGATCCACGAAGCCAATGGCTACACGCTTTAATTATCGCCATGAATGACAATTGCGTTCCGTGTTTGCTTCCAAGAGATAACTTGCGCCTGAGGGAAAATAAGCAAACGCCTGATAGTACCAGTATACGAATGACATGCGCTGGTATGGTACGTTTCATATGCTAGGAGCAAAGATTCGGCGCATTGACAGGCATATTGAGTGTTCTCGCTATCCATCTTACCGTACTACCAGAAATAAGATTAATTATAGTACGGACAAACTTAGCATTTGTTAAGCATAAACTAACCTAGTCGCGGGTTGGCAAGTGTATATGCAGTGGTTTATTGGATAACTTAGATCGAAAGATCCAACCTCAGTCCATTTCTCTTTTTTATTCTGCCAAAATCGTATCCAAAATGAGATCTGATTCTGTCGATGAACCATTTCAGCCACCTGCACCAACCTTTGAGGGTTTATATTTGAACTATTATTGCGTCTTTTGTTTCCGTAGTCAAAGGCTCGACTCAAAAGGATTACCCTCCAGGGTCTGAAGGATAGATTTCGCTCGCTGATTCTGAACGCTGAGTTTAGACACCAAGGAAGACGGGATTTTTTATTTCCAAAAGGAGTCGATTTGCTAGGGGCCTTGTGACTAGGAACTAGCCCGTCAGCTATTTATCCAGAAATTCCATTCTGCGTGTCGTCGAATATTGTCTCTCCACGTAATTTCCTCCAAACACGCATATCCGACGCGATGCGTGCTCTTTCAGCATGTTTTCACCATAAAAATAGCACTTTGGCCCAATGTTTGAAAGTTGTATTTGGGCAGTCTTCTCAAATCGGGAGGCAAAGAGGTGGTGGAGCTATATTAAAGAATATGGTTCGCATGATTTCTGACAACAGTGCCATCTTTCGTTAAATTTTGGAAATCAAATCAAAAAAAGCCAATGATAACGCGGAGAATTTTCTAACCAGGGAAAAAGCCATCTCGCCAGGAGAAACCTCGGGCAGGTCAGACAAGGAGGTTTTGTTCGGCAATTTAGTCGTGATCTCTCTCATTGTAATACTACATACGGAGTACAATATTGAGATCACCTCGACACCGATTTGCTCGTTTCCAAGGCTATGTACCTTGCTTCGACAATAAACGAGCTAGATACCCCAGATCAGACCAGATCCTAGCTAAAAAGGAATAAAAGTTAGTGGGACCTTGGCTCCACCTTCAAAGACTAGTTGATCAACAAGGAAGCCACCAAAATTTCCGAGTCTCCAATCAGCCATCAAAGATGTTTGTTTTCTGGAACGGTCTCTTACGGCGTAGAACTGAAAACTCTTTCTTCACGTTAAGTCAATTGAATGCCCTATTGATCGTATCCTAGCCCGAAGTGTATTGCAGCCGGAAAGAACCGGGGTAAATGACAAGGCGCTTTGTAGCACTGGCGGGTCTTCGTGGAGTAGCTAGTGCAGGCGGGTGGGCTCAACTCATGAGAAAAGTCAAAATACTCGAGATTCCGTGTGGCTATGGGTGAAGGAAGTCCGCCAATCAACTTGTATTTCATTAAACATTAAAAGCGTGGATACAAGCCCGGGGGAATGGGATGGTAATGAAAGACATTCATACCTTGGGCCTTTTTCCTTTGTTCCCAAGCAATGGAGACTGGCATGTACTGGCAGGGGATTTCAGAGAAAGCGAACAGGACAAAAAGGGACAAATATTTCGAGTAGCACGTAGTCGTCTTTATACGCGAGCTGATGCAGCATGCACTTGTTTTTTATATCAATATCTTCTAAATCTTGCAAACCAAATATTTTCTACCATATAGCTGGTAAGTTTTTCCTCTAGCATTCCAGGGTTTCCCTCCAGCAGCTGACAACCTCACTGGTAGTGATAAACGGTCTCCCCGCGACCCCTGCCGTTATACCTAAACTGAATTTACCTACGAGGACGTGTTTGACTAGCGCACTCATCTGAAACTTGGTCATCTCTCAGATAGATATTTTGCCGTCATCGAAAGTCACAAAGTCACATAAAAATGCCAATATTTGACAGCCTCGAACGGCTGAAAAACTCCCGGATGCGGAAAACACAGCTAACAAATAGAGAGCTTCAAGATGAGGTGGCAGCTAATTGCCGTCTCAGCAGGCTGCCAGCCGATATAAAAATCCACATCCTCACATTATCAAATATTTCTAGTATTAGGACTTTGCTGCAATACCTCCCACTCGCGGCGTCAAGTTTTCACCGATTGTTTGACGAGCGTAAACGAGCAATTCTTGCGGCCATAGTCAAGGAGACACTGTCATTGGAATGGAGCATCATATCCGGCAATGAAACATATGTCCCTTTGGCACCACTTAAACTCGAATATTTCAATCAAATCGCGTTAGTGGTCTGCGCGCTTTTCCACAAAAAGAGATTTGAAGAAATGAAGCGAGGAATCGACGACAATGGATGGCTTCGAAATCGATCCGAGCGCCCTAAAACAATGCAAGATCTGAGGGTGAAGATATACAAAGCCGCTAAGAGTAACGCACTCGACCTGCTTAAATTGCTCGAGGAAGTGCAAGGAGAGGTCAAGGCCAAAGAGGAGATCATGCTGCAGAAATGGAAAGAGGCTTTCGGAAATAAACGAAACGAAAGCTGGATTGTTTCCTGGGTAAAAGGCAATCTGTATAGAGCTTTGCTTATCGAGTGGAAGCTGCAACTCCCCGAAACCGCAATGCCAACTGACGCTATACGTGCCTCAGACACGAACGGCAGAATCCAGCAAACACATTCAGCGAGCCAAGCAGTACGTTCCCGGTTGACAGACGAAGAATGGATGATTATGATGGATCTAATGGAAGCCAGAGCCTCGTGTGAGAGTCGAAAAATCGAAATCGTCAGGCTTGAGAAACTATCCACGGCCGGGGAAGAAATTTGGGGGATTTTCCTGGATCAGCTAAACGAAGCTCAATCGAAGCTTATATGCGGTTTGGGAAAGGGCATATCAACTCTTCCTTCCTTTTCGGATATCTCAGGCGACGAACGCGCATATTTAGAGGAAAAATTTCTGTTGACGCAATGAAGAAGCCGGAAGAAAACACCCCCCTGGTTCGTTGTTTTAGTAGGCGGAAATATAGGTCGCCGACTCGAGACATGCGGCTTCAATATTCGACCACAGAATGTAGATTAGGACCATAGATAACAACTTAAAAAATAGCGCAGTTTATTTAGTGACGGTTTGCTCATCCTTTACCGATGATAATAAGTTGTTCACCAGGTAGTTCATTCGTTCGCCACTTGCAATCAGCCAAGCCCAACCAATTTCATCCAATTTCATTTTATCTTGGGTTTTTTTGACGTCACTCTGCATTTTATCAGCTCTAGCCATAATTCCCGTTTCGATTGCATCTCTCAAAGATTGCCGAGCCTGTAGCATGCCATTAGAGGCCAGTAGAAGTAGTAGGGTCTCTAGGAGGATAGATATTTTGGCATTTTCGATAGCGTTGTTCGTGTAAGCAGCATATGGAAGATAATACTTCTCTAGGATAGCTTGGTTGATGTACGCCTGTTCTGAATTAGAGGGTCGGTGTAGTAAAAGCGAGAGAGCCATCCTGCACAACGTGCTTCGCATGTCATCTGTAAAATTCGACAACATCGAGCATGATACTAGGAGCTGAAACGTAGGGAGGGGTAATGGACGGACAAATTCCACGAAAAGCTGATACAAATGCTCCACTGCCATATAATATTCCGGCAGAGCATCTGAAACTCGGGATAAGATCTGCATAAGTCGCTGTCGAAGAGCAATGGATGACAGGTCACCTAAGGTTGTCCCTTGGTTAGAATATGTGATTCCTGGGGCTTTATACGACGGATGCATATTGAGCTCTTCGACTGAGTCCGACATTGGAGCTGAAGCCGTAGTTTTTGATCGTTTTAGACGAAGTTGCCTGGTTTTCCTTGTACAAGCAGTGTCATTTTCTTCGTCAATTTCATCCTCGTCTCCTCCAAGGTAGTCTCCATATATATCCTCGTCAATGTTCACATCAGCTTCACGTTTTTTCAAATGATCCTTGCCCTTTTCTGGATCCTTTGATTCGTTGCGGAACACCTCCTTAAACTCGTTCAGCGAAACCTGACTCCCATCTGCAAAGATAGCTCGAACGATCCTTCGATGCTGACCAGACACTCCCGAGGTGCCCGAGATATATTTAAAAATTAAACTCTGGCGGAGAATATTATTGGAAGGTGAGAGTTTCGCCCCATTTTTTGAGCTATTTTCTCTCTCAGTCCAGTCATCTTCCAGCACATCACACATCAGCTCCAACCAGACCCGCCATCTAGACCACCGCTTGGGGTAGAGAACGGAACAATTGAAAGCCCATCCAACAGCAGACCAGAAATCTTCAGATCGAAACCAGAGAGATCCACGGTGTGCAAGTTCCATGTTGATAAGGGCCGTGTCCGAGTCTGGGCTTGTACCGCTGGTGTCCTCACCATCACCATCTTTGCGACGCGGACCCCCATGGCGTGTGGAGGAGAAGCGCGTAAAAGAAAATGCAATACCAAATTGTGCAGCCAATGGTCCCACCAATTTGTTGGTGAGGCGTAAAAGTTGCAAAGCGGTGTTCGACGCGTTTGCAGCCTCCCGCGATTTTGCTAGAGTGGTGGTGGAGGGATGAACAACCAGAGTTGCTGCGACTGCAAGTTGGTGGGTTGTCGGTACGAAAGCAGGGCCAGATGTGATAGTACTTGACGAGAGCAGGCTTAGGAGAAGATGGAGAGCTTGATGGTCTACAAAGCACGGATCTTGTATTAGTTACTCGCCATTGGGGGGGAACGGGGGGAAGCTTACACAATTTTTCTTCGAAGTAAATATTGCAATGTCGGGCTAATTCGAAAGGTAGAGGCTTCGCACGCCGGTATCCCGGAGCCTTGGGTTGATTCGGGGCCTTTTGGGACTCCATGGTTTGGATGATCGAGTGTAATTGTGTGAGTTCGAGAAGAACACGCGCGCGAGTAAATTAATTAGCTAGTTAACTACATAGCTGGTAAAGTTGACTGGTTTCGTTTTAAGTTATCGCTAGTTTACAGGCTACAGAAACCATATCTTATCAGAGTTCCTTCATCAGGCCACAATCGTTGCGAAATCGTATCCTTTTCAATATACATTATTTCCTGCATACTCTCTAATCTCTACCTCCAGATAACGGCTTCATTTACTCCTGCTATTTAGATTCATGCTCCCCACCCGCGTCATGTCAGCAGCAGTCAGCTCATCCCTGCGACCATGGAGGTTTGCCCCGCTTCGGCCTGATGCAAGTAATGAAGGCAACAAGGCCACTTTGAAGGGTGTTGTGTTTGATGTCGACGGGACATTATGGTACTTGATCAATTGCCCTCCCGTTTTATTATTCTTGAAGGTCTATCCCGTAAATCCCCAAATTCAAACAGGAATGCGGGAGGGCCAGGTGGCATCAAATTGCCATGTATACTCTTATAGAATACTGATGAACATCACTAGTCTACCGCAAAACTATATGTTCCAAGAGATGCGGTATGTCTTCCTTATTCGTTTTTCCCAGAAACAGAAAGAAATGGGAGTATCAACAGCTCTCCAGCTGACAGGCGATGATTCAAGCTCCGCGCTCGGGATTGATAAATCCGTTGATATCATTGGGCATATCCGCAGCCTGCCAACACAAGAAGATCGCACCGCAGCTATCACAAGAATTAGGAACATCGAACGGGAAGCTATGGTCAAGCAAGTTCCTCAGCCTGGTCTTCTAGAATTGATGGATTATCTGCAGTCAAAGGCATTGAAGCGGGCGTTATGTACCCGGAATTTCGAGTTCGTTACCGGCATCCCTGACCACCAGTAAACGCCTTGCTCGTCTTGCATGGTATGAATTGACGATTGGAACCCCTTCACAGAACACCCGTAAACCACCTTCTAACAACGCACCTCCCAACACATGAGTTTCTCCCAATCATAACCCGCGATACACCAGACATCCTCCCAAAGCCAGATCCGGCAGGGATTTTACATATAGCCAAAGAATGGGGCACTAAACCAGAAGATTTGATCATGGTATGTAACTATACAAGTTTAATTTCTGAGAAAATGGCAGCTCTTTCCCCGGCCCTTCATCCTTTATATACCTTGAGAAAACATACACGTACCAAACGGCATCACCATCATCATAATCATCATCATCATCGTCGTCGTCGTCATCTTCCAGGTTGAAATAATGGAAGGAGCGTATAGCTTAAAAACGCGGTAACAATATCTAGGTCGGTGACAGCCTTGACGACATGACAGCAGGCCACCTAGCAGGCGCTGCCACGATCCTGTTACTAAATGATCATAATCGAGCCTTGAAGGAGCATGAACATACGCATATGTGGGTTAAGCGCCTAGACGACATAATTTCCATCTTGGAGGATGGCGTCGCGGATCCTGCAGAGAATCCCAAAGATGATGATGATGATGAGTGGGTCAATGAGCAGTGATAAACGTGTGGTTATAGATGCGATATTTATATTTTTAGATTAGAGATAATAATCCCTGGATATAATTTTGTGATATATTATTTATATCCTTATTTCTAGTGATATTATTACTTAGGTATATACATATTCCCTAGTATTCGAACACAAAACCCGGATGGTTGTTGTCCACTAGGTACCCCAACAGAAGGAAATAGAATGGGCATCTAATCTATGTAAACACGCCACGGCACATTCAGCAAAACGTCAAGACAGTATTTATATCCTTCGAGGTAGTTTTCAGGGTCTATGGTGGTCCCACTCTTTCTGAGCCGCGCTGGGCCTAGGTCGGTTTGTTTCCCGATTTAAACCCCCTTTGGCTCCTCTGCTACGACCTCGGGGACCACCACCACCGCCATTGCCGCCTTTGCCCCTAGGTTGCCGACTACTTGCCCCGTTACTTTTATGGATTGGAGGTCGGGTAGGCGACAAAGAGCGTTGGCGGGTATTATTACCGAAATATTGGTCTCGTTCTCTATATCCGCGGTGATAATCGCTGGGATTATGGGGCGCGTTTCCTGGACCTTGAGGGCGACGTGTATCATCATCAAGATTCCTACCACGTCCAATTCCACTGCTAAAGCGAATGCGTCTATGTGGGGGTGAACGGTTTATCCTTGGGTTCCAACTATCTGGTCGCCCGAAACCTCCATCACTCTCGACAGATGATGATCGGGCGCTCGCACGGCCTCTGATCCTGTAATCAGGGTTATTCTGATTACTATTTCCCTTGCCAGAAATAGCAACAGGGAAAGTGTTCAGGTTGGAAGTCATTGCAGGGTCAAAATGTTTAAGGCTGAAGGATGAGGAGTTCAGCGGGAAGGTGCGTGTAGGGCAATCTCCGATCAAATGGCGACTACTTGTGCAGTGACAGCAAGATATGGAAACAAATATGCGGCCTGAGGTTGGGTTTCGCTTAGGGAGCTTCCATATCAAGTCACACTCGCACTCAGTATGGTCACTGGAACCACAAAAATCACAGGGGTCTTCGACAGCTGAACTTTTCAAAGCAGAGGTGCAAGCCTGTGCGTCATGACCCCGTTCCCTGCAACGTTGGCATCTTCGCTGGGAAGGACAAAATCGACTCTCGTGAACATCCCATGCTCCGCAATGTTCACACTGCGTCCGATGTCAGAAATGATCGAGAGCTGCTTCTCCTGGGAGAAGCGAAATGGAATCACACCGCCCAAGATAGACACAGAGTGCCAGAGGGATAACATACCTCCTTCCTAGGACAAACGTCCGCAAGATGGCCTTCCTTCATACAATCAATGCACGTTATGGGCAGACTGAGGTCAACATTTTCTAGTGGCAAATCGAAAAACCTATACCTAGCTTGAGTCTCGAAATCATTACGAGTGAGATCAGCGAGAGTGGTAGGATCTGAATGGTATTTTGCGCGGAACAAACGAATTGCCTCCGCCTTTGGGCCTTCAGACATGGCCCTCCCAGTATCAATGTCAGGATAAACCTGGTTTTGTGGTATATCGTCGCCAACTTGTATGGGGGGTTTCGAGCCGTTTGGTACGCTAAGTTGCTCTCCATTAAATTCCCCAACTTGAAATTGGCCGTCATTTCTAACAGCAATTTCATCTTTCCAATCACGTAGCTTTCCAGTGGCTAGAACCCCATCATCTATTTGAGGAGGACCAGTCAAGTTAAGAACAATATCATTGTTTCCATCCGTGTCCTGTTCAGAATCCGTATCGGAAAACTCTGCAGAGAAGGTCGTTGGACCTAAACTTGTTCCGATATGAGGTTTCCTTCGAGAAGCATCCGTTTCGGAATGGCTTTGCCGTTGGCCTTGCAATCGGGGATGATGTCCACCGATATCACTCCCTGTAGACGAAAGAGACGCATCCCGACTGCGCCAGTAATTCCCATTAATAGCCTCAAATGAAGCTGCAGCAGCAGAACCAACCGTATCCGCTTGGCGCCGCCCACGAAGAGCGGTTCTAACGGTACCATTACCAAGTTTGTTCCAATTCATTGCCGGTGCCATTCCTCGCGACGCAGGAGGAGAGACAGATGAGGGGGCGAGGTCTGTAGTTGTGCTTTCACCGCAATTATCCTCCATGGCAGTATCGGGACCCGAACTAGACGCGCAATCAACTGTAAGGGATGAAACAGTAAATGAAGCGCCCTTAGGGACAAAGTTCTGAAGGTCACGACGACCTAACGTATGATCCTTTCTTGAACACTGCCTGCCAGAATTCCCAGTTGAGGATGATTTTTGAGACTCGGAGAATGTGTGCTTGCGGCGGGCCTTCAATAAACCAACAGAAGCTGTGCGCGAGTCGCAATCATCATCAGACATGTTCTTGCAGGCAGGTTGGGCGGGGGAAGCCCCAAGCTTCCAGGGTTGGAATTGGATTTAGACCAGCCTGGATAGCTATAGATACAGCGTATAGCAGCCGTGACAACCCCGGGGCTACGTCGCCCAATTGAAAAACGGAAGCCTGAACTCGGGATGTTGTATACAGTGGTTAAATGACCTTTCTGGCCAGGAACGAAAACTTGGAAACCGCGAAAATCCAGGACAACATGACTTGGCCATATTACATAATGGGTCGATTGGCTCGGCACAACGTGGAGGCTGCCGGCGTAATGTTTTTCCGCTAGTCAGATGACGAAGCCTGGCTCTGGGCCGCATTCGGCGCTTCATCAGCTTCAACCGTGGACGATGACTCTCCGTAAACATCTATCTGTCTATCTGTTGAAGTCCAAGTCGAGTGTTCTTCGTCCATGTCCGCCATCGTTTCCACCGTCTACCGGCTGCAGCACCACTCCTCTCCGATAATGACTTCCTAGGCCTTCCTTCGTGCTGTGCTGTGTTTCCAAGCCTCTTTGGTCCGCTATTGCGTTTCTCTCGGAAGTGCTCGATCCCCGTTTCTAGTGGCAGTTCCATACACCGCGCACTGCGCTCCTCCTCTTCCTCCCACGAGTTCAGCTCCCGCTTCTCCCACCTCTCCAAATACTCCTTGACCGGCTTGCGGAGCTCTTGGTGGCCGTCCTCGATTCGTTCTATAGAAAACCCGTATTATTACACTAAAGTCCAGACAAGTTCCTATATATTCCAAGGCAGCAGCACTATATAGCAGTTCCTTCTACAAAACTGGATAGTTGTAATATTCCTTGTATATTCCTATCCTCTCTTCGCATGCATTCTTGACCCATATTTTTGCAACCGGCTCAACACAATACCGCCAAACTGTCTTCACTTCTAGTTCCCCGGACTGTCTCCTTTTCCCCCGATCTCGACTCCGGCAACAGACCTGATTCCACAATGAGCGAGACCAAAACGGGGCGGAGGAGACGGTCAAGTAGCATCATCTACCAGGAGCCTCCAGAGTCGATAGAGCATACCAGTGATCAGGCTGCCCTACCTAACCTAAATGCCAATTGGGTTAATGCGAAAGGTGAGAAATTTCATCTTTACTTCCTGGATAACCGAGATTTCTGGTTTTGGATCGGAGTAGCTGGAGAGAGTTAGCCAGTGACGTGAAGGAAGACATGACCTATTTTTCACTCTGTAACTTATAAACCACAAACTGACTCAAAAGTTCCTTCCTAGGTGCATGGACTATCCATTTCGTATTAATCATCGCTCTTAAGATTTTCTACGACATCATCCCAGGCGTATCACAAGAGACTTCATGGACACTCACCAATATCAGTTATATGTTTGGTTCGTTTCTCATGTTTCATTGGGTTCGAGGAGTACCGTTCGAATTCAACGCCGGGGCATATGACAACCTAAATATGTGGGAGCAAATCGATAATGGAGACCAGTATACACCAGCAAAAAAGTTCCTTCTCAGCGTCCCGATTATTCTCTTCCTACTCAGCACCCACTACACTCACTATGACCTGACCTACTTCATAATAAACTTCTTGGCAGTCCTGGGAGTGGTCATTCCGAAATTACCGATCGTAAGTTAAATTCGGCTGACAAAACCTACCCAAAAATAGACGACTAGACTAACAGCTCTCCTCCTTCAGTCTCACCGAATGCGGATAGGCCTATTTTCAGAGCATAGTGATGACCCTTGAGGGCAAGATTACGGCGTTTTAAGAAAAAGGCGAAAAGAAATCAAATTGAAGAATGAAGAAAATTCTCAACGTTGGCCTGGTTACTTTTCCTTTTTGCTATCTCCGCCTCTTTTTTTAACCACAAAAGTATATTGTCCGTCACTGGCTTCCACGGCTGTGTAAAGCGTCCCATCTTATTAGATTCAAATTAAACAATTGTTTGATTTTCTTCTCTTCTCTTCTTTTTCTTTTTCTTTTCTTTTTTTTTTTTTTTTGATAGGTTGGTTTCTAGATTTGTAGCGATTTCTCAGGAACAATCATCTGTTTTACTACTACTTTTTGTCTTTCTTATGAATGTCTGCGGTCATTCCGCAAGGGAGTCCCCCTTTTTTTTTTCTTTTTTCTTTTTTCTTTTTTTTTTTTTTTTTTTTTTTTTTGAGTAGGAAATGGAAATCAACAACGAAGGGAGAGAGGAGGGGGGGCGGTACTTGTTGGGACGAGCTGTTGAATTGTGTCTGGAAAGGGACTCCGAAACAAATACCCACACGTTATTATCGTACCTACTTCGCAAGCTGTTCGGAGCTTTTGGGCCTTTGATTTCCGGGCTCTGCAGAGTTTACATAGCTCTTCCTTTTTATAAATAGGGAATTTTTTCTTTTTCTTTTTTCTTCAAAGAAGGCCGAGTTAAATAAGAGAAAAAGTACTATACACTCTCTTGCATCAGTTTCCACGACACCATCTATCTCATTCTGCTCTTGTTTTCATGGCAATTTAATACCTTTTTGCGTATCGGGGAATGTTTGACATCGATGGTACGCAATATTATGTTGAAGAGTTTTAAATGGACTAGCAGACTTTGTCTCATTTTTCTATTTCCGCATGAAAAATTTCCCAAGATCAACAGGGAAGTCTAAGGTCATCGATAAAATCTGAGAAAATGACAAGAGGATAGGACACAGGGTTGGGAAATTGAGGAGAGAGAAATAACAAAATGGTAACGGAGGAGTCATTTAACATTTGGGTTTAGCAAATGATGGTCAATGGGACAAGTTAGAGAAATGTTATCAAATGAGATAATCATATCAAGACAATAAGGTAAGGGTTGTAGAGAATTCACGAAATATCGCAAAACGCAGGAAAAACAAAAGGGGGGAGTTACATGGCGAAATATAACAAGAGCAATAATAGAAAGGGGAATTTTCGAGGCTGGATCATTTCCGTACCGCCATTGATATCAAGCATTAGGTAAATGAAAGCAGCAGTAACACCGCATGGAACACCATTGTCGCTATAAAAATTGAAAACAAAAACCCAGACTGCAAAACAAACAACCCAGGGTCCCGAGTAAAGCCAGCCGTTTAGAGGTCAGCTTAAAAAGGAGAAAAATAGATAGGTAAAATATGTAAACCGAGATCATCGTTTAATAGTAATCGTTATCAATTTGTTGCGAGGTTCCTCTATTTTAGTGTCGCTTAGGGTATCCAGAGCTGGTGATAGGGCGCGGGCCCGTGGGCTTTCGCTGAGGAGCGTTGTTCTTAGGTGACGACCTAATAGGTGATCCATTGGCCTATATAACAAGAGATGCGCTGTCAGCTGCTTAATAGTTCACAAATCGGGGCGAGTAATCAATATCTGCGACATACAGGATCGTAGTTTGAGTGGCGCAAACCACGAGAAGCCATACGTTCTGCATACGTGAGTTGTCCATCCCCTTTTCCTTGCGGTGGTCTTTGGGGAACTAAGGGTCCTTCATCTTTGATCTTTGGAGGGCGTGGAGGGGCATTTCGTCTGCCAGAAGTTGATGACTTATCGGAATATCCACCATCCGAACCAGGCCCTTTTCTATTCGGGGTCATCCGCCCCAGACTAGCATTGGATGCCCAGCCATCAGAGTTGAGAGCTACTGGGGGTATAAAGGTTTGTGCTTGCGATTCCAGCTGGGATTGGTAACGATCTGTGGGTCCCTGGCGCGGTTGTGGATGCTGCAGATTCAGACTATCCCTATGCGCCTGGTATTTCGGATATTCTGAAAGCTGCGATGGTACCAGAGGGGAAGGGGGACGGTTCTCCTGCCGTTGGTCTAAACTAATATTTGACCGTAATCTGTCGTCGCCGTGTGGGTCGTAATAGTCATTAGTATTATATCCATCCTGTTCCAAATCCGAACCAGATCGGGAAATCTCTGAGGAGTATCGGTCCTTGCGGCTAGTTTGGATGCTATTGCGGATGTTTTCGCCCATCGACGAAGCAGTTGTTTTCGACCACCGGGAAATTTTAGGGAAAAACGACGAACTGCTTGATTTGTGTTTTCGAGACTTTTCGTTGGACATTTTAGGGGTCGTGTCTGTGCTCAGCGCCCCAGATGCGAGAGGAACTCGTGGAGGAGTGCCCAGAGGAGCAGAGCCGCCCCTTTTATGGTGGCCCATGAGCTGAGCGTCAGTAGCTGCTTGCTGGTCCAGCAAATCTTGCTCATCGGCTGTTAATGGCTCCAAGCCTTCGTCACCCTCCATGACTGGACTGATTCGGTGGTCCGATCCACGCCGATTGCTTGCAGCTTTCATATCTCCAGCCAAGCGAGGGGAATTCGAAAAGCCAGACTTGTCGCCCCCTCCTTTTGACGAAGTGCCAGCTTGACCTTCAGGCTCATATCCATCTTGACCAGGTTCATGGAAATTTTCTTTGGAGTTGGCAACTCCAGTGCCCAGGCTCCGGCCCTCTTGAGCGGCTCTTAAAGCCTCCACTTCGAGGAGTAGATGAACAAGCATGTCTTCGACCCTGGTGAGATCATTCGACCCTTTGAGACTCAAACCCTTCAACGCCCGTTTAAAAACGCTTTTTCTCTTTGATCGCTCATCATCTTCGTCGGCAGTAGTGTGACGGGGGGTTCGTGCAATGCCAAGCGGCTGAGGTCGAGGTCCACCAACGACCTTTTGAGTACGATCATGTTGTTTTACATTCGCATCTATCATCATTTCATCTTGCTGGGCAATGAATTTTTTCATGTTCTCGAAGGAATTACGCATTTCCGCTGCACTCCGCACAAGAGTCACCAGGATTTCTGTATCTCGAGCATTTCGTTGGGCGTCACGAACGGTGAGCTAGTTCAAGAGTCAGCACCAGAAGCATAGAACCGGGAAAATATAAAACACATAAACCGGTATACACACATGATCCATTAGTGCAACTATGTCCTTCGACTGAATCCTATCAATTCCATGGCCGGTAGAACTGTCGTAAAGAGGGGAGGCCATGCCATGGGAATAGCCACTCAAATGTCGTTTATGTGTTTCAGTGAAGGGGTCATCGCTGCCTGGTAAAAGAGTAAGTTCTAGGGTCTTACTATCAACAGATTCGAGTACCTTACCTCTGGGATCAGACGTGGCAAGACTTGGCGAGCGAGGGTTTGCGCCCGATATGTAACCTTCATCCTTTACTCCCAGTGGAGTTAACAAATGGTCTGCATATAAATCTCTCGTTTGCCCTTGGTCAACCTTATCAGAAGGATATTCATCTCCATAACCAGTCCCGTAAAATGGGTCGTTAAAATTGGTGTTGGAATAGGGCGGGCCGTGATCTACGCTAGGGATAGGGCTTGCAGGATCCGCGAGAGGCCCTTGGGGTTCAATTTCATCAATGTTAGGTTCTACATGAATGGCATTTCCTTTAGATCGTGGGGGGGTCGGATTGTAGGGCCAATGATCTCTGTTTTCGTGAGGGACCCCACCAATAGGGCCTTGGATGATCGAAGGATTTGTATTTATCTCCGACTCTTCAGAATCAGGGATATGACCGATTTCTGGAATTGGGCTTCCAGCTCCAGGCAATGCTGATGCTCCTAAGTGTGGCTTTTCATCGGAAGAATCTTCGACGCTCTGAGGTGGTGACGTCGCACCTATCCGCTTCTGAAATGATTTCGCTTCAGGACTGGATGCGTCCTGTCGTTGCTTTAATGGGCTTCCATGGCTGGCTTCCGCGAGACCTCGCTGCGCTCCATTATATAATCCCGGGCTCCCACTCTGACGTCTAGTCGGTGATCCGACTGAGTTCCTACCAGATTGGAGAGAACCCACGTCAACCAATGACGGGTCAAGGAGAGAGGCAACTGCAGACTCAACCGTAACAGGAGTGTGGACATATTCCACATTAGCTGCAGCACCCTGCGCGACCTGTTGGCCCGGGGTAAACGGATCGTCGAAACTATCATCGGTAGAGTTCGTCATGCGACGGGCATCAACTCGACTATCGTCCAAACTATCCTGTTCCAGCGACTGTCTATACTCATCACTTTCATCGAGACCACTGTCAGCCCAGTGTTCATGTTTGGATGTGCGTGGGGTTTCTTCGTAACCAAACTCCACGCCAGACTCGTCTTTTTGCGCTAGGAATGCCTTTCTCTTTTCTTCGTAGTCAGCGGGACGTGTAGATCTAGCCAAATTCGTGCTTGGGGCAGACGACAGAGAATCGATGGATAGCCTGTGACCTGGTTCGGGAAAGTCCCTACTTACTGATCCAGAACTATCAGCTTGCTGTCCCGCTTCCTCTCCAACATCCGAGTCATCGTCACGGGAGCTTGCAACACTCTGTATTGGGCTCAGGGCACGACTGGTGTACTCGTTTGCGTGTTCGCCAAAGTGGTCTATGTATGTTTGGTCCACATGGTGAGTTTCTGCCTTTGTTGGAGTGATATCCTCGTCAAAGTTTAGGCTGCGTTGACTTTGAGCACTCAAACCTTTCGCCGATAAAGCTTCATCAGATTTCGACTCATTCGCTACTCCACGGGGTGTTTGGGTTGGTGTTCGAGAGACCGGTGAACCAACTTCGTGCGGTGATCGGCGTGTTACCTCACCATGACGGGGACTTTCAGTACCAGTAGTCCGTTGGGATAATAGAGATTCCCTTGTCAATTCTGAATCTATATCACTGCGTAGGGGCATTGGGGGAACTCCGTGCTTCTGGAACATCAGTTCAGTTTCATTGACGCTTCCACTTCGACTTCGGCTCTTGCTGCGTTTCTTCCTCCGCTCACGTTTGTCCAGGCTAGATTTAGAGTCATGGTGTTTAAGAGCGGCACTGGTCAGGGCGGTGCCGACGATTGCTGCAGCTTCAGCATCGCGAAGTCCCTTGGACTTTTTCCTTTGTATGGGTTCATCCGAGGGATAAGAGTCTTCGGAAAATCTCCGTGTAAAAGATTTAACATACTGTGATTCGCGTGACTTCTCCCGTCTTGGTTCCTTGGATCTCTTTGAATATCCGTCCGAGATGATTAATGGATCTTTGCTGCCATTACTGACTATCACGCGTGGTTTGGTAACATCCGGAGCACTCGCATGTTTGGACAAGCGTCGTCCCAGTTCATCCCTAGATCCGATACTCCCAGAACCTAGAGAGCCATTCGTATCGCGTTCGAATTGGTTTCGATTGGCCTGCACTTTTTGATCTTTCTTCAATTCCTTGAGCTCCGGCAAGATTAGTCGTCGAATAGCATCCTCAACGGTTTCCAGCAGCCTTGGGTTATTTATTGACGATTTGGACGTCCCTGAACGGAAAGAATATTGGTCTCCAGATTTGAGTTGGGGGGAGAGCGCAGAATGGCTCAAGAGGCTGGATTCTGCGCTGACCGAATCCTTCTCTCGGTACTTTCCTGAACGCCGACGCGAGGATTTCCCTTCAGGTTCCAGGAATTCTTTGCTCACACTTCGACTTTGGCTCTTTTCGCTATGTCTGTGTTTATTGCGAGCCACATCTCGCGGGGCAGCACCAAGTTTCTCTGCCGCTTTATGCGCAATTCTTTCCCTACTTAGACTTCGACTTCTCCTTCTGGAAGGTGTCTTAAGCATCTCCGGAGAGCGAGGTTGCTCATGACCCTCGTCACCACTTACACTATGGCTTCGTTGGTGGCGAACTTGAGACATAGAGGGCGAGCTTTCCAACATGCTATCCTGGGGCATAGAAGATATATCAGATGTTGGCTGAATATACCTGGCCGACAATTCACTGTCCCTCGAAAATTCTATCTCTAATGGTGAGCGGCGAGTAAGACCAGCTTCGTCCGCCAAGGATCCAATTGAACTGATACTTAGATCATCCGTCACGCCCTCAGTGATCTCTTTGTTTCGAGTTGGCGTTCCCAAAGAAATACGCCTCGTATATGTTGGCTTTCTACCTCCCCCAGATTCACTAATCTGGATATGGTCGTTTTGGTCTCTGATTTTGCGAGCAGCAGATGGCGTCACTTTTACTCTGACGCTGGGCCGAGAGTTCAGGCCTCCACCCTTCTTCCCCCCTTCAAAATATTCAATTAAAAGAGAAGTTTGCGACTGGGCAGAGGCTCGGGAAAGCTTGGAGTCCTCTCGATTTTGAGATCGACGGCGGGTGGATATAGTGATGGGGCTGCCGTCATCCGGAATGGAGTATGATGTCTTATCGGTGCGTCGAGAAAGGTCAGTTGCGAGGTCCGTTCCTGTCGCACTGCCTCCTGTTGTATCAAGGAACGAAGAATCGGTAGGAGCTGGAAGCGTCGGTTTGCGGGTGTTAACACCCATCATGAGACGGCTAGCCGAGCAAGGGCATACTCAAAAGGAAAAATAAAAAAAAAGAGGAGATGCGCGATATCAGGGGTAAAGTGAGGAAACAAAGGGCTCCTTTCTCCAAAGGGAGAAGGCTACTTTTGAATCGAACAAAGGACTATTGGGAAAGCTGTCACAATGGTGGTCTCCCGATCCGTAGCAACAAGCTAATTGAGGTTAACAGGGTGGAGCCATCTAAGTAAGCCAGCAACCCTTGAATATAGCCACAGATCGGTAGAGATAGCAAGCGTTGGATGCAGTTGTCGATGTAGCTCAGAAGACGCGCGGAGTGGTTGAAGGTAGTCAAATGAGGTTTGAGGTGAGGATAGTGTTGTTGGCCTTGCTCACCTTGGAGAGCTGGGGAGAGCCTCAAACGCAAACACCTATTGTTTGCTTGCCAGAGACAGGCCTAAGACAATTTACTTCCCTTTGCAGCGACAATGAAAACCCTATATTACGAAAAACAAGCAATCAGGTTTGCAGCTGGAGGGGAAAAAAAAGGAAGCAAACATGGAAAGAAGAAATGGTCGATGAGGAGTGAAGTTGATGTTGAAGATGCAAAGGTGAAAGGCGACAGAGAACGGGGAAGAAAAGAGGCTGACAATGCCTCTCTAGCGTGGGCTGTGGCTTGCTGCATCGAAAATGGAGATGCCCGTCATTTTCCCGCCTAATTGGACAGCCTGGGCCTTGTTTACCTGCTCTGGGAAACGCAGCTAGCAATTCCCGCCCAGGCGGTTCCCGCTGATTGACTGCAACAGCAACGAATGCCAAATCTACGCACTAAAATAATCATATACAAAACGGCGTAGGATCAAACCATGGGACCGCTTGGACCATGGTTGATTCTCCGGGCCCAAATATACCTCCCGAAACTTTCGTAGAACCCAATTTCACACCTCAACCCAGCCAAACCCTGGTGAAAATAAGGAGTCGGATAGAGCCACATCAGACTCGGACCCTCCTCCGTAGACTCAGTCACATTGCCGTTCCAGCCCAACCCGTTCTCTTCCTTTGACAGCTGTTTGACGCCTGGCACTTGGAACTCGTGGATCCAGATGAGACAGAAACCCTCCTATTGTTACCAAAACAACCTGCACAAGGACTCCCTCGCCTGTTTCAGTAGGTCGCGCAGACAGCCCATTTACGGATATGGCCTGCATCTGGCCCGTGATCGAAATTTGGATAGGATGGCCAAGTAACATAAGTAAGAGGTCGCTTCTTGGATTTAATTTCAGCTTCCCATATAGAGTACATCGAACGCTGCGGACTCTTGTCGTTCTAACCGAAGTCTTCTTCGTTCACCATCTGTATTGTGTTTTCATTCCGATGGTCTTTTTCAAGTGTCACTTTGCGTATCACATCGCCGATGCTCCACAGTTGGCTCCAGCCCCAAGTATCCTTGCCTCTCAAACCCTCAATCGCCAAGTTTAACGGGTTTGCTGGTCTCCCTGGCGACAGAACCCCAATCCTGCCAGCCAATTGGTTGTTCCTACCCTTGATCAGATTTCAGATTTTTCGCGCTTGCCAACACATCACCCCACATCACGTCAAAGAATGGCTGTCCTCAACCGCCGCAACTGTCAAGCCCTTCAGTGTTTCCGTCATCATGGTTCTTGTTGCCCTTGCCCACGAAGAACCGTGGACGAAACAACGAGCAAATCGAATCGTCAAAATGACGGAACGGGATGTTCATTGCTCAATGCACCTGGCAAATTCAATCCCGTCCGAGGAGCTGGCACTAGGTAAAACACCCAGCCACCTCGCCTGGGCTCCAGGGTGCATGAGAAGGATGCTGTGAGCCCCGACCATGCTCCCAACCTCCGTGATTCTCTCCTACCAATGGTCCAACCTCCCGGTTACATACTCCGCTGAACTGTTGATCATGAAAAAATTGCCCCGCCACCCGGCCACTGGCAATAGTAATCAGGGCACTCACTGTTCAGCGCCAGCTGGTAGCAGAGGGAAATCCCTCCAACAGCTTGCCTTTGATATATCCCACGTGACATCATAATTTTTAAACGTCATCATCATTTACCTCTTCACAAGTCCATACATAGCACTGGGTACGAGATGGGAAATGATCAATGGTCTTGCTGATTTTCTTCACTGGGGATCGTCTTTACATTGCAGCCGTCAATACTGCCATCGGAATAATTGGATTTAGGTGAATTGATGCAGATCGAAGAAACTCACACCCTGCAATATGTGCGATGCTTTGCGGAAGTGTTATCAAAGCAGCTTTGAATCGAAAGATCCTCATGCAAGAGTCTTTTGACAAAATGTTGACTCTGCGGAATTCTGCAAAATTCCTTGAGAAAAATTGGCCAGCTAGGAGGCCGTTTTTCCTACTGGTGAGAGTTCGGAGCGTGGAATGAATGCAGAAATAAAATAAAATAAAATGGTATGGCGCTGATCTGGTCTCGTAAGTTGATTAATCTATGAAGAATGAAAAGAGCAGCCAGAACCTGCCAATGAGGAAAAGGCATACAGTAACAGGTTTCAAGCTCACTTCATCACTGATGTTATCAAAAACAGTCCTCCTTTCCACATTGGAGTCTAATTCTAGGAGAGTGGAAGTAGAGGCGCCACGTCGATCTACCCCGCCAGGGTTTATTATCCAGTGCCTTACGGTCAATGTGATAGTAATTACTTCCCTTCACTCAAAATTGTCGTTGGATGTCCAATATATTTTTGATTGTCAAAAACTGCCAGTTTTCCATGGTCAGTATTCTGTATCTCCATCTTCATTACCATTGCTTCACTATCACTGCACAAGAATTAGCCCTCAACAGGATAAACCATTGAGGCGGAAGAAGCCGCACGGTAAAGTCCCGCTTCTACCTCATCCTCCTCAGGCATTGCTTGCAAGCTCAGAGTATCTTGCACTATGTTTCCTTTTTCTTCTCTGTTCTTTCATTCTTTTCCTTTTTTTGAAGAAATGGACGAGACAGAAAATCTTGGGGACAAGCAAGTTAATTCTCCCATTTGATATCCCTGGGTATTCTCCCACAAGTATATCAGGAGAGGCAAAATGAGTGGATATGTCTGAAACCCTCGAAAGTGTAGGCAATATTTTCTAGAGGGACACAAATTGCGAGAGGAGAAGTGGAGAAAAGAATGAAGTTTAAAAAGAATGAAAAAATATATATATATTGAGAGTTAACACACCCGCAGTAGCATCATTACATCCTTCTGATGCTTTTGCAACTTTTAGGACCGCCCTCTAATCAGAGTCGGAAAATAATAATGGTTGCGTTCCTCCCAAAATGACAAGTTCGAGCCTAAGAAGCTAGATCGTGTATGCAAAAAGGGCTGTAAGAGGTCAAGCTTCCTCTCATTTTGTCACGAAAGTATATAAAGCGAACCTATTTTCCAACTTCAGTCACCTTACGAAAGAAGTTCGGTTCTAACGGCGTAGGACAGCATCCACATCCTGTCGAATTACTGAAATCCACGCTCTCCTCACGGGACCACTGTTATTGCCGGAAATGTCAGAACGCTGGGTCATTATAACCAACAATCAAAGAAAACGCGGAAAATGCAATTAACGCCCAGAAATATGTAACTAGACGAGCACCTTACATGTTAGGGCTGATACTCTTGGCCAACACGGATGGTCACAGAACGATCAAGGAACCGATTCGGACACTCCCGCCCGGCACGGCCCTCCATAGAATGCTTGCGAAACATTACCTCCCGATATCTGACTCCAATATCTAGCACATCAAGTGTATATTCCATAGGCAAGAAAATAAGTCAACATTTTACTGGAGGCCAGGGCCGTTTAGTTTCAAGCTATCAAACCTCGGGGTGGAATAAAATAAATAAAACCAAACTGGCAACTTTCACCTCAGCGCTTCAATATTCCACCATGTTTTCGGGTCCGATCAGATACTCGTACCACCTTCTATCGCTTCCTGCTCTGGCCACGATTTCATGTGTAACAAAGGAAATGGGATCGGACCCGGCGGAATTGCTCTAAAGTATCATTACTACGATTGCCACAGATAGAGAGCAGTCTGGATACATTGGTACGCCATATCTTGGTTATCAACAATTCACAGTATTGTACAATGGAAGTCCATGGGCGATAGTTAATACTTGACTAACTTTTATGTTATTCAACAATTACACACTTAATGCAACCGGTTGGCTGTGAGTAAAGGATCGTTAAATATAAAACACCTATCTCTACCATATCAAGTTTTTTCCTTCCTCCTCTACTTCCTCAACCTGCTATCTCAGTGCATTCATATCGCATTCCAACACCGTTTTGATATTCGCAGCCGGATATGGCTCAGCTGCCTAGCGTTTCGTCATCCTCATCCACAGCCCATCCGTTCCGCCCCCGATGGTGACAATGAAGCACATATCCATTCGTTGGGTTTGAAAAGACGACATCGCGGTGTCACAGGTGCCCACTGCTTCCGACCAGCTTAGCCATGGCTGCACGCGTTACACCGTCATTTCCCGTTAGGTTGAGCTATCAGCCCATTCGTATCCTAGGCCTCAGCAGAGTATAACTAGCCGAAAAGCTGCTGTCTGTGCTTTTTTTTCTTGCTTAGTAGAAGACCTCTTTTAGCATCCAGTGCACACATCGATACAGCATGCTTACCGAAATCATTCGGGGGAACTCCCACCATGTGCTCAAACTTCTCCTCACAACCGGGATTTCTACAGTCATAGGATACATCGGGATTCTCTTCCTCTCACCATTCGTTGCAGGTTCGTAATGTCCCATCAAAAATGCTACAGTTTGTCTGACATATCACTTTAGCTGGTCTTGCCCAAGCTGCCTACATGATAGCCAGGACTCGTCGCGGAGGAACCCCCTTATCCAGCATGAAACAACCTGGTTCATTATCCGCAGAGGCAACCCTCGAAGGGGTCGTGAAACGCAAGCTAGACACTAATTTAACTCTATTAAAAAAAGTAGTCCAGGAGTCTGCATCTTACACAAGTGTACTTACAGCTGTTTTGCTCCAACTCGCTCAGCCAGGGGTTGGAAAAGGGGCTGGAAGACACAGCACGTTCAGCAGTCGCCACGCCGAGCGGACACTTAACACAGCCATATATATCAACGTTATTGCATTCGGCACTGAGGCAGAGAAGATTGCTTTCCGTAACTTCGTCACAACCGCACATAAACACGTTAACGACAATAAAACCAAGAAGAGCTATGACGCCATGGACCCGCGGCTACAGCTCTGGATTGCTGCGGTTACCTACGTAACCATGATGGATAAGTACGAGGCTATCGTCCGCCCTTTCTCCGAAGCAGAGCGCGATCAAGTCTACCAACAATTCTCCATCTTTCCCACGGCCCTTCAAGTCCCGCTATCCATGTGGCCCGAAAATCGCCAAGCTTTCCAACTGTATTGGGACAGAGAAATTGCAGGTCTCCGTCCACCCAAGGAAGCCATTCGTATCGCTCAGGGCCTCCTCCACCCCACGTATGCCAAACTTTCACCCGCTCTCGCCATAATCGTATTCTTTAGACACTCGCTGGACACGACGATAGCGACGGAAGAGTTGCCTGAACATATTTGTCAGCGCTATGGACTCAAGAGCACGTGGTGGTCAAGAGCTCGATACGCAGCGCTCATTGCGTTCTATAAGCTAACGTATCCTCTCTATCCAGAACCGGTTAGGACTTGGCAGAGGGACTACTACCTTTGGGTGATGAGGCAGAGGTTTGCGAAGGAAGAGCGGGCGCGAAACGGAAAGTCGCCTCTTGAGGCTTGAGCGGGAAACAAACCTCAGAAAATTCAAAGGTGAATGAATCATCTTCCCGTTTGACCCGGCCAAGAGTGCTGAGATGGGATATTGGAACCCGATGTTCAATATGATTTAGCTTGTGTTAGTTTCTTCATTCTCTATGCTAATTTTCTTTACCTGCTTCTACATTAAAATAAGGGAGGGATGTTAAAAGAAAGTTGGGGGGGAGGGGGGAAGGAAAGCGCGCAAGTTTTATTAGCGTCTAAATATTTTCTCCAGCAACAGATAATTGGATGATTCAGAAGCACATACATTCATGTAACTGCATAGATGGGCTCGTTCCTCTAGAGGTCTACCCGGGTATATATAGTTCATCACATTACCTTCCACGTATTTTGGTTTTCAAGAGCCACAAAGAAATTAAAGGGCCCTTTAGAGGGTGTTGGTAGGCCAAATCCTCCGAATGTTTTTTGTCTAGTAATCAAGCAACGAAACGGAAAAACAAAGAGAGAGCGATGCGTCAACGCCTAACTATCTAGTACACCATTTACCTATCCACAGAACATAAAAAAAAAACCGATGATAAAGCACAGGAGGGATGTTTATCGTATGCGCGGTATGTATATATATGTCACGTTCATGCCAAGACGCAACTTCAACGTCTTGGACTAAACCCACACCTTAAGCCTCCGCCTTCCGTTTAAACTTCGGCGCATGTTTAGGCTGACTGCCATAATTCCGTCGACCCTGTTGCTTTTTATCCCGGCTCATGCTGGCGGCTAGGGTAATGTCGACGCGGGGAGGGGTTGGAAAGCCAAAGCTCTTGGCTACTTTGACGAGATCGAGTTTGTGGACATCAAAGACGGAGCGGAGCGAGTGTGAGGCGTAAGCTTGCAAGTACGATCTGTATCCGTCTTTGGCGGACTAGTATTTTTTGATAAAAAAAAAACGTATGGTTAGTGCGTCCATGGGGATTTTCAACCGATACGGTGCTGGAAAGGGTAGCAGATAGATACGGTGCAACACAATTAGGTAAAGCAGCTGACAACACCCCTGATTTGAAATATTGAAATATATCTAAACTTACCTTATTCAAATAGTAATTCTGTCCGATGAGTTTCTCCAGCTGAGATTGAACGTTGACAATCCTTTTAGCTGGGAAATCGAACTCGACGACGGGGACTCGAGCCTCCTTCAGGTGCTTGAGGAAGCCCACTTCAGATGGCTGTAGGAACATCAAGCTTCGACCCTTGCCATTTGCGCCACGTGCTGTTCGGCCAACGCGGTGGATGTAGTCCCGGGGATCATCGGGAGGATCGAATTGAACGATCCAATCAACAGCGGGGATCTGGATATGATTATATGTCAGATACTACTGCGATCGCCGTCCCTCAAGTGAAAAACTTCGCTATATATAAAACCACCTACATCTAAGCCTCTCGCGGCAACATCCGTGCATATCAGCGTCCCCTGAGTTGCATTGCAAAATTCGAAAAACGTATTTGTGCGCTTCTGCTGTTTCTGTTTGCCGTGGAGGTCAAGGACGGGGAGGTCGATATAGTTCAGTAATTCGGCATGGTACTTGACGCAGTTACAGCTGGAGAAGAAAACAATTATCTTCTTCTTCAAATTACGCTTCAGGAACGAGAAGAGGAGGAGAAATCGTTTGTCGGAATCGCAGATGACGTAGCCTTGTTCCAAGCCCTCGACTGTGCTGTGCTCCTTGCGGTGATCGACATTGATATAAAGCGGTCCCTGCCGGAGCGAAATACGGGCAAGGTCTTCTACCTTTGTCGTCTGCGTGGCCGAGAATAACATTGTTTGCCTATCCTCAGCAGGCAAGATCTTAATGATCTGGCGCATTTCATCTTCGAAGCCGACTTCGAGAATCCGGTCTGCCTCATCGATCACAAGAGCCTTGAGGTTCTTAAACACAAATCCTTGCGTGTTTTGAAGGTGATCAAGAAGGCGGCCGGGAGTCGCAATTAGCAGATTAACGCCTTTCGTAAGCTTCTCTGCTTCAGCCCTCCTGTTCGCTCCTCCAATAACGATACCGTATGTCTGTGAGTGGTGAGCCATCAGCTCTCGCGCGACACCAAATATCTGCAACGCAAGTTCTCGAGTTGGGGACACAACGATAACACCCGTTCCTAAAACAACAAGAAGCAGTCACGTTAGCTAATAAAAAGTTTTTTCTCTTCCATTTATGAAAACATAAACAAAATTATAATTATAAGCAAATAGACCAAAGACGGAAGACGAGGCTGCGGGAGATTGAAGCAACAATACCATTTCTCGGTTTAAACCTCAGTGCACTCAGCATCTCCACAGCAGGTATCAAGAACGCCAGCGTCTTCCCCGACCCTGTCTTCGCCGCACCCAGAACATCCCTCCCCGCCAAGAGTGGAGGTATTCCCCGGCGCTGAATCTCCGTCATTGTCTCGAACTTCATATCCGCAATCGCCTTCATAGTCTTGTCGGACAGGTTCAGCTCCGAGAATTTCTGCGGTTCCGCTTCTGTTTGCGGAAGCGACACGGCGTTCACAGAGGGTAACTCCAGCTGGACTTCATTTGATTTTCCATTTGTTGGCTTTTCTTCCCCCTCCTCGTCGCTATCTACTTCTTGTTCTTTGTCCGCATCTCCGTCTTTCTCCCCAGCTGAACTTTGGGGTAACTCCACCTGCTCCGCTTCATCAGTCGTTTCCAGCTCACGGTCAGGCTCCTCTTCATTCGCCTTAGCTATCTTGCCAAGGTCCCCGTCCTCCTCCCCATCGCTGACATCAGAATGATCTGTTTTGCGTTTCTTGGACTCCTTCGGTTTCCTCAACGTTGCTGAGGGAGCAGCGCTGGGGGCATCAGTTCCTGGTAGGGTGGTAGCTTTCTCCTTCTTCCGAATGCTTTCGCCGGAATTTCCATGCTTTCTTTTCCTCTTTTTAGAGGATTCCTTAGCCGTTTCCATCGTTATTGGCATATTCCTGTGTTTCTCCTTTCCCTTTTTTTGGCTCTTCCTCTCTCTTTCTTTTCCTCTGTGCACCCCGACGTTGTTGTCGAGTTTACCTAATTTTTAGTTCTTTGCGTTTGGCTTGCAAAAAAAAAAAAAAATAAAAGTGGATTTTGTTGGCTCTGGTGGAGACTTCCTCGGCTTCCCGTTGCGGACTAGTGTACCGCATATTGATGCCTCTGTCGACATGCTAATGGGTATCTGTAACTATCAAGAAAAAAAGGGCGTATGCTGAAGTTTGAATTTGTCTAGAAAAGTTCTCTTCAATGAATTACATAAAGAATAGACAATAAAGGTTTTTCTGTGGATTAAATTGTGCTTTCCCGTGACAGCAAACTAGATAAAACCTTTAATGAGATTAGAGATCAGAGATCAGAGAAAGGAATTCACATACACACACACATAGACACACCCATATCCAAACACACAGAGGATGTAGAACTGCTAGAGCCATACACAGTATCAAAGATTAATCAAAGATCATCCATCATCCCACTGCATTTCAAACATGTATGTATATAAAACACATGGCTAATCTATTGGGGGTGTGCATATCCTGGATAAACTGATTTTAGATAAATACTAATTAGTACCTTCTCTCATCTCTCACCAGTTCTATTGTAGAACAGTAATGAGTGAGACAAAAACATGACGTGTGTGGGGGATTCAACACAAGAGACAAAGCCCCTTTATTAATTTCGACTGAGATACTACCTGTCATGGGTAGGAGGAAATGATCATTTGCAGTATTTCCTCCACTCACAAAGTTACCCCCCGGAGCTGGCCATAAACAAGCAGCCAGCCAGCCAAAGAGAATCAAAACTCCAGCCTACGTAAATCAACCTATGTATATCTATCGCACGGTGCACACACTTGAACGTAGCATATATAAACATCAATACACCGCGCAGTGGTAAGGCCAGGGGGTTAATTACTTATTAACACCCTCTGATTCAATGGGAGGTTCTCTCTCATCCCACCCGCTCTCCTCTGCACTCAGAAAGCCAGGTCTGGCTGGGCCTGACCACTCTTACCCGCGTAGTTATTATTTGCTCTGCCTCCTGTTCCTGCAGCCAATCCTTATTCTTAACATGCAAGATCTGGCACACACATAAAACGCCGTCTTCTTTGAGAAGGACCCGCCTAGCCAGTCATGGGTAAATCTACCATCGAGTTGGTGAAGACAAGTTCACACAGGATGCGAAAAAAAAAAAAAAAAAAAAGGGCGCTCTTCTGCATTTCTATCTGCTAACCACTTGTGATGAGAAATTCCCGAGAAATAGGGGCAAAAGTGCAAAGCCGAAGAAGAAGGGGAGAATTTGCAAGACAAGAGGCTGTGCAAGCTAAAATGGTTAGACAGTTGGTGGGGTGAGGAGCCCTTGGCCAGGGGCCCTTCTCATCACGGTGGAACAATGGAGATGTTCCCTGTCAGAGAGGAAAAGATGTAGTTTATGCTTGACGCTGGAGTATTATTATGTTAGCTATTCAATACACGGTTCCGGAGCAGGATGGCAGGATAGCAGGATGGCGAAAATAAAATTTTACTCAGATTCAGCAACAATGACGAATGCACCTTTATGCGGATCAAATGGGGCTTGAGGATGGCAGCAAGGTGGCTAGGGGGGTTTCAGTAACGAAAAAATAATTGCCATCAAGGTTCGATGTAATCATCAAAACAACAACAACATTTGAGATTGGCGAAATGGGAGATGTTTTGCTTCCTCGCCCGCTCTGGTTTACACACGCATAGTTCCTACGCAATATATCCGTGACACAGGAGATATCCAAGCCAACCTCCAGGCCGCGTGTCGTAGGGCATCGGGCAGTGACATCAACCCCCGTGACGGTGTATTGTAAACGCCGTACACACCGTACGGCATACACAGTATTCCACGCCAGGATCGGGCAGCGGATTGTGGCTCAGCGCACACACCAGCGACACCTAGGTAATGTACGGCCGAGATCTTGGTTCCCTTGCTGTTTTTTATGGCTCTGATTTTCAGCCAGAAATAAACGCTCTCGACACTGTCAACCACATCATCCGTCCTCTCTCAACGGTAATAAGTTTTCACATTTCAAGACCCTCGCTAACTGATCAAATCCACCATTAGCCGTGTGCCTTGGTGAGTGTGGGGAGCCTATGTTCGCATGAGTGTCTACTCCGAGACCACTGCACTAGTAAGGTTTGCCAAGTTATCTTACATGTAATGTAATACGGCCATATAAGGCGCCTAACCGCATCGCGCACCTTCTCGCTCCTCCTTCCCGTCATCCAACGTCGCCTCATCGCTTCATCTCACCTCCACCTCACCTCTTTTCTTATTGACTTCTTCTCTCTCCTTCTTCTTCTTCTTATTCCCATCTCTCTTCCAGGTTGTCTCTTTTGTCACGACAACCTTCTTGACGACCATCTACCTCTACCTACAATAGTCGCTTCCGTCGTCTTCCGCTCACTTGTTTTCGTTTTTCTATCGTTCCCGCTTTCCAACTTGTGGGAACACCATCGTTCGTTGCATCTTCATCACCAGCTTATCCGTGCCGTAATCAACTACTGCCACGTTACTCCGCTCGCTCTTCTGCTCTATTCGGTCGATCTTTTACGAAACTCTTCCTCGATCGTTGACTCGACAACCTTCGTGTGTGGCACATTGCATCCAGCAGGCCTAGCCCAGGAACGATCACTCTCCCTTGAACGAAGTCAAAATAATCCCATCCATCGATCCATCGATCGATCCCTCCACTTCGACCTCGTTTCATCTTTTCGGTTGCATTGATAATAATATACAGGACACAGGTGCTCTGGAGTACCTGATTCCTCTTCGAGCAGAGGGCATCTCTGTGTTGAATGCTGCACATCATTTAATCCCCTTCGCTTCCTCCCCCCAAATTCACCATGAAGCCCCTCGCAATTCTCTCATTTTTCGTCGCCTTCCTCCCACTCACCCCTTATGTCTCGGCTGTAAAATTGATCCGGTCGGATTCCCTTATGCCTTGCCAGGACAACTCCAACTTCACCACTAGCTTATTCAATATCCTCCTCACTCCTGACAACAATACTCTCCATGTGCAAGTTATTGGCGTCTCGTCAATTACCGGCTACGTTACCGCAGACGCCCGAGTGTTCGCCTATGGACACCAAATATTGAGGGAGACCCTCAATCCCTGTACAGTGAAAGGCTTTGATTTAGAATCCCTCTGCCCCATGCAGGCCGGCCCCATCAATTACGACTTCAACCTCCCAAATCTTTCCAAGGACGCACTCGACAATGTTCCAAGTGAGCTTGCCACAGTGGCACCCCTATCCTCTGACTATACCTCTCTGCTTTATCTAACCCTTAAGTACAGCTGTTGCATACGGAGTACCCGATATCGATCTTAAGATCAGAGTCTATATCAATCAAACCAACACCGACAAAAGCATTGCTTGTCTAGAAGCCCGACTTTTCCAATGGCAATACTGTCTATCAAAAGGCCGTGGGTTGGATTGTCGCCATAATTGCTGGTCTTGGATTGGTTGCCTCTGCCATCACATCTGGGCTAGGCCACTCGAATACCGCTGCCCATGTTGCAGCTAATGCGCTATCACTATTTGGGTTCTTCCAAGCCCAGGCCATGATCGGAATGTCCAGTGTCAGTCTCCCACCAATCGTGCAGTCTTGGACTCAAAACTTCCAGTGGAGCATGGGCATCATCCGTGTCGAATTTCTACAACGCATTTGCACTTGGTACCAACGATCGACTGGTGGCCGGCCATCGACAGTTTTGTCTACGCTCGGATCCACTTCCGTTCATGTGCAGAAGCGCGCCATTGAATGGGGCAACAAAATTATTTCCAATGTTCCTAGTCGACTTTTGAAACGGACAAATAATGATAACACTATCAACGAGAAGGTGACAACCACCATTGTTCGGGGCATTGAAAGAGTTGGTTTCCGCGCGAATATCGAAATGACAAACATCTTCATGACTGGCTTGATCTTTTTTGTCTTTTTTGTCGTTCTTGTCCTGGGACTGGTAGCGTTATTCAAGGGTTATTGCGAAGTCGCGTCGAAGAAAGGATGGATTAAGGGTGGTAAGTTTCAAGATTTCCGAAACGGATGGAAGATTATCATGAGAGGCATTCTGTTCCGCTTGGTAAGTTGCCGCTATCCCGTGCGGATATGACAGAATTTTCTAACAGTTCCACTCTCCAGGTACTTATTGGCTTCCCCCAAATGTGCATTCTCTGCCTATGGGAGCTCACTAGGCGAGATTCGCCTGCTGAAGTTGTTTTGGCCGTGTTCATGCTCATTTCGATGGCTGCGTCTCTCGGTTTCGCTGCGTTTACTGTCATTCGCCTGGCCAAGAGGTCGGTGGAGCTCCATAAAAATCCAGCTTATATCTTATACTCAGATCCTGCGGCTTTGAACAAATGGGGTTTCCTCTATGTTCAGTACAGGGCAACGGCCTACTACTGCGTCATCCCCGTCCTAGTCTATATTTTGGTCAAGAGCATGTTCATTGGGTTGGCACAGCCGGCTCCCCTTGTTCAAGCTGTCGCTCTCCTTATTATTGAAGCGGCCGTTTTGATCGCTGCCAGTGTACTGAGGCCATGGATGGACAAAAAAACCAATATTTTCAACATCTCAATCGCCGCGGTCAACTTCTTCAATGTCATCCTTCTCCTCTTCTTCACCCAAGTATTTAATCAGCCCGTAGGTGACAGCTAAGTCCCTGTATTATTATCCCCCCCGATCGAATTAGAAACTAACCTTCTCTAGGGTCTTGTCACTGGCATCATGGGCGTTGTCTTTTTCGTTGTCAATGCAGTATTCGCCCTTATCCTGCTTATTTTGGGTCCTCATCTCGTCCGTGTATGCTATCGTGTCTAAGAATCCAGATACGCGATACCAGCCCATGAGAGACGACCGCGGATCCTTTATGAAATCCCAGACTCAGCTGACAACCGAGCTCGATGCTCTTGGAGCGACCGCTCGTGGTGAAACGAAATCATTTGAGGACTCGTCCTCGCTATCCGGCTTTTACCCTAACAGGGCAGATTCCCCAGCACAAAGCCTACAGCGTCAACAGCCACACTCTCCGCTGGAATCATCTATGCCTTTATTCCCTGCCGACAGCTCTGCTCGTGGTGCCCCACCTCCAACATATCAAACCCAGGCTCCATACTCTCGAGCACAAAACATATCGCCTGCGCCCCGAAACATTACCACATCTCCTTTCCCAAGCTCTCCATCGGCGACTTCGAATCCGGCTCAATATAGGATGAACAACAACAGTAGTCCATGGCAACGCGGCGCAGGATACGAGCATTGAGGTTTTGGAGAATGGATGATGCTGGCATTTGCCCTTATTCCAAAAAATGAAGAGATGACCCGGGTCAGCTCTAAGGCTGGGAAATAGCTTTGTCCTTTTCCTTATTTTATTTTCACAATAACATATTCTCGCGGGTTGGACTTGTTTGGCGTTAATCATGTTACTTAAAGGCTATTTTTTATCTTCCGTTTTACTATTTTTTATTTATCGTAAGCTCTTGCTCTTTGAATGAACTTGAAACATTCAATCCCGTCCTCACCCCACAGATTATACACTTAGCTTTCCCTCCTTGCAACCCACTCTACTGATTTTTGTTTTTCCTATATTCTCTTTAGGCGTTCGATGTGGTATACATTTCTGTAATCTGTGGAAAAGAAACCAAGTTTGTTGCATATATTTTTGTCTCCTTATTTTTATCCCGCCTTTCATTCTTTAATATTTAACTTTTCCTTGTTGGTCTCTGTACAATCTCTTATTTTTGTAAACTCTTGTTTTCCAAAAGGAAAAAATTCCTTGAAGCTCAACCACTCTCCTTGTCTTTATACATACTGTACATACATTTGGAAATAATCTTTCATGTACATATGCTCATTTAAAACCTTATTTAAATTTTGATTTAATTATTCTGTCTAAGCGAACTAGGTTTTAACTTTTTCGTTTCCTTTTCCTTTCCCTTACGTATTACATTCTTCAGATAGACGGTGGCTATCAGCCATCAGCAAAAAGGTCCGAGTACCCAAACACCTTTCATCCTCTCATTCATCACTTGGCTTTAAACGAAACCTTAAAAAAAGAAAACCTTCTCGCAGCAAACTTCTTCATACGAGATATATAAAATGTGGTTTAGGGCTCCAAACGCTCATCCCACGTGCAAACGCTCCAAGTACCTTGGTGTATAGTTTGTTAACTATGTGACGAGGGGCGGGGTTCACGGATCCAAGAAAGTATCCTCGATGGTCTAGTGGTCATGATTTCCGCTTGTCATCGGCTAAAGTTGTCAAGCGCGGGAGACCAGGGTTCGATTCCCTGTCGGGGAGGGTTTTTTTTTTTTAATATTTATATTTATTTATTTTTTTCTTTTCTCTTCAGTTTTTCATTTACGGCCTGGCCTTTCTTTGTTTCTCTTCCCCAGGGTCCGTTCATTTCATTTTCTGTCCCTTTTTTTTTGGAGCGGGAGTGGGACGGTTTCTGAATCCCTGAATCAATGTATCAACCTCTCCACGTCTATAAGCTGAATTATCTATCTTCAATTTGGTACGCAATAGGACGCGTATATGTAGCAAAACTTATATATTGAAGTAACAAGACGGGTATCAACTCAGCCGATGAGAAGCGGTAGTAAAAGTAGGCTGTAATTTGATATGGGTTGTCGATTGTCAGATCCCTTCAGGATAACCGATGGATGACATGGGAAATTACAAACGCCCTGTTCTATTTTATTTGAAAAGATATATGAGATGAGACGGAGAGAAGGAAAAGTCCGATCTCTTCTGACCTGGGGATTCGAATTTGATTTAACTTGATTTAATTTTAAAAAGGAAGGCTCCATTACTCTAGAATGTAAAGGATTAAGGGACAAAAAAACAGGAAGAAGCAAGGAAAAGAACAGCACGTCAGTGACGAGTTGTATATGGTTGCAGAACAACAAAAAAAGAAGCAAAAAAAATAAAATAATGATTTTGGGGGAATACATGATACATGCACATATTTTCGTACAGGAAATACAAACAAAAGCCCAAGTGCCTCGGGTCATTTCCCTTCTTGACTTGGCCCCGGCGATGATGCTGGCTTTTGCGGCACCCCAGGCGGCGGGGTTATCCCTGCAGACTGCCCAAGGGGTGGAGCACCGGGTAACGGAAAACCAGGGGGCGGAACTGGGGTACCTGTCGCCCCTGGACCGGGGCTTGTGCTTTGCGTTTGCCCTTGGCCTGGGATGGGTGGCGGAGGAAAGCCTGCTGCACCGGGTGGGGGGAATTGGAAGTTAGGAGGGAAGCCGTTTGGAGGGGGAAAAGGGATGTTGCCTGACGGCATGTTGGGGAGTGGTGGAGGTGGTAGGTCGCCTGGCATAGGGGGTCCGCCCGACGTGCCTCCGAAGGGGGGTGGTGGTGGGAAGGGAGGCATGCCACGACCTCCTGGGACTGGACAGATTTATTAGCTGAGATGATTTGGGGATGACTGTTCTCTTTTATTTCCTTTTCATACGGAAATGGTTGTAAAAAATTGGTGGACTTACGTGGAATCATTCCTCCAGGGGGTGCTCCGGGAGGCGCACCGGGCATGCCGAACGGTGGTGGGGGCGGCAGCATTCCCGGCCGTCCTAATGAGAGGATATTAGGAGAGGGGAGTTGGAAGGGATAAGGGAAATGTCCCACGGGAACTTACCTGGGAAACCGAAAGCTGGTGGGGGGTATGCGCCGGGTGCGCCAGGTTGTTGAAGCATGGGATTCGAGCTTGCCTGGCCTTCAGCCGCATATGAATTTGTTATAGAATCGATAACAGACTGTGCTTTCTCATGACCAATTTCTGAAGCAGACGAAGGGCTGTTAGTTTAAGTGACGTTAAAGGAGAGGGAATCCTTGCAAAACTGCGAAGACTCTCTGCGGTCCCGCATGCTGAAGTTGGGAGGAGAGTCTCGGCGTACCTTGATAATATTCGACGACATTTCGTAAATGATTGCGACCTGAATTATGCGCCTTCCGCACACTCATCGAATCATGAGTCAGGTATACATCGCAGTAGTCGCCTAGGTAATTCATTTGTTAACATTGATGACATTCGCGATATTCCGCTCCCTCAGGTAATTCTGTCAAATCAAAGCCTTCGGAGGGTAGAGACGAAAGGCCATTGGGCGATGCAGCAGGACAATCGACCGGGGAAACCTACAGAAGAGTAAACAGGATGTCAGCAGGCGGTTTCTATCAACAAGAAATTCTGGAAATGAATAAAATGGGACGACTTATATTTCGGCATTTTTGATTATGGGCGTTGAAGTTGCCACCAAAACCTCAATTCCTGCTATGGGGAATCTTCCCCTTCTCTAAGAACTGTATATACCTCCCAACAAATGTATTTCTTTATATTGTGTATAAACAAACAAGGTAGCGAACGCGCATCCGTCGAAACTTGCCCAAATACTAGTAGCTTGCTCTCTGCGCAAGGACAGCTTGAGCTGAGAACAGAGTTGTTGCAATGCGCCTGACCTTGTTTAATCGCAACCTGGAAGCTGATGATGAGTATACAAGTAGACCTTCAAAATTGTAATACTGTGGAAAATAACGGGCCCTGTCCCAGCCTATGGATCTTCGTGGAAAATAACGATGCAGTTGCGCCAGCTAACTGAAGAAACGGGATGAGGTTAGGTTTGAAGGCGGTCCAGTCTGGCAGAATAGAGCATCCATTGTTTGTTGTGTTTGTTGTGTTTGTTTGGAAAGTATCACCTGAGAGGAATTGAATTGAGGGGCACAGAAATGGCCAGGGAGTAATTTTGTACGATAGTTGAATGCGCAGACAAATGAAATCGATATCATCTTGCGGTTCCAGATCCCCATTGGCAATAGTTCCTCTATTCTATCATATTGCTGAAGGAGGCAATGTATTCAAGTATATAGAGACGGATACTAGTATAGACCTAACTGTTCGTCAATGATCTCACTCTCCTCAAGAAAATCCAAGAGGGATTTTACGAGACTGAATAAATCTAATTTCTAGAAATATCTTCCTTCACCGCCTAGCCATAAAGTCTGTTTTTTCTCCCTAGGTTAATTTTAATGTCGGCGATGCAGCCTGCCTGCTTCATTATCGATGAAGGTATGAAAGTTTTACTTTTTTTTTTTTTTTTTTTTTTTTGTTGTCCGTAGACGAGCGCCGGTCGTGGGCATTGCCAATTGGCTATTCATGTTGGATATTGACCTGGTTGCCGCTGGGTAGTATTATGGTATTATTATGCTCATTGCGACAGATGCTGAGGATTTGAACTCATCATTACTGGGGCTGTTAAATGGCGCAAGGCTCAAAGGGGGTATTTTTTCCTGGTAACGAAGTTGACAATGGCTCCAGCGGTCCGAGAATGATGCAGGTCTATGCGTGGCACCAAAAAGGGGATTGTGCCGAACTAGCATAAGCATCCTTCGCAGTATTGTCGTCCCGTCGGTTGCGCTATTTCTTTTGAAGAGCGGATGCCATCAACTGAGCATCTCCAATCAAAGTGGAGGAGAGCCTTTGTTGTTGAGTAATATTTCATTCAGAACTCAACCCGCCAAAAAACATATCCTCGTGACGAACAGATCTCTTCCAGGGGCTTGACCTTTGACCATATACGTCAGTCGTGCAGCTTTGGCTGTTGTTTATAATTTTAGCCTGAAGAAAAGGAAATTTATTGGCAGTGATCACAGTAGTTTGCAGGTTGCAAAGCATTACCCCAAAGTTCTCGGCCTTGATCCATTCAACGACTACTCCGTGCTCTGTAAAATTGCCAATACCAAGTAGGTCTTTGAGATCTGACAGTTGATGACCAAGTACATGTCTTGTACGTCTAATGTATTGTGCAGAGTAACACGTTGGTAATGGCTGCTGTTGGTGGTTTTTGCCATTTCATGGTAAAACTATTAGTAGTAATGATTTCATTGCTTCGTCCCCCTGCGACAACGCCAGCTCTCGGCCAGAAAAGTGCCCTGTCATATAACTCAAATACCCAAGTAACTTGCCGCAACGGCGCTACCGCTTACGGTTTCCTTCCAAGAGGACACTGTGGGATTTCTTAGTATGCAAATCCCCGAAGCTGGACAGATGAATCTCTCAAGCGCAGCAACTCCCGTGAATCACGGCTGAGAGTCGAGAGGCGCTTCCTTCATGGGTTTGGTTTGCGGGAAACTAAAGCGGCGTGGTGAAACGTCCACCAAATGACGGTGAAAAGTCATTTTTCTTGATGAGACTCTACGGCGCCATCCGATTTCTGGGAATGCTGGAATGCTGCTTTTAGGCTCTCGAGTATGAGCCATCAGCTAATGGAGGCTGGTGTCCACGGCCTCGTAACAGAAACAGGGTTGGCGACCAATCGCAACAGCAGGACTTGAGACGAGGGAGCGAAGCGCCACCCAAGTCCCAACCAGGGCGGCCCAACGAACGGTAACTTCATTCCATGGACAATTTGTATCCAGGTAGTTCTATTTTTGCGCTCGAACTTTGTTGGCAGGCTCGGGCTGGGCCTTGTGATGTGTTAGAGAGTAGTGCCGAGCCCAGTGGTGTCTGAGGCCCCCGCATTGCCGCTCACCAGAGAGCATCCAGGTACAGAACAGAGGTGGGTGGCCCCGACTATAAAAAGCGAACGAACCTGGCTTGCTGACTTCGAAGGAAAATGCTGTTGAAAGCTTGTTAATAATATTTGAAACTGTTTTGCTCTCAAACCGCGGCACCCATTTTCTCTTATTATTTATTTATTATTCGTGGCTATCGCTGTCGTAAAATATCCTTATTCCATTTCTCAAGTGTTTCAAAATAACAAGTCAGACCTTCGGAATAAATCAGCTCCATAAGACCCAACATTCAAGCATGTCCTACCACTTGGTTGAACCTCTTCCTTCCATCTCCCACACCACGCGTCCCGTCACGCACACTGCTCGTGGTGGCGCTGGCAATGTCATCTCTCTGAAAAAGACCACAGTCTCATCAAGCCAATCAACCACGAGCACAGGCCCAGCCGCTGCTCTGAATAACCGACCGCAAGTGCGTTTCACCGGCCGTACAGGCGCTGGCAATGTACACAGCTATAGTGAACGGGCCATCTTCAGTTTCGACGAAGAGCTGGAGCGCCAATTGCGACGCGAGAAAGAAGTGGCCCCAGTTTTCCACGTCGGAAGGGGAGGTGCAGGAAACACGATAATACCGGAGGGTTTTGACCTGTCGCGCAAATGCAGCAGAGGGAGCGTGAAGACCGCGTCTAGCACTGAGTCCATAGACGCGGATCCGCTCAAGAATAAAACGAGGAGGAATCTTGAAATGCGGTGGGGGAAATTCATGGGCTACTCATGACAGGGCGGGTTGGAATCGAGGTCGTTGTTTTGCTCTCGAGGCGTGTCACCAACCGAACATATGCTTGACATATAATTGCTCACCTCGAACAACAGACATCCAGCTCCATGGTCTATCCCCATCACATATCTCTTACATTCTTGTGCACATTGCCACTACCGTTTTTCAAATGACTTACGAGACCCACGATCTGCTATCCTAAAAGCGCCTTTTAATTTCCTTCTACCGCCTTCTTCCACCGGTTCCCCTCCTCGTTACATAGCCCCATATGATCCCTACTGAGATGGTATCACCGATAAAGCAATGAGACTTATTTGATAACTTGGATTTCCTAAATGTCTCCTGTCTCCAGTTTCTAAATCTCAGTTTCTCCCCCACGGGCGTTTCTCTAATTGTCAGTTCTTTTATGTTTCTAAATGTTCGAACTCTTATTTGTCTTCCATCCTTGGGACAAAGCTATCGAAAACCCTAGGGTATAGGTACAGGTACCTCCTAGGACAAAGTATCCCATATTTGTCTCGAATACACCTATGGTTCAAAAACCTGTTTACTCTTCTAAAGTCACCAAAATCCATCCTTATAAAAAATTGAATATCTCAAACAACCATAACTTCAATTTAATTCAATAACTTTTAAATGATATAGAATTGATATTTTGTATATCAGCTCTTAGCTTTTCTAACTGTCTTCAACCATCAAGATATAAATTTAATAAGTCTATCAATATAGCTCTTGTCAAGTGCATTTCATACTTCTTAAATAGTTTATTGAAAAAAAAAGTTCAATTCATCTTTTTTCTACCTTATTAACTAAACCAAGAATCATACAAAGCTCGGGGCTCAAAAGTTGCTTCATTTTGTGGCTGAAATGATTGGATGTCAATGTGTACGAAAATGCGGCTTGAATCTCGACGATTTGAAGATTTCTGGACATCTGTCTGATTGATTCAAATACTGAACAATCTCCACTTTTCCTCCTGCATTGGACCCAACTTGACCCAGATACCCCGTATTCTTACCCCTGAGTTATCTGCCTACCTACCTACCTATCTACTTCAATGAATGATATTCACTGACGATATATATATTCTATTGATGAGTTCCAACGGCGTTGATGCTCAGCATTTGCCATGGTTAGGAAATTTGATGTTCAATATCTAAAACCCGTAGGGGTAAGAATATGGGGCGAAACGCTTCTATTCAGTTCGTTTACCTTCGTTCTGGCCTTAAAATTTAAGGAATGATCGCCACGAACAAAAAAATATAGTCTTTAGTTATTCTACCGAAAGTAAAATGCCTCGTTAAGATATTCTTTGCCACGCTTCAATTTGCTTTTTTTGTTCAATCATTAGAGCAATCAACAGATCGGTTCGAGAACATGTAGAAGAATAAAAAATAAATCTATATACAGACTAGAGAATTGCTTGAGAATCTCCAGGAAGTAAAACAACAGGAAACCAGGAAGCAAAACCAAAACAAAAAGGGAATAAAATAAAATAGATAAAACCAAACGAGAAAATGGGGTAGACTGGAGCGCGAAGAGAAATTTCTTGTCTCAGAGGGAGTGGCAATATGTAGGACAGAGGGATCTGCCAGATGATGCGAGAGAGAGAGAGACAGAGTCAAAGTGGGCGGAAACGGGGAAATCGGATATCATTCGGGAGAACCTTTCTGACTGAAAGGGCAATTCGTCTCCATTTCCAAATCCGTGGTATATTTCGAGAAATGACGACAGAGGGATGAAGGGGCGGTAGATAATAGCGGCTGTATGATAACATTGAGCTGCTATAACTGAGGACGAGAGGCGAAATGGAAGAAAGAGAACAGAGAATGATCAAAGCGCTGAAATCCACAATGAGAAAGAGATGTTGGTACTGTACAGACATAATCAGCTGACAAACGACGGATACTGCAGTATGTACCTTGCTATTGGGCATCAGATGTTTCGAATCAAAATTGTGCATGGATTGTAAAAGGGTAAAAGGGGAAACGCGACATATGTTGGGGAATAGGGGTCTGCAGGGTGGGTATCAAAACGACTCGGCTAATCTAATAACTCCTGATCTGGTCCTTCTCCATTTCTGTCCACCTGCTCTCAATTCTGGGGCGCATTTTCGTGCAGTTGCTCTCTGGGACTGTCCACATGCATAGCTCGTCCAGCGAGGAATAATGAGTGGTGTCGACTTGACAGTGCAGTTCCTCATCAATTCTTCTCCTTTCTAATTGAACTTCGTGTGAATTATATCTGGATTCTCGTGCCAATCATCGATGCTGACCCACATCTGGAACAATTAAAATACACGGTGAGTGTGATTGAAACGAACCATAAGGTATACGAATTTGGAGGTTGCGTCTCAAGAGGACTCGAACGTACCTTTCTAAAAGTGCTTAGACCAGCAAGAATACTGCCTCCGATCCATGTACTGTATTTTCGTTCCGGAGGGGCAAAAATCTTGATTCTCATGTCCTTGACAGCCAATCGTTGAACCTCATGAAGCAACCTATCTCCAAAACCTCGACATAGAGTCGAGCCGCCAGAGAGTACAATATTGCCGAATAGCGCCTTGCGCAGGTCCATATCGGTCCGATTGATAGCATCTACCACGATTTGATGAACGCCAGGATATTCAAGGCCGATAATTTCAGGATCAAAAAGAATTTCAGGAGCTCGAAACCGTTCCGCTCCAACCTAGATATCCCATGCCAATCTGTCAGAAAAATGTTCCCTACGCGGGGCGGTGGGCCCGGTATTTGTGGCGCTTACCTTAAGTTTGTGTCCGTCCGGCAGAGTATATTCCTGGGTTTTAGAGTCCACCTTCGAGACATTTGTCGACCAGTCTTTTTCTTCTCTCTTCGGATCCAAGGCGACATAGCCTGTTTTCTCTTTAATCATCCTGACCACCTCCTTCTCAGCACTCGTATGGAATACGTAGCCGTTTTTCCGCAGGAGCAATTGTAAATACTCTGTAACATCACGGCCCGCAACATCAATTCTTCGTATACTACTTGGCATAGCGAAGCCCTCGTAGACGGGGACCGCATGGGAAACACCATCGCCAGAATCTAGCACAATGCCTGTTGTTCGGCCGGAAGCATAGAGTGACAGCACCGCCTGAATTGACGTGTAAAGGGCAGGTATATTAAACTGTTCAAATAGAATCTGTGCGGCCGTGTCTCGGTTTGTCCGCGGATTGAGCGGGGGCTCGGTCAATAGGACTGGATGCTCTTCGCTCAACGTCTTCAGTTCCCCTTCGTAAACCCACTGCCAAATCTTTTCCATGTCATCCCAATCTGTCACGATTCCGTGCTCGAGAGGATATCGAATTTTTAGGAGACCTCGTAGCTCTTGAGCTCTCTGTCCAATAAATACGTCGCCTTCCAGCGCGCCAGCGAGGACTCGGAGGTGTTTTGGTCGACCGACGAACGAAGGGAAATAGCATTTTGGAAGATCCTCGCCTGCGAACCCAGCTCGTATGGTCCCACTGCCATTGTCAAGCACTATAGGTGCATTATGCAGAGTCGTTTCTGCCATGATTCGTAGGAATATGTATGTGATTAGGGTTATACCTTAAAGGGGCGGTTGGTTGCGGCTCGTAGGGATGGACGTTGGGGTTGAGACACTAGCGGATGCAGGCCGCAACCGGTCGTAGAGGGATGAGTAGTAGTGCGATCGTGGAATGGTGGAAATAAGGCGTGAATTGCGCGTGGAAGGTTGAATTTCTCAAGGCGTGAGGTTTGTCTGTTTAACATCTGAGCAACTCAATTCATGGAGTTATTTTATTTTGGGGAGGTCGGAGCTTGGACCAGGTACCACCACGGCTCGATTAAACTGTCTGACAGGAACAACAACAATGCCGTACAAATACCACAGACTTAGATGAGAGTTAAAAATAAGAAATTCCCATTCCGTAAGCTTTGTAGATCTAGTTATTGGGTATATAGTTTGAAGTTTACTTTCTTTCTTTTTTTTTACCACTGCTCAACTGCCGAGTGATGTAAATACGCTTCCGTGTTCGACTCCCGTTGGTCAATGCCGGATGAACGACTGCCTCTCAGACAATAGGGGTATACTCTTAAGTCTAAAATATCTAGCCCCGCCTTAAAGGGAGCCCTATCGATTTAGATAGGGGCGCAATGTCGGCATTGACCAGATAACAATAACAATTGATTTTGGTAACACCCACTCTTAACGCCATGCAATGCCAAATGGGGAGTTATCCCTGGTTTCAATGTGCTTGTCCAATGCACGCATCCCACAATTTCTCTACCTATAACCACGGAATGATCATATCGTCAAAACGGTTGATCAGACCAAACAAGAACGATGAAAAACATGCTGTATCCCACGCTCGATCGCCAGCCTCAACAAACTATGTCAATGCATGTAATTCAAGGTTGGGTTTGCCATCAATCCACAAAACCAAGCTCGTCTTCCATCACTCCGACGAGGCCCTTGCCAGCATGCTCTTGATTGATGCTTGGAGGCCATTCATGCATGCGCTGCCGAAAAGTTTCAGATTCCACCATGGACTCTGCTAGGCTTCTAGAAATTAGATTAGACAACTCCCCGGAAATCGTAGCGCATATCGCACTCTAGCAGCGATGAGGAAGTTCATCATACCCAAGCTTGCCATGGATTACGTATCCATTGACTGCTAGCTGTTTTGCTAATTCATCTTGGTGATTGTGCAGTAATTGAGGGTTTGGGACCACAATAAGAGGTAAACCCATGCGAAGAACTTCAAGAATTGTGCCTGAACCTTCAGCCATATAGAGGAGGGAAGATGGAAGATACATCAGCCTAAATCTGGGTCTCGGTCGACAAAGAAATATACAACGTACCAGCATGGCTGACGACCAAGCCATCGACCTTGTTTGCGTCAGAATCGGCTTTAACTGCGAGCATTTCCCCCTTGAGGCCAGCCAAGTTAAAGTCGAACCCTGTGACATTCAGTCCATATTTCTCCTTAACCATAGGTTCATTCTTCTGTTTAAATTCCTGGAACAGGGCCTGTCCCATTTGGCCGTATTGAATTCGAAGATCCGTGTAGTTGTTGGCCTTGAGCGCTTCGAGGAACGGCTCCCCAAGAACCTCTAATACAAGAGCGTTGAATGGAGCTGTGGCCCCAACTGTCACAAAACATAGTTTTACCTGCTTCAAAGAGGCCATAGAGCAATGACGTTTGGAGAAACCCGATTTTCACCACACGATACCAGCTCGCATGAAATCTTCGCTGAAGAAGAAGAAGATGAAGGAATACGTTGGTTCAAGGAGTGGTTATACCTCAAGATCGGATATTTTATTTATCCGGATCAAGCCAAAACTTCCATATTTTTGGCTCATGAGCTATCTCCATTGTTCAGTCTTGCGGGAGATCTCGAGGTCTGGAATCTTGATATATGCTACGATTTTGGTCCAATGGCTTCGGTAACGACATCTATCGGCCGGGCCGCTTTGGTCTTCTGTAGACAGACCGCTCCAAAACGGAGCGCGATGCGACCCAGTGCTTTTCGACGGCAACAACAATTCGCGCCTTTCAGTCATTCCAGACATCTGAAGCAAAATGAATTCACCGAAGTTCCCGAATACTCTCCAGACCTACTTGATGAGTCGGAACGTATTCAATACGATGCAATGGCCCCGGACCAGCGAGAAACGTTCGACCGTGAGTTCACGACACTCTCCCAGACCCTGCGTGAACAAGGTCTCGGACAGACTATGAGCGAAATCCACAAAGAGGGAGCCCCGTTTATAGGCTGGACTGGCGGGAACGAGGACGTTGAAGATTATTTTAACGACGACATTCACAGGCTTCACTCTGAGCCTTACATGCAGGATGGGATGACGACTATGGCATACGATGAGTTAGAACAACACCGGGAGCTGAGAGAATACGCCCGAATTGCGGCATGGGAAATGCCCTTGCTTAGCAGTATGTTCCAACTTTCTTCCCTTCTTGGATTATACGCCATTTCTTATGTTCCATTTTCGCTCCCCAACACTGGAACATTGCTAATTTATCTTCTCCGCTAGACCATGTAAAGCCTTTTGCCTTACCAAAGGAGACCCATCTCCTCCGATTCCGATACACCACATACATGGGCGAGACACATCCCGCGGAAACCAAAGTCGTCGTCGAATTTTGTTCGAAAGATCTGGTCCCCAATTACCTCACCGAGGAGCAACGCATCACGCTATTAAAATTGGTCGGCCCCCGCTACAACCCCGAGCAAGACCTCATTCGCATGTCAGCGGAAAATCATCCTACCCGAGCCCAGAACAAGCGATATCTGGGAGATCTGGTGGAAAATTTGATCAAAGAGGCGAAGGAAGGTGATTCGTTCGCGGATGTCCCATTAGACCTCCGCCACCACAAGCCGAAGCCAAAATTCAACTTCCCGAAGGATTGGGCGATGACGGAGGAGAGGAAACAGCAGTTAGAGGAGAAGCGGCAGGAGAGGATGAGGCTGACGGAAGCTAAAAGGCCCACTGTCATTGATGGAAATGAAGTGGTACGCCGGGCGATCAACAGTATTCCCTCTCTTAACCCTGCTCTTCGGGTTGGTGCTGGAGACGAGAATGCTAGAAAAGAACCTATACCTGTACGATCTAGGAGTGTCCCTGCCCAATGGAAACCGTTTTCTGGAAGACGTTAGGGAAGTTCTTTTCTATCGTGTCGAGTTACTTTCCTTACCATGTTTCCCATTTTTTTTTTCAAAGATTTTTTATCATGTGGACGGTTCTGCAATCTGTACATTATTGGTGGTGTTGCGGCTTAGCTTTATCTTTTAACGAAATATTGTATCGTATTTTTATTTCTTGTCCTTTATTTCTAAGAGGCAAAAATGAAATATCCGTGCCTCTATTTATGCAAACATCTCTCCAATTACATTTCAGACTGAAGACACTATCCTAGGCGGTCACAAGATGAGAGAACCACCTTTCAATGATGGGGGAATGAGATGATGCTATTGAACATGAAAATAGGAAGAAACATGTTTGTGTGAATCATATAATGAAGAAACAAACGGAGTCATTAGAATATATTTATTTTCGTCTCAGTGATAAGGGGCTAGGTGTTCAGTGAGCAGGCATGCAACGTACAGATGTCAAAAGAGAAAGAACCCTATACCTTTGATTCAAAGCTATATCGAAAGAAATCCAATCCCATGTACTGAACATCAAAGTGCTCATTACATGAATCTGACTCCCAAGATACACAGAGATAGAAGTTTGAATGCTTATATTTGGAGGGAAAAAAGTGAAAAACAAGATGGAAACATCGACGGCATCAAAGAAAGAAACATGACATGTTCGATATTAAGCTTAAGGTCGTCTGAGAAATATCTGCCGCTGCGCACAAAGCGTTAGGAGCGCTGATAGAAAGGCCTCAGCCGCGACGGGGACAAGGGGCGCACACATCGTCATTGAGGCCAAGTCCAAAGGGATCATTCTCCACAATCTGCTTCAGGCGACGCTGACGCCAGTCTACTCCGTTCTGGTTGAACCCAATTGGCTTGAGAGAGCGGTGGGGGCTACCATAACGGACGCTGTCACCAAAATGGGAGGTGCAGGTGCCAGCAGCGTTTTCAAGAGGCACGTGTGTTGCGCCGCCGCCAGTAGGTCCAATTGTCCATGAAGAACGAGATGAGCGGAAGGATTGCGCGCGACCGTGTGAGGGGATTGGGGATGAGAAAGAGGAATGGGATCCCACAAGGCCGCTGGTGGCCGTGGTTGGCGTGTTGCGGAATGTATTGTCAGTAGAGAATGGGCTTTTGGACAGGGGAGGCTTCGACTTGTTAGTCATAAGTTTTTCAGGAGTCATTGGCCCCTCTGGCTCAGTTACCGCCATGGAATCGAATGGCGAGAGGATACTTGGGGTCATTTCACCATTGGTGCAACTTGTCACAGCCCAGATGGAGCTGCTTCTAGAGAGATCAGTCTGATTGTGCGGATGAACAATAGAGCTTCTATCAAGGCCATGCGAGCTTGCCACTGCGCTTGCAGTATTGGTAAAATTCATAGAAGGGGCTCCAGTCAGAAGTGTGATGTTGGATGCACAGGATCCGACAGGTTCATAGCTTGCAGATTTCCCAGCAGCATTCGTGATATTGTTGCTGTCCAGAGCTGGGATGGGATGTGCTCCCAAAACATTCTGGGCGGTTTGGGTGAGGAGGCCAATGCCCCTCCATGCTGATTTGTCATTAGCCATGGAGACTGCCCTATTGTTGTGTTCTTCTTGAAAGGAGGAACGGATAGAAATCGGCAGCATATTCCCCCCCATTTCACAAGCAAGTTGGCTTCCATTCGGAGGAAAAATTGGGCCAGAAACAGGAGCGTAGCGTGATTCCCAATTTGCAGCTTCTCCTTCAGTTAGCCCTACATTGAATCTTGGAGGAGGTAACCCGTAATTGGGGGTTGGAAATGTTGGCATCGGCCCAACCGGTCTCCATCCACGGCTAGCGTCCATGCGTGGATCCATCCCATCAGAGCCACTGATGCTTTTAACTTTATACTTCTCACGATACCAGCGGGGAATATCGCGAAGCCCCAGGCGCCCTAGGGTCTCGAGATCTCTAGGCATTTCGTGTTTGAAAAGACATCCTATAACGACTTAATACGGCTAAAATTTTACAGAAGTTGAGGGAGATCACCATACCCTGCTGCGAATAGTCACACTCCCCCCGACGAATCCAGAAAGAGCAGAACTCCTTTTTGGCAGGAGTTTTTGGGTTTTTCGCATTCTGGGTTCCAGATTCTCTGCGCTGTGATGGGGTTTCATCCTAATTTTCGCCTCTATCAGGTTAAAAGCAAGCATCAGACGACAGTGATCGGGTTTCGATATTACTCACCAACTTCGCTACTTCGCGGCTAGTGTTGGTAACAGCATTATCGCTAACCTCGTTCCTCCAGGCCATGATGTTGCGCCCCTCAGAATTGGGGCTCATAAACGCTGCATCAACACCACCTGATTGACGAAAGACTCCATGTCCCTCGATAGTAAGAGAGGATTGAGCTGTCATAGCCGGTTCCCCATTCGGGGTCCCATTAATATGATGAGTTCTAGATTCGACAGCAACGTCAACGGTATAAAATTGACCACGAGAGCCCACAGTCCCCACGTTGATCATTCCATGAGCGTCGTCGATTTGGCTCAAACACCGAGGAACGCCACGAATAGTTACGAAGGGAGGCAATTCGTCCACGGCGATAAGTGCAGTAACAACTCCATTTGGGCGGGTGATGCAGAACTCTGGTTGCATGGCTATTCGCTGTCTGTTCTGCTGAAGTAGCTGATAGATAATGGATCGAGTTCAAGGTTATGATAGGATTTGCTTGCAAGATATAAAAAGCTAGGCAGCTGAATGGAAAAGAAAGAATCAGAGCAGCAACAGTAATTTGCGGTTGAAAAGCACAAAGGAGGAGTAAAGGGGGATTTGTGTGAGATGTTAAGCGAGGTTGAAATGAGCAAAATGCTCCAGCAAAGAGAAGAAGTTGAGGGAGCCTGAGGTCTAGAGAAAGAAGATATACAACAGTATATCTGAGTGGATGTGTCAGTGGAGGTTTCAGTGTATTCAACTTTGTTGATATAAAAGAAATGAAACTGAAGATTCTAGAGCAGGAAAGACTTGTGTTGCTGCCAGTGTGAAATTCAATAACACAGAGAAATAGGTAAACAAAGTAGGGAACGATATGTCAACTGTGGCTCTAAATATAATATAGGAGAACCGTGCAAAGATGTAACTCATATAACTGTTCCTGTGCGTGCGCAAGATGTCTAGAGATTGAGGAGTCCATTATATTAGGAAAGCGAAAGGGTTAGCTATTTGCCACATATCTATGTGAGCTTAAAATGAAGAGAAAGAGAAGGAGATGGAAACAGTTAAGATGCTGTTTCTATTTCGTTGAGCAATTATCCAAAATAGACCGGAGAATAGTTTGCCATCATCTTTGTTCTCAGGAGCAGTTTGTCCTAAAGTACCCATGACATCTGTCAGTGCGACCAACCTAGCCTTAGCTCTCGGTACACTGCATTATCATGAACAATCAAAAGAACACTGTGGGAATGGAGTCCAAAGAAAATCAGGCATCAATGTAAAGAAAGGCAGATCAGTTCCCCAGCAATATTAAAAATCACAGGATAGTGGACATCGTCAGTCCCGGACAGTTTTGTGGCATTCAGATCAAACCGAGGGCCTTTTTGGTAAAAATTGATCACCAGTTGTAGTCAATCACCGAAATGGTGGGCCATAGAATTGATCTAATGTCAACGCTTTAAAAGTGCAAAAGTGCTAGGAAGCAGTAAAGACCCATTTGGCAACCTGGATCCTGGGTATAGTCGCACCCGACCGCTTGGGTAGGCAGGTTGATTACCGAGCGGCCCCTTCGGAAGAGAGGACGCGGAAGTATGGCCTCCCCATATATAGTATCTGGAAGGGCCACAAGTTAGTTTTCAGGCTGCGGTTTGGAATAGGAACCATTTAGAGCGAAAACACCAAAAAAGTTTGCATGAGCAATCAAAAAATGAATAATCGAGCAAGGGAAAATGGCATTGCAGCACCAGGAGGTTGCAAACCAACTGGGAAACTGGCTGCGCCCTATATCGCAGATTATGTCTACGTTCAAATTTGGGCAGACTTCTTTAGTATAATTGATGCGCGTGAGGGCGGGTTTTGCTAAATCAGATCTGAGATGGAGGAGGGATATCACCCGAGACCTGCCTTAGTGATGCCCACACCCTAGATAGCATGCGTTTGTGTGTTTCTCTAGCTTGGAAGGCGAATATGTCAGTGTGCAACTCAACAACAAAGGGCTTGGGTCCAGCATTTCTGACAGGAAACAAACAACCAGCAACCCATACCAGTGATTAGCCAATTGCGATTTCGGATTGAGATGAGGAGAGACATACTTCATGTGTGCTGTGTACTCATGTATCATATCTTTGTTTTGAAGGATATTCAACTACCGCGCATCATAATTGTCGGTTTAATCACATACTGGGGGCTTGGGAACGAATCTCACGGAGATGATATATGCCGCTCTGTCATGCCCTCTCCCTCACTCAATGCTGGGTTAGGATGCATTATTATTCAGTAGTCCGCTATTATTTTATCAGAAATAAATGCTTCTCATGTGGGTTTAATACTTCTGTCTGGCCAACCTTGTTAGTGCTGTTATTATGGGAACAGTGAATCCAGCACCTGGTTTAAATATGTTTTTGGCGCCACGGGCTGAAAATAGGTCGATAGGTCGATACACAGCCATTTTTATGGATCTCGTAGTTTGTAGCCAAATAAAATAAGTAAATATATAAATATATAAATATAAATATATTTTTGAGGAATTACAACGTAAAATGGCCTCAATAGCATGTTACCATGGCACCTCTTAAAGTGTTTCAAGGCCTTTCCTCAGAAAATCAGTCATTTCATTGAGTTCACTATTTGACAGAGCGTCCGTTATATCAATGAGGCGCAGATGCCACAAATTGTCATGCTCGTTATTATCGCCCTTCTTCACTTCTATACCTGGTCGATTCGAGTCCTTTTGTGCCAATTCGACAATCTTCTCAATACACTTTTCAAGAATCTCAAATGTACACATAGGTTTTCGGCTGCAATTAGCAAATTCTCAACAAAAAGTGACTTTTGCGTTACGGACGATGCATGAAGGAGAGAGGAAGAAGAGACAGAATTTTTGTGAAGAGGCAAATGACGCTGTATAAACTCATTGTACTCCTAACGATGGAACGCGAGAGTATCTGAAGAGTCCTCCCACAGTGTATCTGGCTCGATGTCCTGCTCGATGTCTGCATTCCTCGCACACATGGCTAGATCCCAATCTCAGGTAAGCCAGGAGGAGTATTTTTCATTCATCCGATGAAACGGGGAACAGTGGCCACACTGCCCCAGTCAATCAGGCCTTGCAAACTTCCATCCCTGGATACGAGGACATTCTGAATATCAAGATCTGGATGCGTAAGCACAAACTTCAGGTCTTGTGGCCGGAGCCCAGGATAAAAGCATGCGCAGGAGATTTTTCCACACCCTTATGGAGGGGTTGCTTGCGCTCTTTTGCTCGGTCGATTGCGAGAAGATAGCATGGAGCTGCGTCTTGAAATGGTCCTGCTTCAAAATAGAGCGCTGATTCGTCCTCTTCGTCATTTCCTAGTCGCTCAAGCACGGATTGATGGTCAACAAACCTCATAGTACTAGGTTTATTCAAATTCCCATCTCGATCAAATGGAAGGGCACCACCAGTAGAAAGTGAGAACCGGCTCAGTTCGATCATTGCATGAGCAATATCCTGTGAAATCCTTGTGCGGTGCACCATCATCTCTCCCTTGGAAATATTTTGTCAAACCAACAATCGTACAAAGAACCTCCCTGACCAAAGCTCACCAAGATGCAAGGACAACCAAGCTCGTTATCTAGCGTCGCGTCAAATGCCAATACATCTGGAAGTGGAACTGAAGCTTCACATAGGATGAGTCGCATGGGTAAAGCTTCAGACCGAAGGGCGGATGCGGCTGATGCGTTTGAACTGCTCTAGAGTTCTACATGCAAACACTTTTAGGATCCATCGTAACCCATCTCCGAATTTGATCGGAAATAATATATGGTAAGAACCGAAAAGCAGCGATTCAATGGCTATAGGCTCGATGGGCACTTCTGGTTTTTCTAGGAAATCTGCCGACGCTTTACGCACCGAAGCACAATAAGCTGGGAGATGTTCCAGTTTCAACTTAGATAGAACACCAGATAAAAATGGTGGCTTCATCATCGGAATCTGATACCTCCCGGTCGCCTTGGATGACCCGTTGCTGATATTCTTCCAGAGCTCTGACGTCCATGACGCAAGCAAAGTATCGAGCAGTTTCAGAGTGTTAACGATGCTGAAGCTTAGGCTTTGCGATAGGAAGGCAAGAAAAAGGTGAAGAAAGTGAGATGGTATTGATGAGGGAGGGGGCAATTCTGAATCATAGCACAACTTAACTCTTAACCGCCACACGAGGAGCAAAGAAAGTAGTCCTATATTAATCGACATGAAAATAGGGGCGGCTGCTATTTGAGTGAAACATATTCCAGCTATGAGACTTTTTATTGGCTCTACCTTTTTTCCATGAATTCGGAGTATCTATGAGGAGAATAGACGATAATAAAGCCATGGTAAATTGGGGTTCTGACAAACCATATCAAGAGGAGCCTATGGATGAGAGAGATTCGACAACGCATTTGATTGTTTCAGAGCGGACTAATGAATCAATGGGAAGTTGAGAGATTGACGTAACTATTGCACTAAGATGAAATGACTGAGTTGAGAAAGACATATTACTAGGATATGATGATAAACATATGATATACATATATTTGAATGATAATGGTGATATTCATTGAAGATTCTGTGAAGATGCAGATATTTTGAATATTTTGGTGTTTTGCTACTTTTTTTTTGCCGCGCCATTTTCACCTCATCTAATCTGCAGTGGTAATAGACGTGCAGTCTCGTAATTGCATTTCACAGTATTGCTGAATAAATATCTTGCCAGCAAAAAGAAGGTCAAAAAGAAGGTCAATAGGGGGTAGGCTAGGGGATTAAAGGGGCAAAAAGAAAATAAAATTAAAATAAACCCCAGTACCCAATTGATAGTCAAGGCTGGAACGGTTATAAAATCTCAATGAAGAAATTTCTGCAAAATATTAAACGTATGAGTGACTGGTATGTTCTACAAAGGTCAATTCAAAATGAATCTACCGTGCTATTGAAAGGCAAAACCCCCCTCCGATGATCTTTTGGCTCTTCCCCCATACACTCCTAAAAAAGGAAAATCACACGCTAACCTCCATGTTGAAGAGCATGTTACATTTGGCAGATAAAAAAAATTTACAAGAACAAATACTAAGGTCAGCAAGCATGAGCGAATAATACTCTATGGGATTTTGGCGTCATCAATAATGTAGGACCATTTCTACTTCGTCATACCGGGATACGAGGAGGTTGGAAATGGTGGGTAGGGATACGGTGGGCATGGTGATTGTTGATATAACTGTTGCGTGTGTGAAAACTGTGGTGGTAGTTGCGGTGGATACGGAGGATATGCCACAATGTGGCCTGGATGGTGTGGTAGGAATGGGCGATCGACAGGAGACGCTGGTGCGTTTTGGGTTGGATGCGATGTTGGTGCAGCAGTGGCTAGGGGCAGAGAATTTGTCGTTTCCTTGGCCGCTTTGATTTTCTTCCTTCTAACAAGGTCGCCTCGGATGCCTCGCAGATATTTGGTAGCTTCGTCTACCAACGCTCGCTGTTCAGTGCTTTCTTTGAGAGAGCCGAGCATCAAAGCAACCTGGGTTTCTGAACTGAGGTGTGGGCATGCTCGTCCGCGCCCATAGTGCGCAATCCCACAAAGCCCACAATGTTCAACACCAGCCAATTTCAATGGGCAGTATCCAATTGGATGAATTTGATCGCAGGCTACGCAGCGACGTGGTGAATGCGATCTGGTATTGGATCCTCCACTCCCATCCAGCATTGAGCCGTTTACCTCTGAGTTTATATCAGGGACTGTGGCTCTTTTGAACCGACGTACTAGGGGGAAAAAGTTAGTCTTCAACATCACCGAAACTGAAACCTATAGCATACCTTTCATAGACTCTTTGTGTCTGGGATTCTTTTCATTACTTGCTTTCCAAGGCCCGCTAACAAAATCGCCATCGGTATCAACATCCTCGGTATCAAACTCAGGGCTTTTGGATTGAAATTCTGCATCGGTATCATCCTTTCCTGATGCTTTAGGCGAAGACAGCAGATGCTCTGCACCACGACACTGAAAAGTATAGTCAATTGTTTGACGCTTACGTTTTCCCCGCCCCAGTGTTTGAGCATTTGCCTTCGCTTCTTCGGCAGCCATACGTTCACGTTCCTGTAGGATTTTATTCCATACTGTATTGCTCGGAGTTGCCGTTTCTGAATCACCTAGTTTGTCGGAAAGCGTATTATTAACCCACACTCTAGCGAAGCTGAACTGGGACTCCGCAGATCCATCATCCCCAGCCTTTGTATTCTCGATCTGGCTTCGGTCAAGAAGTTTTTCAATTGCCTCGTTATCATAGTGAATATCGTCTGTGGTACTGTCATCGAAAAGAGCATCTGCTCCGTGCCGAAGAATGGCCTCCAAATCAATTTCTGTGTCGTCCTCCACGTCCATATGTTCAATCAAAACCTGATCTAGAGCCATCTTCTTTTTTCCCATTTGCATAATTTTCTCCTCGGCCGATCCCTTCGTCACTAATTGGAAAACCAGAACTTTTTTCCTTTGACCAATTCGATGTGCTCGCGACAAGGCTTGAATGTCCTGATGTGGGTTGAAATCGGGGTCCATAATGACAACCGTATCTGCAGTGGCCAGATTAATCCCAACACCACCAGATCTAGTGGACAGCAAAAATGCGAAGTATGGTGAACCGGGAACGTTAAATTCATCAATCTGCTTCTGCTTTTGGAGAGAGGTCATAGATCCGTCAAGGCGGCGATGCAGAAGACCCAGGCCATCAAGAAAGTCTTCCATGACATCCAAGTTATCAAGAAATTGGCTAAATATTAAAACGCGATGACCCCTTTCCTGCAGTTTAGGCAAAAGCATTTCCAACAATTGAAGTTTTGACGAAGCCTCAACCAAATTTCGATGAGACAAAGCCGCATTGACCGTCCTCTCTTCAATGGCTTTGGAGTAGACAAAGGGATGACATAGACATTTCCGAAGCTGCATCAAAATGTTGTTTAGATTGTGACGTTCTGTCCGTTTCAATGTTCTCCCTTGGTTTCTCTCGAAAATCGACCGAATCAGCTCTGGATTTTTGGCCAGAATCGATTTATACAGTTTTTTCTGTACAACACTCATTGTAACTGGTATAATGATCTGTGCCATTGGGGGCAAAGATGTCAGAACTTGAGCTTTTGTTCGGCGAAGAAAATACGGGCGTATCATGTCATGCAGTTCAGTGAGCTTCTCTTTTGTAAAATCTCCCCCATATTGCTGTTCAAGGACCTCAGCATTTTTAGACGGATCGCAGAATTGAATGATATTGAATAACTCGCGAATGTTATTTTGCAGAGGGGTACCAGTAAGCAGAATTTTGAAGGGGAAGTGAATGCGCGTTAACGCCTCATATAATTGATTTTTGTCGTTCTTCAAGCGCTGTCCCTCGTCGACAACCAAACCAGCCCAGGGAATGCTTGAAAACAGACGCCTTGCCTTATCGTCGATCATTGAGTCATATGAAGTAACAACAATATGACATCGAAGATCCGATGTACCATCCGGAAACATTTCGTAATCGTGTGCAATCTTTCTCGCAGCTGCGGTGCCGTAGTATGTCACAACCCGTAACCAAGGTGCCCAGGACTTTATTTCCCGACGCCAATTAGGGCATGTAGAATTCGGAACAACCACTAAGAAAGGCCAACATCTGTGATCATGAACTAGAGTCGCAAAAAGAGCGATTACTTGAATTGTTTTCCCCAACCCCATTTCATCAGCGAGGATGGCATTTTGATTTTTGTACCACATGTAATAAAGCCAATTCAAGCCATCTTTCTGGTAATCCATAATTTGGCCACCTGTTAGTAAGGCCGGTTGGGTTTTTTTAACAAGCTGTGTAGCAAAATCTTTGGACCGTGCGGTGGTCAAATTCTTCTTCATAATGTGACTTTTAGGCACATGCACGTACTTCCCAGCAACCCAATCTTGGTATGCCCTTTGATAATCATGCCAGCGCTCAGTCTCTTTAGGTGATGGGATGGTTTCCCACACAGCATCTTCATATGGCAGGCCCTTATACTTGACATAAATCTTTGATACCTCTTTGACGCGGGCCATATCAATCTCGAGTGTTGAATTTCTGACCACATTTGAGTATTCCAAGTCAAAAATTATGTCAACCCGCAAAAATTCTTCTGGAATTGCATCTTCTTTCGACATAATCGGCTTTAGGGATTTTGAGGACCTGGCGAATGCTTTCCGGGTGGCAGGAGCAGCCTTCGCCCAAACCCATGACCCAGGCATCCATGAGGTTTGGAAGTAAGATTTTTTCCGCCACTTTATTAGATATTCCTTGGCGATCTCCTCCATCATTTCCGAAGTATACCCAGGTATAAAGCTATCAAGATCAACTGGGCGCCAAGCAACAATAGTTTCTATCTCCCCAGGCATATTGGCGCAGTCCTCACAAGTAAACCGTCTCGAATATTCCCTGAACTTTTGTTTGCCGAAATCTGCACTATCACTCTCTTCCATGTTGCCGGGAGGGTTTTGTCCTCTAGGTGGGAGATGGTTCATATGCCAGGCTCGCTCGCATGAAATACATCGAAACAGGATGGAATCCACATTATATAAGTTATGCAATGGAGTGTCAATATCAGGTATGGGATCGGAACCACCATTTTCTTCCCTCAGCAGCTGCTCCTCGCGGGCTGTCGTTCGTGGTCTTAAAGGCTTTGATAATGGGCCGAGTTGATGACACTGGGTACAAGCACCCTGATGAGGAGAAAGCATGTCTTTTGTGTGGGCAGAGCCTAAACAGCGTCGGCACTGCAGAACAAAATCCATTTCCCCAATCTTTGTGACTAAGTGCTCTCTTTGGCTGCGGGGTCCAAGACATCTCTGGTGATATGATGTAGTGCAACCTTGACAGAATACAAGAATACCATTTTCGGAATCAGAAGAGCGGCAAGAATTACACACATTTTGATGACGATTTCTAAAGGGATCTTCATTTGGGAGTTGTTTGAAGAATTCCTTTGTCGCTGAATACTTCGCCCCTGCTGGATTATCTTCGGTTTCTGAAACGTCATCTTCCAAGCGTTCTGCGATACTTTTTAATGCTTTGACTCTCTGCGAGGATCGGACTCCAATTGAAACAGGTTTGGCAAATTTTTCATTTTTGTATGACTTAGAGCGCCTTCCACGGCGTCTGACTCGTTGTCTATATTTCCTGTGTTCTCCATCTGAAGATTCCATCGATTTATCTTCACTGTGCTCGGAACCTTGGGCATCTGTGAATTGAAGTAAACGCGAAGAACGTCGCCTTGAGAGTACAGTGCTTGCCTCGCTGCGATTACCTCTCCTCAAAAGGCGCCTTGAAGTAATTGGTTTTGCAAATGGGCTAGCCGGTTGATCATCATCTGAAGATAGGCTGAGCATTGTGGAGTTCACATAAAAGCTATCCCTCTGAGACCGCGTTCGGCTTGGGTACTGGTGATGAGTGACTGTATCTTCTTTGGAAGTATCACTGATTATCGGAGATTGATTGAACCGAGAAAGGGCATTGCGTCCCTTCTGAAGGGTACGAATGTGCCTGGTAGTTAACTGAGATATGAGGTTGTGAGAACATGAAAGTCAACAGAAAAAGGCAATGTGGTAAAAGATTTCTCACATTAACAATATCCCCATTTGCAAGTCTAGTGGAATATTTCGCTGGATAGGAAACATTCACCGTACCAAGGATCTCTTCAACTTTTAGATAGCCAGGTAAAAAATTGTAGTCCTCCTTATTATCAATAGTTGGGGGAATGATTTGGATTATCTGTTTACTGGCTTTGAGACCTTGTTCAGATTTTTGGTTGGTATTAGCTGCGGTGAATTGCCTCAGGATATCGGCCGCCAGCGACGGATCCTCATCGTCTGAGCTCTGGTATGCATTACTGTGACCTCCCATAGCTCCGAAGTTATAGGGAATCACGACCGACGAAGGAGATTATCTCGTTTCCTCAGGTGGCTTTTCAGGTCAAGCTCAGTTTGTGTCAAAATCGGAATTGGTCTGTTCTTGTACGTGTCTGGTCACTGTTGTTGCGAGATGAATGAAATGATGATAAGAACAATCAGTAAGTTATGTGAGGCGCGACATGGTTCAGGGCGACGCGGTTATTTATTTACCGGAACAATGAAAGTCCGATATTCAAAAATCGAAATTGAATGATCTTTTGAAAAAGATGGCTGTTACGTTGGATTGAAGACATTAAATAGTATAATTTATATGATTTGTACCTCTAAGCCCATTTCTAGCCTTATCGATATTCATTGAAGTTATGCTCAACCGCCAATGCAGTGCACTGCTGAAATCACATCACCTACACTTTTCCAGGTTCACTGAATTCAACATCGCAAAAGGCATCAGAAATGCTTCCATAAGCTCAGCAATCCAGAAAGGAATATATAGCTCTCGCAATTCTTACCCAGGTCGGGAGAACAGGAAGAACCGTGGTGGTAGAGGGGGAAAGGGGGGAAGAGGGGGTAGAGAGGGTAGAGAGAACAGGGAGGACAGGAATGGATGGGAAGGCAGGAAGGACAGGGTGGTACAGAGCGGTAGGGACAATTCAACCTGGATTCGACCTGATAGACAGAGACCCAGTGACCAATATAACCGTCGGGTACGGCTCATGAGAGATGAATCCAGATCAGATTGCCCAACCCCAGAGACTGATACAGGAGGGTACAGCAAACCCAATTTCCACCGGATCGGGGATTCGCAAACGTGGGACCGACGCGATTCTCAGAGAAGAAATGATATGGCTAGCAATAAATCTAGCCTCTCCTTCCCTAAGAACCGTCGTGAGCGGAATGCAGAAAGGCTCGCTGAACGGTCAGAACAAACAGAGTATACTCTGGAAAGATCTCCACATACACAGCCCCAAGTTTCTATTACAGCTCCTCGCTCCATCCCATATACGACAGCTGCCTCTGAGTTTGTATACGGTTCTTCAGCTGTGTTGGCTGCTTTGAGATGCGGCCGTCGCAAACTCTACAAGCTCTACATCCACAATGCTCCAGATAAGGTCTCACTCCGATTGGGAAGGCACTCGCCTCGGGATCCAATGCTGGATACCATAATTAAATTTGGCCTGGCTGCTGGTGTCAGTGTCAAGCAGGTTGCTGGCAATTGGCCCAAGTTATTGGAGAAAATGAGCGGTGGAAGGCCGCATAACGGGTGCATCCTAGAAGCATCCCAACTCCCCAAATTACCCGTCAACGGCCTCCTCGCAGTCGAATCGCCTTTAGACAATCATTTTAATGTGTCAGTTTGTCAGCAATCAGTGGAGGAGGCGGATGTCAATGGAACGAGTGGACGTATTCCTCGATCAACGTATAGGGATGGGGACTCTTCCTCAACAGGGAATGATATTAAACTCGCTCCTCGTTATCCCTTTGCGCTCCTTCTAGATGGGATTCGAGATGAAGGAAACGTAGGCGCAATTATCCGAAGCGCTTACTATTTCGGTGTCGATGCCATAATTTTGTCCACCCGAAATAGCGCCCCGATATCTGCTGTCGCTGTAAAGGCTTCCGCAGGTGCCGCGGAGAACATCCCGATCCTGACAACCACCAACCCAACCCTCTTTTTGAAAAACACACACATGAACGGCTGGAAATTTTTCGCAGCTGAAGCGCCTGCCGCGGCTATTGCGTCCCAACAATCCCTCAGCACATCAGCAGAGCAAATTCTCAGTCGACGAGATGTAAAAAGCAAACTCAACGAAAGCCCTTGCATTTTGATGCTTGGCAGCGAAGATCAGGGCCTGCAGAAAAGTGTTCGACAACAAGCAGATGGCGTCGTGGTTATACCAGGAGCTATCACCTCCACAGGCGAGGAAGATCGAGCGGGGGTCGATAGCTTGAATGTGAGCGTTGCTTCTGCGTTGTTATGCGAGGCCTTTCTTGGGGACCCATCATCTACTGGCCCGGGCTTGTCGTCGTCTGAGGAGGGAATGATGTCTACTGTCGACCTGATCCGTGAGGAGGCGAAGGAGGACCCAAATAAGATGTTTTGATTCTTTCTTTGGGGTATCGTTTCAGCGAAATTTTTTTTGCTTTTCTCCATGCATATTTCTGGCGCATTAAGTTCTCCCAGCTTTTGCATTTTTCAGGGGGTGACATGTATTATATAGGATAGATCCGTTTTTCTTTCTTTCTTTCCTTCTTTTTTTTCATAAAATTTTGCGCTATCACCCAATGATACCTGAAAGAGAATCTTACGGTATATTAGTTTGTTTTCTCCTAACTGGCCTCCGATTTTTTCAACATCGGCTTCAAGATTCCGAATTAGGGAAACATGAAAATAAACATGATAATTTCAAGTCCAGTATCATCCGAACAAAATAAGAAAGTCGCAAAACAATTTTGCTCCATCCTTAAAACTTATCAAAGTAGCTGCTCATGTATGAATATTTCATTACTTACAATGCGGCAGGGAGTTGAAAAAAATTTGAGTTGAAGGAAAGAGATATCAGGTTTAGAGCAATTATTTATAAAATAGCCCATCAAATATTTTCCATCAAAAGAAATAAGAGAATGGATACCATAGTTTCCCAAAAATCAAAAGAAAGACAGAAATATTCCGTACATCCATCCGTGCTACCCATTCAAACACACCCACCACGTCTTGTTAAAAACGCCAACGAACCTAGCTTTTTAAATCGGGCAAAAGAAGTCAAGAAGGAAAGAAACAAAGAGTATAATTAAATAATAATCCAATCCAAACACGAGCCCTTTTTGAACGAAAACAATAATAAATATCCGACACGAAGCAAGAGCGCCGTGCAAATTGAAAGAAATTTAATAACTTTTGTTTTTTTTCTATTTTTTCTTCCCTTTCGATTTGCCAGTGACCGGTGCGCTTGACGAGACACTACCAGCTCTTGATGTAGCAGTTGATGTAGCTCTGCTGCCACTTGCAGATTGGACGGCTTTAAGTTGCTTATTCTGTTGTTTTCCATCTGGTTAGCCAGGTCATATAGATTGCGTTTGAGTCAAGGCCTGACTTACCACAGCACCATTTTTAGTCTTTTTCTTCGCGGGGGCTTCAACCTCTTCATTCTCGACGTCGTCGTCACGATCACGGCCACGGCCCTTCCCACTACCACTATCGCCATTCGGCATTTTACCGCCGTCAACTTCAAATTCCTTTGCGACGGTGTTTAGAAGAGTTGTGCAACGTCGACCAATCTCAACGGGCGTCCGACTAAGGAAGAACCAGTCGAAGCGGAAGAGTGGACTTTCCCTGATTTCTTCCCTGATTTTCTCATAGAGGCCCTCACCATCGACGCCATGCCTATCCAGCATCACAAGGAGGAATCTATCTTCTTCTTCTGTGTATACCTTCTTATTTGTCGTGGAGACGGTATAATTCACTTTCAGTTGCTGGAGTGGGACGCGGTACATTTCCATTTTCTTGCGAAGCATTTTGCGCTGGTGGTTCATTTTGCGCATCTTCTCTTCACCTTGTTCGATGACACGGATATGTTTAGGGTAATCTTGAATTTCAGTGTATCGCTTCCAGAACACCTTTGCATACTCTTTGATCTCCTCGGGATCCTTGCTGTCTACTTCTGTAGCAATCTCGTTATAATTAGTGCGACCGAACTTTGCGGATCCGTTGATAAACTGTTGAAAGTCTCGTCGATTCCAGTTGCCAAAGCCTTCTTCGGATAGTGCGGCCTTTTCCTCCTGTTCTTCTTCCGTCAACGGAACAGCATTGTCGATTTCCTGTTGCTCCAATTCTCGCTCAGCTTCTCTATCGCTGAGTTCCTCGTCAGGCCCATCAGGGAGAACTGCCTTGTATCCAATCTCCTTATGGAAGTAAGCGGTTTCTTTTTCCTGTAACTCCTGTAGTTTTGGAGGGAAGAACTGCCAGTCATGAATGGCAATCTGTTTCGGTGCTCGCGGGACCTTAGGTTTTGGGTCAGCGGTCCTACCTCCAGTAGCCAATGCCTGTCGATAATACTGGTCCATAGAGTACGATTGTTCTTTCCGTTCACGTTTTGCAGGGTTGATCCAGTTGATACCAATATCCTTCTTTCGATTGGTGAAGTCCTCTCCGTTCCACTCATACGCGTTGTCGGATGTGAACTTCTGAAGATCATCGATTCCAAGTTTCTCATATTTCTTATTCAGCTCCGCTGTACGTTCTTCGCCTTTTCTCAAAATTTCGTCGATATCATCTTCTGAAATGTCATTGCCTTTCGCTAGAGCTCCCGTTGGGCCCTTGGTATTGAAAACGCTAGCGGCACCGTGCTGGATCATGCTCAGCAGTTCATCTTTAGACGCGGCATTCTTGACTTGCTGCTGAGCTCGTCCTTGTTGGATAACCAGTTGATCTAGTCTTAACTTTTGTGCTGCGCGTTCAAGGACTTTTTCTTCAATTGCATTTTCAGTCACAAAACGGAAAACAACAACTTGCTTTGTCTGGCCGATACGATGAGCGCGATCCATGGCCTGTAAATCTGCTTGGGGATTCCAGTCGCTGTCATACAGTATGACAATATCAGCGCTCGTTAGATTGATTCCTAGACCCCCAGCTCGTGTCGTAAGGAGGAAGATAAACTTCTCCGAACCAGGGCGGTTGTATTCGTCAATTGCAGCAATACGATCTTCATGGGCAGTCGAGCCGTCAATTCGACAATATTGATGTTCTCTGAAAACACAATAATCCTCCAAAATATCAAGAACCCGGCTCATCTGTGAGAAAATTAAGACGCGGCTTCCTTGATTCTTCATTCGCTTTAAAATTTTATCCAAAATCACCATCTTTCCAGCGTTATCAATCAGATGCTCATCGGTGGTGTAAGGAGGCCCTGGCTCCGCTCCCTCAAAAAGGTACGGGTGGTTGCAGCATTTCCTCAGTTGCATAACTATATTAAGTAGACGGGTTTTGGATTCACGTTTGCCTTGGGCTCCATTGACCGCATCGATATCCTTCTCCAGGATTTTCTGGTACCATTTTACCTGCATATCAGACATGCCAACATACAAGTTCATTTCCTTCTTGGGAAGCAAACTCTTTTCAACATCACTCTTAACACGGCGGAGCAAAAATGGTCGGAGAACTCGATGGAGCTGCTGCACCACGGTATCCTGATCTGCTTCCTGATTGGAGAACCACTGGTCGAATGCATCAGAATCTCCAAAGACATCAGGTAAAAGAAAATTGAGAAGTGCCCAAAGCTCGTGGAGATTATTCTGGAGGGGTGTTCCAGTAATTAGGAGTCGATTCCTTGAGTGGAAAACGCGGATGATTTGAGCCAGAGAAGATTCTTCATTTTTTATCCGATGAGCCTCGTCAATGACGATATATTCCCAGGCGAACTTTTTCAAATGAGATTTCTCCCTCAGAACCATTTCGTAACTGGTGATACATACGTCGAACTTTTCGTCGACGAGCCGCTCATTGATGAGTTTGTGGCGGTCATCTTTTGCTCCCTGAAGAACGAGAACATTGACGTCAGGAGTCCACTTCGAGAATTCTCGATGCCAATTGTCGAGCGTTGATTTTGGAACAGTAATGAGATGTGGACCAGTTATGCCACAAATGTGCCGTAGATAGCCCAAAAATGCGATTGTCTGTAGTGTCTTCCCGAGACCCATCTCGTCGGCGAGAATTCCAGAAATGCCATTCTCGTGAAGCGAGACTAGCCAGTTCAAACCAGCGACCTGGTAATCCCTCATTTCACCTCCCTTGACAAATGCCGGTGATTCTCGGAATACCGTTTCGGCCTGGCCACCGCGCTTCTCGTCTTTCAGGAGTTCCGCATCTTCTTCTTGTTCTGTCCGCCGCCGCCGCTCCCCACTAGCACCACCTTTACGCGTGAGACCTTTTCTGGCGCCAGCCTCCATTTCATTTTGACGATCAATCTCTGCCATGATTTCTTTTATGCGGGGGTTTGGATTCGTTTCAATAAAGTGCCGAAAAAGGTCAGTCAGTCCAAGTAGGTAGCGAAATCTGCGGATTGAATCATCTTCCTGGAAGATAAAAAGGGAGACACTAGAATTAGCCTGAAAGGAACGCATCTTGAAGAAAGCGGGACGCGTAAGCTGGAGCTTATTAGTTTATGATTACCTTCGATTCATCGAGACGCCCATGTTTTCGGCCCAGCACACTTTTCCGGAGCTGAAATGCCTCTGACCTTCGTTTGCGCCCATCTTGTTGAACTGTATCGCCAGCGATGCTACTTGCAGTCGTATTTGGATTGGTATCAGAATCCTGGCAGAGGTTAGACTTTCCATTTGAGTACTATTGAAAAGCACTTGCATGATCGCGGGTTGCCTTGAATTAGCAAAGGCCATACCGTGTAGTCCGGAGTATCCTGGTAATCCTAGAGGGTTATGTGTTAGCCATATCTTTAGCTAGATTGGCCTGAACATTGTGATATAAGACCCTGGCGTTGGGGTGGGCTGCTGGAAGACAGGCGTGAAAAGAAGTTTACCATCATGCTGTGGTCCTCGTCACGGGCTCCCTCCATAGTTTTGGATGTATGGCCATTGGCATCTGCCATAGGAATATCTATCTGAGAGGGGGATTCCGACCTGGACGGATGAGAGAGTGAAGGTGCCATATTTGAGCGCACCGCGCAACGTCTGGCCAGGAACAAGGGGAAATAAAAAGACTAAACGCGTTTAAACAAACACAGGAAGCAGAATTTGTCGAGAAGACGAAACGAAGCGATGGGGAAAGATAGGAAGAAAGCGTGGGAGCTGTCGTGACTGGCAGGGTTCATGCCGTGAGACCAGAGTTGACGTTCGCGATTGAAGATGGCAAAGGCAATGAAGAAGGAATCGCGTGGGTGCTGCTCTTGGTGATGGCTCAAAACGGCCCGAAGCAGCAATTCACGCACACCGATTGGCCGGAGAGTGGCTGACTCAGCAGGGACTTGGCATAAATGGAACAATGATTGTCCGATAATTTCTCCTGTGGCATACCTTGGCGCCTTGTGCCAAGTCGGGGAAGCCACACAGGAACAACATCAATACAGTGTTGGGATATCGCCTCCTGGCCTCTGGCTGTTCTTTTGCTGTATATGACTTTACGTTGCATTTTCTGAGGTCTTTGGAAACAACCTATTGTGGTTTATATATCTGTTTTCTACGTAACTACCACTTTATTCGCCAGCGTTTTGGGGCGTTCGTTCGAAAACTTCACCATCAACGAGGGGTCCATTTTGGATCAACGAAGCAGAAAATATTATTTTGGCTACACCCCTAAACTCCTAGAACACCTCCAGCCATGGACTCGATGAGATCTCTTAACACGTCTCTGCCAGTTTCGTCCCCTCGTTCAAACTATGCACAGCCCCCTGAGCAACTGCTTCAAGCCTTCAAAACCGCAGCTCTCTCTGTGACAAACCTTTACAAAACAGCCGTTTCCGACCAAGCGAATGCCCGCCAAATCGGATACCAAGAAGCCTTGGAAGACCTTAGGGCTTTTCTCGACAAGGAGAAGATTGGATTGAGTGATGGGGAAGGGTCCAAAGTGCGATGTTGGGTCACGGAGCGGATTGATGGAACCGGCACAACCGCCACTTCGATGGATAGTGACGATGAGCGGGGGGAGCTCGACAACAAACGAGGCGGGAGTATATCGCCAACCATCACGAGAAAACAGACACCGGAGGTTAATCATACAAACCAAGCGCCCCGACCCACCTCTCCTCCACGGCAAGAAACAAACACTCACCCACCATCATCTACCACTGCAGCATCGTCAGATACATATGTTACGCCATGCAGATCAACCACTTTCACATTCACCACTGGACCTCAGTTCCCCGTCCCTCAACAGTCCGATGTTGATATGCAAACATCTGAGCATGTGCCAGCGACTACCACATCCTTGCAAACCGACTCTTCCCACCAGCCACACTCATCAGCTATCAATAGCTCCCCGACCGTCAGGGTTGAAGTAGTTCCCCGAGGATCCAGAACACCCCATCGACTCAATAGCGGGAATCGACACGGCACACGAGCATCGGTGCGAGATCCCGCTTCTAATAATGGATCCAAGAGAAAATTCCATTTTGGGGATTTTTTTGATATCTCAAGTCTTGGGAATGGGCGAGACGCCTTTGGAGGCGGCAAACGGGGACGCTTTATATAAATAGTTAACTGAACGCCGACGTTTGGGGGACATAAAATTGGGATAGAGAAACATTCGGATGGGATGATAACGATGGAGCATTATTATGGAGCATTATTATGGCATTCATTTGCTTTTTCTTTTGCCTTTTTTTTTGCCCCTTTCATTGGCTTCTCGCTTTTGCTTCCTCCCGCCCCTTTTTTTCAACGGTCAAACCAATAGTGGTATCATGATTAGAAGCATTTACGGAGTCAATATTCCAGCATTTTCATTTTACATAGATAGCATCCAATCAAGATACCCATGATCAGATGATATGGAGCTCATTTTGCAAATTCATGTACACATATCTCACACTTCCCCTAGAGTGACAAGTTTATCCAACGCTTTGGAGGAGGCAAAAAGCCTTAAGGAACATCCTGCTCCCCGTCCTGCTGTGTAACATACTAGTATCTATCAACGGAACAATTCCCAACAATGATTAGAGTGGTATCACATCTAAAAAAGAAAACAAGTAAATTTTTAATGAAGAGCGCGCCATATCCCCATTCCAACCAGCGTCGCCGATATCGTCGCAATGCCTAACCGTCTCGAGCCCATCCTATACGGAGACTTGCTGCTCAAGATAACCTTTTCTTGTTTCGTGAGATTATTCATGCCGGAGATGTAGCTATATACGCCGAGACCAATGAAGGCCAAACTTCCTATATGAATATGCGTTAGAATAATTGAACATGTGGTTTTTTTTCCGGCTCGTCTTCCCCGGAAGGGGAGGCTATATCCGCACCTGTAACCTTACAAGCAAGGCAATCATCCTCGTATTTTTCTTGCGTAATAGCTTTCTTCATATCTCTGGGAGTTATGTCCCATGAAGTATCCTCTCTAGCCATGGTAACTTGTTTGATTAATTAGCTGTGAAGGGGCGGAATGATTGCACACTTAGAATCGGCGTTTGGGTCTTTTGAATTTTCTCGTCAATATCATTGCTCCGTTCTCTACTATCTAACTCAGCAACGTCAATCAATTGTATTGTACAAATCCATGACATGGGCAATGCATCGACCAATCAATCAATGAACTAGTGGACGTGGTTTGGATGATACATACATTTTTTTCGAGAGAGCTTTATCAGGTTGGGATTTAGCACTTTGCGGACACTCAACTTCATGTTACTCCAAACCTTGTGAGAGGTGATGACCACACTTTTACATAATCACTCGTTCTCCACCATCATCTTTTAACTCTTGTTTAAGCTACCAGCGAGCAGCAAAGATAGCAGAGCCGGCAACAATGAACAGCGCTGTAGAAGCGCTTTACATATTCGATGAGCTGAAGTAAGTGACTCCCAAGATATAAAATAAAAGAAAATAAATAAATAGTAGCTAGTTTGGCTGTGTTACTGAATTTTACAGCACTCCTATCCTTGAGCACGTCTACCGCGGCCGACCTCCAGCCGCAACTGTGCTCCTCACTCTCTTCCGCGCCCACCCCACCCCGCGCCCTTCACTCCTATATCTCTCCAATGCCTCCCCCCCAATATCCGTTTTCTCAGTAGCACATTCAAATCTCCTGTTCCTAGTCCCTTCAAATTCGGAGAGCGAACCCCTCATCGTCCTCGAATTTCTCCATCGCCTCATCGATGTGTTGGAGGAATTCGTCGGCGCCCCGCTTCTGGCGGGGAAGATACAAAGTAATTATGACGTTGTCGCGCAACTATTAAATGAAATGTGTGATGGGGGGATTATCTGCAATACGGAGCCGAATGCCCTGCAGGAAATTGTTGAGATCCCGGGTTGGATGGATAAGCTCCTTCTTGGGGTCGGCTTGCCAGGGTCAGTATGCCACCCCGTTATTATTTCGCAACCTTTGTTTTTAATTTAGGTTTTTTTTTTCTTGCTCGTTCTGGGAGTGGTGGGCTGACCAGTAGCTGTGCAATATTCCGCATGAGCCAAACAGTGCTTCACCAATCCTTGGTCCTTCGAATTCGCTGAAATCCTCATTGACCACTCCGTCACATGTAAATGGAGCGTCAGCACCAGCCATCCCCTGGCGACGGCGGGGAGTCCGGCATACATCCAACGAGCTATACGTTGATATAGTTGAATCTTTATCTGTTACAATGGCCCCTTCAGGAAGGCCGATTTCAGCTCTGGTGCATGGGACTATCGTCTTCACTGCGAAAGTGTCGGGTGTGCCCGACTTATTACTCTCCCTTGCTGCCCCCGGAGGCCAGAAGAACCTAGCCCACAAATTCCAACTCCCCGTATTCCACCCATGCGTCCGTCTTGCGCGATGGAGAGAAAATCCTGGAGAGCTCAGCTTCATCCCTCCCGACGGTCGTTTCGTTCTGGCAGGCTATGAAGTCGACCTGCAGCCCGTCGAGCCTGACGCGGATAAGCCACCCAACCACATGGAAAAGCTATTCCTGCCTGCCACTGTAGATCTGCAAAGATCGCTGGGGCCGACCGGTGCTGAATTCGAAGTCCGGCTTACCTTAAACACCAATTTCCCTGGCCTGCCACCCAGAAGTGGATTACCCGGCCGCGGTTCAGGGACATCTACCCCGTCATTCCTCGGAGCGGGCTCCAGTTCCAGCTCCAATGCCCCGACCATAGAAGAAGTAGTAGTCACAGTCCCCATCTCTTCCTCCGTGCGAAACCTCACAGATCTCCGCGCCAGCCGCGGCGAAGCAAATTTCACACCAGGGAGCTCCATGCTCAAATGGCGCGTCCCAACGACTAGCAAAGATGCAGGTAGTGTTTCCGGCACCGCAACACTACGCTGCACAATCATCGGTCCCCTCTCCTCGCTCGCCGACGAAGAGGACGATAACGGACACGAGTCCCCAACAACCACGCGCAATCAATACCGCGCGAATCCTCTAATTGGCTACTACGACGACAGCCTTACCCATCAACCCGAAAGCAGCAGCTACCAGCAGCTGGAACAACCCCGCACCACCTCTATGTCTATGGCATCATCCGGTCTGCAGGGCTCGACGAACACAGCGACGATACCGCTCGAACGTGCTCGCAAGTCTCAGATGGCGTCTTTGATGCCATCTTCTGTTTCTGTGTCGTTTACGGTGCGCGGATGGCTGCCGAGCGGGATACGGGTCGACGGGTTGATGGTCGATACGCGTAGGAGTCGGGGGCTGGGTGAAGGGGTTAAGCCGTATAAGGGGGTTAAGTATTTATGTGTTAGTCGGCAGGGAGTGGAGAAGAGGTGTTGATGGGGGGGAGAAACAAAAAATTGATAAGGAAGGATTGAAAATGGGGAGATTATATATATATCTAATGAGTCCTTTTTTTTTTTTTTTTTTTTTTTTTTTGAAAACTCATCAATGGACTGGCTCATGAATCGTGAACGAGACCGGAGTGGGGGATCCGTATCTCTTTCCTCTTTTAATGCTAATTTTGCTGTTCAATTTTTAAATCGGCGCGAGAGACATCATTATCTGCAGCAACATCATCCCTTTAACTCCGCTCTCCACCAACGACTCGCCTCCATTTCTTACTTCCCTGCTCTCCGTTGCCTCATGGATATCCCAAGGGGAGTATGTATGCATATGAGACACGCTATTTTGAAGAGGGGGGGGAAGAAGAATCAGAGAAAAGAAACTTTCATGAAATCAGAAAGGCGTAAGCAGGAAGTGCTATTTCAAATTTACGGCCACATTTTACGGCACATACATATACGAACATACATAATAGCTTTAGAGAGAAAACACTAAAGAAGAAAATGTAAAAGAGCAAGGAAGCGGAACTGGAGATCCCAATGAATGGAAGGGAAACCTTTTGCCATGGTAAACGTAGAGAAGCATGGGACAGACGGGGGACAGTAATGCAAGGGCTGGGCAATGGGAGTGGAGGTCCATCGAAATCGATTAAGAGATCATAAGAGGTTTTTTTTCCCCCAAGGAAAATGGATAACTAGTTAGATAGGTACAGAACTAATTAAGTAATCAATAAACAATAACTAATCATGCTGAGAATAAAGATGTTACTTCGCAATAGCTAGTCGCAAATGGAGGAAGACGCGAAGATGATGGATGTTTCCATGGACCTGATTTATGGCCCTATGAAATTCTTTTGGATTTAGACTTTGACTCTGCGCTTGATGTAGTAGTTGAGGGCGATGGCGGCTATATAATTTTGCGTACGGAGACACGCGGAATTATTAGTTAGTAACAGGTTCCAGATTGTAGTTGGGATTGAAGGTAAATAAAGAAAGTAGACTACATTTGAATATCGCTTGAGGGTGTTTGTATGCGCAAACTTTTCTTGGAAGCAGGATATACTTGTTTCAAAAACAGCAGAACTGAAGAAATATGTGGCGCTGATATGCTGTACGAAATGGGTATAAAGGGAAGGAACGTGTTGGAATGAAACCGCAGGGCACGGATTTGGTTAGTTATTGGGGGAAATAATCTGGAAAAATGCAATACAGACATCAAGAGATGGGGTAAGGGATTATTTAAAAGGAGAACGTAAGGGGTTGGCATTAATATGGTAAGAGTTCGAATATATTAAAATGAGATTATGAAAAGGAAGCGGGAACTAAAATTGGAAGGAGAAGGAAAGCAAAGAAGGGGAGGGAGACGGGGAGATTTGACTAACCGACAACAGCAACAGCCGCACGACTTGCTCCGGACTTATTAGCGCCTCCACCAAACGTAATGAACCAAATTATCCAGCCCCAAAAGCCAGTCGTTGTTCTCCCACTCCGATCGAAATTGGGAGCCACTGTCCCGGACCGGAGTGTGCTCCGCAACTTTCCAGCGTATGGTGGGTATCGAACAGAGAGCATTCGTTCGACCCAGCCTGGTGTGGTGGCGATCGACCGCCGGTGCACGAATGCATCGAAGCTGCTTCGCCCATGGTAGGCACCGCTTCCACTCTCACCGACACCACCGAAGGGCACGTTTGGAATGATGCCGTGCATGTAGGTGTCGTTTATTGTGGCACCTCCGGAACGGACGCAGGAGAGGACTACGTGGGAATTTTGTGTGTTAGTATCGATTAAAATTTAGGGATAGCAAAGCAGAAAATTGAGGAGGGGAGGGGGGGGTTAGCTATGAATAAACACAAAAAAAAAAAAAAAAACCGCACCTTTTTCGACCTCCTTTTTTGTTCCAAATGCGTAAGCGGCTAACGGAGTATTATCGACATCATTTGAGATCCTAATGGCCTCATCAAGGTCGCCTACAGGCAAAATAGTGATTATTGGGCCAAAGGTCTCCCAGCGGACGAGAGGATCATCTGCAGAATCGACCTGGACCAAAGTCGGTTCAATAAACCGCTCCTTCTCATCCATTGTGCCCCCAAGCAGAATCTTGCCCTTCGTGCTATCAATCATGTCTTTAATCCGGCGGAAAGCGGCATCGTTAATGATACGGCAGAAGTCTGGGGATGCCTTCACGCCATCTGGGTAGAACTCCTTCCACACCTTGCCAAACTCCGTCACCAGTTGCGACACGATCTCTTTATCGACAAGGATGTAGTTTTGCGACAGGCAAATCTGGCCAGCGTTGAAAGTCTTAGCCCAAAATAGCCGTCTTGCAGCCAGTCGCACATCGGCTTTCTTGGTGATAAATGCTGGATTGCGGCCACCAAGCTCGAGTAGAACTGGGGTCAGGTTGGGAGCAGCAGCTTGGGCAACAATACGGCCGACGGTAGCGTTGCCAGTAAAGCAGATTTTGTCCCAGCGCTCAGCTAGAAGAGCCTGGGTTTCTGTAGCTCCCCCCTGGACGACAGACACAACATCTGGATCGATTGCAGCTTCGATAATTTCCTGCAGCACAGCGGCACAGTTGGGCGAAGATTCACTCGGCTTAACCACGACTGTATTTCCTGCCGCGATAGCACCAATTAATGGAAGAATATTGAGGCTAAACGGAACGTTAAAAGCTCTATGCAAATAGTTAGTGATCGTTCATATTTATCGGTTCATACGTCGAAGAAGATCCGCTGCGCGGAGGTGATAGGTGTAGCTCACCCAATCACAAGGACGCAGCCCAAAGGGTCCTTTCTGATTCTCGGCTTCATCAAGGTAAACGGCATATCAATATTCTGGGCTTTTTCGTCCTTGGCCCACTTGGCCACGTTTTTTTGTATGAAGACGATATCGTTCTCCACTATGTTGATTTCAGATACATAAGTTTCATATTTTGGCTTCCCCAAATCCCGGTAGAGGGCTTCCACGACTAAATGTTCACGATCTTTCAAGCTGTAGTTGGATTTAATTGACGGAAAAGAATTTGGTCAGTTTAGGAAGGGTGATGACAATCGCTCAATAAAACAAAATAAAATGACCAAGACAAACATAGAAGAAAATCCAAAACTCACGCCCAGTATAGCTTTCGCAGCTGTTGAATCCGGAACTCGATAGGACGAGTCTTGTGTTGGAAGAAAGTAGTGCGCACCTTCCTGACTTTCGCAGGGATCTCCTCCACAGGGGTGAATTGGAGAGTCGGGAGGTCGACAGTAGCCATGATGATGGGGCCTTTGGCCAAGATTTGTATATTAGAGAAAGGGGTGAGAGTGATGGTCTGAGCTGGATATGGAGGGTCCGTTTAGTGCAGCGGATTCAGATACAGTTGGTGGCGCGACGAGTGGACATGGCCTTGGCTATATACGCAGTGGTCTCGAGCACAAGCTTCGTGGAGTTCCATGCACAATCAATCGTTTTCCATCCTCGGGAAGCAATGGGAGAAAAGCACTGAAGTGGACTTGGAAGCGCGAAGAAGAGTTGGAGATGCGGAGTAAAGTGGTAGGTTTTATGGGGGAAAATGCCCGATGCGTGCTCGGTAACCATTGGAATGGAAACAAACCTCGGTCTGCATACGGATACGGCCGCAATTCTCTTTGTGAATCGGGTTAACCATACACAGTACCTAAGGACTCCAAGTACCGCTATATGGTGTACGGTCAATCTCTTCTCTAATAGTTATATATAACTAATTGAAAAATGGGTTTTGCGCGGATCTTATGGCAGTAATGCGGCCTCCTAACCACTTATGATTCGCCTCTATTTTAGTGTTTATGATCAATATTTTACATCTGAGCTTAGCAATCTCTATTTTTTGAACTTATTATATCAGTTCTTAATTGTTGTTGTTGTTGTTGTTGTTGTTGTTGTTGTTGTTCTTCATATTTTTTTCCAAGGCTATGCAGTCAGACCCCGACACTACACCTCACTAGCCTACTCTCTAGTTACATTTTGTTAGGCCACAGGGGCAAAAGAGCTCGATTACCACCGAACCCCCAACACATCTCTTTATTCACAACTGGGTCATCCTTGATAGAGAGACCTCACTATACCGTTCTGGATCTAGCCCTCAAGGGTCCTTGCCCCACAATTGCTCACGTAGATTCCAACTCTATCTAAATACCTACTGAAGGATGGAGCAATGTTCAACACTGGCAGCTGTCAATAGAAATGAGAAAAGAAAGAGTACTCTCAATATCCATCAAGATGATTTAAATCCACTACCTTTTTGTCTCCGCAGTGGTGGCCCCAACACCAAGTGCCTACTTCAGAAAGCATTCCATGAACCGTGCTTACCACTAAACAATCCACTCCTCAATCAGTTCTTAATTCTTAATTCTACAGCTCATTTAATTATTAATTCTATGATTAGTTTGTAAAATCCTCTCTATTTTGTCACTGTAATTGACTTCTTCTATGTTATCTGATATCTGTATATAGTTATTATGTGCACTTCACACTCACTAATTTATTTTATATTGATTCTCAATAGATTTAGTTATTTTGTATATAAATGATGTATGCACTAAACATATAGATAACTAGCATTTAATCTTACCTCTAAACGTAATTTCTGCTAATCTACCTACCTACCTGCTCGAAAGAATGATATCCGGTTATGGTTTTCATTGACGATATTCATTGTTGATATTTATGGATAAAACCTCTAGACGATATCTATGGATGATATCTAACGATGATCTCTATCAATAATTTCTATCAATAATTTCTAGCAATAATATCTAGCAATGATATCCAGCGATCATATTCATTGATGATATCTGTGATCTTACAATAGAAAGAGCACGGGTTTTCTAGCAGTATATCGCTCCGCTCCGTCTTATCCCCAACTACATGTTCCATGGAGCTCCTGCTACATACATATATCCAATGACTATTTAACGGTGTATTTGCCCTTAGTTAGTACCACTACTTGGATAAGATTGAACTTCAACTTAATGATACAAGAGATCAGGTAAAATGGTCAGATGAATAAGGTGAATGAGATAGTGTAATGCACTCGGCTTTTAATCTCTTATATATCTTTGTTTACTCTTTCTTCGTATGTATTATGTTGGTATCCCTTCCAAATCGCTGCTAGAGGTTACGTGTGGTGGTGTGGCCCGATCCACAGCGGCCACCGCCTATACACTGCAACCGCCAGTTGCAGCACAGTCGCGGGAAACCACAAAGAAGTAGAAATAATAAGATTGATTTTATTATTATATATTTGTAATAAAAGTTGTAAATAATTAACTTCAACTATTATAATAAAAAATTGCATTATTAAATTATTTTTACTTTATTTTATGGATCACATCGATAAGAACTAAAATTGCATCCATGACAATGTAGAAAAGGCCCAGTGCGTAGATCACAATCCGAATGCGATGCACATGGAACTGAAGTACAAAACCAAGCCCTAACAGATAAAGTTTTATCTGGTTTGTTTATAGACTGTAATGCTTTATTTAAAATAATATTAGTTTTCAAAAGTTTTATTATTATAAATTTAATAAATTGTAAATTTTACTTACTATTTACTTTATTTATTATATATTCATTAAAATCATCATCTTCAAAAGGCATTGAATTTTCTATATTATTAAGCTTTTTATAGACTTCAATATCTGATTTTATCTCATTCATTATATTATTTATAGCAGATATTTTTTTATTGACATTAGAAGAAATAGTTTCCTTTATAATAAAATAAAGTTAGTTATTAAAATGATACAAAATATATAATTTAAAAAATATATTTACTACTTACTGATATTTCTTCAGCAATTGTATAAAAAACAATATTTAAAATAAAACTTAATATAATAATAATATTCATAATTAATATTTTATACTTAAAAGCAAATAAATAAATAAAGGTAAATATAACTTATAAGTTTAATTTTTTATAAGTAGTTAAAAAGAGAAACATATGGCGTAAAAATAATATTATAAGAATAATAAAATTAATATAAAATAATTAACTTTCAATATTTTATTCATATAATTTATTAATTTAAATTTATAAATTATAATTATATAATATATTATCAGTATAATTATTATTTGAAATATAATATAAAAAATAGATTATTTATAAATATAAAATATAATATTAATTTTTAAAAATTAAATAAATTATTATTTCAAATTGAAGATATATTAAGTTTTAATATTTGATAAAAAGTAAAAACTTAATATTTCTCACATTCAATATAAAAGTTCCAAATATTCAATTAAATTTTAGTTTTATCATCAATTATACTTTCAATTCTGAATACTTCAGTTAAAGTTATAGAAAGTGTTCGGAGTTTTCAGATAAATAATAATAACAATATAAATAATTTCAATTATATTTTAATCATATTCACTGGCAAGCTTCAGTTGATTCAATGAAAAAAAATTGGTTTTTTTATTAAACAAAGTAAAGCAAAGTTTTTAAGAATCATATAGCCCCAGTAGCCGAATAAATAAGCGGCCGGGAGGTAGCACCTTAGTGTGAGGACCCGAGGTGCGTATGCGGAATTTTGTAGCGAAGTGTCCAGTTGCGGAAAATGGCACATCGGGAGCTTGAAGTATAGAGATATGAACTTGCCAATGAGGTACCTTCAGACGGACCTTATATCTAAATTTCCGTATTATTTCTGAGCTTAAAATCTATATTGTATATGTAATAAATCCTGTTCTCCATTAACTTTTCTATGTTTTTATTTTATTCTTGATGTGTTTCTGTGACGGATTAACACCCGTTAGTAGTTAGCTTACGCAACCAACCCCCTTATCGCCCGTTCGCCTTCTCGCGTGCTCACAAAACACTCCTCTCCTCGCGATCCCGCTCCGCGTAATCTCTAACGTTGTTCCGCTCTGCGCTCCACTGCGACGTAACCTCTGATATTCTTCCGTTCCGATTCTTTCCCTATAAGAACCCCCTTCATACAACCCTTTCTTCTGACCTCTTTTCTCTTCCCTTCCTTAATCAATTCGTAATCTGTGTTTAGGATAGTGCTAAGTCCGTTCGTACGCCCGTTGCAGATAGTGCAGACAGTTCAAACGGTACAATCCACAACGCCGGCATAATCGGTAGCACGCCCGTTACAGTTTCTTTTATACAATCAACTTTTGCCTGTATTTAATATCACAAGCCTTGGATTTTTATTGATGTAGAAAAGATTTCTGTATGTTTGATTGATTCAAATACTGAATAATCTTCATAATGAATGTGGAAGGTTGGTTAATTGTAACTATATAACGGTCGCAGCACTGTTTAAATAGATGTAGTCACATAGCATTCTAATAAGCAATAGAGATGCCAATAACCCTTATGCTACAAAGACTTAAACACCATGTAGCTGATCTAGATATTATATACAAAATTTGCCTTGTTATCTCATCAAACTCTATTTCGGAAATTTTCCACTTTCATTTCTTCATTGAAATTATTTTGTATCCCTTAACTTCTTCAACTATCATCGTTTTTGTCGTTCTTCCTACCTCTATCCTCTCTAAAAATATTCCATAATATTCTACTTTTTAAGATTAAAAACGTAGAAAATAATTGTTCCTCCTCACCTCACAAGATCTGACACAGGTTCCGACTTTGATACTGACACAGCTCATAGCTTCTGATAGATAGTTCTAGTCAATTCCTTGAAGAATTTGTAGTAAATCACATAAAAAAATAGGGTAAAATAAATTCTTGATGATTAATAGAATAATAATATTGAATGGAAGATTGATCATATATGTAGATGAAGAAGAGTGGTGAGAATGATTGATTGTGTTTGATGAATAGCTTCTATTGATATTTGAGATAAATATATTGTAATGCACTTGTTTATTATTTCCTTATATCTTCATTATATTTTCGTTTATTCTTACCTTTTCTCGCTATGTTCTCACTATTTCTATGTATAAATATATATATGTATGTATGTATATACGTACTTCGCACATCCTCTTTCTTTCCTTCCTTCTCTAGCGATTAGCTACTACAACTATCATACTATTACGCGATATACTACTATCTGATAATATTACTACTTCTTCTACTATCTTCTACTATTCACTCTTCATACTGTTATCACCTCTCACACATATCTTTAACTAGAACAGAAGACGTGTTTTGATCTTGTTATCTGCAACTGATGGAGGCAATGAGGTAATAAGAGTGGTGCAATATGAGAGACAGTAAATTTCATGCATCATGATTGCAAAATAACTTGCTAAGGAAACAGTTGAGAGCCGGCATTTAAGACACAATTCTGTTTCAAAATCATTTATCACCACTATTGTAGGGATCACAGAATCAACTACTAGATTTAAACTTCAAGCATTTGATGACACTGAAGCACCAAAGGGCCCATAACCTGATGAATGTGGAAGGTTGATTAATTGTAACTATCCGGCAGACGCAGCACTGCTTAAATAGATATGGCCACATGGCATGGCATTCTAGCAAGCAATAGAGATGCCAACACTTCACTTATTTTTAAATAATAGAGACTTAGCTCTAACACTAGGTGTATAATTGATTTAAATATTCTCTATTTTTATCTTTGAATTATCTGCTTATTTATCTAGGCTTATCTAGCTATCTTCTTGCATGACATCCGCTCAAATCTCTATCTGAATAGAGAATGCTAGCTAGATAGCTGTTGATTTATCTATCTATCTATCTATCTACTTGATATCTGAGTGATTGATTGATTGTAGAATTGTGAGGGGTGATAACAGTGTGTGTGATAAGATAGCACCATGACCATTAGGTTATCCATAGCGAAAAGCCAACGTAGCCATTTGTCAAATGGTTGCGCTCATAATGATATTTATACCCGTGGGTGTGGTGGTGACCCGTGGTTGCGGTGGGGTAGCCCGGCCCACAGCGGGTGTGGCCAACCCACTACCTATACACTGCGACCACCACATAGTTGGGAACCACATGTGAAAAGTGAATAGTAGAAAATAGTAGAAGGGAGATAATAGTAATAGTATTAAGTAGATAGTAGTATGGTCAAGAGTAGCTAATCGCTAAGAGAAGAACGAGAAATGCGAAGTAGCATATATATATATATAGAAATAATGGTAGCGAGAACATGATAAGGAAAGAACAAACGAAGATAAATGAAGACATATATAAGGAATTAATAAACGAGTGCATTACAACAATAGAGAATGATAGCTTCTTCACATTTTTTTAAAGGTATATACAGTCAGAGACACAGATAGTCTACATCCCACTAGTCTACTCTTATATTCAGCTACTCTTTGGTTACATTTCTCTATTTATAACTGACTGAGTCATTCTTGATGGAGAGACTTCACTATATCATTCTGAATCTAGCTCCTCAAAGAGGCCTTGCTCCACAATTGCTGATACAATACCAAGTAGTTATTTATTACTTGAGCTAGACATGTAAGTACCATAACACTTGAGACTACCACAATATACTGAATCCATCTAGACTATATACATAGTGTTAGGCATTGCTCCACCCTGTAGTGACAGTTATCAATAGAGATAAGACAAGAAAGAGTACGCTGAATAGGGGGAGGGTGGGCGGGGGGGTTTGTCTCAACAGTGATGGCCCCAACACTAAGTTCCAACTTGAGAAAGCATTCTATGGACAGCGCTTACCACTACGCCATCCAATCACCCTCTCCATCACTGATGGATTGCATGTAGTTTTGAATCGTACATCGGCACCTTCGGGGGAGATAACGCAAGTTGAAACATTCGTCCGCCTGAGGTTCAAGTGCGAAATATTTCGTCAACAGTGTCAACGTCACAAAACATACCTCGCGCAAAGGCAGAGCGCAAGTGACTCGAGGACGGGATTCAAGTAGAGAGGGAGCGATTCAATATCCTCCTGCATTGGGTGTCGAGGGCTATAAACATCAGTGTCAATATCGCTTAAGAAGACCTGGTGCATTCATCAATGATGATGTTGAAATCCGACGCACCGTTTTTCCTTAGCCCTCATCATATTCTTTGCATCTCTCTCGGGTTGATCGATGATTTCTGGGTTACCCTTGTTGGTATAAATTACTATGATATCCATACCCTATATCAAGTCAGTGTTGCTCTGGGATATATCTGAAGCCTTAGCGAAGATAGCGCATCTGTATCACCCACCTCGGGGATGCGGAGTCCTCGACCCGACTGCGATCTTGCGGTCGACTCGACATACTCTCTCACTCTTCCCGAGGAATCCATGCAAAAACTTCAAAAGACAGGATAAGTAACTCGGTAGATCAGAAACACAAGCTCGCGCCAGTCATTGTGCCATAACTGCTGAAGGACATTTTTGAAATGAACCTCGGTCAAATAGAAATGTTCCAGCGAACTACTTCTGAAATGCCAAATCTTCCGGCAACCAGCTGGGTACCAGTGTGTATAATATTGATTGATTTATTGAGAAACAGAGGGAGGTGGATAGCCAAGAACAGAGTGAGTAAATATAATGAACAGTGGAGTTTAACTACGTAGTTAGTCAAAAATATAACATAGAGATAGGGTGTGCTCTGTCATGGCTGATAACCCTCCCTTCCTTGATGCAGATTTAAGATTGTTTCTGTGTGCAGTAGAAATATGTAATACACAACCGGCAACGTAATGGGCTATCTCAATTCTATAATCTCTCTCCCTCATGCACAAATCGAGGTAAAGGAAAGAGTAGAAAATAAAACGGAAAATGATGCACACATCGTTTATAAAAAAAAAAGGAAAAGGAAAGAATAGAAAACGAACCGTTACATAACCCAAAAGAAAGGTGAAGAAGCGGGAATCAAGGGAATGCAATCAACACGGCGGATATCTCGCACGAATCTTTTAAGCATTTCCATTATGTCGCCTTTCAGCATCATGCGCTTCCACTTTGATATCAAACATCACATCTTCAATCTCGCGAAGCACGCGTCTCCCAAATGTTACCGTCCTGATCGATCCTAGAACTGAACGTAGAGAAGCAAGTATGCCAGCTCCGGAAGTTTCAGGCTTGCCAGATCGAGTTTCCTGTTCCGTTGAACCTGCAAGATCCCCTTCTTTGGAATATGGATGGTCGGTTTGATTGCTCATTTCTACATCTGCTGCCGTGTTTTTTGCCATTTCCGAATCAGGTGACATTTGGTGGGCCATTTGCTCGTCACGTTGCTCAACCGAGGGTGCTGGTAATGCTGGCTGGCCGCTCAGGCGCAGAGACCTTCGTTTCTTGGACTTACGATGGTTTGGACAATGGGCCGGTTTCCCGATTTCTTGCGAGGGATTGATAATTTTCGCAGAATCGAGAATTGAATTCGTCTTTTTCCGTGATGATCGACTCGGTCGCTTCGACGGCACAACCTCATTTCCGCAAGTGATATTTTCCTGATGAGAAGGTATTTTTTCCGAAGCGACTGACTCATCAACCACAACTTTACTTCGTCTATTTGGAGAGACTCGTTTGATGCGATCACGCTCTTGTGAAGACTTGTCATCCCTTTTACGCTTCATCGATCGCGTCACAATTGAAGCGTTCGGTTCTGGCGTCCCTTTGCTTGACACTTCCATATCCATTGACAACTCCAGGTCTTGTTCGAGTTGAGACGCTATCTGTCTTTCAAGATCATTGCTGAATGAGTCTGGAATAATATCAATCCTATCGACTTCAATATTTGAGACAGGACAATTCGGATTCGAGCTGTTGGAGTGTCCCTTATTCTCACTTTCCTCTGACGGAACTAGATCAGCATCTTGGGTTGGGAAGATTGATGGATAATCCCCCTGTGAAGTGATATCCTTAGGTTCTGGGTTAATAACCTTGTTGGTCCTTGTCGCTTTCCATTCTGCTGTTTTCCGAGAGCTGAACATGCTACGTCGATGACTAGGGTCACCACTAATTGGTGTCGGTGAACTCCTTGGAGGGGAAGACAGGTCGTCACTCATAACGATTTCCTGATTTTTAACGTCGCAAATTCTTTTGGTTTCGGACGCTTCTATGCTCCGATTTTCGTGGTGCGATATTTGAGGAGGGGATGAAGGAGGGTCCTCAGACTGTCGACCAGCGATATCTAAAACAGATATTAAGTGCGATTTGACCATTTGATCAAGTTGCACAACTGAGGTTTCGGGAGTTGAAGTCGGCGAACGATCAGGGAAGTTCTCCTCATTGCCCTCGATTGGAAGGTGAAGCACAGGGCTTGGCAGAGCATTTTCCTCGTTCTTAAAGCCTCCAAGCTTCGCCGGGAGCGGTGGATAGCTTGTATCCCGATCAAGCTGCGAGTCAGAGGAACGAAGACCTGGATACTGCCTCGCAGTCTCCCCTCGCTGCCTATCTCTGACTTCTCTTTGGTGGTCAGTCAGCACCTGAGCATCACCAACGGCATTAGGTGCAGGGGAGGAGTCGACAGGGACAAATCGAATCTGTGAATCATCATGGCGAAGTCGTGGCTTGGGTGTTGACAGCTTGGACGTCGATGGAGTGCTCCTTTTGCGACGGCAAGCTTTATTTGTGCTGGAAGGTGTTGTGCTTTGTGCAGGAGAAGGAGAAAAGGCTTTGTAAATCTTGCTTGTGCTGTCGAGGAGCTTAATTGGAGTTTCGGATTCGACCATGTCTTCTTGAGAGCTCAGGAAGTCAGGAGAGGAAAGATCAATCTAAAATAATGTTAGAAATTATTTATTTCCCCAAGGCAACAACAATTTACACACCGTAGAGTTTTCCTCTTGAGGAAAGTTTGGCAGCGAGAGATGCACAAATGGTTTCAACCTTCTCAGAGCTTTTTCAACATTTTCAGGATACTCTAACGTTGTTCTTGAACCAAAGGAATTATTCCATAGCTTGATAAATTGGTTCGCAGTAAATTTATGTCGTGATTCCAATCCAGATGTGACAAGCGTTGATAGCTTCTGTAATAGTGTGTCTTTCAACTCAGCAGATTTTTGGAGAAGTTTAGTGGTCGAGAGTATCAGTTCTCGTGCCTATTCTCGTTAGAATAGCGTTCAAGTGAAAGGAATGAATTTTCAAAACTTACTGAAGCACTGATGTTATTGCCCACATCTGGTCGACTAGTAAGCACACCATCACGGTCAGTTATCCATAGACCTAAAGAATCCTGTAACTCGCTAAGCAATATTGGGCCGAACGACGATGGACATCGATCAATAAGTTTAGTCGTAGAAGCTAAAAATCTAACGATGCGACTATGATCAGTACCGGCTAACTCTACATAAATCTCTTTCAGCACCTTGCTAGTCAGTTCAATTAACTTGTTGCCAGAATGGTGTTGAATTTGGCGATACGCAAATGGCGATTTGTTAATTGAGGGATGCGTCGGGGATGGAGGCTGCTCTTGGACGGAAGTGAATTTGAGTAAGTCTAGGAGAGCTGCACAATTACCAGCAACAGCCGCTAGAGGTTGGGAACTGATGGTCTCTGACAGTGTCTCAAGTATACCAGTCAAAGCAGCTTCACCCTTTTCGGCCCGAACAACAGAGCTGAACGAATCAAGGAGTAAGGACCACTCCGAAAATGATGACTCAAAACGGGATCCCGCAACAAGAATAGTAATTACGTTTTCGTAATCATTTGGCGCCGAACCGTCACGTTTCATGATTTCAGTCCTCATGGGAAAAGCTAGGAGGTATCCCTTAGCTAGCTTTGCTATAGATTGCCATACATGGTGGCAGTTGGACAAACATTCCAAATTGACATCAGAAACATTTCCTGATTGCTCTAACAATAGATCTGCGAATTGACGAAGTACTTCAAGCTTAGCATATCTCGATGTTTTCCCTTGAACACCCATCTCGATTATGACATGTAGCAGTTGAAAATAAGCGGAGCTGATTGTCGATGATGGTAATGGCGAAAACGTAATCAAGTGAAGTAAGTGAAGTAGAGGAGATTTGACATTGTTATCTACCGATTGTCGATTGTGTGCAGGAGTGGTAGCAGTTTGAAACCTGTCTTGAGATATTTGTGCAAATAACTTGTCGGTAAATATGGCTGGCCCAGTAGACGAGACCACGGTTGTCAAAAGGAATTGGAAACGTTTATAGAATGTATCATTTCGAGTATCCCCGTTCGCATTTAAAGATAGAGGTGCTGTCCTCCAGACGCGTTGCAAAGTCCCAAGAATACTGGCTATTGCTTGCATCGATTCCGATGAGGGCGTGATCTCATTACTGCCAGCATCGCTCAAGGCCTTTGAAAGATTTGTCCATGAGAGTCCGATACCTGACTTAGCTATATCATCGTCATTCCAAGCTGAAGACTTGAAGAGCGATTTGAAGACTGGAAGAATAATTGGGAGCCGAGATCGAATCCATCTACAGTCCAGTCTTGGGAGATCCTCGGGCTCAAGAGTTGTCCCCTTGATAATCCCGATTTTATCTTCTTCCCAAATCTTTGGTTGCTGATTCCAGAGTAGATAAGACAATATCCGACATAACCGTTCATTATTAGTTGGGTCGGAGTTCAGGTTTCCTGAAAACGGATTCCCAATGTAAATTGTCCAGAAGAAGGCCAAACGACTATGAGAGGCCGAGGGCCGAAAAGCATAATAGAGGAGTCTATGGTAACTCGTGAAAGCCTGGTTGACTAGAATACCCTGTTTGTCAGATTTTTTCCTTTCAAGTTGCGAAAGGATTGGTCGGAATAATATTTTTGTAATATCTGTGCTGGTGGACTCATTCGGCGACAAAGCATAAACAAACAAATCCCAAGCCATGAGAGCTTGGGATTTCGTCATTATGTCACTGCAATTAAAACACCTTTGAATAACTAAAAGCCAGTCCTTTAAATGGGGCCAGTTGTCAATGGACCATCGCTTTGTTCGAAGCAAGAGAATTATAACACTCCAAATTTGTGGCACTTGTGAACCACTGTCGGGACTTGATATCATAGCAGATAATCTGTCGCAAAGCTCTGCAACAAAAGGCGAGCCATTTTCCAGAGTAACGTCAAGTACTTCCCGTAATGCGACGGAGACAGTGGTATTTGGACCCATTGCCATTGCAGCCAACTTACCAACTTTGATCGCTCTTGTTCGTATATCTTTTAAGTTATGAAGGAGTGCCGTTATAAGATGATCCATCCACAAGTCAGCGTGAGACGCCATTGTTGACTGCGGTAGGAGTAGGAGTTCTCTGTAAATTGCTAGACGATGGGCAAGTACCGCCTTGCCTTCAACACGATTCGTTATGTCCTTGAGTACAGATAACAAGAGCGTCACTCGATTGCTTGTCATAACTTTTGGCGAACATTTTTGCATGGATAATACACGCATATACTCAATTGCAACCGTTTTCGGTACATTCGGGTTTTGAAGAGAGGCGATTGCGTGATCGATCACGAAAACTTCGAGATCGTCGGGGAGTCGGGAGGAGAACTTCGGTTCATAGATAAACATGGCCAACAACTTCAATGCTTGGCGTACGAGTTTGATATCGAGTGGTTGATAAATCCCGGACACTTCGCAAATATCCCTTCGGATGTACTGCGAAAAGGTTTCAACCTGATCCGCTAGGGCTCCCTCATCTGGGATATTGCTGTACGCGGCCAAAGTACCTAGCAGATGCTGGTAAGCGTCAGCCCTAGAGGTGCGGGAGCCGCCCGCAAGCTGCTTGCAGATGGACTCTAACATGGCAGGAAGGTGGTCCGATGAGTTAAAGGACTGTTCAGCAGGGGGGGTTGAGGCGGGCGACGAGCAAGAAGACTTGAGTATCGATTTGGATGGCTTGCATTGATTCGAAGGTGGCAGAGCCCGGAGAGGTGTTCTAGACTTGTGGGCATTCGAGGTTGGGAAGGATGGCGGTTTGATATAGCTTGTCAGAGGGGAGAAATTGACTCTTTTGGACAGGCCACTGGATTGAGGAAACGGTGACAAATTCGGAGGTGAAGAAAAGCCGTCGCTCGGGGTGGACAGGGGAGCTTGATGGCTGGGCAGCTGCTGAATATCGGACTTCAACACAGCCGATTTGAGTGAGGATGATCGCGGAGGAGTAGGCGGACGCGCAGGAAGGGCACTGAAGCTCAAGACTTCCACCATATTTGGAGTAAAGGTTATATCTTCATGTATGGAGACAGAAAGCAGGAAGGAAAATATCGTAAACTGGTATATCGCCTGGACCACGGCACCATAGAAAAGGGAAATTGGAAAAAAGGTAATTGAAATTCAGAATACACCGTCCTATAAGAACATGCTAAAAAGAAATAAACGAAAGAAAAGGAAAACGCAGTCACGCTCATGAGACACCCGAAGTAGTGGAACGCACAGGCATGGTTAAGATGTTCGGTCGGTGAAGACCATCATCGTCTTGTCATCGTTGGACGTTGACATTGAGATGGAGACGACGCCAAAAAGCGGAAAACACGCGAGAAGTCGCGAGATCGCAGACGCGTTTTGGGCCAAAGTGGAATTAGTCATGTGATTGGGTTCGGAATATAGTATATCCACTTGAAGGGTCTGAATGCTTCTCCCAGGTAGGCGGCAGGTGGGGAACCTCCCCTAAACCTTTAGTTGTACCTCTTCTCATGAGACTCACATTGTTACAGAACCTCTTCTTTTTACACCTGCAGACTTGTGAAAAAGTCACAGAATGGTTTTTTCTTCTTAAAGACAATGATTGTGATCTTGCTATCATCAAGTTATATACACTCTCCTCTCACATCCTCCATCTGTCAACTTTCCACTGTAGTCTCAAGTCTACAGAAATATGCTAGTATCATTGCTTTCATGTTTGAACTTTTAGTGATGTTAGTGGAAACTTTCCCCTTACTTTCCTAGGCTTACTGTGTAAGGGGAAAAAAAAAGAAAAATTGCACAAAATCCATCCGCCAAGTATTGATTGATCGACCACTACCCTTACTTTCCTAGGCTTACTGTGTAAGGGGAAAAAAAAAGAAAAATTGCACAAAATCCATCCGCCAAGTATTGATTGATCGACCACTAACTAGGACCCTTGGCACATCAGTGTGATCCTCGCGTCCACTATCGGCCCCTCTCTAAAGAGTTGATACCAGGCTCGTATTGTGTGCGGTTTCGTGAATGAAATCGTAACACAACATATAGGAATGTCCCGAGGACCAATAATAAATCGAAAATAAGCGTTATTTGCAGTTTTTCTTGGTGATACAAATGAACAATTTTATCAATCAATCACCGATCAGCCAAAATTGTTAGGAATAACAAATTAATTACAGATCATGTGGTGACCATTTCGTGAATATATATATATATATATGTCAATAATAAGCACGGATTTTATTAGCTTCGAACATCCATTTCCAGGCTAACATTGTTATTGGGAGTCAAAGCAGTTCATCCTGCGCTAGATACGCTGGAAATGGCTTAATCGTACAAGCAAGAATCGGTGACTTGCTATTCTTCATTATATGGGCCATGGTCAAAATCATACAGCCGTCCTGATGGAGTACTTTAACTGGGGTGTGCAAGATAGTCACATAACCATGTATAAATTCGGGGAGACGAAAGAACACGGCGCATAAGAGCGCAAGCATAGGCTGCTTTCAAGGTTGATTGTTCTTACTGAGCTTCGTAACAGAGTTCTACCTCTCGTATCGAAAGTTCAAGGAGCGCCATGATAACTTGGCGAATACCAATAGGTAATTGAATTGCGGAAAATGTTGCATTATCCTACGAGACTGGGTTCCGAACTCATAATAACATGCTTGTTCCTCGATGATAGTAAGCTCGCACCCAAATGGTGGAAGATCAAAGGGGAAGACGGGGAATACGGGGAAGGAGGCGAGAATGTTTTTTGATAGCAGGATACTTGCCTTGCAGAAATATATCTTAAATATCTTCTAATTGCAATCTGTCGCAAGTATACTCGGTCAGCTTCTGCCAAGCCGTTTCGGAATGAGCCTGTTTGGAAGATCTCCTGGGTAGCTGGGGTTTGGATTTTCTATTAAGAATCCAATATTCGAAAAAATTATAGCTCTTCTTGGACTTCCAAGGTTGGTTTTATAGTTCCATATCAGGACGCGTGGAGAGAATGAACGGTTATCTAGAACGTTTCCAAAATAGGAACTTATCATAATGACAAATTTAACAATTGATGTATTATTTCGAGGACTTCCAATTCTAATTCCCGATCCAACTGACGAGGTTGGCTTCAGCTACGCGAAGTAGCCAGAAAGTGTGTGGAGTCCGTCGGGACCCCGCGGGTCACAGGCTGACTAAGAGATCGGATATCAAAAATTTACAGTCAAGCTGAGGGGCAGAAACTACCCTAGAGAAACATAAGGAGCGCGCCATAAATTTTACGCTTTATTATATCCTATATAAATACACAGCCATCAAACGCCCAAGATGTCGGTACCGAACACGTTCGATCCGGAAAATGCGCAGAACTTGGAGGATGTAAGTCGAATCCATCCCGCCCATACCTCCAAGGGCCCCACTATCTATGAGTGATTGCTCCTAACCCCTATCCTCGCGCAATCCAGATGGAAAAGCAGTTCGCCGTCAAAGGTGTGTCTCTCCGGAGGGTAAACATGTGAATCCAATGGCGTCCTTTGAAAAACATTTTACTGACCGTTCCGCCCCTTTCCAGCGGTTCAACAAATGACAACATACTGGTCCCTCCTAGAAACGAGAAGAGGGTCTAGTCTGCGCTTGACAAAAATGGATGATGAAATATACGAGCATTTCATGGAAACATTCCCGGAATTCGACCCTGCGGCGACGATTAATGAGGATGAGATGAAGAGCAAGGCAGGTAAGGAAAGATGGAGATCTTTCCTCATGGCCTACGATAAGAAGGTTGAAGATTATAACTTCGGGACGCTGTTGAGAGCCAATCCTAAATTTGAGTATGGGGAAAAGGAGACAATATTTTGTATGACCTGTTTTTCGGAATTTTAAGCTCCCATTTTCCAGTAACACGCCTTGCCTCCAGCAATTTACATATTAATTACATATCTTTTAACTGTTACTTTCATAATAGCTGTTCGCATGCAATTCTACGCCATCGAAATTGCCAGGTAAGGCTGTCCGTTTTGGATCTATCAGACTCATTTGGAAGTCAATCTAACATATTCCTCTCCGTTTAGAAATCGGGCAGGATTAAACGACTGGGTCTACGAGCGGGCACACCCGGGGGAGAAAAAGGACTCGTCGTAACAAGCGCTATTGAAAATATAACCACCTTGGTCGGATTTGATGATATCATCTACTCGACGCTTGATAGACTTCGCAATACAAAATATCGAACACACAGGGCATTATTGCAGCTCTGTGACCGCTTCGTTTCACTGATTTAGTACCCGCATGACTTGCCTGAATCGCTTGCCGCACAACCGCCCACGAGGAATGAATAAAAAATAAAAATAAAAACCTAGCACAATATCGCAATTTCCGCCAATGGCATTTGAACGTACACAGATACGATCACAGGCGTGTTCAGGAAATAACCTCACCATGTTTGCACGTACGATGAAATTTGAAAAGAAGGGAGTTCAATGGTTTGCTGCTCTGCATTTATGTTCTTCAAAAACCAACCTAAAAAAGGGGCGTGTGGGGGAAGCAGGTTGGTTTGAGAGCCTGCTCGATGTATATACTAGTATCCTACCTTCTATGCTTAAAAGCACAGGTAGAAGGAATGAATGTGTTTTGACAGCAGGAGATCCCAAACAGGAAGGACAAATTTTGAGAGGCAAAATTTAAAAATCCAGGTGGCATTGACATCATCAGCAAACTTCATGAAGATGTTTTACTTTACATCTTATGCTATCGACATAGAATGAACCAAGCTCTCAAAACAGACGTTAGATACAAAAATGTTTGTGGGGTAGTCCCGACAGCTTTCCTACCATCAATGCAAAACACATATTCTCCTTTTCTTCTTAGTGACAGAAATTACACGGGATTCATCGCTCACTCCTCCCTCTGATCAGAAACAAGAAGGAAATTTTGTTAATTTCATGAGATACAATTTACCATTAGTCGTACCTATTTCTCATAGGATCCTTTTGTAAGTGCGCAGATAGGCACTCCTTAACCAAATCATAACCTAAATCATAAATCTACGAATGACTGTTTCAAAAGTTTTGATTCACGCGAAAAATTCAATCTGAAATATTATTGACTAACTCGTGTAAGGATCTCTAGCTTTATTAGTCACACAATGGGAATCAATTGGCATCCGGATGCCGTAATGCAGGAAACCTGTTCTTGCAGTGACAAGTTACAGCAGAACAAAGGGGGAAAAAAACTGCTCTTGGACAAAAGCATGCCGCAAAGTTGATCCAACTAATTCTGCTCCACACCCGTTAAACTGCCAGGTCAACAAGGGAGCTCATGTACGTCCTGACGGAAAACTGACACGCGACATTGACGACTTCAAGTGGTTCTAAATCTTGGAAAAAGAGTCTTAACATTGGCACACAACTAACTATTTGGATCATTGCGTGAACTTGGTTCGGAAATATCGCATGGGTTGGAAGCACCATTGTGATAGGAAGTTTGATTTTCACCAGCGAGCGTCGGGGGATTCCTCAGTGTTTCATCCCCGCTTGTCCAGGTTGGAATACGCAAGCTGTACATAGTATCAATCTCTTCGATTGTTCGGCCTTTACCTTCGATGACACCAAAATATACAGTTGCCACGCCAACGAAGAGGCAGCCAGAGAAGATGTAACCGTATCTGAAGTCAATAGCCTCGGTGATAAAGGGAGTGAAGAAGGCGAGCAGAAAATTCCAAAGCCAGTTCGATGCTGTCGCAAGGCCCATGGCTCTGGCACGATAGCGGGAGGGATATATTTCCGCGATGATAACCCAGACTATCGGTCCCCAGGTACTGGCAAACCCTAGCATGAACAAACAAGCGACTACAACCATCGCTCTCCCAGAGCCAGGAGTGAGTTCTGGCATGGCTTCGTTGAGTTCAAAATGGCCGATGGAAGCGTAAACCGCGCAGCACACGGACATCCAGATTGCGCCAACTATTAGGGACTTGCGACGGCCAAAGTTCTCAACGGTATACAAGCTGAGGCAAGATCCCCCGAAATCAATGGCGCCAAGGATAACTTGTGAAATATATCTGTTTTGGACACCAAAACCCCTGAACACAGTTGCCGCAGTATAGAAAAAGAAATTAGCCCCTGTGAGCTGGTGCAGACCGTGCAAAGCGGCTCCGAGCAGAAGTCTATGCTTCATTCCGGGGGCGGAAAACATGTGATACCAGCGCTCATCTTGTGCAGCCATATCTTCCTCGTACTTTTCACGGATTCCTTCTAACTCTAGGTGGAGTCGTTTGTGATTATGTGGTATGCCGTAGAACCGCATCAATGACTTTTTCGCTTTGTCAATACGCCCCGCCCGATAATCATAACGGGGGGAGTCTGGGGAAAACAACGCCCCAATGCCCAGGATCGATATCCTGATGAAAGTTACCCCGAGCGGAATCCGCCAGGCACCGCTATCCGAACGGTTTCCAGTACCCAAATTGATGCAGTTAGCAGATAAAATGCCCAGGGTATTGAAAAGCTGATAGCAGCTATGAGAATCGATTAGTTTACCCATTCACACTCGGAAGGCATCGTGCTAGCGATGGAGCAAACCTTATAATAGCACCACGAATATGCCGTGGGGCGCTCTCGCTCTGATATAGTGGAACCAGCACCGAAAGCGCACCGACACCAAGACCCGCAACCCAACGGCCAAGAACCACCTGATACCATTTAGGATATTCGGAAGTCATTTGAATAATAACACCGACAATAATTATCACACAGCAACCGGACATTGTCCACTTCCGGCCAAACCTGTCGGCAAAAGGTGCAGCAACCAATGCTCCTATGAGCGTTCCAATGGAGAGCTAACAACCAAATTAGACTACCAAATGCCAACTATGACAGAAGACAATGTTCTTAAGGAAACATATGCAGGGCAAACATACCAAGGCCACAATTAGGCCAGCGCGAACACGTGAGAAATGATAGGTTTCGCCAGAGGCCTCGAGCTCACCGAACCGCCTTCTGAAATCATCCGTCTCCAGTACGCCTGCGATCTGGCCAGTGTCATATCCAAAAATGAACCCTCCCATCGACACGGACAAGCCCATAGTGAACGAGCGCCATGTCAACGTAGGGATCGGGGTATCGACGAAGCCTTCGTCAAATTCCACTAGGTCATCTGAAGAAAGGTGATTATCTAAAGACTTCGACGGGATGCCTTTTCCTTTAACAAAAAGCTTCTCAAATTTCGATTCCATGAAGAGAATTTAGTAGCATAGAGCGCTACATTGCTAGTCAATTTTTCCTGAGGAGCAGGAAGAAGAGAAAAATACTTTTGGGCAGGGCGATGCCGGACTGAACCAAAACACTAGGCAGGACCATGGTTCTGCCATGAATTGAATGAATTGAACAGTCAATCTCAACTTTGAAACAATACGACAGTTAGTGAATCTATATTTTTCATATCTGCTTGTCCCTTCTCTTGGAGGCCCCTGAGGATACGACACAAACAGCTGCTATATCTTTAATATAGTAGTAGTGACCTACTGTTCAGCTATAGAGCTCAGTTTTTCGCAATATCAACAACCAGAAACGGACCGAAACTATTTTACGAATTAACTTATAGTTATTTACGTTAATATTAGAATATCCGTTACCCGTGCCACGCCACAGGTATTTAGACTTCACGGGTTGTTGCCTCAACACAATCATATATAGATGTATTTTCTTACTAAGATATGTATCTATCTATAGCTGAGAGTCATTCAGCATAAAAAAACAAACAAACAAGATGTGATAATATCTAGCTATTTTTGTTTTTTAAGAACATCAGTGTTTTACACTAGCATATCTAGTCCAAATCTTCAAATCTTGATCGTTTACATACATATAATTTAGTCGCAATGAGCTCTCTATGATGAAGAAATACTCATCTCAGTAATTAGATCCGGTGTTGTGCATGAGATATTGCTATTCTGGGTATTGAATTTCAAAATTAGCAACGCTACGGTCAAATTCCGCGCGCCCTGTCGTCATTATTAGAAAATTACCTGGCGGCGTAGGATCCGATTTCCAATTTAGGGTTGAAAACCCAAGGTTCAGCGCCGTCCTGAATACCAGATCTGAAACCTTGATGTTTAATGTAATGGAATGGGTCAATGGCATGGCTTTTTTAAGGAGTCTATTTGGTCACATGGAACTCCATATTCGAGGGCGGCAAATCGTCTGTATACCATGGAGTAAATTGGACTAAGAATGCTGTTTGCAGGGGCCCCCTCTCCATTAACCGCGAATCAGCTCAAGCAAACGATATCAGGAATTATTTGGAGCGTATTGCAGGTTACCTGCGGGTTACAGTTGAACGTTGGTTCAAAATTTCTGAGCGTGGTTCAATGAATCATGATGAACTTTGACCTATCCATGGATGGATGTTCAGCTTTGATCATGTGATTTAATCACCACTTAAGGTTCTTGGTCACTTCTAAGGTTTGAACCACTACGCCAATTTAGTATGAGAGAGTGCTTCTAAGACAAACAAGACAAACACAAGCAAGTGCTTTCTCATACTAAATTAGCGGCGTGGTACAAAGTGGCCGAGCAAGCGGTGAAGTACGTCACTTAATTTATCATCTATATAACTAGTTAAGGGTCAAATGGATGAAGTAAACTAGTTATTTAACTAACTGAGTTATTAGTACAGTTATCTATGTACTTTTAGGGTCAATTCGTGTAAAATTTGCTTGATGATGGAGGTTGAGGTTGGTTGGTTAGCGCTCTTATCGACAGGTGGGCCACGTGGTATTGGCGCCCGACTGAAACTCACCAAAAACGTCTCCGACAGAAGTCCAGCAAACATCAACAAAACCCTCTGACGCTGGTTTCTTTGACGATTACAGGGGAATCTCCCTTTATATAGCGGCCTCTCTGCCAACTTCCGGAATGGAACACGCTCACTCTTAACGTATAAGTGCTTAAAAATACCTAATGACTACTATTAGTACGGAGTATTTTGTGGTTGTTATTATTCTGTTCTCACTCTCAAGTGTTCCAGAAACTCAACCTCGTGGCTTAGATCCATTGATGAGAAGAACAATACTAAGAAATCCCCGCAAATTAACTAAAACGCACGATATATTACCTCAATCATTTTAGCTACCTATTCTTCCTTTATCTCATTATTCGCTATGATATTCACTTTATCAGACCATTTCTTTGCCAAACGCCGTCTTCGGGAGATGGTGGGACGCATTTGGCAATTGGGGGATGAGATGCGGTCACATCCCCCACCATGCCCTTGTCTTCTTTTTCCTTCACCCCCTTGGTCTGGGGGATAACAACGAAGCTGTCTATAATTCCTTTCCCGTGTCTCTCAGTTTCGTACCTTTCGGGTTCTCTCGTTGAACTCTGTCACTACATCGTAGGGAAGCATGGAGCTTGCTGAGAATTCCCACAACTCTATGTCGACCAGTATGCCTACACGAAATGCAAGTTGGGCATCATTATTCTTTTTCACCTCAAGAAAACATGCTGTTTCTCTCATTTTCGGATCTCTGTTCACTATAGGGGCCGGTGTCCTTGTTCCAATGTTGGCTGTGCTGCTTGGGAAGATATTTGGAGCCTTTTCAGGATTCGGGGAGGGCTCTCTAACCTCAGATCAATTGATACATACCATATCTGCTCATTGCGTGTATTTATTGGGTCTCGGAATTATCATTTGGCTGCTGCAAGCCGGTCACTTTACATTCTGGATGGCTTTTGGAGAACTCCAAGCAAAAAACGCGCGAGAGAAATCCTTCGTGGAGTTGCTCAAGAAGGATATATCTTGGTTTGAAATGAAACAGGACGGAGTTTTAGCTCTTTTACCGCGTCTCCAAACGTAAGTAAAGATGTTCTGATCCTCACCACATTCAGCCCGCTCATGTGCAGGCCAGACAGATCCGAGATCTTCAATTGGCGACGTCACAACCACTAGGTTGTGTTTTACAGAGGGTAGTTACGTTTGTCACTGCGCTGATTTTGGCCCTTTACACCTCCTGGAAGCTTACCCTGGTTTCGTTGGCCTCCGTACCTATCTGCGCGATAGTAGTGGTTGTTATTTCGAGGAAAATTCAACCGAGCATACAAGCCTATGAAGCTGAATTGACGCGCACATCAAAATTGGTCAGCAGCAGCTTCTCCTGCATCGACGCGGTTAAGTATTTCAATGGTCAAAACTTCGAAGCCCAACAATATTCCCTAGGCATCTTGGCCGCGACGCGCTGGTATAGAAACGAAGCGCTCGGCCAAGCACTCCAAATTGGCTGCGTGAGACTGATGATATTTGGAATGTTCGTACAGGGTTTCTGGTACGGTATCTCTCTCGTTGAAGCAGGCCAGTTGAATCCCGGAGACGTTGTGACAGCCTTCTGGGCATGCCTCTTATCTACACATGCAATTGAAGATGTGTTGCCTCACATTATTGTGCTTGAAAAAGGGCGTGCCTCAAGTTCTGCGTTACAACAACTCATAAAGAAAAAAACAAACTGTTGCGACGAAACGGATGATACAGCCCAGACACTATCCCCCACGTTTTGTGAAGGGGATATACGCGTCAAAAATGTGAGCGATTGATATCAACATGCTTAACTTCAAGTCAAACGTAAAGGCTAATCTCTCATCACATTTGTAGGTTACTTTCTCTTATCCATTTCGTCCTGATTGCTACGTATTAAAGGATTCATCGTTCTTTTTCCCGGCGGGCGATGTGACGTTTGTTGTTGGGAGAAGTGGTTCGGGGAAAAGCACACTTGCTAATCTCCTCATGCGATTCTATACACCCACAAGCGGAGCTATCTTCATTGACGGCACCCCGCTTGAAAACTTGAATATTGACTGGATCCGGAATAACATCACTCTAGTACAGCAACAGAGCTTTCTTTTTAACGAGACTGTGTTTACAAACATCGCTTTTGGTTCAAGAGACTATCATAGTATCACTGAAGACAAAATTCTCAATTGTCTCCGGTTCGCCTGCCTCGACGAAACGGTCCGCAATCTGCCAGATGGCCTGGACACGATGGTGGGCGCTGGTGGGAGTGCATTCAGTGGCGGCCAACGCCAAAGAGTTGCGATTGCTCGTGCAAGATTGAGAGATACCCCTATTCTGATCCTCGACGAATCCACAAGCGCGTTGGATTTCACCAGCCGATCTTCTGTGATGGATGCCATTCGAGTCTGGCGAAAAGGTAAAACAACTATTGTAATTACACATGATATGTCCCAGATCAACGATCAAGACTTCATGTACGTGTTACATCAGGGGCAAGTCGTTCGCAGAGGGTATAAACACGCGTTGGAGCAACAGGCAAAAGAAACATTTGGTTCAGCCCTGACGGAAATGTTTGACCTACAAAATGGACGATCTCTCCATAGTACGGGACACTCGACTGTGTCAGGGTCTAGGAGAAGCAAATTTAAAAAGACCAGCAAACCTCTTCCTCCTATACCCAATCAAGAATTAAACCGGACTTTTCAGACCATCTCATTGTCTCCTATAACCCCCAATTTTCAACACACTCTGTCGTTCCAGTCAATGATCCACACGGAACACGCAATTCAGCCGTTAGCCTCCCCTAGCGGACAAATTCTTCCACATACCCAAATGCCGTCAATCATTGAAAACATTGAACTTGACGGAATTTCTCGCGAGAACGAAACCCAGCCCAACCTAAGTCTCATGCCGACGTTAACGTGTTCTTCAGTCGCGGCTTCCAGGGACTTCGCCTTTGGAGATGGTAAATCGCCCAATGAACCAAGAGATGGTGGCATCTCCAACGAGAACACGGAACCAAACCATTCATCCATTTGGGAAATTCTGCACACTGTTATCCCGTGTTTAACAATATCCTGCAGGTTTTTCCTTCTAGCTGGATTTGTAGCTGCACTTGTCCATGCTGCTGCCACGCCAACATTCGCATATCTGTTTGCGCAGCTCCTGGGTGTATTCTTCCATTCAGGGGATCGCGCGCACATGGCTATCAAATGGTCCGTTGCAATCATCGGCGTATCCGTCGCCAATGGAGTTGCGTCGTTCGTGATGCATTTTCTCCTTGAATACTGCGGACAGGCCTGGGTTAACTCCCTCAGGAATGAGGCTGTGGGACGTATCCTCTCCCAGCCGAAGGAGTGGTTTGAGAAGGAGGACAATAAAACGTCCAATTTGACTATGTGTCTGGATCGTAACGCAGAGGAAATGAGAAACTTGGTTGGACGGTTCGCAGGATTCATATTTGTTGCGACTGTGATAATGGTTATATGTATTATTTGGGGAATTGTGGTGTGCTGGAAATTAACTCTGGTTGGGTTTGCCTGTGCGCCAATTGTTTATTCTATGACGAGGGCCTTCGAGCGCGTGAGCAGTAAGTGGGAGAAAAAGTGCAATGATGTTGGTGAAGTGGTTGGAGATATATTTTCGGAAACCTTCCTCAATATCAAAACCGTCCGCGCATTGACACTCGAGTCTCATTTTCACAGGAAGTTAGATGGAGTTGTTGTGAAGGCACTTAGATTGGGCTTAAAGAAGGCCTGCTATTCAGGCTTTCTCTTTGGATTGTCCAATTCCTCGATCATTTTTGTTTACAGTATGTGCTCAGTGGCAGTTTTTTCAACCTATGCATGTATTTTCCGGACTAACATGAGACACATAGCGTTAGTGTTCTATTACGGAGCAGTTCTTGCATCTTCGCTCGGATATTCGACCAAGGATATCCTCACAGTCTTTTCGCTCCTCCTCTTCAGCTTGTCGAACGTTAATGCCGCACTGGAATTTGGTATGCCCGTCCTATCAGTTAACTTGTTAGTAGATATACTAATGCCGATTTTCAGTACCACAAATCAGCTCATCTCGAGACACTGCATGTCGAGTATTGCGTTTAACTACACTCCCAAAAGGGTTTTCGCATGAGGATGAGGGCAAACTGGAAATATCCCATCCAACGCCCTTAAAATTCACAAACGTGAATTTCAGCTACCCATCCCGCCCCAAGAAGCTTGTCCTTCGAAACCTAAACTTAACACTGACGGAAAATTCCTGTACCGCAATTGTTGGTCCTTCCGGCTGCGGGAAGTCGACCCTAGCCTCCCTCCTCACTGCTTTATACCCGGTAACATCATCTCAAATCGGTGGCGCCAGTATGTTATCCGTCGGGGGCAATGACATCCAGAAAATCCACACCCCTACCCTACGCTCTCTAATCTCCATCGTCCCCCAACAGCCCACCCTCTTTCCGTCCTCGGTCAAAGAAAACATCAGCTACGGACTTGACCCTTCATCCCCTCTCAACACGATCCACAACATCCGCTCTGCCGCGCAGGCTGCGGGGATCGATGAATTCATCACTTCCCTCCCAGAAGGCTACGACACGATAATTGGCGACGGAGGTTTGTCCGTATCCGGCGGCCAGGCGCAGCGTGTAGTCATCGCGCGTGCACTCGCGCGGAAACCGCGTATGCTCATTTTGGACGAGGCCACTTCGAACCTTGACGTGCACAGCGCAGAGCAGATTCGTCGCACAGTTAAGGATTTGTTGATGGGAAATGGCGGGCAGCTGCTGACTGTGGTAATCATCACGCATGCGGTGGAGATGATGGAGATTGCGGATAGGGTTGTTGTGGTTGATAAGGGTTGTGTTGTTGAGGAAGGCCCCTTTTTAGAGTTAATGGGGAAGGCGGGAGGAGAGTTAAGGAGGTTAGTTACGCTGGAAGGAAAGGATGGTTATGATTCTCAGCAAGACACTTGATTTTTCGAAGGCCACTTTTTTTTTTTTTTTTTTTCACATTTCCCCTCCCTCTGCACCCCAAATTCTCCTTCTATGGAGGGGGCATCTATTCACGAATATTAGTCTCCCTCCTGTTTATTTATTTACTTACATAATTGTTTCATTTAACTAACTAGTTAATTTAATTTTTTAATTTTAATTTTTTTTTTTTAAAAATATATACTTTGCCCCTTGATCAAATTACCTTGTTACGCCTTTCTCAATCTCATAAATAGACCTCTCCCAAACGAGTCTCATGCACTTCTCACCCTGTCACCATGCGGCCGTTTAAGCGCCCACCGTTTCCCCCTCTACACCCGCGCGCTGGAAGACCGAATTGTGGTAATGATATATAGCCCGTCCGCAGTGCAACAACCTAGCAGTGGTCTAGTCTGAGGGCTTATTTATTTTCTATTCACAGTATCATCTTCATAAAGTAAAATAAAACAACAACAGGGTCGTTCCCTGCTGTGTGCAACAGTCAAGTTAAGTCTGCTTGCTTGTCTTCTTTGTTGAGCTCGTTCTCCCGCAAAAGGAACGCGCGGGGTAGATGGATACACCAAGACGACATGCATTCATGCATGCATGCATGTAAATTATTTCTTTCTTTCGTTTTCTTTTTGATTGCCCCCACTCCCTGTGTTTCCCAAGTTTGAATAATCATATGCATCCTCTATCTGGTAATTGGATTGAACCGCGACGAAAATTATTGGGTACATGCACACCATCATCCCACATGACGGCTTGTCGGATTGGAAGCGGGGACACCAACTCACACAACACCCCCCCAGTTTTGAATGGTGTTGTCGCGGGGATTTTTCCTGGATGGGGGTAATTGAGTCAGAACACTGACAGGGAGGGGCCTGCATCTCACACACAGAGTATGTCTTGTCTGGGATGTAAGGGGTGCAAGGGGTAACTAGTATAGACAGCGTATGTGCTAGGGGTTGTTTATATGCCAACAATTGGGGCAAGCTTAGAGGCTGGATGCCTGAAGCTTAGCTGCCAAGTTAGGCACCAGGGCCCCCATAACGGATTCGTTGAAGTTGCAGCACTGAGATTTTGCTATTTTGAAATTTCGGGTGTGTGCAAGGACCCACGTTCCACCCCGGCCCTCTACTCATATTTATGCCGAGAAAGTCTCCAGGGCCAAAAATATCTTTAACTGCAAAAAGGCCAGGCTCAGCATCACTGCGTAACTTTGCTTGAGCTCCTGCGGGATGGCGGGTGTGCGGAGCAAGGTGACGGAGGAGGGATGTGCAACGTCATGATGGGATTCCATATCCGTACATTTGATCCCGAATCGTTTATGGATGTTGGTTCGGCCGAATACTGACTGGGTTGGGCAATGATAGTCTTGCCCCGGAAGGCTGACCGTACTGCCTCCCAAGGCATGATAGGCCTGGGTGATAGCGGTGGCCGTAGAGATGTTGGCGGGTGGTTGGTGTCTGCGGGGCCGTCTATCCTCATATTGGGGAGTATTGGCGCTGTTCAGCCCTGGCTCTGCCGCCAAACCTGGTTGAGGAACAGTAACAACAAGTCCAACATCGCCCACAGTTCTTCAGCTCCCAACCAACCGGATCGACGATGTTTTTTGGTGTTTCACTGTTTCCGCTCCTATCGTTCGCTCTCTCTGGTGTTTTATCCTTTCCTTTCCTTGTCCCTTCAGTAACCTTATAACCCTCCTCCATGCCTCTGGCTTATACACCAAGGATTGTTCCTTACGCGGCTCGCTCACCTTCCAGTTCAGTCAGCCTCAGCCACTAGCGGCTAGGGGACCTCGTCGCTGCCGATCCAGCCTGTCCACATGAAGAAGTTTTGATTGTCAATTTTCCATCGTCCTGGGAACGACCTCGCTGACATCTCCTCCTTTCCTCTCTTATCTGTTTTGACTTGTTCTGGTCGTGCCATGTTCTTGCTGTGAAGAGATAGATTCCTGCGTTTGAACCAGCCAGGCCGATATTTTTTATCACCATGTTTCTCCCTACGCTTCAACGCCATAGCAACTATCTCGAAAGGCGCTCCAACAATAGTAACACAAAGGATAACTCCTCGGCAAAGATCCCCATAATTGTGAGATTTTTCAGTTCTGTTAGTTCGTGGAAGTCGTTACCCGTTTGGCTGACAATTTCCCTTCAGGTTGCCATCGCCCTCCTCGCTTTTATAATCGTCGTGCTCTGTATCTTCTACTTTCTCCGAGCCCTCCGTTACAGCAACGCGGAGCCCAGATACATCCCTACGGAATACCTCAAGAACAAATGGCGAAATTGGTTGCCGAAGACAGCATATGGCCAGGTCCCGGATGCCGTCCCAGCTACTCAACAGGCTCGTGCCGACCGATCACAGAATACGTCTTACAGGGGAGCCAGTGACGACGGGGTGGATCGTAACACCTCTATTCGATCAGTTATGACGTTGCCCACATACTCTCCAGTCCCGAAACCAACTGAGCAAGTCATTGGGAGGGAAGGTGAGCGAGCTGGTATGGATGTTGTAGTCGAGTTTCCTGAAACAGCAGAAGAGGAAGAGTCGCGGAGGGAGGAGCAGATGGAATCATTGTACCAAATTCGGCTGGCGCGAAGACAAGAAATCGCGGAGCGGGAGCGACGAAGGCAAGAACGGCGAGATGCTCGAGAACGCGGCGATTGGGAGCGATTAGAGGAGCTACGGCGTGAGAGTCGAGCGCGACACCGAAATGCCAGCCAGAGTAGTGCCGCTCCAAGCGCAGCGGCACTGATTGCTGAACACCAGTCCCGTGGAAGGGAGAAGCGAGTTACGAGCGTTGCATATGCGGAAGTGGGCCACGTTCGACATGATGGCACCCGATTACGTGCAAGCTCCCAAGAATCGGATTCTCGACCGCTCCTTGATGGCAATTCCTCCTTATCCAGCTTATCCGGATCGCGTCCGCGCGCAACATCGGGCTCGTCTTTTTTTTCGAATGCGACTAGCCAATCGGACAACGATACCCCTAGAGGATCCATCACTCTGGCTGAGGCTGATATTGGGGACTCGAATATCCATCAACCGCCACACTACGATCAGTTGGACTGGGGTGATGCTCCAGCATATCGGAGCCCAACTTTTGAAAGAGGGTTAGAACCCCGATTTCCTCCCGTTAGAGCACTTCCGAGCATCGAAATAGAAATCCCAACCCCAGGACATAGTGCCCCGGTCACGCCAGTGTCTCCCCTGCCATCCCGTTCACATGGCTAGGCAAGAGACACTGTGATTTGTCTTCCCATGCCCCGACTATCCATATCATTCTTTTGATCTGCGACATCCTTTTGCTCTGGCCCCCAGGCTTTAGCTATAATGATAGCTATTATTTATATCCATTATCGCAAGACTAAAGGACTTCTAACGATTGTATATCCTCGCCATCCACAGTCCAGCCCTATATTAAATGCGCCCACGGTTGCTGTCGAATTTCAGCTTATCTTATTTTCTCATTGATTATAGTTGCATAACCTTTATGGTCCTAGGCTGTTACCATTTTCGAACTTTATTTAAGGCAACACTCCCCATGCTCACACACACACACGCACACAAACATATATATATATATATATCAATATGTGTATTCTCCCCCAGTGCTTTCTCTCCGCTTCTCGTCCGGCTACCAAGTGCCGGCTTTTCCTCCCCACCCACGCACCTGTTACTGCTCCTACGTCATTCCCTTCCTGAAAGTTCTGGCAATTATTATTATGAATAAAGCATGGTGTTTCGAGTTAAGGTGTTTGGGGATTTGCTACACTACGTGTATATACTCCTGTTGAATTAGATCTGGTACTCTGCATATGGAAATTGCTTTTGGTTCCGGCTTTTGAGGGGCGTTCCCATATTCCCCACGTTTATATTTATTTTCCATTTGAGTCCTTTTTTCATTTTTCATTTTTCATCTTTTCTATTCTGATTTATGTACCTGCCAAGTTCTGTAATCGGCGACTATCAATCATCTAGCAACAATCCCACCCCTGCCACTGATTACGTAAATTACCCCTTTTCCTTGACTAGCCTGATATTGGCGCTATTTATATCACCGCATCGAAGAGCTCTCCACACCGCTGCACTTATCTCTCGCTGCTATTATTAAAACCAAGTGTTTGTGACGCACTACTGCTGATCAGCACTCCATCCCAGCGTGGACCTGATATCATGCCAGCATAAGATCCAATTGCAGTAATTTCTCTCATGACAAAAACTCTATCACAGCCCCAAACTCTCTCCGGCAGCTTTGACTTGTTGGCGCTGCGCAGGGAGTGGTGACAAAACCTTAAAACCATCCACAATGCCGAATCCATACTACACATTCCCGCCCGATGCTCCCCTGAACTCCTCTGTCTACTGTCACAATCGGTCCGATAAGTCGCCACCGCGACGACCTCGTCTCTCCACATGCCGACGTCGCGGAATCACCCATCCGCTCCCGGACTGGGTCGAATCGCCCTTCTCCGACCCGTGGGCATACACAGACCCGCAATCTAGCTGTACACTATATACGGTCTTCCCTCCTGAAATCCGATTTTTGATATTCGAAGCTCTGTTGTGTAATCGAGTGCTGCATATGAATCTTCTTAGTATGTCATCTCTCTATGACCTCGATTCTATGCAACGAGAATGTCACGGCTTTTTTATTCTTTTTGCTCATTTCCATTTTAATAATTCCCATTGCCTACCTCCGTCATCGTATAGATGAGATCGTTTTACTGTTTACCGTTGCTAAAATAAACATTCATTAGATTACCGCGAATACAAAGTTCTCAAAGCCTGTCGGCAGACAGGTGTGAGGTGGGAACGGAAGTTCTGGGATACAGTTCTCACAGGGTATTACGAGAACGCTAGAGTAAATTGTCAATGTGGCCATGGATCACAGGATAGTCTATGTTTGGCGATTTTAAGAACTTGCAGAAGGATGTGAGTTACGCTCCTCCTTCCCCCCCTCTTGGGCGTTGCGTCTTGCGTCCAATCAATGTATCATCAAAGAGGGGGAAATCGTGCAATAGTTTCTGACCGGCGTGCCTCCTAAAAACCCCAACTGTTCCTTGCACTGCAGATATTCCGAATGCATTCCCCTCCTATACACCGAAACACATTCAATTTCGGCAGAGACGTCGACGCCTCCTTCTTTACATCTAGACCCTTACACAAGCGCTTCCAATCTGTCTCGTGCATCGAGGTAAATATACCAAAGTGTTATCCACATTACTCCAGCGACAGCGTGACACGAGAGGCATATCAAAAGCTCCTAGCACCGTTCGTCTGCCTGCCCCCAATGAAAATTCTCCGGCTCCGCGTGAACGATCTCCCGCGCAAATCAGTCGATATCGAGGAGGGCTTGAGCCGGGAGGAAGCCTGGCTGGCGCCCGTGGACAAGCTGGTGAGGCAGATGGCTTCGACGCTGGAGGAGTTGGAATTCGTAATTCCGGCGTGGGGCTTTGAGTTGCTGTGCTGTGGCGAGAAAGCTAACGTTCTTGACGGGGCTGGCGACGGTGAGGGTGGCGAAGGGGAAGTCTTCTGCAATGAGCGGCGGGGCGGGAAGCGCTGTCGGAGACGGCTTGAGGGCCTGAGGCCTGGAGTGCAATATTGGATTTCGTGCCCCGCCGCTCCAGACCCGAGCCCCTGATAACAGTATATGAACGAAATGTGGGAGTGAACCACTTGGATTCGAGGTCCCGTCTCACAGGTGGGGGAGGCTATAATATATCTGTTTGATTTTGACTTGAGTGGATGAATACATGGTATATATCTAGTGGATCATTTACACTCAGTAAAAGCGTGTCGTTATTTGGAGTTGGAGATTTCCGTTCTTCTTTTGGCCCGCCTGAGTGAGGATGGTATATATATGGTATATATAAGTTATCCCCATATTTTCATGGCCTCGAATATAGGAGGGCCACTAAGTCCCAATGGGTGTGTCACTCTCAATTCAGGGTTTCGAATTACCCTACAATGCGTTTTATGAATATGTCACTTCATCCATTTACTGCATTCTCAACACTCACGGTAGCCGCTACAGAGAGCAGAGTATTTTGCTACCTATGTCGTCTACATATCTCGCATGAATTAGAAACATATACATGAAAAAAACTGTATACAAACATCCGACAAAACAAGAAAAAGGCAATATCATCACATAACTTATCCCCATATCTTACTCACTCCAAGGAAATAACTTCAGTGATAGATAATCAACTCTCCTTCACCTGCTTCCGATCCCAGCCCACCACATCCGTCCCAAAGACCCAATCCAACAATCCCAGCGCCCCGTAATTGACCCGAAACTTCTCGTGATGCAAATCATGCATACGCGCTCCGGCAAAGTCGTACCCGCTGTGCACGCTTGATGTCTCCGCCAGCATCGACACCAAGAACAACGCGAACGACAAGATATGCACGCGGCGCAAGGCCAGCGGGAGCACGATGGGCATCATGTTAGCCAGCACGTGCTCGAGCGGGTGGGCATATTGCGCGGCCAGGGCCACGGGCGCGGTGAAGCTGTGGTGCTGCTTGTGGAAGCGCGTGTAGAGTTTCGGATGGTGCAGGGCGCGGTGGGTGGTGTAGTAGACCAGCTCGCGCAGGAGGAGAGCGTAGGTAAAATCGGTGACGAGTTCGCGCGGGATGGGGTAGGTGGGGGTGATGGTGAAGGCGGAGTATTGGAAGCGTGTGGCGTAGGCGAAGGCGAGGTGCAGGGAGACGGTGAATAGGTTCACGGTGAGGACGCGCTGGAAGCAGTGAGCTATGACAGACCAGCTTGGTTGGCGGCGGGCGGATTGGAGTTTGTGCTTGCGGGAGAAGGCGGGGAAGGCTAGGTCAATGCTGAGGTAGAGGGCACAGGGGATCCAGAAGCCGAGGATTTGGCAGAGGATTATGACGGAGACTTCGATGAGGCCCGGGGGGTAGGATGTAGCTACTCGGGGCCAGAGTACTGGGAGAGTGGATAGGGAGGTCATGATTTGGGGGTGGGGGGGGGTCGTATGATTTTACTTGGGGCACGTTAGAGGCCTGGAGTGGTTTTGCATAGCGGGCCAGGAGTCTGTTTCTGTAGAATCTAGATAGAGAGCGGATTGGCATACATAAGAGAACTAGGCGTTTGAGTTTAAAGATGCAAAAATAAAAGCGAGTTGGAGTTTGAACCTCGGACTTCACGAATAGAGGAGGATCGGCTTTATACGGCTTAGCAACCGAGAGGTTTTCGGCAACTCTAATGTTGAGGCCGATCACACAAAAATTGCCGAAAGCCCGAGCCAGCAGCAATTCAACATAATGGGCATAATTTCTAATGGGTGGAAATGGGGTTGACATTAAATTTATTGTCGAAGGGAAAAATATCGGATCAAGATGTCTTCCAAGATTTGTAGAAAATTTTTGGTGGATTCCGTAAAAGGAATCAGCTATTTAGCGACCCCGATATTGGCTGGAGTAACGTTATATTCCAGACATAATAACCGTGATTCTTTCACACAAATGAGCTAAATTGTAGTTAAGATACTTTCTTTTCCCAGTGTCTCCCATGAACGGGGCATGTAATTCCTTGTTGACTATGAAGAGACCAGACTTCTGGGAGTTGACTGTCGCCGTGTCATAGACAGTCCTTCCCACCTCCTTCCACCAGCTTTTATCTCATTGCACCGGCCACGTCTCATCTGATTCCTCGCCACTGGTGATATCCGGTTGCGGCTGCAGAAAGTCCACGTTTGTTCGTTCCGAGCTCAGAGGGAAGGCCAGTTCTGACTTGTAATAAGGATGGTCCTCTTGGTGTTTTGATATGGTGGTTTTTGTTCCATTATGAGGCGAATCGAGCCAAACTTCCATATTCTGTTTCCGCGCATCCAACGTTTCGAACGATGCACGGCCACTGAGCAGTTCTTCCCGCACGAAATTGGTATGGAACGTAAACTACCAGCTTGCCTGGGAATCTCTGCTATTGTCCCTCTCGGCTTCTTCAGGTGTTTATTGAGGTTGTTAAACCCATGAGAGGGCAGCATAGATGGATGAAAACCAAAACAACATGAACTAAGTTGCGGTGACGGTGGGCGCTAGTCCCGAATAATCCTAGCGTTTTGCACAGCTCCCAGCAGTGGAAATGTAAACAAACCACCCAAAACGGCATGAAGCAACATCGACTCTCAACGCCCACGATACCCAGACCCGTCCGCACCATTGGGCCGTTACTAACATTGCAGGAGCTTTCTTTTAACGGAGTTATTGTTTTGCCTCTTTTATCAGTTTCATGTCTGTATTCACTTTGAGTTGATCTGTTTGCTGTCGCGATAACAAACCACCCCGACGCGACAATAATCTCTTGTACAAAAAGGTACTTAGAGAAACCCCTCCACCAACGATGTGGAATATGCTCATTTTGTTTTTGCCCCCTTTCTGAATGGCCTTATTCTAAATACGATGATTGACGGTTGCCACTATTCAGAATTTCTCGCGTATAATTTGCAATATCGGCTTCATGTCGCCAGTCGACCACACAAATACCTCTGATGTTATGGCGGATAGCCACGCATCGCGAGACCTGACGACGTCTGATTTCGATCCAGATCATGAAGCTCTCGTATCAACGAGACAGCTAGACAATAGCCACCGCCAGCGCCTACCAAATCGTGCAAAGCCACGCGACGTGCAGACAGATCCGGAAGCAGAACCAGACTTCGCCATCGACACGTCAGCTCTTCACCGGGCTTTTCCAGACTTCTCCGACGCATCCAGCTCAGAGGAGGAAGATGATATCTCTATAGAAATGGGACGGGGAGGCAAGAAACCCTTGCAACGGTTAGATGACTCGAGGGATTCGGTCATGAGCGTTGACGACAGTCGATACTCTGCATCACCAGTGGTTAGGGGAGATCGTTTTAGCAATTCTCCCCACAGGGCTGCTCTGCGCTCAATCCCAAATAGGGGATTGTCAGCGAGAGATAGCCTTCGCAAGGATGCCCAGATACGACGCGCCAGTCTCGCTTTGAAAAATAATAACGTCCCTCAAGACGCAAGGAATAAAAGCGGGAGCCAGCGGCGTACTCTGTCCGAAATGCACGCGAAAGCCAGTGAAGCGTACGATGGGTCATACGTTAGCGATGAACGACCGGCAAATATCACATCTACTACGAGAAATACTCGTTTCGGCAGCATGCGACAAGGTGCTAAAGTCGTGGATGCCGTCAACAAAGCAGCTGGCAAACCTTATCTCAAGCATCATGATGCAGACGTAGATCGTGGAGAGCTTAGAAGACAACCGGTTGCGAAGACCGCCGAAAATAATGCCACTGCGGACAATCTTACTCACCAGTCCTTTGCTCTTCCTGATATACCGAATCTCTCTGATCTCGTCTCCGGGATTTATGAAGATGGAACGCCAAAGGGACGATCGCGAACGACACGCTTCACTTCACCTCCCGCTGTAGGAACTGCTCATCGCCAGCGCCATGAACATTTCCCTCTTGACTCTATCCCCGTTCCGGATGACGAAAAGGCCATTTTTATTTCCTTGAAATTGCTTCAGGAAAAACTTGAAGCCCTCCAGATGGACAAATCCGATATGGAACGTAGACTTGAAGAAATTGAAGAAGAGAATATGATATTGAAGAGTGAAAACACTCGCTGGCAGAAGCAAGATAAAAACTTGAGAATGTATGGCGGTGATGAAGATATTAATGATGGAAGAAGAAATGGCAACCATTCTGTTCAAAGGAGTAGTGAGTACATATATATATTGATCTGCGCGCAAGCGTAACAACCTGACTTATAACTCGGTCTATCTAGGATTGGAAGCAGCCAATTCGGCACTTCAGAATCGGTTAGATATCTTTACCCGCAAAATTTCCAGCCACGAGACTAGAATTCAGCACTTGATACAAGAACGCGACTCAGCCCGGACCCAATTAGGCGTGGCTTATCTCAATTTGCAGGAACTGAAGTTGGAAAACGACGTGTTGGGACAGGAGAACGATGAACTGAAGATTCAACTTGAATCGCTGACTGAGTACCCCGAAGCAACGTATGGCAAACAACATAAGCAGACTCACGATTCCAAGACAATTGGTCGAGGCATCGCCACCAGAGACCAGATCGAAACAACGGAAACTAATCGAACAAGGCCAGCTCGAGCTGTTGAAAGTCTGGACGCTGATGCTTCAGTCCGCAAAAATGCTGTTGATGCACAAAGGCAAAACTCACATAACATTCATACCCGACAACAGAAGCAGACTGAATATGACGAGCTATTCTCTCTCGACTTGTCCCATCTTAGTGTGCAGCAGCACACTAGACATACGAAGACACGAGCAAATACCACCGAAAAGAAGCTTCCCAACACCAGCAAACAGCGTACCAAGAAACCTATTATTGAATATTCCGAAGATATCGAGCTGTCGGAGGGAGAAATGGGGACGGAAACAAGAGGTTTCCGTTACCGCAATGGACCAGCCAACGATTTAACATTTCTTAGCTTCATTGACGTAGGCTTCCCCGGTTCTAAATCTCAATGAAGTCCCACTAACGATAATGAATAATACAGGCCAATGAGATAGCCCAACTTCGCAAAACACTGGAGGAGGAAAGGGTTGCCCGTAATAACCGCCTCAACCGTGACTTTACTGAACAAAGCAAAATTAGCAATCTCACGCTCAGAACGTCTGGGAACTTTAAGCAAAGCGCACCACTGAAGTCATTACTGAAGAATGCTGTATCTAGAGACGGGCGCACGGTGACAGTTGAAGTGCCTGGTGTTGACATCACGGAGCAAGGGGCGGCTGCGAATACCACCAGAGATTTGTCGCAGCGCATTGACACCAGACGCCGACAGAAAAGGACAGAGGAAATGACATCAGCGTTCATTCTCCCTGATATTACGATGCATGGTGTTACCGCTAAACCTGGAGAACCACTCAAGTTGTCAGAAGCTGCCCAGCGTGTTTTGGATGATGTCGCGCAGCATGATGGGAAGAACTGCTCAGTTTGCAAAAGTGTCATGAACAAGAATTCCACCCATGATCATAGTGGTGAAGGACATGACTCCATTAAGGTCTCTAAACCCATCCCTGTCTCCGATCGCATGCCAGATCCATCGCCATATAACGAAGAGCCTACCCTCCGTCCGTCACAGCCACCAGCTGTGGCTCTTGCTGCCGTTCTAAAATTGTTAGAAGACGAGCTGGCACATCTGAAAATGCGACTTGCTCTTCAACAGACAGCATTGAACAAACATGATGCGTCGCTTGGCAAGAAGCAACGAAAGTCCATACTCCATACAATTGAGGCTATTTTAAGGGAAATCGATATGAAGTCTGATCAGATTTATGCTCTCTATGATGTTCTAGAGGGCCAGAAGGAAAATAGCCACGAGATGACGCAAGATGAAGTGGATGTTACATTGCAGTCTATTGGCCTTGGCCGGGTCACGGGAAAAGGCGCTAGTGATTATACCGACCGTCTTGGGAGAAACGATCCCAAGGATAAAGACGCCACGAGAGCTCATGACAGTGAGGGCGATAGTGATTATGACGAACTTCCGTGGGAAGGGTTTGAGAGCACTGGTGATGTGACCGGACGGAGTTTCTCCAGAAAAGCCGGGAAGTCTTCTTCCTAACGTATCCATTACCAAAAAGAGCTCTCGTGATCATATACCCGCCGAGCGTGTTGTGCGTTTCTTGCTTTTGCATTTTGGAGGAGCTTTTCACCACCTGGCCAGTTTTTCATTAACTTCTTCTTGAGTTGTCTGTTTCAGTGTCTTCATTTCTCGCCCGTTACAAGCGCCAATTAGGAATTATATATGCCAACGCTACCACCGCCACTACCATTACAAACTGATCCCAACTGTATAATCTTCTCCTTTTGCATCTTTCCTTCTGGCATTGGGTTTCAGACTGACCTGTTGCTTTTTATTTTTTTAAAAAACCAACTTGGTGGATGTCCCCGTGCCTAGGAATTGGTGTCTTTTTTGGGTGTTTTATATTCCAGGGGCTTCTTCTTACGTGATCGAACTCGCGTTTTGACTAACTTGATTGTTAGATTGAGTGAATGTCCGCTTGAGTTCTCGTGTTTGAACAGCAATTCCGTTATCTATTTGGTCAAAGTTTGATCGGTTGTGGCCGTTCCTAGCGGTTTTGCTCATCGTTTAGCCGGTGGTGAAGGTTTCTAGAGCTGGTGAGAATGGTTCGTCATTCTATTTCTTGGTCGCATATGCACAATCTCTTGGTTTGGGGTTGGAAGAAGTGACAATTCCCTTCCGTCTTTTTGAGGCTACTATACGTTGCCGTCAGTCTCCATTTTTGTCTTCCCTATTGCGCACTTTTTTGACAGTGTGCTCCTTTTTCATTTAATTGCATCCAGGTGCGACTTGTGTGGGATTTCAGGGGCGTATTGTATTGTCTATTCCAGTTTATTATATAGTTTTTGACATTGCTTGCTTGTTTTTAGATTTAAAATGTTGATATTTTTCCAGCCATTTTTCAACGCTTCTATGTTCCTTTACGGTTCTTTTTGATTATTCCATATACTTGAGGCTTTTAGTGCTGAAGATTTTCGTCGTAGGCTATTTAATACATGGCAATGCTAAATTATTGCAAAGCATAGAAACCACAGCTGGAAAGGAACCCCCTTCCCAACTACTACTAGTTGTATCTGAGTTGCATCCAGTGCATGATTATTCCACGAGCGTAAAAAGCAAAACCTAGTTATTTAACCAATCCCATTTTCCCATAAAGCCCAAATCAAACGAACTTCCATAAACTCCGGCGCTATGGTATGATAATGATGCTCGGTTGAAAAAAGAGAAGAGAGAGACGAGAGAGCCAAGGTCCGGTATGCGATATACAAGGATGACAAAGTTTGGCTAGGAAATGGAAACAGTAACCCGAATGAACAAAGACGTGGTCATAACATTTCCTCGTCAACTGGAATAGGCGTACTCGCCGCAGCTGACGCCGCAAGTCCCGTCGGCGACGGGTTCGCCGAAGCATTTCTCGCGGCAATTTCTTCATCGATGAAACATCCCAGACCAGCAAATGCTTCCAGCAATGTACGCGCATAGTACTCCCTCAAGTCATACCCGCCTGCAAGCATCTGGGAATTATCCTTGATTGGATCAAGATACGTAGACGGGTAATTGTCTTGAAGCTGATAATAATCGCGGCCGTCGAGCCTGATCCCACCAAAAGGGTCGTATGGCTTTTCCGGCTCGGGCGTCTTGATCTTCCGCAAGCCCTTGACGAGGTCTGAATCAAAGGCCGGCGCGATGCCCTTGTCGGCTGCGTCTGCTAGAGCCTGGGCACGTTTAGATTCGGCTAGGAGAGCTCCTTGTTTTCGTTTGAGGCGCTCCTCTTCGCTGCGCCGGGCCGAGGACTTCTTGAGCATGCCCTGCCTGCCCTCTTTTGCGATGGCTTCTGCATCTTCCACGGTGCCTGTTGCCAGGCGGTTGAGAACGTCTTCTCGTCCGGAGAGGATGGCACGTCTTTCGTTGTCGTAGTCCTGCCGTGCTGCTTCACGGCGTAATCGTATTTGCTCTTGTTCGAGGGACTGATGTTGCAGGAAAGCGGCGGATTCTTGGGATTCGAGCGCTTGGTTGCGGCGGATAGATTTTGAGTTCGCTGCGGCGTATTGGGAGAGTTGGGCTTCCGTTTTTGCGACGTCGATGCCGGAGACCAGGTTAGTTATTATATCCTCGCGCTGTTCAAGAAAGTTGTCGTAGGCTAGCTTGTTGTCAAATTCATCCTCGCGGCGGTTCAATCTGCCAGAAACTTCTGTAAGTTAATGCAAATAGACGAGCGGGGGAATCCCCAGAATTAGACGACCTTAACATACATCTGCATGACCCTTTTCCTTACATCGACCTCCCTCTCTACGCCAATATCCTCAAAGGTTTGTTTCCGAAACCGGTTCTTCCTAAGCGTTTTATTGCATCCGGCAACTGGACATGGGGCTGGACCTGACGAGAAGATGCGATCCACGCATGACTCGCACATTTTATGGTAGCATTCCGGGTTTATAAGGAAACGCATATCTGGATTGAGGTACCGTGATGACTTGCACACAGGACAGACCTCTGGATCGGTTGCATGCTCAGACATGTTAGCTCTGGCTGGACGTGCCTGTAGGTTGAGGCTGCGCAAGTGCTGGTGGAGGGGCTCACCATCTTCTTCACCGCGGTTCCGTCTGCCATTAGACTGGAACGACATGCTGTAGGTGAATGACGAGATCCAGGAGGCAAGTTTGAGGTGTTTTTGGGGTTTGGTAGGTAGGGATCCCAGCTACCAGGTGTGTTTTGTGTCGGGTTGTTTATGATTTGAGTCCCTGGCTGTTAACTAATGATTTTTGATGATGAGGTCAGACCCGGTGCCACCAATAGGAATTAAGTTAGCCTGGCAGCTTCCGCCGTGATTTTCTTCCACTCCAACATCACACATCACACATCTGTACAATACCGATGGACAGATATCTCAGCGTTACTATACTACTCCTTTGGCTGGATAGAGGCGCTGAATCCTCTATTTGCCATGGCACAACCAACAGATAACCTCGCCGGTCTTGAGCGCCAGCGGCTGCAACTCGAGGAGAGCATCCTGGAGCTTAGAAAATCCCTATACAATTGGCGAATGTGGGATGCGGAGTACGATGAGTTGAAGAACGATATCTCGGCACTGGAAGGAAACAGCAAAAATGAAGATTTCCTCAGGATTGGACGAGGATTTGGCGGATCCCTCGTCAACGAACACGAGATTGAGGTATTACTAGGCGTGAAACAGAGGGTGACGAGAACAAAGCAGCAGGTGGTGGATGCTATATCAAGACGGATGGACTATGTTCAGCAAAATATTGGAGTGTTGGAGAAGCGCATCTCAGCTGCTGAAAGGAAACTCGATGCCATCCTCACAGTTCAACACCCTGGCGCAGTCGACGAGGACGGGCTACCTATTACCGATATTGTTGAAGAACTTGATGACGATGACCGCGTCATTTCGAGTTCTACAACTACTCCTGACCAGGCTGCACCCGGAATCCTGGAAGCTTTAAAGAAAGCAGGCATGGACCTTCCGAGGGAGAAATCTGACGATACAGCACCGCTCGCCGAAGAGAGCAGAAATGAATTTTCACGTCAGAAAGACTCCGCTAACCCGCCTGATATTTCACCACGGATTGGCGAGCTACCATCTGCTGGAATTGTTTCAAACACAAAATTAGATACCACAACAACAGTTGCCCAGACTACTCCTTCAATTGGAGCTACTACAGAGTCTGCTACGCGTTTGAGCACCAATTCTCCCCCTGTTGGGGTCATGGATAATAACCGCTCTTCAGCTCCCGAAATTAGTTATGGTGATGGCGATGAGTCTACCAACATCTGTATAGATGAATCCCCAGAAGATGCGGCCTTGAGAAGAGAAATGTTACAGTATGGCCTTGAGGAGGTTGGTGCTGTTGTTGCCGAGCTGGAGCTAGACGAATCAGGAAGTGAATTCTCTATTGAAGACGAAGACTACGTGGTTAGTGATGAGGATGATGAGGAAGAAGATGAATATGGTCGGTCTACGCGGAGGATGATCGATGATGACTATCGTCGCCAGATGATGGAATTAGAGAAAAAATTAAATGCGCGGAGTTTGGAAAATGTTGGACCTGATACGAGTGTCCTTCCACCGGATGTCAGAAAGGAGCTTGATTCGCCTATTCCTCGGGAGAACATTCCTAATGACGCCGACAGTGAAGCCCCAAAGCAGAAGAAAAAAGTTGCCTTTGCGGACGCGCTTGACATTGCACCACAGCCAAATTCTCCTATACCTCCAGCACGAGCTAAGGAGCACCGTATAGAGTCACTGTCTGTCCCTGTTATCCAAGACGCTATTGTGGAACGAGCGCAAGCAGAGAAAATATGCGACACCAAAGACACTACAACCTCAAAGAAAATGTCCCGGTTCAAGAGTGCAAGGCAAACCTCCGAACCAATTAATCTCGTGTCTACACCCACATTGCCAGCACCCGCAGTTCGCTCGTCAGCTCCCTCCATCGATACCCCACCAGTCCCACTATTTCCAGCAAAGCCCTCACAGCCCAAGCCCTTTTCTCAGCCAATCTCTAATCCAGACCAACCACTCAAGACATTGGCGGATGAACTAGTCGAACGTACTGTATCCTACGAAAACGCAACGCCACCTGATCTAGATGAATTAGATGAAAGCCTGCATAAACGAGAAATCGCAACCGAATTTTACAAACTTCGGAACCGCAAGATTCATCAAGAAGGTGGGTTCTTGCGTGAGGACGAGGAATCCAATGGGACTATTCCTCTAGAGGAGGATGGACAGCCAGTCAAGAAACTCAGTCGGTTTTTGGCGGCGCGGATGAAGTAAGTAGTTATAAATTTACTTACGATTGATGCACGTGTATGGCCACCAAAATGAAGTAAAATGAAATAAACATGCTTAACCCTACCATTTCTATTTGTTTTTTTGTCTATGGTAACCTACATGCCCATATTCCGAGAGTTTTGGAGCCAGTGAAGCTTTAAGCCTCCCCAACAGCTCCTCAAAAAAAAGAAAAGAAAAGAAAAGAAAAGAAAAGAAAAGAAAAGAAAGAGAAAAAGAAAAAAAGAAAACTAGCGACCCTCCTCAACACGGAAACGTCGTGGGAAAGAAAGACTCATTTCAAACACGAATGACGCTCTCTTTTTTCCCAACCTGATCTGATTTGCAGTATTCAAGACTTTCAGAATACAAACATCCCTACCAATTCAGACCACATAAAAGACGTTTAAAGTTTCCAAGATCAAATGAATTACAAAAAAGTGGACTCTCTGACTGCGTCCCCCCTTCTTTTATAGATCTGCCAGATTTTTCGCTTATTCCCCCCTCCTCTCCCTTTCTTGCCCCATGGCGAAGGGAAGGGATGAAGGGTAAACGAAAATAGGTCGGACGAGGGCTCTATGGGATCTACCTGGCGGTTTCGTTTCACCCACTACATTTTTACTTGTAGATTCTACGTTATATTATTTATGTAGATGTGCTGCGATTTATCGGCTGGAGATGCTTTTTTTGAAATACTCCTCGCGACAGGGGCGGTGTACTCGTAGAGAATGTACTAATATAAGGTGAAGAATGGAATATCACCTGGCACCCTCAAACTGTGTAATTTCCACTACTGGATTAAAAATCGGAAAGGTTTGGGTATATATGTATGTACAAAGGCTATTCCTAATCTTCGCCCTGTCCTCATCAATAGATTCAATAATAAACAGATTCATTACTTAACCACCGTCGTCAAATGCAAAACATTCAATTCCACATGATCATCACTGCCTCTCTCGCCCCAATCCACGTTCACTTGCTTCCTTTTAATGATATATATTATATCCCATGAACAGTAGATGTCTCTGGCATCCACATACATAACTCGTCTGACCTTACAGCCCAAATCACAATAACAACATGAAAAACAAACGCAGCAGCATGCACCAAGGGGCGCCCGACAGCAAAATCCAGTGCAGCCAGGCAAAGAAGCGGGTATAAGATCCAAGGGTTAACCGCCAGCGGTGAGCATGGTTGTGTGATGGACAGGACCTTAACGATAAGTAGGGAGAAGCTGATGATCTTTTCTATGGAGCGATAGATAGTGGCGGATGTGAAAATTGAGGGTCGGTTTGGTCGACTGGGAGGTGGAAGGAGGAGGTGATCCGAGACACGCGTGCGGCTTGTATTATCGCTGTTAATGCGGTTGTTATTGGGTTGACGTTGTTGTGGCTGGCTGGCACGGGGGGTTGAAGATAAAGCTGTCGCCCGAAGAACTAGATCATGATCCGCGCTATGGGATCGGTGCCGTTCCCTTGGCAAGCCAGTCTCATGAGCAGATGATTCTGTAGCATCTGACTGAAAGGAGGAGGGTTGGAGTACAGGAACACCACCTGGAAATCCTGTTGCATTTGTGGATACGTTCCTATTGGGGCTCCTAGGGCTGCGAGGAGTCGAGGATGGGTTGGAAGGAGTATCCACAGGAAGAACGCGGAGGCCTGAACGAATGTCAGCAGTCGATGTTCCATTGTTTCTGTGACTGTGGAAGCGACGACCTTCAGTATTAGCACCTGCAACACCAGCCTGGATTCCCTTAAGGACTTCTTCTGCAGTAGGTCGTTTGTCCGGGTCAACGGATAGGAGCCTTTTTAGAAATGAATATAGTTTCTCAGGCAAGTCTTGTCTCATCCGCCGGGCGTCATCGAAGCCGGACCACTGGCTTATCTCAGCACGCAGTATGTCAAGATCTTCCTTATCTTCATCGATAATGTCCGCGTTACGGTATGGCAATTGTGCAAAGCAGAGGAAATAGAGGATCATGCCAAGAGAAAATATGTCAGACTTGAATGTAAAATTCCCAAACGGTCCTTCGGGGTCCAGGCGGCGTAGAACCTCAGGTGCACAGTATGAAATAGTTCCTGTATTTCCAGTAGAATTCCTGACAGCGTGCTCATACTGTACTTCGCCAAAGTCGCTCACAAGGGCTCTTAGCTCTTGTCCTGTGTCATGGAGAAGGCAGTTGCTAGGCTTGAGATCACGGTGGATAAAACCATTATTATGTAGGAAAAGTAGACCTGAAGTTATGTCTTTGAAAAGGGAATATATTTCATCAAACTGGAGCTTTCGGAACCCTCCTGTGCTAGAAGGAGGCTCTGGCTGGCCTTTTGATCTTCGACGGATCCGCTCTTTTAATTGCTGGGTTGTGGCAGTAGGTTGTCTCGGGCCGCATATGTACTCATGGAGATCTCCGGAATTGCAGTACTGTTGAAGTATAAAAGCACAAGGAATGCTAGGCCCGAAATTGCTCAGCTTTGCGTCCTCCAACCATACATGTCGGTACGAGACCAAATTCTGGTGCGAAAGATGCTGAAGTAATTGTACCTCAATCAAAACCTTTTTCAGCCACTCATGATCGTCTCCAACTGGGACACGTTTACAAGCATAGTATCCCAACGAAACCCCATCCAGAACATGTTTAACCAGCAAAACTACCCCCTTCCCGCCTCTTCCAAGTTCTCGCTCCTCGACAAAAAATCGCTTAAAATAATTCGGACTGAAGGCAGCGGACGATATTTTATTGGCAAATGGGGGTGCAGCTCCACTTTCAGCTTCAGAAGCCAAAGGCTCCGGCTGTGCTGGCTGAACTAATCGTCGTCGAGGAGAGGGTGGGCGTGTTGAGCCAGAGGGACTGTGCATGCTAGAACTCAGCATGCGAAAGTAGTCGGGGTTCACGAATCCTGGCTGAGCTACAGAATTTGTTCCAAGTTTGGAATCTCGAGTAGCTTCCTGGGATGAATCCCGCATTGGGCGATGACAATAAGGACAGTCCGCTAGCTCTACGTCGGCGTCGGGAGGTGCGCGGCGGAGGACGAGGGACCGTGAAGCATGATCGAAAACCACAACCGAATCATCGTGCCGTCTGAAAGATATGTCAGTTAGTAGAGCGGCTAGTATTATAGAAGTGTTTCCTTAGGGAACGATGTCCTTCAGAGCTTCTAATGAGAGATGTAGCTCTTCCTTACAAAACAACGTCGCGAGTCGTCCCGTAAGGGACAATGGACATGGTTCGTTGTGTGTTAGCGTCAGCCATTATATGAGGGAGGCTGTCGACCTTTAAACTGTCGAGAGCAAAAAGAAGAAGTTAATTGCATTTTTTTATATAAAGAGTGCCAATTTTGGCCTCGGTTGCATCTTCTCTGCATCCATCCAGTGAAGTGTTTATTGATACCTACAGCTCCAACGAACAGCTTCAACCTTGGAACTGTGGGAAGTCGCGTTCACGTGACCCAACCAACGAGCTCCAATGTTTGTCTATATGCAGGTAATGAATTATCATGGCTCAGATAGCAATATCTATGATGTTGTGTATTCTCAATAAGGAGATTCAGTGACCTTGGCTACACGCAGTTTGCATATAAGATTATAGGCTCATCAACAAGTTTTGTTCGCTGCAGAATTCTATTATGGGAAGCACGCAGGCGGATTTGGTCAACAAGATGCACGATTTTTGCCTCTAATTGGAATCAACCACAGGATTAGGGCAAAATATCTCGCTCGGAATATGTATCAATCATGTCTGATCACTGATCAGAATGCAGGAGACCCTTCCATTTGAATTAGCCAGGAGGTTACTTCAATATCATGGATATTCTTCTAAATCGCTATTCTCATACAATACGAGGCCGTATTTCCCACGTGGTCTATGGCGAATCCTACGTAGAATAGCTAGGAATACATGGGGTAATTAAGTAATCTGACAGAGATAGGTCTTCCTCCATCAGCCTATGGATCAACTTTGATTCTATGCCCAATGGTCTATATCCTTAAGCGGTTTGTTGTTTGGTGGACGGCACAGCAATATCCTAGCACCCGAATCGCGAATTTGTGGTAGATGTCATTTGCCTGGTGAGAGGCGCCGTGCATGTTATTGAATAGTGGGACTCGATTTGGGACACAAGGCGACTTTTGCGGACTGGTTGACGTCACAAAATTCCAGGCGCCTTGTTAAAAGGTATCTGACGCTTCTGGCAGCGTACCTCGTTTTCGCGATGGAGAATGATATATAGTTGGTGCGCTTACTCGCTCTCTATCATTTTGGCAGCACCGCTTTCAGTGGTATTATCTCCTTCGCTAGCTGAATCCTCATCACTTTCGCTAAATCCTTCGAACTCTTCATTGTCCACGTTAGATTCGTTCGACTCCGGCTCCGTATCACCAGATGGGCCTGTTGAAGGCGCAACTTCGGAATCATCACGCTTCCGTTTGCGGCCCATCTCACCAAGGCGTCCCTCACGCCCTTCAATCTTTTCGTCCACGTTTGCATCGTTCGAATGGGGTGGTGGCGTATACCACGGGATTTTTCCACGAAGGAAGTCATTAATGACCATCTTGGCTACTCCATCGAGATCAGGTTCGCCACCTCTGAGTAGTCTGCCTCCCTTTCTGGCGAGGATACTCAAGAAATCGATCGCATCATTAGAAATCTTAATCCCATACGTCCGTTCGATATGGCGTGGTTGAACACGTTTGAGAACGCCAGGGATATATTGTTCCGGATTTTCAACATTCTCCACGCGCACCACGCCTCGTAGGAGGATGTCTTCTTCGGTATCATTGTTGCTCGGTGGAACAACACCGGGGCAGTCAATTAGATAGATTCTCTTCATCAATGTGATGTACTGCCATACTTTTGTTTCTCCGGGAATGGGAGCAACGGTGCAGACCTTCTTCTTTCGAAGGGTATTGATGATGGATGATTTTCCCGTGTTGGGATATCCAATGAATCCTACCGATATTTGTTTACGGTCCGAATGTAAAGATGAAAATTGGCGTAGAAGCTGGATTAAAGAGCCTTTGCCAAATGAGTTGTTGATGGAAGCGTGGAAGGCCAGAGTGGGATGATCTTTTGATAATGCACGGACCCAAGCAGCCTGCAATCATTAATTAGCTATCGATCCTCAACAAAAGAACAAACTTATCACAATGAAGCAATTTATGTAAAAATGAATGTGTGAGATGTTACTAAGAGTACTGCTGTTATGCCACAAAATGAAGTGGAAGCAGAACTCAACTCAAACAAAACACAGCAAACCCTATACGACAGAGCTCTCAAAACGATCGCTTGTCAGCCCTAATTTCAGAATGAAACCAAGGCGGCGGGCAAGAATTCATCTACCAGAGCTGTAACAGACAAATTACTTCCATAGATTGGTGGCAAGAAAATATGCACGGGAAGAAGCCTTGACTTAGCAATGGCATGTTACGCGATCATGAAAGATGAAGGAGAAGTGCTGTGATTTTGTAACTTACAGCAACGCCGGTTGGTACCAAATCGCACTTGTTCAGAACAAAAATCAGGTGCTTGTGTGGTGCTTCCTCACGGATGTGCTTTTCAATACTCCTGCATCGTGTGCCCTCCGGATCTCGCGCATCAAGCACGTGTATGACAACATCGGACGAGTCGATGACCTTGTACAGTTCGTTCCAGATCCGCTTACTCTGACCTTTAGAGAAAACAGGCTCTCTTGCAGTCGTGAGTTGCCCATCATGAACTACATTGTCATTTTCAGCAGTTTCACCTGATTTACCGCTCAATAATCTCGCCTGATCCAACCGCTCCAAGTAGGTGTTGTGCATCCTGACTGACTCGTCAGCGAGATCTTCGAGCGTCCCAACGCTGAGTTTGACACGCTTTCTCTGTGACCTGGGTCCGAATGTGTCGCTGAATGGTGCTGACTCAACAGCAATCTTAGCCTTGTGCTCCTTAAGTCCATTAGTATTTGATCCATCGCGGATCAAACTCATTGGCAGCTTATTTGTTTTGAGCAGAACTTGATAAGGATCAGAAGCACGTTCAGCAACTGCTTCTCGAAATGAGCTCAGGGCCTCTTGTGAGATAACTCTCGTATTTCCAAACCATTTTCTGTTGGGTTCTATCCTAGCGTTCGGTATTTCGCGGGATTGATAGGACGCAGCTTTTGTGATTTCACCGCGGGCATTTCTTTGCGCTTTGCCATCCTTGAACATATTAAGGGTCTTGACCTTCTTAGCACTTCTATATTGGCATTAGCACATGCATATCACATTCCACAGGCAGAAGATACGGTAGCTGTTTACCTGTAGAAGTTTTCACCCTTGGTCTTTACATTGCCCATTCCATCTCCTGACTTGCCCTGCCGCTCTCTGCGAGCAGCTTCCTTCTTAGCTGTACCCATAGTGAAGAAGGATATGAAAAAAAAAAAAGGCTAACTGCCAGTCGTCAGCCTAGGGTATCTGGGTACTTCTGGGTGGTTGGCTGTAAATATTTGTTGGCCAGTGAGAATGTCAATGGCAGAAATTAATTCTCGAGGAATTTTTCTCTTTTTCGTTGCCGGAGCGTGTGCCAAGACCTCTGGCGTGCACAGACCATCCAAAAATCACTTCCGAATCAAATCTTGTCATTTGCGCGACAGAGATACCACACACCATTGGAACCTCCCAAAGCAAGCCTCTATCCCCATCTTCTTGCATGATTGTCCGACGGAAGGTGGGATAAACGGTATTTCGCACTCCCTTGATTGCCAATTGCCAGCCATGGCCACCCCCTCGAAGTCGGCAATGTCTCTCTGCCGCGCTTGCAGAAGTGCTAAAGTACAGGTCCGGGCCTTCAGTTCAACCCCATATCCACTGGTCAGGCCCGAGTCGCCGAATTTCATCGACATTCCTCATCCGATACAACCTTTCCATCCTCGTAAGCAGCCGGTAAAGGGTATTCTCCCTGTGCCCCGTGAGCTATTCCCGGCCCGACGACCAGACAAGCCGACGCAATCCTACGCTGAGGCTGCTACTCCCGAGCCCTTAAGTAAAGAGCCAAAACTCCACCCTGGAGATCCTCAGTTCGACCACGTGGAATGGAAGAGGCGGATGGCTGCCATCCGCCGCAAAAACTTGCGTGAGGGTCTAGCCGAGCTGTACGCACGCAAGCAGAAAAGTGACGAGCTCAGAGCGAAACGCAGCAGCGCGAAAATAGCCCAACGGGAGCAGATCCTCGTCCAGGGCCCACGAGAAGATGATCGGCTGATGCAACAATCGACTCCCGAAGTTATGAAACCGAGCAAGATGTCTATCCTCCCCGATCCCACAGCGGGGCAACGCCTCAAGACCTCCCGCAAGAAGCACGCTGCGAAGCAACTAAGCAAGAAACAACAGAGATCAGACCATCTCCACTCTCTGTACATGAACGCCCGGACTTTCATCACCAACGAGGAGCAATTGAAGGCGGAGATTGAGCGGGTGTTCCCCGATGGCGAGAATCCTGCATGGACCAACGATGAGGATGTTGGAGAGAATATCTGGAACTTGGGCATTCCATCAACTGTCGAGTCCCTGGTGCATGCTGGAAAAGCTGACGCTACCATTTGGAGTCTTGGGGAGAAGAGAGTGAAGAAGATCGCTGAGGAGCTTACTGGTGGAGCTATCTAAACTGTGGTGTCTATTGCAAAATAACTTCGTTCCCACCCAATCGGGGAAACAACCGGTGGCTACCACCTGTGGATGTTCTCTCGTTAGTCTGTACCATATATACGTATCGTCCGTCATGGTTGATCTCTCTATTGTTTCCCTTTTTTCCCTTTTTTCCCCTCGCTACTTTCTGTATCTCACCATTCCACGATAGAATACCTAGCGAATTCATTTTATTTGCGTCGCAAGAAAATACGATAACTCTTGAAATTACTATTTCATCTGACCAGATAACCACCAGTCTGTACCATCCATATATATACTCAAAAATACCCCCGTATTATGTGCTCATTACTACCCCAAACAACATCGACATAGTATATATATATGTATTTACAGCACAAGAACAGCACATAGGACAACATCAACAAGCCAGAGCATGTTAGACCACCCAGCTACCCCTCGACCTTCACCTGATGAATCGCATGATCTGCGTATCCCGCGGACTTTACGTAGATCTGGGCACTTTCCAGAAGCCGTTTTTTGCTCTGACCGATCGTATCGCGTTCCCAAAAGGCTCCATGCGTGTCGTCGAAGTCGAGGTCTGCGATCGCTTTCCAGATCCCATATACGTCGTCTGGAGGAAGTGGGATCTGTTCGCAGGCGGGGACAAAAGGAACAAGAATTAGAATAAAGTCCCCAGTTCCATCATCAGGGGCTGAGAGCGTGATTGTAGATTGTCTGTGCATGCCATGATCGTGCAGAGAAGGGGGGGGAACAAAATGAAGCAGGATTCCGCTCCCACAGCTGGTAAGGGAAAATTTCAGGGAATATAAACAAAACACATATAGAAATGGAAAACTCACAAAATTCGGATACGACCACATGAATGTGAAAGACGTGGTGCCCGGGAGTCGGTCAACATGGTACACTCCGCTGGGTACCACCATGACACTATCCGCCACAAGCAGCTTCTTCGTCTCCTTCCACAACAGCACAGAGCTTCCAGGGAAATGACCGCCTACTTTTACAGCCACCACCTGTCCACCTAGAAGATTCAGCTCTTTGCCTTCCCACAAACCGATCCCAGTAAACCTCTTCGGGCCGTCTTTGCTTTGCGCAGCAGAGATTGTTTTCGTTACCGGAGCCCGTCGCATCAGCCACTCTTGGTCCTCAGCGGATATGTAGACGGGGCAGTCAAATGCCTCCGCCCAATGGACGGAGGTAGAGTAGAAGTGGGGATGCGAGATGACGATTGCTCTGATGCCGCCAAGATCGTTGATGCGGCGGACGGTCTCATCGTCGATGTATGTGACGCAATCCCAGAGCACGTTGCCGGCGGATGTGCAGCAGAGAATGGCACGCTGGCCAATGGCTACCTGCGGCACGGTGTAGATGCTGATGAGGCCGGAGTGATTTTTGTTCATGCGGAACTGGTTGTGATATTTTTTGGACTGTTGCAGCTCGCGGAGTGTTGTCCATGATTGCCTGCATTCACAGCCAGGGAGGGGCAGGAAATAGCTATTGTGTCAGTTATGTGATTTGATTGTTTATTGTTGTTTATGCTTTCTTTCTTGTGATCTCCCGGATAGCGTGTAGCTAGCTGTATGGGAGGGGCGCATAAAGGAAGATACTGTGAAAGGTTTCAACAATGCTTGTAAGAATGAATCTTACCCTTCTGGAGGGATATATTGTCGCGGATCATCGCATACCTTGCACGACTTGGCTGATCGTGTGTCGTGTTGGGCACCGCACATCGAACATATCATGAGATCCATGTTGAGCTTGATACTGAATAGCGATTGAGGGGTGATCACACTTTATTTTATCCTGTGGTATAGTCCACGGAAAAGAAGAAAGATCAACTTATGTATATATGTATCCACGAAGATTCCACTACTTTGCTCCAATCGGGTTTTCAATTGTCAGCAAGCACGTAGGATTAATATCCTTTGATAAATGCAAAGGTGGGGAAGCCGTCGCCACCAAGAGTGGTGGCTTTTCAGTCGCCCGAGGGGTCTGGGCCCATGGATAACTCATTCCACGAGGCGAAGGCTCCTACCAAGTGTAGATGCAGCTCGTATAAATGCCGGGAAAGATATGTGAGCAATTCTCGACTGCATGTCCTGATGCCTTGGGGTGTTGAAGCTGCAAACATGCCAGGGCCAGACCCTGCTTGCTGACACATCAGTCACTTCCTTCAACAATGATCCAAATCTTCCAGTTGTCATCAAGCGATAGCGATATCATTTTTGTTCGTAATGATATTTAAATAACATAAATCAGATGAAAACAATATCATGGTTGTCAAATCATGAATTATCTATCTGCTCAGATTTCTGAACAATTTTCAACATTGCCAAATCGCATCTCCTTAACTGGATGCAATGCTGCAACCATGGCTTTTCTTTTCTCTTTTCTTGTCATGTCATCACTTCACGGCATCATCCTTATCCTTCATTGCGGCGGCAGGAGCCTGTTTTCCAAGTGACCCCTCCGAGATGGGTGTCATGTCACATCTACTTATGTGTTTGCTTGGCTGTTGATGGTGGCCCTAAGTTTGTGATGCGTTGGAGCTTGAGCGCTCTACACGCTCCCGACTACTATGCAGACACGAGAATTGATACCCCGCTGCTCTCAGCCATAGTTGGATATTGTGGATGAGAGATTTCGTATGCAGTGTATGAACGGATGTTCTTCTATTTGGCGGCCGATGGTCTCCATCACTGGCTCGCGGACTGGGCTTGTTGACAGACTAGTAGCCCAGCTTCTGCTTCAGTTATAGATATGCCATTGATATATGTGCTTATGTTCAAAAGGTATCAAGTTACCAGTTGTCAGGCCCTATGAAGCAAGCAACTTCTATGCAGAGTATGAAAGCTTTTGTGCTGGAGCGTTTTTTCATATCAAACAGACAGACACACCATCCTCTCTCCCTCGGCAAATACGTTTCTGCTTTTTCTACCTGCGTCGAAATCAGTGCTGAGAGTCAAGTAATATCTCCCTGTTCTATCTGTCTGTATGTCGTTGGCGTCTGTCAGCAAACCTCCTTCCGGCGCAACAACCTCGTCTTCGCCTCAGACCCCAGCCCCTTTCAGTGAATTGGCTGTCCAGGCAACCTTCCCTTTGCATTCACTCACGCACAAACCCAAATCCGTAAATATATAAACCTCCCCACTCACCCCTTTTCATCGTCAGTTGCCACCAAGCAGTGTCGTCGAACTACGCACAGGTGAACCACGTTTGCTTCTCTTCGTTCATATATCCTCAAGACAAGAAACCGCCAATCTACCCCCGAACCTCCATCATGAAGCCCATCTTCGCCTTCTTCCTCCTCATCCTCAGCGTTGCCGGCCAGGTGAACAACACCAAATCCTGCCCTAGCGAACTGGCCAAAGGCTTCGAATTCCCCCACTTGATCATCCCTATCGACTCCGAGGCTCCAGACGTTGCACGCGGCACCTCCTACAACGGCAAAATCACGCCAACAGTCTCCTCTATCTTCAACTTCGATATCCCCAGCGCCATCAACATCAACCAAACGCTGACCTGCAGCCTCTGGTTCCTTTTCCCCGAACGCAACTACCGTTTCAGCGGCGATGGGTTGGTGAAGTTTAGCCGTCTCGAGGCGCCCGCGACACTTGTTACGTCGTATGCAAATGCACCGGCTGTACAGGAGGAGCTGCAGATCGCGACTCTGGTTCCCGGGCGGAAATATAACGTGACCAGCTTCGAGTGTCCCGCGGGCCAGGCGATTGCATTTCGCTTGGATAATGCGGGTTCGACGGAGTTGGATTACTTTCAGGACTATAATGAGCCGCCGTGAGTTTCTTCCTCCTTTTGCTTCCTTGATTTTCATCTTAGCAACGTTTCCCTCTTTCCAGCAAAGTTTGTCATATTTCGTGGTAGTGCTTTTTGTGTATGTGAAAAGCGATGGACTAATTGAAGGTTACTACCCCTAGAATTGGCCTTTACATCACCAAATGTTGATGAGGGATGAAATCTTGTCTTCAGGATAGGGGGCTGGGATTTGGCGGACTGTTGTTGCAATGCATAGCCTCCAATTTCTTTCCTCTTTCCTTTCCATCTCTATGAGCGAACGATAAAACAAAAAAGTGAAAGGAGAAAGCAGCGTTTTCTATCTTTCATCTTATCCTGCAGCGTTTTGCTTTTAAATCACTGTACCAAAGGGGGACCTGGTAAAAATGGCACACGAGAAAGGAAGGGGAATAAATGGAAATTAAGGCCTCCCAGACAAACACGTTGAAACTACAAGGGAGAGAAGTTATTTCATCCATGCTAACTCTGCTTAACAATCACAATCACAGTAATAGTAATAGTTAGTTGATACCGGAATTTAATGTTAATGCAAGTGAAGCTGTTCTATGCATCCATAGCAATCCTTGGTACTTTGCATCAGCACCCTACAGAATTGAAGGAGGGCTAAGATTGACAAGGTATGCAAGTTGGGTTGTCTGTGTTGAATTGGGTTCTGGATTTGGAATGCATTACGAAAAGCCGTTTGTAGTTGGTTTTTTTTAAACTCAGCCCTTTAACGAGTCACCATCCAATCAGCTGCCAAGTGATGGAGGGAGCGTTTAAAGTAAGCATAACTTGCTCAGGCCAATCAGTGCTGGGCAATCACCACAATGGAAGCTGGCAACGACATCCAGATGTGTGAGATACATACGAGGGAGCTGAGATAGAGCCCCAGGATAATCATCCAAGGCCACAGGCCACAGACCACAGCCACACCACACCGGCTGAGCAGTCAAATAATAATGTGAGAGCAAGTCCGACATCAAACGCCCAACACCCAAGTTCCCACACCGCCCGGCTGCATGCAGCAGCCAATGCCGATCGCAGTGCAGCAATGACTCCACGAGCCAAAACCCAGCGGGGATTGAGCGATCATCGATGACGCGGCCAGACTCCGCGATATTAGTGAAGAGTGAGCGACCGGCGGCGGGCTTATCCGATTGTCATCATGCTCCGGAGGAGGTCTTTCGTGTTTCTTAGTATTTGGGAGAAAGGGGGAAGAAACATTGAGAAATATTAAGGAGTGCCTGTTTCTCGGGTCTGGTTCTGAAACATCGAGGGTGAAGGGAAAATGCCAAATTGTGGAGGGCTTGGTCGGGACTCAGGGTTGGCCAGCTCACGCAAGGCGCTTGGGGAGGGTGGGTTCCCATGCTTGTCAAGTCACCTTCAGCCCTGGAGCAATCTAGGGGTGGTAGTCAGCTCATTCCTTTTCTATCTGGGTGTTGTAAAGCACTATTCTGTATGTCGTTCAACTGAACAAGCGTGCGATGAACCACCGACTGGATATGTAAACACAACTAACCCAACTCGACGGGAAAACTGATCGTACGTAACCTCCTCGTAGCGGCGGCTGCAGCAAGGGCAAGCTGGGATTACCAGTGTGGCTGGCGCGTTCACCCCGGGCCTGGGCGGGCGCTGGAACAGGGCTGGGCAATCGACGCTTCAGCGTCGTATTTCTTTTCTGCTCTCTCCTGCTATCTCAGCGCCGGCAATTCTGGCTCTGCTCTGCTCTGACTCTCATCACCAACTCAGTTGCTAGCTCTCTCGCTTTCGCACACATTACTGACCAGCTGTCCCATTTCGGGTTCACCATGCAGTCGGGGCCCTGTCTTTGATACCTCTTGTCCTTTCTCGCTTCTTTCGTCGTGGCCGTTGTCCTCCTGTTGGGTGTTCGTTCCCTTGCGTGCCTCCCCTGTGGTCACTCCCTTTTTCCTTTTGATTAGCCTTCCGCCATGGAATCCAGCAGTCTGCCATTCTCGAATAGACCTCTTAGGATCCGGATTGTAATATCGTAAGTGTCTGTTACCAGTGCCTCCGCTGAGCAAAAAAGATCGCGATCATGGAGGAAAGAAAGGAAAGGGGAAAGATACCAGGAGGAGAGGAGGGGAAGAGAGGGGGGAATTTGGCTAATCTGCTCCCAGATACATCTTCGACTATGTGATCCTCATGTAAGTGCTCCGTATGTAATTATCGTGTGTCAAACAAGGGGGATAACAGTAGCGCATGGACATGCGACCTCCTACTTTGCTTGGGATAGTGCCCTAATCAAGCCTGCATTCTAGAGCCCTGATGGTTGGATTCTACATTCTCGACCGTGTCGAACCCTTCCACCAACCTTTTGCCATTAACAACATCTCTCTATTTTACCCCTATGCCGAGCACGATCGCGTGTCTGTCCCCCTCGCTCTCGCCCTCTCGGGAGGGTTCCCACTCCTTGTCATCTTCATCTACACCATTGTCATCGACGGCCTCTTCTCTCACAATAAACCCGTCACCTCCTCGGGGAAGAGGAAGTTTACAGGGCCATACAGCCTGAAAGATAGGTTGTGGGAATTTAATTGCGGGTTTCTGGGTTTATTCTTAGCCCAAGCCAGCGCCTTCGTCATAACAGGTGCCCTGAAAAATGCCGTTGGGAAACCCCGGCCGGATATCATTGACCGTTGTCGACCAAAGGGTGTCGATTCTCTCGGCCCGCACGAATTGGTGACCTTTGACATGTGTGATTCAAAACTGAGCCATGATATTTTGAAGGATGGGTTTAGATCATTTCCCTCTGGTAGGTGCTTCGCGTTTGCTTGATGTTACTTTGGCAGATGCAGTTCTAGGTCTAGACTAACAGAATTTGTTATTTTCTACTAGGACATTCAAGTTGTAAGGCAACTATCCTCCAATATATAGATACACACAAACACACATATATATATATAAATTATTTATATCTATGTATATTCGTGATGATTGTTGACATTAACGTAAAAAAATCCCCGTTGTAGCTTCTTTCGCCGGTCTCTTTTATCTCTCCCTCTACCTCGCCGGTAAATTTCATCTTTTGGATAGCCGGGGTGAAGTGTGGAAAACATTCCTATCGCTTTTCCCAACACTTGGAGCGGGACTTATTGCCGCAACCAGAATCATGGACGCACGACATCATCCCTTTGATGTGCTCTTCGGCTCATTGCTGGGTATTATATGTGGCTACGTCGCCTATCGCCAATATTTCCCTCCTCTATCAGAACCTTGGAGGAAAGGCCGTGCGTACCCAATTCGAACCTGGGGTACCGGTCCCACTGCTCCCTCCCGCTCCCGGTTTGATATGGGAGGCTCCAATGATTCGGTGGCGCCGCTGCGGCGTACAGATGATTTAGAGTATCAAGCTACCTCCACGGGTCAAGACGATGAATTCACGCGAAAACCCCCACCTGTTCGCCGGATGTCTAGCGACCGGATATCTTCTGCAGACCCTTACCTGCGGCGAAGACAGGAATTGGAGCGAGAATATTCGTCGAGCGGTGACTCCGCCGGAGTCGCGTTTGAAATGCAACCAGGTTCTGGGAGCCGGTCGCATCGCAGCGAGTCCACAACCCACCTAAACACCCCATATAAACCGCAACAAACGAGCTACCAGCCATACCCAGGACGAACCGCATCGCCAGCTGCACCGTCCACTCCGCCGCTCCCGACTAGCAGTGGACACCCCGGCTCCCATGTCGAGCCACCGAAAATTTGAATAAGAAACAACCCTTATTCATAAGAACACACTAAGTCTGAAGTAATTAGAGAATCTTATTTTAAAAGAAAGAATAGATGATTTGCCTAATTCGGGGGTCTTGACGATATTTTAATTTATGATATTTATTATGCCGCACTTTTTTACCTTACATATTTTCCTACCCCTTTTCTTTTCTAATACCAGGCCATCGTTTTCCGTTTCCGTTTCCGTTTCCGTTTCCCTTCGCTGGCAATGATGGCTTGAATCTCAATCCCTATTTTTCCCCCCCCCCGTTCTTTGATTATCAGCGTATGCAAAACAGAATTAAATCGTGATTGATACCCCTTCTAATTTCTGCAAGCCTGCTGCCTACATACATATTAGACTGCCGTGGTGCAACTTCTCATTCTTTATCTTGAAGTGTTATTACCTCTTCCTTTCCATTTCGCGCCTCTACACATTCGCGCCGTTTTTCCCTTGCGGAAATGAAGTTATCCCCCCCCCTCCTCCCCCTCCCCTTTCTTTTGTGGTTGAGGTAGGTTCCCGACTCTTATTGTTTTTTTATTGTTTTTCATTGTTTCCTTTCCGTATTATTTTCCCCCATTCCTTCAAGTTCCTTCTGCGTGGATGCTTTCCGGGCCCTAATTTATATGAGTTCGAGCCTGGTTTCTTTCCTTCTTCATGCTTTTTCCGCCGATGATTCCCCTCCCACCTCCTCTCCTGTGGATACTGTAAATCCTTGTTTTTCCCCCTTTTTATATATATTACTTGCGGTTTTGTTTTACTTTTTGATGATGAGGGACGTTCCTTTTGTCCCTTTTTTGTTTTGGTTTGAACCATACAAATAGGGGTATACCCTCTAGAGGAGATGATAAGGGTTATGTCATGGTGTGTATATACACAGTCAATTGCCGTTTTTAGCTCCGAGGTACAGTTTTGATTGTTCCCGTATATACAAATTTACGACTTGTGGAATACTTGTGGAATAACTCATCTTTTTCTTGCTGCTGTTCTTTTTTCTTTTTTTTTCCCAGCTTTTTTTCAGCTGGTGGCGCTCTTTTTCACTTCCTGTAAAGCGGCTTCATCCCTGTTGTGTATTTGCATCTGCTGCTACCACCGCTATTATGCTTCATCAAGTGACTGACTGACCACCGACCCTTCTCATTTCTTTTTTCTTCACTGTAAATTTGTATACTCTTCGAGCAATTTTCATCTTAACAAAGCGCAGCCCAGTGCAGCATGGGTAAATAGCGCGTATGTTACTCTATACATGCAATATCGTAGTCCTATGTATAGGATATTTCTTTTGCCCTCACCTTCTGGTGGATCTATGATTCAATTTAGGGAGGGATAAGAAAGCAGTTTCTTGGCCTACGTACGATTACATAAGCCGACGTTGCCATGGACACGGATCAGATTAGATTAGGCTGCGGGAGTCGACCAGATCGGAGGAAAACTTTATCATCAAAGTTTCCCTCGATCCCGTCAGAGTAAAAATAGTAAACGAGTAAATGTGGAGTATAGAGTACATCGCACAGGGCTTGTTTCCGATTCTTGATAGAATGCAATAATGTCCATTATTGCGTCTCATATCCTTGAGCACTGCATCTTCCTTCCGCTGCCGGGCTTATCGATAACTAACCAGATGCCCAGATCTCGGCAAACTATTGGTCTGGTGAGCTGCTGCTGATGTTGACCCCGCCATTATCCCTCTTTGTCTCGAGCTTCGATTTTCCCAGCCACAAAACAAGTTGCAATCAACCACCCGCTCTTAAAACCCACCCACTTCAGCCTTGCAGCACCAACGCCCCGACTGGTTGGCCAGGTGGACGACTCTCTCCTTGTGGTTGGCTGTATTTAATCCATCTCTGCACGTCGATCCTGTTCTTCGTTCATGCTCTGAACCCTTCACTATACTTTATACAACTGCCCATCATATACCATCATATATGCCCCATCTCAAATCGTGACGAGGGCGAAAACAATCATCTCTTCCCCAATTTCTCAGAGTACGGCAGGGTCACACGCAGCCACCATACCCCCATTCTTTTTACAAAAAAAGAAAAGAAAAAAAAAATCCGAGGTCACAGTCAGATCACACGAACTTGTATTGTTTTGTTTGCGGGTCCTAGGCTCCCACTGCATCGCATCCTCCCACATCTATCGGGCAAATCTTCCGGTTGAGATAGCATCCGCTATCACCGCAGACGTTGTTTTCAATTTTGATTTTAACACGCCAAAATAATCCCACTGGACCCGTGCCAGTCTGCAGATATGATCGCCGGTTTCTTCTTTATCTGTTGGCGAATAGGCCAGCTAGTGACCCTAATCATACCCATTGGCATTCTTGTGAGTTTAAAAGCAAAAGCAATAAAAAACAACAATAATATATCCCTCCCACCGTATAACTAAAATGCTGACTTCATCTTTTCCCCCCCAAAAAGTCCTGGTTCGTCGACGGCTTCGTCAAAAACAACCAACTAACCCCAACCTACATCCTCGTCCTCTTCATCGTCAGCGTGCTCGGCATCTTCTGGGCCCTGGACACCCTCATCCGCCACTCCAACGCCAAACGCTCCGCCCACTTCGTCGCCTTCGTGGATCTCTGCTTCGTGGGCTCCTTCATCGCAGGCGTCTACCAACTGCGCCGCATCGCGAACGCAGACTGCGGCAACTTCCGCTTCGACCCGCTCACGCTATCGCTGGGGCCCTTCGGCTTCGCGGGTCAGAGCGCCAATAACCCCCTGGCACGCGATCCGACCAAGGTATGCGCGATGCTGAAGACGTCGTTCGCGTTTGGGATCATGAACATCGGTTCCTTTTTCATCACGTCGATTCTGGCGGTGCTCATGCATCATCATGAGGAAAGGGAGCATGAGAAGGGCTCGTCGCGCAGGCGGGGATCACATTCGAGCCATCGTGGGCATTCGGGGAGCAGGCATCGGAGAAGCAGCTCTGGGAGACAGCCTGCTTATGCCGTCTGAGTGATGAATTCCTTCTCTTCCCTCTTCCCCCTCCCCCTCTCTCTCATACTTTTTTGTTTTGTTTTTTTCTAAATCTATATATATGAGTGATATATTCGGGCAAATAGTGGACACATATGTATAGGTGGCCTTTTTTCTTTTGTACCTACTTTTTTTTTCCCGTAACGCCTGTTATCTTGCCCCACGAAAGAGACACAAGACATGTGGAGAATGACGCAAGGATTTTTTTTGATGACCACAAACCCGCAAGGAAATTTCTGCCAGTTTTTATTTATGCGATGCTCTGCTTTGCTTTTTTTTCATATATTTTTGAACTTTCCCTATGTCGCTTTGGGGCCCCCCTCCAAGTTTATGTGGTTTCTTTCCATCTTACCCCCGCCCCCCCCCATCTCCAACTCCTCTGCCTCTGGTGGGCAATTTGACCTAATCCCAACCAACCCCCTCCCTTCGCATGCACGACTCGAAAGAGGGTCAAACCTCTATTTTTACGTTATCCTTTTTTCCACCTCCTCTGCCCTTGGTCCGTTGCTTGGCCAATCTGTATTATTTTTTTTATTGTTTGCTCGACATTTTCTTTATCACTGATACGGGGGGGTGTGAAGGAACTTGATATGGTTTGATTCAAACCATTTATGAATGGTTTCTACAACGATTTGTCTCTTTTTGTTTTCAAAATTTTTTTTTTTAAAACTTTAATATAGTTATGTATATAGCACTATGTAGGAAATTTCAGAACAGGAAAACTAGTATTTGCAAATTGTGGGAAAAAAAGGTTCGCAGGACTTATTAATTACTTCGACTATATCTAAGAAGTTCAATATAACTATATAAACCCGGCTCACCCAGCGCTGTGGTAAATAAATGATAGTAACCGTTCGTTTGGCATTGAAGCATGCTAGCTAACCCTAACTATCTTGCAATTACAGCGTAAGGATTAAATCCCTTTGATGACATTCTGTACATTATGCCGTCGGTAATAAAGGTGATATACAAAGGAAGGAAACATATATTGATTGGCAAACGCATCGGAATAAAAGAACACCCTCTCGAAATCAATTCTCTTGCGCTTCTATTTGCGCAGAGCTTGAAAGGAAGGGGGGTCGCCTCGGGGCTACCTGATACCGTTGTGGTGAGTAAAATGGGAGATTGCCGCGAACAATGGCATATCAGTTATTTTCGCGGACTCCCTAAGGCGATGAAGAAAATAATAATGGCATATGAAAATCCTGTCTCTTGTCCCATAATGACCCGTTATCCTGGTTTATATTTAACCCTTGGTTGTCCCATCCATGGATGTTGTTTTGCCAGCGTCAGGTGCTTCAGTTCTCGACCGGGGAATAACTGGAACACCACCCATCTTTATCCCCCTAGAGGGTTTTAGATATATATATATATACGTGTTTCTTTCTCAGACCCTGATCCTCTAGCCAACCCTAATCGTATTGCGAGTCGTGAGATTCCCTGGAAATGTCCCTGAGGGCCAACTTTTGAATGTCAGACATCAGACAACGACGAGAGCCGTGTGGACAAATGATCCGCCAATCAAATCGGTCCCATAGCTCAGTTGGTTAGAGCGTGGTGCTAATAACGCCAAGGTCGCGAGTTCGACCCTCGTTGGGACCATGTTGTAACAAAAAAAAAGCCTGCTGGTAAATATCTTCTTCTTTTTTTTTTTTCCCCCCGCTTCTTGCAGTACAATATCTCTAGATTACCGATAGCCATGGTTTTGGATTTGGCGAGCTGAAGGCTAACGGATGCTCTCCGCGATTTGAAGCCTGCCCGTGTCTAGTCGAATCAGGTTTTGGAAAATTGATTCTTCATAGAATTGTTATAATGAACCGGTCTTTCATCTTCCATAAAACGCCAGACAACAGACACGCATGACTCCGGAAGAAATGCTTAACCATGTCCACGGAGAAAAAATGCTTCCAACTTTCATACGCACAGTGAATTCTGAGAGCATGTCAGCGATGTGCAAGTGCACAAGTAAGGCTAGCTTCAGATACTCCTGTATATCTAGAATGGACCAGCAACTGGAAAACTGTATCTCAGCGTCATCTCCATGAAGTTCTGATATCGTCCATAAGCATATTCAGCCCACACGGGCAAATATTCATCGCTCATACCATAAAGGTGGACTGGGGCACTCCTTTACTCTTGTCTCCTTCATTCTAGGACATTGCTTGACGAGCAGATGTGAGCGAGCGCGAGCCTGTTGATGAAAGGCCAAAATGTTGTGAGGCATGCTCCATAACAATAACTCACTTTACCAAAGGCGGTGTTTGGAGTTCTGGGCCATCAAAAAATTAGATGAGACTAGCATTCGTCATATGGGACGTCCAACCACTTGCAGGACATTTCCAACACAAAAAGAACATCCTCGGCATCCAGTCCAAGAGATTGTAACTCCAGTTAAGAGGCTGAAATTGATTGATTGCGGAATGAGTTGATATGTCAGTGGGGTTATTGAGCAGATATATGTAGTTCTGAAATCAGCAATCATCCTGGATTTGGATGAAGGTGTTATCGGGGTGTAGTTAGGAGTGCTTGGACTACGTATGGTACAAGATATGTGAAAGACTTTTCGCAAGCTGACAGAAAACACAGTGCAGTACCTGCTCTCCGTAGTTACCGAGCCAAGCTTCTGGGAAACTCTCAGATTCTGCTGCTGAAGGCATTGGGAGAGAGCAGCCCCAATTATCGAAAAGTCGAAAACGCAATTAGTCCCTGGTACTGTCAAAGTGTGTGTCATGTACGTCTAAGTATAACGCTCTACTTGTTGGTAAATTGCTGGGGGTTAACAAACAAGTAACCTGTTTTTATAGAACATCAACTTGTGGAGGGAAATACTTTAACCAGTCATCTCTGGGAGACCTTTGGCAGTTGGGATATCCCGTGGGCCAAGTTTCATAATTTTCAAGACAAACTCCTTGTCCAGATGGAATGGTTTCAATTTCTCACCAGATTCCCAAAGTCTCCATATCGGTGAGATCAGAATACATTTGTGAATAACGGCCAAAAATAGATATGGTATTTTGTAGGAATCTCACGCTCATAATCGTTGTGCCCACGAGGAACATTCGGCATAAAGATGAAAAACTTGTGACCCCATATCATGGATACTATAACCTGAGCAAAAGAAGCTATTAGCATCAGAAATTTCCACGGAAAGGCTCTAACAATTACCATAGTCCCAAATAGCCGAGTGTCAGTTGATGGGACCCCATTGTAATGTGGGCTCCTTCATGTGTGTACCGACTTCATTCTGTTTCTCACAGTAGTGGGAAGTAATGTGAACTGTGCTCTCAAGACCTAACCTTGTTTCTGAGGAGAAAAAAAAAGGCCAGTACAAAGAGATATGGCCCCAGTTTCGGGAGCGGAGAAGGCGAACCCGATGAGCCAGCAATGGATCTCAAAAGAAAGGGGTTTGAAGCCATATGAGAAGACTAAATCAAGATATATCTATACTTTCATTGATGCTGGGCTGACGTGATGTAGACACGCCGGAACTTTAACTAGACTCTTTCCAATCAAACAACCAATAAATAAGATCAATATCTTCACATTGATCTCCAACCTTCAATTCTCCATACTCTACTTTTGCGCTCCCATTTCTTCTCGTACCAACGAAAACCTCTCTTGACTATGTAGGCGGTGGCTCACGAGACTTCCTGCAAGATGAGAGCGGGTGTTCAACGAGCTTCAAATCCGGAATACAGGTATGGGAATTGGAGAATCTTCTCCTGGTTGGAGTATCGTCTGGATGCTTTATCGAATAGTATTCTTCCTCGCTGTACGTATGGATGGCGCTTGCTCTGCAGATGGGCAAATATTCAGAGAATCCCTCTTGCCTTCCGTGACATGATATCTGTTGGATGCGCTTTCCTCAACTGTTTTGCCTTGGAAGTATTATCCAGGTATATATATATATATATATATAAATTCTTCTCATTTGCTGTAGAATGTAATCACTACTTGCATATTCACACTCCTGACATACTTTTCCTGCTCATAGTGGATATAGTTTTCCGAAGGTCGAAAGACTTTGCCTTACATAAAACGGGGTTTATCTTTATGGGGACATCTATGTCGCAGTTACCAGATGTTCGATCAAGCACATCTCCGTTCTGCAACGATATTTCGTCTCGAGCTGTGATATCAGGAAGCACAAGGCAGCATGGGAGCTCTGAAAGCATGGGCGAAAGGAGCTCGGGCAATTCAGGGCTTACTACTGAGCTGTGTGAGAATACCACATCCCTCCGTTTCATTTGGTATCCTCTATTTTGTTCTGCGTTGTGCATTTGCGGAAACTGAAAAGGTTTGTTACCGATTGTGGCTGACGTCTTATGTATTCGTAGATACCAGCAGCGTGACGGAGCAATGCCCTGAAAACCGAAGACAGATAGGTGTCATTAGTGCTTCCTTTTTGATCTTTAATAGGATTATGGGAACAGGTATATTTGCAACTCCCAGTGCCATTCTGGCACTCACAGGTAGTGTCGGACTATCTTTAATAGTATGGGTCATGGGAATGGTTATTGCTATGACTGGCACGGCAGTCTACCTTGAATTCGGAACTACAATCCCAAGGTACCTAGCTGCCTGGCCTTTTCCCTCCGGCATCATTCTCCCAACAGCAACAACTCTGTGTATTAACAACAAGTGGTAGAAACGGAGGGGAAAAAAATTACCTCGAGTACGTGTATACCAAGCCGAGATTCCTAGTCACGGCGATGTTCGCTTCGTATGCCCTGTTTCTAGGCTGGGCAGCAGGTAATAGCGTTGCGTTTGGTGAATATGTCCTTCATGCGGCGGACATTGAGGTAAACCGATGGAATCAGCGGGGCATCGGTTTTGCATGTATCACCTTGGCCTTTCTCATACATGCAATAGCCGTCAAATGGGGGCTACGCCTGCAAAATCTCCTTGGCGCTTTGAAGTTCCTTGTAATCCTCATTATAGTGGCTGGAGGGGCCGTGGCTCTTGGTGGCCACTTGAACATGGAGAAACCTGATAACTTTTCTCGACCGTTTGAAGGAAGTATTCCAAGTGTATATGGGATTGTAACAGCATTGTATAGCGTGATCTGGTCGTACGTTGGATATTCGAATGCAAACTATGTGAGTTAGCACAGTTCCGTCCCCTGATTTTATTATCTGTTTCTTACATGCCAACAACAGTCATTGAGCGAGACGAGAAATCCAGCTCGAACATTGAAAATCGCCGCGCCCATAGGGGTGGGGCTTGCCAGCGTTTTGTATATGCTGGTCAATGTTGCATACTTTGTTGTTGTCCCGAAACAAGAGATCTTGGTTCTGGACGTATCCTGGCCGCTTCCTTTTTTCGAAATGTTTTTGGCCCCAAGGCAGAGAGGGTTTTATCCATTTTTATAGCTTTGTGTGCCTTCGGGAATGTTCAGTCTGTTATATTTTCCCAGGGAAGAAGTGAGTACACGACATGCATGCCAGCAACCAAAAAATTGAAGGCTAATGTGTCAATAGTTATCCAAGAATTAGGCCGGGAAGGGGTTCTGCCATTTTCCAGGTTCTGGGCAAGCAATAGGCCTTTCAATTCGCCGGCCGCAGGGCTGTTCGAGCATTATCTTATATCCGCCATTGTTATGCTTGCTCCACCACCAGGAGACGCATACAACTTCTTGCTCAAGTTAGTTTTATCCCCTCCATTCGCCATGCATATATGTATCTGACTTTTTCCTCCCAGCTTGATTTCGTATCCGCTCTCGGTCGTAAATATATTTGTCTCGGCCGGGTTGCTGCATATTTATATGTTTCCGAAAAGCTACCCGGACTGGTCACCGACCGTGCGTGCCAGCCGGCTCGTTACCATATTTTTTTTGCTTTCCAACGTCTTCCTAGCAGTGGCACCTTACCTACCGCCGCCAGACAAGGAACACAATGTCTATGTGCATTTGCCATACTATATCCACTGCGTTGTTGGACTCGGAATTTTTGCGGCGGGCGCTATATATTGGCTATTTTGGGCAGCAATATTTCCTTGGGTCAGGAAGTATCGCCTGGTGCAACAGACAGTCATTGCTCCGGATGGCTGGTCGAGGCAGATCATAACCCGAGTTCCTATCGGCATGGAAGAAAAGGGGAAAGCTGGACTGGATGGTGGTAGAAGCGGCTGGGATGGATGATGCGGATGCATGCGCCCTTCATTAAAGGGATTTGCGTTGTACGGTTTTCGTAGGCAATTTGGAATGAAAGCAGTCATTCAACTATCAACTATCATTATTGTAGATTATGATACATAGTTTATACACGATACCTCCTAATACGATTGCCACCCCAACACAATCAGGTCAAATCCTCGTTGTTTCCGTCCAAAAGGACAAAAAGCCACTAAAACACAATGTTCCAGCCTTCCATGGAGGTGAACTCATTGTGCTGTGTGTTGTACATCCCTACTTGTCATGCGCAGTGGATGCTGGAAGCTCAAGCATGAGGATGAACAGGTAGTAAAACACACCTACACCTTTGTCGAATTTGATCGAGCAAGCATATCTAGCCATTTGCAGAAAACATAAAAGGGCTGAGCAGGTCAACGTATGGCCACTGACTTGAACTGCTGGAATGATATCCAACTTCTCGCAATCTGTGTGGTGGTGGAAGAGAAAACACTTAACTCCTTATAACGAGGCAGAAGCAATGACTAAGCACCAGTCAGCGTGTGCCGGCGCTATCTCAAGGAACTCATTCTTAGCCGCAACTCAGACTTCAGAATTTATATCTAAAATAAAAACCGTCCCGCCAGCTCCACAGCGTCGCAGTTGAAGCTTTCTACAAGAAATCTACCTTGGCTGTCTTCTATCCGCCGGGGCCCTACTGCTTCTTCTGCTGCGTCTTGTGCTGCGTATTTACTGTCAGCTTTGATTTTGTCAGCGTGAGTTTCGGTGTCCACCGCGGGCCTGCAGTAGCGGTTGAATCGTTCTTAGCCCAACCAGGGCTGTCTTGCGCTCATTGGCTTTCTCCCGTCTGGAAGAGGCCCTCGTCTCCCGGCCCCGGTCCCCGCCCTCGCCCTCGTCCTCGTATATAGTCGCGGCTGCTCGCTCTGCCCCGCATCGCAGCAGTCCATGCTTTCCCTCAGTTCCAGGAACGCTCGGTCGATCCTGAACATCGCAAAGAGAAAACAACTTTGTACCCCCGTTGCTTCCGAACAGACTCTTCTTCCACGACTTCCCCATTTCGAGAGTCGAGCGCGGCTTTTGTCAACCACAACAATAACACCTACAACAACCTCATCAAGTACGTCTGCAACTCTTGCAACTCCTCTTACAGCGTTCCCCGTCCCTCTTCGATCTCGATTCACCCCTCGTACTACCCTTGCACGTCAGGCTAAGAGGCACTGCTCTTCTAGAAGGATGTGTCTCGCAAGACAAGGCGACGACGTTGCTGGTGGAGCCACGGCGATGGCTGCCCGGGAGATCCTCCCAACTAATGTCAAGCCATTGCATTATGACTTGACCTTGGAGCCGGATTTCAGCAACTTTACTTACAGAGGTACCGTTATCATAGAGTACGTGAAAAGATGTTTCCCCGGAAAAACACAAAAAAGAAAAAGAAAAAGGTCACCATCATGAGGGATTTTTGCTGATTGCAATTTGATTCAAAACAGTCTTGATGTTGTCGAAAACACCAATTCGATTTCCCTCAATTCCACGGACATCGAAATCCAAACTTGCACTGTTTCCGCTAATGGAGTCTTGACGGCTTCCAACCCTGCGGTCTCCTTGGACGTGAAAAAACAAACTGCCACTATTAGCTTTGAGAAGACAATTGAGGCAGGAGGAAAAGCTCAACTGAAGATTAACTTTCAGGGCAAACTGAATGATAACATGGCTGGTTTTTATAGATGCTCCTACAAGGGTGCGAATGGCGAGAATAAATATATGGCCTCCAGCCAGATGGAGCCTACGGATGCTCGAAGGGCGTTCCCTTGCTTCGATGAACCTTCGCTGAAGGCGCAGTTCACTGTCACCCTGATAGCGGATAAGAATTTAACATGTTTGAGCAACATGGATGTTGCATCGGAGACCGAAGTACATTCGCAGATCACAGGGGGCATGAGAAAAGCAGTCAAATTCACCAAGTCACCGCTGATGTCAACATATCTTGTTGCCTTCATCGTTGGTGAGCTCAACTATATTGAAACCAAGAATTTCAGAGTTCCCATCCGCGTCTATGCCCCTCCCGACCAGAATATTGAACACGGAAGGTTCTCCCTTGATCTTGCGGCAAAGACCCTCGAATTTTATGAAAAGACGTTTGGTAGCGAGTTCCCTCTCCCCAAGATGGACATGGTTGCTGTGCCAGACTTTTCTGCTGGCGCGATGGAAAACTGGGGCTTGATCACGTACCGTATCGTGGATGTTTTGTACGACGAGAGTTCTGCGGGCGCCGCTGCCAAGCAACGTATTGCCGAGACAGTGCAACATGAATTGGCACACCAATGGTTTGGGAACCTCGTCACTATGGATTTCTGGGATGGCCTCTGGCTTAATGAGGGCTTTGCCACATGGATGTCCTGGTACTCATGCAATGTCTTCTATCCTGAGTGGAAGGTCTGGGAATCTTATGTCATCGACAACCTTCAAATGGCTTTGTCTCTTGATTCGCTGCGGAGCAGCCATCCTGTGGAGGTTCCCGTCTATCGTGCTGATGAAATTAGCCAGATTTTCGATGCTATCTCTTATTCGAAGGGATCATCTGTGCTCAGAATGATTTCAAAATATATGGGAGAAGAAAATTTCATCCAGGGTGTTAGAGACTATATCCAGAAGCATGCCTACAAAAACACTAAGACTGCTGACCTGTGGGAAGCACTAACCGGAGCAAGCAATGGTAAACCTATCCAGTCGGTAATGGACACCTGGACTAAAAATGTCGGATTTCCAGTCCTTACTGTTACGGAAGACGCCAGCAAGAGCTCGATTTCCGTGAAACAGAATCGATTTCTGAGAACTGGAGACGTCAAACCAGAAGAGGACAAGACCATATTCCCCGTGATGCTTGGTTTGAAGACTCGTGAGGGAATTAACGAAGCTCTAATGCTCACTAGCCGGGAAGCGGAGTTCAAGGTCCCAGATCTTGATTTCTTCAAGGTTAATGCAGATCACTCTGGTATATATCGAACCTCTTACAGTCCAGAACGCCTTCGGAAACTGGGGAAGGCCGCCAAAGACGGACTTTTAACTGTGGAAGACAGGGCCGGAATGATCGCTGATGCGGGGGCACTGGCTTCTTCCGGTTATCAGAAAACATCTGGCATACTTTCTCTGTTAGTTGGATTTGACACCGAGCCACAATTTGTTGTATGGAATGAAATCCTCACCCGTATTGGTTCGATCCGTGGCGCATGGATGTTTGAAGATAGCAAGACCAAAGATGCATTAAAGGAGCTGCAGCGCTCCCTGGTTACTGCAAAGGCTCATGCGCTTGGGTGGTCGTTCTCCACGGGTGATGACCACGTGCTCCAGCAATTCAAAGCACTGATGTTTAGCGCTGCTGGATCATCTGGAGACCAGAAGGTTGTGGCGGCTGCGAAGGACATGTTTAGCCGGTTTGCAAGCGGTGATCGGTCGGCCATCCATCCTAACATTCGGGGAAGTGTTTTTGATATTGTTCTTCGAGAAGGTGGGGAAAAAGAATACAACGCCGTGCTTGAATGGTACCGCGTTGCATCAACTTCAGCTGAAAAAAATACAGCTCTCCGCACGTTGGGTAGTGCAGAAAACAGCGAATTGATCCAAAAGACGCTCTCCCTTTGCTTGTCGGACGAGGTGAGAGCTCAAGACATCTATATGCCACTATCTGGCCTACGCGGGCACACAAACGGTATCACTGCCAGATGGGCATGGCTTAAGCAGAATTGGGAAGCAGTTACCAAGCGACTGCCTCCTGAATTTAGTATGTTAGGCTCAGTGGTGCAAATTTGCACAGGGAGCTTGTCGACAGATGCGCAAATCCAGGACGTCGTTTCTTTCTTTAAGGACAAAGATCAGAAGGTTCGTGGCTCCTCATCGTCTTCGGTATTAGGCCTCAAATATAAATATGACACTTCGCTAACCACCGACACAATAGGGATTTGATCGTTCCCTTCAACAAAGTCTTGACAGCCTCTATGCTAAGGCTGGTTGGCTTAAACGCGATCGCGCTGACGTTGAGGACTGGCTCTCAAAAAACGGATACATGAGCTCAAAGTAACTTAATTTGCATTTACATGAGGTAGTTTTCGTCATGGCGGTTATTGGAAGGTGCTCACTATGTCCTAGGGAGCATGCCAAGAGGAAATATTACTTTGATGCAAATTAGTATTGTTGAGCAAGTTGGATACACCGACCCGTCACCTGTTCAGCGAGCTGCTATCCCTATTGTATTGCAAAATCGAGAGTTTTGTGGAATTGATAATCCCACTCTGCGTGACCGTTCAGACTTGCATCCCATTTTCGAATCCCCTCTCTGCTCATTATACTTATTTCATTGGCGTTTAGAAATATAAATCAATCCATGCAATTCCGAAGATAATAAGTTTGCTATTATTAATACACTAGTTATCCAAAGCGTATGATATAATTTCCATTCCTTATTTTGATTGATTGATCGTGCTTTAATGTATTCATCTTGTCCCTAATACCATATTGACAAGTTCGTCAAGTTGGCTTCATAATAATATACATGAGATATACCATGTCATAAGGCCCGCTACATTGCATTGAAAGCGCCTAGTGGGCTAAGAGTAAGAGCTAGAAAAGAAGCCTTAATAGATTATGACGCAACGCAAGCGTGGAAAAAGGCACATGGATTGAGGAGAGAACTCCTCCGATTTACCACCCAGCTCCACCTCCCTTTCCGGCAAAGCCACTGCTCTCCTCGATCTTCTTCTGTGACGCGGAGCCACCTCGTACGGGCTTCGACTGGGCGGCCTCGTGTTTACGGAGTTCTTCAGGGACGCGGGAAATAGAGGATTTCATAAGCATTTGTTTGAGGTCGTATCTGGTTGAAATATTGGTAAGCGTACTGTTGTTAATAGAGCAAAGAAAACTCAAAGGAAAAAGGAGAGAGGGGGGAAAGTAGCCATACAAGACATCAGAATCCTCGTTGCCCAAGAACGTAATCGCAATACCACTCTTCCCAGCACGTCCAGTACGACCAATACGATGCGTATAACTCTCAATATTCGTCGCCATGTTGAAGTTAACCACCAGACTAACGTCCGGAACGTCAATACCGCGTCCAGCCAGGTCAGTTGCAACAAGCACGTCGGTATTTCCATTCCGAACGGACGCCAGGGCAGCTTCACGCTGCTCCTGCGTCTTGCTCCCATGCAACGTGACGGACGAATAGCCCATGTTTTTGATATCGCGCGCGACAGCATCGCAGTTGCGCTTAATGTTAACGAAGACGATGATTGGTGGGCGGAATTCTCGCGATGATAAGATCTCTGCTAGTCGCTTCTTACGCTTGTCTTCGCCGGAGATGAATTCGACGCGCTGCTCAACGGTGTCAACAGCTTCGCCGATGTTGCCGATTGTGACGATCGCGGGCCGTCGGAGGTATTTGCGTGCAATTCGTTCGACGGCAGAAGGCATGGTGGCGGTATACATCATCGTTTGCCTATATCGGTCTTTTCCACCGATATGTTGGCTCATTGCTTGGGCGTTTTCTGCGTCTTCAGTATCCGGTTTCTGATTTGTGACGGGGAGGGCGTCGAGGATTTTGTTCACAGGCTCCTCAAAGCCGAGATCAATCATACGGTCAGCTTCATCCATGATAACGTAGCAGCATTGACTAAGGACAATCATTCGTCTCTCGATACAGTCTACCAAACGGCCGGGGGTGGCGATGATGATCTCCGCCCCGTTGCGCAAACTGTAAGCCTGTTCTTCCAGCGAATGACCACCGACAATACTGACAACGTTGAATCCAAGAGGGACAGAGAACTTCTTGGCTTCTATTTCGATTTGTTGGGCTAATTCGCGTGTTGGCGCTAGGATTATCGCATACGGACCGTCATTTCTTCTCCATTCAAACTCATCTAGTCGTGGGAGTTCTGCTATGTAGACGAGCAGAGGGAGTAAGAATGCTGCAGTTTTTCCGGAACCAGTCACAGCAACACCGATAAGGTCTCGATTTTGCAATGCAATAGGGATAGCAGCTCGCTGAATCGGCGACGGGTCGGTGTATCCAACTTGCTCAACAATACTAAGAAGGCGTTTTGGCAATCCCGATTCGGCCCACGACCTCATGGGATTGGGAATGCTTCCTCCCTTGGTACTGATGTTGAAATCTTCCTTGAATATTCGCCAGTCCCTCTCGCGCATGTGTTCCAACTTCTTCTCGGACCAATGTGCGTCCAAGGCATGCCGTCCCCCTTCTTCTTTCCTTCTTCTTTCCATTTCCAAAATCTCCCTCGCTCTGGCTCTACCAGCCTCCGGATCTCTATCTTCTAGAGCTCTTGCGTAGTTTCTTGTAACCGCATCTGCAAATTCGTCACTGAACCCAGCTAAGCGACCTCGACCAAAGAAATTTGCAATGGAACGGTTTTGATAGAGTGGATTGTAATCGGGGCTGGTATCTTCATCCGCATTCCATTCGAAGTTAAATTTCCTTTCCGTTGTCCGCCTCCGTTTTTTCTTCGCAGAGAAATTCGACGTCTGGTCACTTCCCATATATCGTTGTCGTATCAAGGCCGCTTGTGCTTCTTCTGGAGAAGGCCGCTTTTCTCCCTTTTGATCAGCCTTCGGACCGGGAGGAGGAGGTGGAGGCATATCATTTTGTTTCGTGCGCATCGCGGCAGGAGCGGTTGGGATTTCTCCGTGTCTCATGCCACGGGGTCCCGTGGGAATTAGGGGCCGGGAAGATCCGTCAATTCCATCACTTCTTGATGCTGAAGAATTATAACCGTTCGTTTCAGAATTTCGAGGCGAGGGCCTGGCGCCGTTTGCTTGCAGTCGCTTTTTATTTTCCACCTCTTTCGCGCGTTTCTCTAATGCGAGCTTCTCTCTTTCTGCTCTTGGGAGGAATTTAGGCTAGACACAGAAAATTTAAAGTAACAACGCAGTCAGTCAGTAACCAACTTCCATCTTCTGTGAGGGAAAATATGTATCCGAACCGATTGAAATGCTCATCGTAAACAAATGCACCCGTAGGAAAAGGAGAGGGAAATGGCGCAATGTGACGGCGCCCAGTTCAGTTTCAACGTACCTTTGATGCAGCTTCATCAGCTTCCCGCTTCTTTCGGAGTAGTTCCTCAACACTCAGAGGCGTCGCTGACCGCTGACTTCCCCAGCCAACCTTCTTTCTCTTAGTTGCAGGCGGCTCGGGAAGCGGCGCATCTTCGGGAGGAGGAGGAGGAGCTATTGAATCCGGGGGCGGAGGAGGAGCAGCGGCATCTGGTGGCGGAGGCGGCACCAGCGATACGGGTGGCGGCGGAGGTGGTGTAGGAGAGCGTTCAAAGGGTTCCGGGGGTGGTCCAGGGGGTCTATTTTCAGCGATCCAATCCATAGTTATTGCCAAATAACAGGTGCTCTTCTCAGAATTGAAGCTCTCAGTTAAATCGTGGGCGTTCTGTCTGGAAAACATGATAAGCAGCGTATTAGTCAGCGTACTCTGAAGACTATTAGGCCGCTAGGGCAAAAGAGCTCAATCACCGGTGGTGGTATAGAGGGTAAAACTTGCTATACAGAAATCAAGCTCTTCTTCCTTTTGAAAACTTTCAACTAATTTCAACTTTGGAAAAATTCAAATGTTCTACATATCAAACTACCGTACGAACAATCACTCCTCCTTCAAATAGTTCAGAGGCGCGCAAAGTTCCGGAATCCACCAAACATAAAAGAGAAAAACAAGATAAGAAGCATAAAAAACTCAAAATATAAATAAAATACATCTGCCTCCATCCAATCATTGAATCGGAGACCATCCCCCCATAGTAGCAATGCAGCAGGTACCCGAAACTGATAGTTTGATGCGACCTGGTACGTTAGTTAAGCCATTAATCGTTTCCTAGCAAACTCGCTGTCAATAGTTTTTGCCTCCGAGCCCCCGAGTCTAAAAAAGAAAAAGACAAAGAAAAGAAAATACAGAGGAATTGTTCCGCAATTCTGCGAGGAGATAGAGAATCTGGAAGAGATGTGTGCCAGCGGGAGCCATATATGAAATCATGAAATTACACGCGAAAATCACAGCCTGGTGCTGGAAACTGTTGAAACTATCAACAAAAAAACCATGTTTGAGGCTAGTAAAGGCTGTTATACACTCCCATTAGACGAAATAGGTCTCTCTGGCGGTTGCTGATACTGTTTGCCGTACGGGACTTGAGCTTGCTGGGTGATGGGTTCCGTGGCTGGAGGGGCTTGACGTCCATTCGGGTTGACAGTAACTTTACTAACTTGGATATCCTTGTCAACCAATGGTTTCATCAATGCTTGAACGGACTGGGGTCCATTTATCTCGCGGTCCAGAGTCATATACTCCTTCGCAGATTCATTCGATCCACGTTCTAGCAAGTATAACATATAAATTTGGACAAGCTCCTTTACAATCGCGGGCTGGAGGGTGCTCTTAGATCGAATTTCGCTCAACACTTGCTTAATGCGTTGATATTGCACGTCCTCAGTTTCTGCACTGGTAGGTTGTTCAAGTTCGAACATCAGATAGCTTGTCCAGAAAGGACGACTATCCGGATACCACTGTTGGTTTTTCTGGAATACCTGTCGGGCATCAGCAGGTGAACCCTTAATCTTCCACAACAGTTTAGCCCATTCTGCCACGAACGCAGCTTTAGCCTGGATGTCGCATTGCGGTGTGTCAAGTTGGGATTTGTAAATCTCTATCGCAGCTTCCAGGCCTCCATGGCGACGTGATAGGTTCGCAAGCGACACGATAGTTTCAATATGGCCTGGAAGTGATATCAAGATTGCGGAATGGATATCTTTGGCAACGTCCACCCGTCCAGATAACTCTTCGAAATACGCATAATGAAGTCTGACTTCAGGCCGAGAAATTGGAACATATAACGTGCTGGCACGCTGGTAAATATTCCGAACTTCTTCCTCCTTGCCTTCTTGGGCCAGCATCCACCTGGCGTATCTGAGCCAGAATTCATCATAATGAGCACATGTAACAAGACAACGCTCGTACAAGAACTGAATTCTCGAAAAAGAGCCGTCAGCTTCTTCGAAGTCAAGATACTTCCTCCAGTTGGACAGCTGCATTTCATCTAGTTCCGTCACATGGAAATAGGGACGCTTTATTTCGGATTCATATGTCCATCTCTTGGTAGTTTCCGTCTGCGTTCTCGAAAATATTTCCAGGTGGTAGCTATCAATCCGAAGGCGAAGGTCTCTTTCAATTTCTGCCTCACTCTTAGACCCTGGAGGAATCCCAGCTGCTGCACCGTCCACCTCTGCACGAAATTGGCTTAACAGTTCTGGTGGAACTAATTCAGAGACGGGGCGAGTTTGAGCCATCTGGCGATAGCGCTCAAAGTACCTCGCGTACTGGTGCATAGGAATTTCTATAACATTTGCCAATATGGCAAAAATCTTGTCTTGAGCTTCAAGACGTTCTTCAAACTCGATGTACTTGTCCCAGAACGGATGTGCTAGGAAGTCAAGCCCCACACAGCTTGCGCCCCTGTCAAAAAGTCTGTTCCACCAATGTCAGCTACTTCATATTCAATATAGTGGAGGGAAAGGGGAAGAATAGGAGGGGAAGAAATGAGGGAATGTGAAGGATGGCAAACATGGCATATGCAATATGTCTTTAGTGAAAGGCCCAACTGGGTCAAGGTCAACGGAGAATGGTATCTAATCGTGCGGTAAATATGTAGAAGGATTCCCGAACAATATAATTGTTGTGCGAAGGAAAAACAAGAGCCTGAAACTCAAGGGTGAGAAAAAGTTTCAAGGGGAGCCTGGGTAGCAGATGACTATCTCACCCATCAAAAAGCTTTTGCTGATGATACTAATCTGCACCTCTTGTCCTCGCTACCACAACAATATCCGCGCTGTGTCATTATAGTTATGGGGAAGGAAACCAACATGCCCATACTTACTCTCGAATAATGTCTGCATCGTGGGAAGTTTCGACCTTGAACGCGCAGTAATTGGTCCATAGATCCACGGAATTGCTAATGCTTGCAACACCCCGTTCATAAACCTGCCAAATAAACTGTTATTTGCGATTCGTGCGATATAATTTGCGGGCTGATTCAAAGAAACCTATGTATATAAAAACATGCAACTTACCATTTCCGCAGCTTCAGTCCCCGCAATAGAAAACTCCAAATCCGCATATTTTTTCCAGTATCCGAACAACAAGGGAAACTTGGCCAGGAATCGGTCGTATACGCCTCTTGTTGCTGTAATAGCTTGAGGGTTAGAATTGCGATTGATTCCCCCTTCCTGCCCCTCCGCCGCACGAATCAATTTCTCCCAGTTTTCGAAGTTATCAGAATCTTCCAGCTGCATCAAGAGAAACAGTTAGCGTGTATGTTTTGCCACATAAAGCACACAAGTCGATTACAAAAAACTCACCACCTCCGCATGCAGCTTCTTCAATTCCGCATTCTCCTCTTCTGTGCCACCAAAAATCAAGTCAGCCATGGCAACGACTGTTCTGGTGTCCCGGCTACAGCGTATCCAGGTCGATTAGCGATCGAAGGGCTCGTCAGATAAGTGTTGAGCAGTTGATAATAAGGCGTATAGGTGATTGGGATTATGGAGAAAATCAGAGAGCAAAGAAGTGGATTACAGGTGCAGACTTTGGGTTGCGGAAAGTAATAAGTAATTGAAGGAGTGAGAGAGGATCGGAGGCTTGGCGGCGTATTCATTTCTCTTGCAAACGACGTACTGTTACATCGGCAATATGAGCATGTTCTGTACCTACAATACCAAATTTTAATTACCACTAGCCACAACCTATTCCCTAAAACAGTTTGGTTTACTGATTCACCACGTGACCTGCCTTCTCCAGGAATTTCTCTTCAACGACAGCAATATCAACTTGCACTTAAGACGAAAACCGGGGGCAGGCCATCTGGCAGATAGTCCCAATGGCTACCAAAACTGCTGCCTCTGGCATACTGGAGAATCTTCCCCTCCGGCTCCGCAATTTCTTCGCCCGCTACCCGCCGCAAATATACTCCGCAAATGCCCTAGGAGCACCAAAAGTACCGGAAGGTGCCGAAGCCCTAGCTCCAGCTCCAAGTCCCTATACACCATCTCGCTCCTCAAAGGCTCCTAAAGTGGACCAATCCGCCTTCTCAATGTCACAGGCCTTCCTCCGCTCAGATCCAGAACACCCAAACCCATTCCTACCGTATAAAAATCCCGAAACAGGGCGATGGCGGGGGGCCATGATTTCCCTCCGGCGGCAGAATGAGCTGGTTAAGTTGGCCGCGAAATATGGCGTCGAGGAGCTATTACCTCCCAGCCGCAAGTCGACGGTATATCGGGAGACTAAGGCCGTTGAGAAAGGATTGAGAATTCGTGGTACGGGTATTGGTCAGAAGGTTAAGGGTCATAAGTGGGAGCGGACGCTAGAGGGCCGGTTGGAGGATCGGAAGAAGGCCATGATGGGTATGCCGGAGATGATCAGGCTGTGGAAACAGGTACGTTCTTTGTTTTTCTTACCCGACCTATTCCCCTTTGTTGATTTCAAGGGGCTTTTTTACTAACCGTTCTATAGCGGGGTCACGGAAGAGGATGGAAGAAATACCCACGGAAGTAAGGAGGTGTGGTTCGCGTATGTAGAAATACGTTGTTTACATGGCTTGGCCTCTATCATATTAAAGGAACGTGTGGAGTTTTGTTGTGTTTTCATTTTATTTTTCATTGTTTTCGTTGTCAAAATTCCTCTTGTATGAATATGGGTACGGCATCTTAAATTTTTTTTAATACATGTACAGGTAAATACGTTCCTCGTTTCCTCGTTTCCTCTTACAACTATTTTATTACCCTTTGGTATATTAGCCATTAATACAAAGGAATCGGCATGGGTATAATCAGAGTATTGCACCAGACTAGGTGAGCGTTATCCCTCTCTTATGCAAACCGAAGGATTGGAATCAGGTCAGCATTGGTATAGCCTTTGTTTTACCTGGGTATTGAGTGCCTGCATAGGTAATGTCTAGTAGGTGGAAAAAGACCAAAATATATAGATAAATTACTGCGGAACTTGTCCACGATATCCAACATAAACAGCTTCACTTATATACATTACTTTCATATTAGTCAAATGTACACTCGACGCTGGGGGAAAATGTAAAAATCAAAATCAAAATCAGAAAATTTCTATCAGACCGTTTCTTCATACAACGGCTCAACAACCTGACCAGTCATTATCATAACCTTCCCTCTTCCGTTTACACCATCCTCCGAATTATCATGCGAAAGGCACACATGTTTTCCGAATGTAACCTTGCCGTCAACTTTCCTCGTCTTAGCCAGTGTTGTGAACGGTTCCTCGCTCCTGACCGCCGTGAACTGGTCTACGCAAACCATCTGGCACCGTTGACACGAGCCCAGGACGTCGAATTTGTGGGGCCCCACGCGGAACCCTCTCCATGTATCTTCGACATATGGGTGTTCGGTTAGCAAGGTTGGTGGTGTACATATAGACCCGGTAGCAGAGCCATTGCTGTCTCCATTCCTGCTGCTAGGTGCCAGAGCGGGATTTTCTGCGACAATAATGTTTGCTCGAAATACATCAGCGGCAACTGCTCTAGTGCCCTTAGATGTGGATTTTCCGTACGACTTAATAGTTTCGTTAAGTTTATTGACACTTGACCGGGATACTAGCAGCATGGGGCTTTCGTTCGACAGGCGTATGGGATTTTTGTGTACTTGGGACGCAAGGTTGGGTTGAGGGAAAGCGCCCGGCATACTGTGGAACGGTGACGGGGTTTCAGGGAGATAGGAGCGTTGTTGGTGTTTCGAGTATCGGAGAGATGAATTTGCAGGAAACCTGGCAAGCGTGCACGGGACTCCAAGGAACTCTGAAAAAAATGCAGAAACCACTGGTGACGAATATATTTGTACGGGTACTCTATCACCACACACCGTGGAAGACTTTTTCATGGAATTTTCACAGAGTTCAGCTGTTGAGATGTCGACATATTGGTCTGATAAGGGTAACTTCAGGGGGTTATCATCAGCGCCGGGCATCCAACGTGAAATTTGTAGGATGCCGTTGTCAAGATCAATCACAGGGCGGATGAGAGCCATTCGAGGGTATCTTTTCTGGTTGAGAGCCACCCCCGTGCCCTGGTGTATTAGACACCATTCTCTATCCCATGCGAGGCCTTCTTGTTTGACCTCCCATTGCTTGCCATCGGGGACTATAAATGCTCCACAACTTTTGATCGGATACACGCAGAGCTTGTCGACATAAAAGCTAGAAGGCTGGGGCCCTCTCTTGGATTGTATAACACCCTGAGGTCTGAGAACGGTGTTTGCGTTGGATTTGTCCACATAAAACTCATCAATAAAGTCGAGGAATCGATTAACATCGCGGATGGAACTCATAGCTCCCAGACTAACCCTCAAGCCCCCAGTTGGCTTGCCATCGATTATGTCATTGTCATCTCCACAACGTTGACCAGCGTTGTAATTCCGTTTCATTTCCTCAGTCTTCAAGCCGAGGTGGTATGCCATTCCACCTGGATTACATAGCGTCCCGGACCGAATTTGAATATTCTTCACCGCCGCGAGCTTCTCAACTTCCGATTTCCCAACCCATTCGCCATCGCTATTCCTCAGGTTGAATGAAACTATGGGGCCCTGGGTAGTCCGTTCATCGAAACTGGAATCCTTATGCTTATACATCTCACAAACAACGGTTCCGTTTGCATGCCTTTTAGCAGCTAAGCTATCATACAGTATTTTGGTCAGCGAGCCTGTGTGGCGCGAAATATTCTCCATGGAACCGTAAAGGCGTTCGTGTACATCCAAAGCAGAATGCAAAGCTATAATGCTGTGGAAAGGGAGGGTGCCATCTTCGAGTTGATCATGGACGGAAGTCGATTTCTTCGCATGCCACTGATCTTCAAGGCTGGTAACCATACCAACGGTGCCCCCTCCAAAGTACTTCCTCTTATCAAAGATATTGTGGGCGCTTTTGCGAACGATAAGAGCACCGAGATCCGGAAATCCAAAGATCTTATAGAAACTCAGAACCGTAAAATCGGGGGCAGAATCCGCATCACTAAGATCTAATGGCGAGGTGGAGACGAGAGATGCCGCATCCAAAAGAGAGTAGATATTACACACTCGCAGCTTGCGACACCAGTCAAGAGGTAGGCGACGACCTGTCATATTCGACTGAGCTGGATACGCGAACAAAGTAGGAACGGATACAGGGCTTTGCGCATTTGGTGAATGACAAGATATCCAGTCTTCAACTTCCTCGTCATCCGCAAAGCACCGCCGTCCCCTCGCTGCCAGTTCTCTGACCCCAACCAAACTCGTATGTGCATCCCTATGGTATCCGTACCAAAACCCACACTCATCATAGTCTCTAAGAGCATCCGCAACCAGTTTGATACCAGCTGTTGCGTTTGCGACGAAGACAACATCGAAATCATGGGGGCAGGCGTTGAAGAAGCGGAGAACGCGCAATCTAGCATCATCCACTCGTTGTGTGGACAACTGTGAAGATGAGGATGCTGAATGGGGATTTCCGAAGAGATTCGTCTTCATTTCTTGAGAAAATGCATCTATGAGGGATGCTGGGTATGGCGTTGTTCCCGCATGGTCAAGATAGGTTGTTTCTGTAACATCGCCAGGCCTGGGTTAACTAGGGACACAGAATGTGGAAACAACAAAAATGAGTACCACCTCCAAAGCTATTTTTTCTTGAAATCAACAATCTATATATGTATTTGAAAGAACGTTGGGAGTATCAAACCTCTCAGAGATGGGTATTCTCGTTCCCTAATATCCTCAATCTGCTCCGGGTAGGGGGATCCCTGCAGCAAGCCATGGTCGTTTGACCGCGGGGAGAGGAGCTGCCCTGTCATGGCGATATCGGTGGAGAAGAGTAGCTCTCTGTTAACGCCATGCAAGCTTTAAAGCAATCAATGGGCCATTTTTTCAATGATGAGCTCGCTCCCAGAGCTTGGCCTGTGCATCATCTCACCGTTCACCACTGATACCAAAGAGGAAATAAAAAAAAGGAGACTCAAGCCAAAAAAAATTGCAGTATGAAACCAGGAGGTGACCACGTAGGCGAATCGCCAGCAACCCCATTATTGTTTGCCACAACCGGTGTAAGGTGGGGGAGGAAGCAGGTTGGGGAAAGCCTTTAACGATCTGGAGCACCGAAAGACGAAACCAACCCCACAGAGCTGGTGCAACCCTCTCCAAGTTTGATGTTTATTGCTAGTTACCGCTACAAACCCACTTTTGAACAGACTTGTTCCCCTCACCCAAAAGCCCAACGTGCCTATCATTCTTTATTACTATTATTATTACACTTGTCTCCTGCTACCTGAGCCTGAAGCAAAGTTGATGCGGGAAAAAGGGCCATTCAGTACTAATACCCCCTAGCATTAGTGAGCCAGACAAGTGTTCACTGATATGGTCCTCAGATCACTTCTTTTTTGTTTTTAAATTAGCGAACTATTTTACTTTTTTATTTTATTTAATTCATTTCCATTGCGTTTGTCCTTCGGCCCATCTGTAATGGAATTGCTGCGTGCGTGGCAGTGGATTATTGCTGGTTTGAAGGGCAGACATGCAAGAAGAAGCTGCAGCATAAATCAATCAATCAGCTGAATAGAATGTCAGTAAAAGATAAAATGACTTAGTAGTGTGTGCAAGAAGGCCTTCCGTTGGGGATGTTTCTTCAACTGTGGGTGAAGATTAACGCATCCCTCTTAACTTTCCTTTTTCTAAAAGTCTACAGATATCAGAGTCTGTGAAAGCGGCGATTGAGTGAGCGCCAGTAGTAGGGGGATACAACAAAATGAACATATCCAATCCATAGAGGAACTTGTGCAAATCCACAACCAAATATTTTCTTATTTTTTATTTATTTATTTATTTATTTATTTTTTAAAAAAAGGGTTAATATATGTATTTGTAAAATTAAATAAATAAGTAAATAAAAGTAAACCTCCCACAACTGGCGCGTCTAAGCCCAGTTAGCCATATAAACCCAAAAAAAAAAAAAAAAAAAAAAAAAAAAAAAAAAAGATGGAAAGGGAAATGAAGAAACTCCATAATTCTCCAGCCTGAGGAAATCTCAGCCACCCAGAAACTACCAGCCAAACCCTCCAAGTCCTTCTACCTGTGGCCAATTCGCCTACGCATTCCAATCTGTAAAGAGGGTACGTCGGGGATGATGATTTTTTTTATAAAAAAAAAAAAAATTCACAATAAAAGAAGGAGAAGGAAGGGGAGGTTTGGGGAAGGGATAAGGAAAAATTGGAGAGAAAGAGAAAAGGAGGGTATAAATTGACTTTCGAGTGTGTTGAAATGTCACAATAGTAAAGCAGTCAAAACAAACCAAAGCCAGCAAACCAAACCATATATACCCAGGAAAATAAAAAAAAAAAAAAAAAAAAAAAAAAGATGGAGAGGAGCAAAAAGGAAATCCCCTCAAGCCCTTCGCAGACCCGTTACAAGCATTGTTTCCCAATTCACCAAAGATTAGTCAACGGATGAGCCATGATTTGATGCTGGTTTCCCAGGTGTTAAATGAAATTAATGTTAAAGCGCCAGAACACACTTGAGAGAGAAGAAGGCGATGAAAAAGAAAAAGAAGAAGAAGAAAAAAAAAAGAGAGAGGTAGAGAAGATTAGGAACATGCACACCTGAGGGGTATAGAATAGCCATGAAAATATGAGGAAAGTCAGAACAATGGACAAAAAATAGTAGGTAGAGGAGAAGGATGAATAAAGCCAAGTACAAAGAAAAAAAAAATGTGAAAAGAAAGATAAAATAAAAAAAAATTTTAAAATTCTACGGGACGGGACAGTTGACGGGCGGGCAAGGAATCCCTTTGCGGCTAGGAGACAGCGGCGCAAGATTCTTAGTTTATTCGTGTTCATCCCATAGAAATAAAAACGAGGATGAATGTGACTGGCATTGGAATCGCGGCTCAAAATTTTGGCTGCGAGAGGCTAGCCAATAGTAAGATGGCTCTCATGGAGAGAGAGGAAGGCTTTATTTTCCAACCAAAACGCTCACTTGGGGCGATAAACCACGATCAATGGTATCTAATGGTATCGTCTCTGCGATCAAAAGCCAGTACACATACATACACAAGTACGCGGTACTTGAGGTGCTGCTACATTGCTTTCATGCCTAGCTCACAGGACACGGGCAAATAATGAATAAGCAAAGAGGAGAAGCCAGCCGAGATGGCTTGTGATCGCGTCTCACCGTGGTGAAGCGGAGGCGGTGACAACGGGCGAAGTAGGTCTGCGAAGATGCGACGATATGCCGGTGACTTTGCTTTGAACAACTGGCGGGGCGGAGGATCTTTTGGTCATCAGGGCCATTTTCTTTCGTAAGTCTGTGAGACGAGTGCGGATGCTGGCGACGACTGTAATTGGGAAGTTAGTTGGGAAACGGGTATCCCATTGAAAGAATGACAAAAGCGGGGAACCTGAATCGAAAACACCAAGAGAGCAGAAAGAAAACAAGAAAGAAAGAAGAGAGAGAGAAAGAAGAAAGCTCACGTTTAGCCACAATCTGCCGATCTTCCAATTGCACCCCATTGATAACGTCATTATCAATGCCCCCGCTTGCCATACCGGCTTTCTCACCCTGACCAGGTCCCTTCGACAGCACTTCCTCATCATTTTCCAAAACAGCCTCCAGCATCCTGATAGCAGTGACATACGCAATTTCACACCCAGGCAAATCCTCCCCCGTCAGCTCATTAATGGCAGCAGTTCGACTCATCTCGAGCGCGCGGTCATACATAAGCTTCTCCGCAGTAATCCCGGAGCTCACGACGATCTGATCAACAGATGTCCCCAGTCCCAGCCCCGCATCGGATCCATACGAATGGTTACCGTTGTTACTTGGATGCGAGGGATGATCGGTAGGAAGCCGCTTCTGGGCCTCCAAAAGCTTTAGCCTCACAAACTCTGCCTTCTCCAGAACCTCATTGAAGCGGTTTCGGACCCACTGCACGACGTTATTCACCCTGGCACCAACGGTGGGGTTTGTATTACCACTGCCGTTATTGTTGTTCCCCGAACTCGAAGATGAACCACCGCTAATGCCAACAACTTCCCCCGTGTTCTTTCGCGCCCACCATGCACCGGCAATATCCATCGATTTTGCAAGCAGGGAGAGGGCTTTCACGTAAAGAACCAGGGCCTCCTCGGAAAGGGTCACAATGGCGTCGGTAGTGAGTCCACCGTCGGTTGACTGGGAAGGATCAACTTCCATATCTGGAGAAACGGTACCGGGGTGAATAGCTGTTTCAGGCTGCATGGACGGAGCCAGGGGTATCAACTGTTTGTATTTGACTTCCGCAAATCCATAAACAACGTCGCTCCGTGTCGCACATTCTTCGATAATCTGGACAGTTTTCGTATCCTCGTCGAGAGCGACTTGTGTCTTGGCTCCGTCTCCGACAACGACTAGGTTACCTTGGGGGCTAAGTGGATACACGGGGAAAGGGTTGTATGCTAGTGGTGGGGATCTTCCGCCTTTCGTTACGGTCAACGGGGGAGAAAATCCAACACCAAATAACCGCCCGCTGGCCATATTCAATGCTTTGGAGATTGCGGAGGTTGCGGAATTAGGACTTGGGCCATATCTCCGTTCGTACGAACTCTGACGATTGTGATTGGAGTCTGCTCGCGGCCTCCCAGTAACCAATTGCAAGGCGCGGGAAGAGGCATTTTGCGAGGGATTCGGTGAGTGAGCAGCGGTGGTAGCACGCCGCGGCATGACTCCCGTGGCCGGACGCGCCAACCCTTGGCCCTGTTGCCGTATACGTGGACTTGCGGCCAGCTCATCAGCAAACGCATTCACTTCCACGGCCCTCTTTTCTACGATTATATAGTCGCGTTCGAAAGCCACTTCCTGAGCAGCACGTTCCCGTTCCCGTTCGACATCCCTGTCGTCAGTTGCTGGTTGTGGAAGGGTTCCACGTTCCGCGACGTTTTCCTTAAATAACGATGATCCGGGGGACGATGTATTCCGACTTTGTTGCCGTTCCATGGCATGTGCAGCAACAATTTGATCACCAGACTCAGGACGTCCAGGGGAGGAGGGCTGAGAATTTAGGCTTTGTTGACGTCCTGTCACGGCTGCCCGCTGTAAATCAGGCTTATCGCGGCTTCCTATACGGCGTACAGCGCTGGTTGGACGTGGAGAACTCCCTGATACTGGGCGAGGGGTGGCGGGGTGTGGACTTTCTGCTGTTTGGCCTGAAAAACGTCGTCCTGACGGGGAGGACGAGTACCCCGTTTCCTGAGCAACGTTTACATCTTGATCCGGTCGAGTCGAGCTGACCTTTTGAATATCATCGGCAACAGACTTTTCCCTAGCGGCAGCATAACGGTCCTCAATCACCAAGCCTGGGATATCACCTTTAATGACTTGCGACTCAAAAAAATCATTAAAGCCCATCCTTTCCACCGGGTTTCGTTTGAGCAAGTGTCGTATCGTCTTCTTCATAGCTTCTGACGCCTCGCATTGTTCTGGAAATTTGATTCGATCATTGGTTTTCTCGATCTTTTGAAGCAATTCCACGTGGTTTGTGGCTCTGAAATACGGCTTCCCAACCACCATTTCATACAAAACAGTGCCCACAGACCATAAGTCGGCTTTAGCATCGTATTTCTCATACCGTAGGATTTCAGGAGCCATATAGAGAGGTGAACCGCAGAGAGTATCGGCAAGAGAAGTTGAAGGGAGTGAGCGAGCAAATCCGAAATCCGCCAGTTTGAGCAAGGGCATGGAATCCAGGCCTGCAAGTGGTGTGAATAGATCTTCATTTCCCTTGTAAGGAGGAATCCGGTAGTCTCCCCTGGCGATAGACCGGGGAGAGGGATTAAGCAAAAGATTTTGAGGTTTAACGTCGCGATGGACCAAATCTCTAGACCTGAGGAAATGGAGGGCACTCGCAAGCTGTTTCAGGAAATGGCGCACAATAACTTCATTTAGACCGCCACTTTGAGGGTTTGGATATCTTAATATCAGATCACGAGTCAACTGGTGCCTTACTAAGGAATCGCGCTTCTTGATGAAGATCGAGAGGTCACCAAGGACACAATATTCCATGACAAGATGGATCTCGTTGGCGGTCTCTTGGCAATCTAGAAGCATCACGATATGAGGGTGATGGACAGCCTTGAGGATGTTGATCTCTAATTTCAAATTATCCTTCAGCTTCTTGTTTAACCTTGCCATGTTCACAGACTTTATCGCAACGAGGGTTTGGTTCCGCTGTGTATCATATATCAGCATATAAACATCAGACGAAAAATAAAATATATACGATGATAGATAAATATATATGAGGCTCCGGGGTACGTAAACGGCAAGGGGAAACACCAACATTATGAACACCCTGATAAACCGTGGCGAAGCTGCCACGGCCAATCTCCTCTAGACGGGTATAGCTCCCGACCTGTATAGGGACTATATCCATTTCTTTGCGTCGTCTGGAGTGTGGCGGCCTAGTTGGCGGAGTGGCATCCTTGGGAGAATTCATGATGGGCGGACAGCGCAAATACACAGGCACACGGGCACACGGGCACGCACGCACGTACGCAAACAAACAAGGATCATGAATCCCCTGAATCGATCACGCCCTCGACAGCGGTATAAAAATCGTTTGCTTAGACCGAGGTCCCATCAGGAGCGGCTCAAAAAGTCAGATAATCGGAGAAGAGGGGGTGGTGGGAAGTGAAGGGGAGGAGGAGGTATTCAACGGGCGAATGCGAGACGGGATCAGCGGTCTATGTCTAAGTTAGAGTCGAGATCGTTGATGGCAAACTAATTCGAGGCCGACCAACGGTCAACTCTGTTGAACAAGGCGGAAGCGCAGCACTGAGCACTGGATAAAGGGACGAGGAGAGAATAGACCAGGGATGGTCGTTGATAATCGGGACTGATAGACTGGACTCAGGAATAGAATCAAGGTGAGGTCACAGGATCCTAGGCAGTAAGTATATAGAGAAGCGTAGTAGGCAAATCACTGCAGGTAGCTTAAGTGAGCTAAAGCGGAGCGGAGTGGTGACGATCGATGGCCAGTTCCAGGTAAAAAGGTCCAAGAAGAAGAGGAAGAGCGAGGAGAAGACGCAGAGGAAATGGCGGCAGCAAGGGACCAGGGGGATGTCTGAGGGAGGATGGAAGAGGACGAGGAAAGATTCGCCGGGTACCTGGAGATGTCTGTGACAGTCTGGTGAGCTTCTTTTTTTGTGTCAGAGGATGGACGAAAGCTAGTAAAGTTGTATGGGCCAGGGTTAGCGGGCGGTGATTGGCGGATACAAAACAAGGCGAGCAGCCAGCAACAGAGGAGACGGAATCGCCCAGGATGGTTTGTGATTTGTCTTTTTTTATTTATAATTTTTGTATTCAATTTTCAATTTTTAATATTTTTTTCCCTGATTTTATTTTCCTCGTTCAATTCTCCTTTGGGTCGTGGAGCTCACGGGTTTAATTAATGGGCTTGGGAGGCGGCGATAAGACATCGAAAAACGATTGCTGATAAGAGCAACTAGCAAGGGGGTACGTTACCGTAGTTCTATGGGTTATAACCAGAGGAGGTAGCACTCGTATGTATCAATGGGCGACAACACCACGACGGCGAGAGAGGATACAAGTCAGATATATGAAGGAGAAGAAAGAAGAGTCGGGCCGTGAGAGAGAAGAAGCCTGCAGACAGACAGATGCCTAGGTAGGTAGGATACCTATGTACTGTACAGTACCAACACGTCCTGAATCCGTGATTCGGGCAGGTGTTGAGCTGGCCGGGTTGGGGCAGTCCATGCCTAGGCGGAGTCAGCCACGGGCGGTGGTTCCAGGTAAAGGTACCTCTGAGCCGCCTGGGCAACCTGCGAATCCCGGGTCACCGATACCTTGAAATCTTGGGGAAGCCCCGGAACACTGTGGCTCGCAGGAAAGTTTCGTCGGCGTACCAGATACCTGGATCACGCCCCAAAACAGCTGTGTTGCCAAGGTAGAGGGGACTTATCGCTCATATCAGCCAGATGGGGATGACGCCAGAGACGATCAGGAAGACAAAAGCGCCCACTCCCGCGCTTGGCACTTGTTTAGCTTGTCCTCTTGACATTCGACGCCGGTAACTGGGTGGTATGTCCAGAGAATTTCCTCGTTTGGGCTGGAGATCAGCTACAAGCACGCAACAATTAGAAATAGTTGATACAAACATTTGCCACATAGTCCCGCCACAAGCTCCGACTCCAGCAAAATAGTTATCCCACCTGTTCGTTCTCACGTTGCCCGATGAGGACAGGCGAGTGTCCCCAGTGAACCTCGACCTCTCGTCAGGCGCCATGTCATGTTACTTCAGCCGTTTCAACTAAAACTGACGCATGGCTGCCTGCCTGTGAGTTACTGTGTGTCCTTGGTGTCAATTTGGTTATCTTTCTAGTTCGCTACTAGTAGCGTCGCTACCTTGGGTAGCGATTGATGATGATACACCTGTGTTGCCTTTCAGTCATACGTGCTTGGCGATGTTTCAACTGGCTCTCCTACCAGGATCAGGGGACCGGTGTCCTTGCGCCTGATATCCGAAGTATTTAGACTTGTGGCGGGCTACCAATTTTACTCCAGGAAAAATGTGGGCTCCGCACCAACCTGCAAGTTCCTCACGCTAAGGGAAAAGGAATGAAACCCATATATAACGTCATTCCTGGTACATGTGCAGTACATAGGCTCAGACAATAGAATCAAGAATAGCAATGGAACTTACCAAGAAGAGGATTGGAAGCCTGGGAAGCCGAAAACGCATGTTTTTTTTTTCCTGGAAATCAACCACGTAGTTACGAGATTGTGATTGTGTATGCCAACTGTTGGTTGAAGGAGATATTTATTGCGCAGATATAAATTATTCCAGCATGTGTTCTTTCTTTTCTCTTTCTTAATTATGAAATGGAGATTGATGGTTTATCATAAGTATCAAGTCCGTGATAAAGTTAGAACCAGGCCTATCTCCCTGAGGAATCTCATAGCTGCCCCCGTATACACATTTGATAATGAGAGGACTTCTTCCATCTGTAGCCTCTCTCCTGGAAATTGCGCCAATACACCTCTCAGCATTTTTTACGACGGAAAACAGTTAGAATAAGGAAACAAGGGAGAAGAAGGAGGGGAGGAGAGGAGGGGGAGGCCTCCTCAGCAGTGATACGATCTCTGCCCTCGCTCCACAAGACCTCATGTCTTTACGACTCCGGTGCAAGAACCCAGACAGATCCTCCTTATGATCTTTCTCATAGCGGAGGAGAAGCTAGCTATCATAACCATTGCAATATAAATCACACATCAAGTTCAATGTCATATCAGGAGCATCTGCTAGATCACACCCTTCCCAACCCCAAACATTCCCTTATTCCTCCTCCTCCACCCGAAACTTCACTGTATCAAAAACAGCTCCTCAACCCTCAAAAATAACCTTAACGTCTGAACACCCGGCAATCCATAGTGGCATGTGAGTTTGTTTGTTCCGGATATTCTAGATATATGCGTACTTGGGGCACTGTCCTTATTGACCCTGTCGATTGTGGTTGAACTTCCAAGTTCAACTGTCTGATTTTCTCTCTCTGCGCCTATCGTGCTAAATTCAAATACCCGCGTCACGTAGACGGGGGTGTTTCCCAAAAAATTTCATTTGTAGAGAAACTATCCATCTACAGTGTCGGGTCTTGTGTCAGTATTCACCCTTCCTTTGGGTTGAACACAGCCGGTCCTCGTTTCGTAAATGACTTGGCTCCCCCAAATTGGACGGGAAGGAGTTGTCCAATCATGGACGCGATGCTATGCGATGCGATGTCAAGGGGATATTTAAACACCCAAACAGCTCCAAGTTGGTTCTCGTTTAAAGCTTTTCCGTCCACCCGCTTCATTTCTAGTCGCATGCAGCAGTCAATCGCCGTCCTATTTCCAGGTTCTCTTGGCTCCATCCTAAACAAAAGGCATGGAGATTGGATGAAACTGCTTTCCGCAATTTTCTCTAGATATGAAAGATGGGTAGCGGGCTCCATTCCAAATAAAGTAGTTGGTATGAGATTTCGGACACCGCGAGCATTCGTCGATGATGGTTTCGTAGAATGTTCCTGTTTTAGGGAACTAGGAGGCCTCATGCGAAGAATCTGATAATCCAGCTGGTTAATCTGTACAGATTCCCGTGGTGCTTAGGAACGGATTAGTTGAAATATGGAAAATATAATTCCACTGAGGGATATAGTGTATATTGTGCTTGTCGTCGGATCAACCGGCGTCGTTTGACTTGATGGAGCGCTCAACAAACCGGCTAAACCAGAGAACGATGGCCAGTCAGAGGAGCTACAACCAGCAAAATTGACCGCGCTACTGTGGTTCTCTTGTATCCAATTGATTATATTTGGATCAGTTCTTCCACGAACCATGCGGGTAAAGCTCCTTCATGCCTAGGCATGCGGAATACGCAGGGGTAGTTCATTCGCAATATCAGGTTACCCAGGAGCGTGGGTATGTCGGGCGCAGATACACTCACACCTTGCAATCCTGATTCGAACAAGTTCGAAGCTGCGTAATAACCACACTTCCCACTGAAATTCCATTAGCTACGCGCTCTTGTCAGTCTCCCATGAAGCACCCTTTTCATAGTAGTATGATTAATGGTGGGAAGAACTTTATGCTAGCAAGGAAATGTTCAAAGCTGCGAGCTTGGCGCGTTAGGCGACCAGAAGCGGAAACCCTTGCCTCGGCAAGATCCCAAGGGTTCATATTGGGTGGATTGGCCAGGTGGGGCAGTCAACGTTGGAGCTATTCCCTCATGGTTTTGAACAATATTCCCGCACCCTTCTTTCTTGTTAGAGTAGTAAAATCGTCTCTCATCATTGAGGCCAATGTGTTGTATGTACAGCACAAGCAGTTGAAATAGCATTATAGACTTTTAGAAGCTATACGCTGAGGCGGGCCGAATGGAGATAAAATATGATAGCTGCCTCCCTTGAAAGGAGACGCGATTTGAAGGGGGGAAACGGCGAAACGGCGATCTACAAACCCAATCCTCGAACAAGCAACCACAAAACTAACGGCACCACAACATTATCATTCCCGCCCGATAACACTGCCTCCATGGAGCTGGACACTAGCGCTGCAAGAATAGATTTACTGACGACGACAGCCCAACCCTTCGATGTCGCCATCGTTGGCCAGGATGGGGATATCGCCCGAGATATCGGAACGGAAACAGAACGATCCCACCCCCCAACAATGAACCAAAGGCGTGCCGTTAGTATCCCCACAAAAACGACGACTGCAAAGGCCATACTACCTTCAACACTCTTTCCGCCACCCCAAAACCACTTATGTCGGCCATACCGTCGCCCCACCAGAGACGCTGCAGCATCACCCATACCAACACATATAACTCCGCTGACCATGCTGAGATCGCGTGTCTCCACGTCCCATCCCTTCCAGGGCGGGCTACCAGTGCGAGGGATCCCAGCAAGAGAAAGCCAGAGTGGGATGGCACAACCAATGAGGAGGAAGATGTGGGAAACGATGATGGGGCCGCGATGGTCGCGGCCATCAACATAGGGAGCAAGGAAGTATGTGAGCGGCTTCGAGATGGGTGGTAGCTGCGAGGCTCGAAATAGATCTAACAAGAGGAAAATGGCCAGAATGAGAGCCAGAGCGAGTGCCGTAAATGTCGGGTCAATGAAGGTGGTTGGCAGAAACATCAGGACCATCATTCCATGGAAAACTTTGCGCCGAGTGTCTACTTCAACGGCACCGCTGAGACGAATCACCAACCCCAATCCCACCATGATGACGAGAGCACAATAGCAGGCGATCAGGAGGCGGGTATTAGCCTCTCCGAGAGTATCTCGCCGGAGATGATCCACCCATCCCAGATGGCATGATTTGTTGTCCATTTCTGTATCGAGTAAAGGAGGTATTCGCACCCAATTCTCCAGGTTATTTTTCACAATCTGAAACCTGACGGATGGGATATTGCCAAACAGATATCCAATTGCCCACCCGAAAGGCTCATTTCCATGCAGCGCATTCTGCCCAACATATTTTCTCACTGGCACCAGGATAATAAATAATGTCGCGGCATAGGTATATAGTGCATATGCCCACTTCCGCACTTGAGCCTGAGCAGCTGTAAGAGAAAGGAATGATTGGAGGTTCGGCGTCATTAATCGTCTACGTCGGCCACCAGGTGTAGTTTTAACATTCCCATCTACATCGCCATTGGCAAAAACCGATGGTTGACGACGGTGGCTGTGGGCACTTTTCGATTGGGCATTCGCAGGGAATTCTTGCGGTAGAATCTCATAATTTGATTGCATGTTGTCCAATAGAGCAGGGTCAACGCGAGGAGTCGCGGCTCGATCATCGGATATCTTAGAGACATTATGTTTCATAAAGATGTTGTGGCCTTGGTTGTCCTTGCCGCCCCTGATCATTGCAAACCCACTGACAGGGACGTCACTATCAGACAACGCCTCACCGTCATGACCAACATGGCTAAGGCTGTAGCAGATGTTATGATCAAGCATCTTAAGATAACCCCCCCGCCGGTCATCCCTCCTAGGTGACCGACGAAATTTCCAAGACGGTATTCTAGCCAAAATGACCTCCCAACGAAGGACATGTTGACATAGAAAGAGCATACAGATCCCGCCAAGCCACAGTAGCGCCTTCAGAATTTCCCCTTGGGATGAATTAGCGAAGAACAGGACGTTAAGGAGCCCAGTAGCAAGGAGTTGCAATTCGGTATGCAATAGGCTGGTTGTGGAAAAGAAATGCAAAGTTGTTACAAGCGCTTGGTGTAAGGGGAAAATAAGGAGCAGGAGCTCCGGGTTAAGTCCCTGGAAGGGTTCTGAGCTTCGTGAACGGATATTCGAGGTGATAACCGGCAGAATTGTGATAGCCCAGTGTGTTATAACAAAGCCATGCCGTATAGTGTAGAAAGGTATAACAGGAGAAGGTATCGAGGAGAGGCCAAGTATTATATTTGGTAATATTGACACCTGGTGGTTGTGTATCAGGGATAACGCAATCAGCACAGGGAGGAGAACAGGGTATATTAGAGGAGCAGGATCGAGGTTGGTCGAGAATGGGAAGGCCACAATAGCTTTCCAGCGGCGCCGTCGGAAACCATACGTGGTGATTTGAAAGGGATATATCAAATAAAGTACAAGAATTGTAATCGAAAATGTAGAAAGCTCTAAACGAGTAACAAACACAAAATATCAGCACCTAGGCACCTGTCAAAATCAGGGACTGATACGTACCTCCATTCCAAGCTCTAGCAGAATATCTTACATCCTTCCCAAAATATACCACCACGCCTACAACAAGTACCAACCCTGTCTCAAACAATCTCCGTAGAACTTCACTCCGATTCCGCCTGGCCACCTCTTCCCGGACATCTATCTCATCTCTACACGCATCTTCGCTTGAATCTCTCCTCGAAGACACTAACCTCGACCTCCGGAAGGCGGACCATAACTTCTCTCCCGTCAACCCTTCACGCTTCCCCTGGGCATTCCACTTTCCTAGACTCAGGGTTTGTCTTGGTCGTATTTGAGGCGCCGGTAGGCCTTTCAGAAAGCCTGTGCTCTCATCGTCTGCCTCCGTCCCGCTTTCGCTAGATGTTATAGACGATTTCCCCCGTGAGGTAGTATAGTTACCAGATTCAACATTGTCCATCGGCGTGATGAGGCTGGATCCGCGCCGAGAGTAAGGGCGAGGCGATCGTGAAAGTTGCCGCCGCGAGTCTAGAAACGAAGGAGCTATGAGTAAGGGCTCATGGCTATCAAGGCTTTCGCCATTGCCTCTGCGGGCATCTTGGGTTGCCATATCATTCTGATCGAGACTCGGAATTGCCAGGTGAGTTCACCCTCTCTCCATAGTTGACCTACGCTCTGTACGGACGTCTAGAGAAACCGGGGTGTCAAATTAGAGCTCTCGCAAAAACCAGTTGCGTATTTTTCTTTTTATCTCTTCTTTTTTTATGGGTAACTAGCACTTCTATTACCCCATGAGCCGTGTGCAGCAGTTTGTTGTGGACGGAAAAGACATTCGTTGCGGGAAAATTTGCGGGCAGATGAGGCTTAGAAATATGCTGACATCTAAATCGCATGTTTTTGATATGAATCGTCATCTCCTCCGTACGTGCGACATAACCCGCACCATACATGATACTACAAGTTTCTCATTTTACTATTCATATAGCTACCAATATTGACTATATTTTTTAGAAGCTTCAAGTCTGCAAACTATATAACCACCAAACTCCAATATATGAA